TGATAAATTCGGTTTCCCCCTGCAATGATGGAAAATGATCGTGCCGTGAAAAGAGAAAAAGGGGGTGATAAAAAGAAACCAAATATGCGGTTCTTTGTTATCAATCCTTGTATGGATTGTTTACAAGCATGTAGATATTGCCTAAAAATGAGTTGAGGATTGTGTTCGGCCTGATTCTTCCGGAATCCATTCAATTGATCCCATTTCCTGTCAGAATTACTGATGGATTCTTGCTATTTGACTACAGGATATTCAGGAAACTGATCATTATCAATCTAGTTTTTTCTCCTAATAACTTTTTCGCTCAGACAAAAGAAATTAAGAAAAGCTAGGCCTAATTCTGAAGAGTGTTTGGATTATGATAAGGCAGTTCCACGTGAACATGGATTTGGCAAATTTGTGAGTAGTATGAATAGATAAATACAGTCAACGCAGGTTTACGAAATGACAAATGACGACTGCGGATTTGTAGGATTGAGTATTCATTATGGAAAAAATGAACCTAATTTAGAATTCAGGGCCGTCTTATAAAGAGTTGCAATTGATCCAAATCAATCGTAAGTCCTCTGATCAATCCAAAGTTTGCAGTCTCCTATTTCTAATGTACAGTTGCGATTGATATCAATCGCTAATAAGTTACGATTAATATGAAAGTTCTGCTTATAAGATGGGGCTAAAATTAATGTTAAGAACAATGATGGGGGTTATACTAAAAAAGAAGAATAAGAAGAAATTTCAGTCATTGGTTTACAATTGGAAATCAAGTCTCTTGATGTATACAAACCAGTTACACTTGTAGGCATCAACCGTACCTGGTAATTTGCAAGAATAAGCCACTAGAACCGATCAATTCTTTATAAGGATGGAAAAACAGAGAGAGTGGAGACTCCCAGCGATTGGATTTAATCGACGAGTAAATCAGACAGGCAAAAGATTTAGCTCCAGACCATTGGCAAGCTGAACAAGCAACTAATCCAACTACGACTCTTTTTCCTCCTCTCCATCTCGCAGATTTTCCTTGAAGTAACAATATTTACAGCATTGATTTCTCTGGCTGTGATTAGATCCCGACCAAGAACGCATGCTCTTCAATGGTGCAGCGCCCAGAGCACTCCATAGACGCCTGACAAAACAAGTAATTCAATAGCATCCCAATGCTTTTTTCCCATTCCTCAGAATCCAAACCATGGAATTTCCTCTCGATACTTCAATCAAAGCAAGGTTAAGTACAAGTAAAAACTTGTATCCATCCAGTGTGTATGGTGTAATGTTTAGGTTTATGCATTTCACTGCTCATGTGAAGGCTGGTTCTAGTGTTCTACCCCATGAACAGTGAACATTGCTTCTCTCATACAAGACCCCTTCTTGATGTACAAATTGCATAAATTCTTCTCTTTTTTTAAATCTCAAAATAGGATCCACAAGCAGTTTCAAATGAAAACAAATTAACATTGTACATACAGTTGTAACCTAGCCTCTGTACATGTAGACTACTCTTTTCTTAATGGATTGATAATTGATATGCATACAACATACATGTTTGTTTTTATCCATCAAAGTTTACTAGATTTTAAACAAACAAAACGAACCCCAAAATGACATCAAACAACTGATTTTGAAACTAGAACCAAATATTTGAACAGTGTTCTTCAAACACAATGTTGCTCATAAAGTTGGAATAATTTATCTTACTCCATTTCATGAAATGATTGTGAAAATACCTGTATGATTTGATTTATATTTTGTTCTTGATAGTTGATCCATAAATGTAAAGTGTATATCATCTCAGAACTGTATTGATTAATCTGAAGAATCTTAGAGATTGATCAATAAACTAGTTTTGAGAACATACATATTGTCACAATCGTTTAATAAAACAAGGTTACAAAATTGTTTTCCAACTTCATGGACAACAGTGAACAAAGTGCACTTTCACACACAAAAGAACCACCCACATGAAACTTAGATCCGCTATTGGAGCATAACATGAAAACAAATTATCTAACATAATACATAACAGTGTGCTAGCACTTACAAGTTTAAACCACACAAAGGGGTAAAGTAAATTAAATCCTGATTGTGAGCAATTTATCCTTTTTTCTATAATTGTTAATTCTTCCCTCTTACATTATTTTAGACCTTTGGTACATGTAGCCTCCTTGACACTAACATGACCCCATGACACAAGAATGCCCAATAGCTACATTTTAGGTCTGGACCCCCAAATTTTCAACATTCAACATAGGCCTCAGGTATATGCACTCTGCATGCCAAAGTGGACTGCCATTTAAGAAAAAGAAAATTATAGTGGAGGCTTGAATCATGTAGTTAATAAGCATTATGCACAGGGGTATGAAGCAAGTTCAGCAAAAAGATATTTTGAATGTGGTGACAGATATTCAGATATACATGTAGGTTGTGGCCAAATTCCGACTTGAGGCTCATTGAACCAATCTTTGTTGAACTACATTTTCAGGGTCTTCTCTTTCCATGAATACCTTATTAATAGAAATTGAAAAATCAATCTCTGTCTCTCTTTGACGGTTCAATTATTTTCTACCAAATCAATGTGTATGGGTGTGACAACACAAAGAGTCAGAGCAATATGTACTGTTCTGCAATCTCTATACTCTTTGAAGCCCTGTAATATCTTGCAAACATTGGTGACAGATTATTTGCCATTAAAGTATATTTAATCATCTTGACAATGCCGCACCCTTGCAGAGGTGTTAGACATGCTACGCAACAAATATTGGTATTACTAATCTATCTTTCTGAAGTCCTACAAGCGTTCTCCAGCAAGGTTTCAATGCTCAAGGCATTACATACAGTCAAAGCAATACTATTCTGCACTCCTCAAATACTTGTAATATCTTGAAAACAGTAGTGACAGATTATTTGCCATTAAAGACTGTTAAATCATCTTGGCAATGCCATACCCTTGTAGAGGTGTTGACAATGTCTCCAAGTTATATAAAATATACCTCATCTCCAGTATCTCTCTGAAGTCCTAAAATCATTAATTATCCAGCCCAGCCCCAATTCATTTAATGTGCACACAATGTGGCATTCTAGAAAGTGACATCCAAGACACACTTTTCAGACTGTACTCTAAGAAACCCTGTCATTTCTTGTGAACAATTATGATGAATGTTTTGCCAATGAAGATTAAGAAACTTTTTCAACACTTTTGCAGAGTTGTTGGCAATCTTTTCCAGTATATCTTTACAACAAAAAATTATAGTTTTCTATCTCAAAGTAAATCTCCTAAATATCAATCTTCAGTCCATGTGTACATGTATGACAATTCAGAGTCCAATGCAAGCAATACCTTTTCTTGCACACTCTTTGAAACCCTGTCATTTCTTGTGAACTGTGACGGATGACTTGCTTTTGAAGACTAATTATCAGCTTGTCACACACCTTTGCAGAGTTCAAGAATTATTGACCCAGCCAGCCGTTCATCCATCCATATAGCCACCATGTCTATCTAGAGGGTCAATCTTCACGCAACAATGATGAGTTGCACCCACTCACCCAGTCCTCATCAAATTGTCCTTTCAAGCTCAATTCTTATTTAATTCGCTAATTCTACCTACAGATTACTAATTTTTTAGAATCAATCAAATAAATGGTACAGTATAGGCCTACATAAACTGACCCAATGCCATGATTATTTATATTTCAATAAACTCTTAAAAGCATATTGTCTATAAATCACAAATGTCAGCCGACTGGATTTCTGGTGATTAAAATATTAACTTGATCATTATTCATTAATGAACATATGATTTTGTTTCATTAATGTGGAACTTGTACAAAATGTATCTCTTTTTCTTACATGAAGGTTTCATCAGCATCTTAAAATGCAGTACATGTTTCCTGGAATTAGTTTAACAGGTCATCTTTAAAAAGAAATTAAAATTGTAATCATATCAATTACTAAACATAAAAACTACAGTCTCACTATGCTATAAAAAAAATAGAGGGTATATTTATCAAATGATGAGCATCTCACCACCGCCCCCCCCCCCCTCCCCCTGTACTATTAAAAAACAATGGAAACTATTGTATTTAGGAACGAACTCTTTGCAGTGGTGTACTGATGAACTATGGGAGGCCATTACAAGACATTGTCTTACTAAGGAGCCCGAAAAGACAGGTGAATACAGGTGAATACAAGTGAAAATTTCTCATCACACTGTACATTTTACACACAAAATAAGCTAAAGGTACTAGCATGCTCAAAATAAAATATCAAAAGACGATAATTCAATCCGGTTCATATTAATATTATTATTAATGAAGCAAAAATATTTGAATGGTACCGGTAGAAAAACTTGAATGCAGCATTACCGGTAGATTTTACGACAAGTTTTAACATAATTTGTATCTGATTACACAAAATCATTTTTGTACTGCCAGCATTTCCTACACCAGAAACAATAGCTGAAATATGTAATTGTGGATTAGTATACAGATTGAGCTCAATATCAAATCTTATTTTAGTTGTAACACGATCACATCAGCTCGGACTCTCTCATTCCGCAATCATGATCATCACTGAAATACTGCTAAAACTAAAAGTTGATGCCAAACTTCACCTCATCATGCTAACCATCGTAAAACATGACAACATTTGACTCTTTTGTGTGCTAAAGGTAAAATATATATCTCCTTTCCATCTCGAAATAGCACGGACCAAAATAAGAACAACACTCACACTTCACAGCCCATTCATTCCCTCTCAATACAATAACAACACCGCTGCACACACACACATCACCACCACACAAAGCGCGCACAGCAATCTAGGCCAACTCTCAGCGGCAGCATATTGAACAGATATAGCCATTTGGATCAATTTCTGATAAATTCGTCGATTTTTCGTCGCTAGAAATCAAAGCTTCAAAAGTTGCTGAACAACCAACAAAGTGTACCAAAGTGACCGCAATGATCAAATAACTTCGGATTTCATACTGAATTGTCACGGTATTTACCTGAAGCTGTGTTAAGTTGAATTCTTTCCAATATTGAAACATCGACGCGACATCTTTCGCGGCCATGTTGATCGATCTCGGACAAAGAAACGAACTCTCGCACCGTTCGTTCCCAATACACACAGTTCAATGCATGTAACACGGGTAAGGTTTGGCTGGTACTGCACTAGCACTCCTGCTCGTCGATCGCGAAGAAGCCATACCTTGCATGCAAGATACCATACCACGTACACACATTCCCAAAACACAAGAGGTGTGGCGAATATCAAGACGCGTCCACTTTTATTAATGGGGGTAATAAGTTATAATGAAGTCAAAAGTCCTAATAATTGTCAACTTTACAATATCATAGTAGGTTTATGTTATTTTTTTCCAAAATTAAACTTAAATTTCATTATTTTAAAATAAATTTTTTCGATAAAATCACCTTTTAATTTTCTACTAAAATTTTAATTGCCGTAGATTCCCCCTATCAAAATAGAATTGTCCGATAAATATGTTATTATCGAGTGGTGTCATCAATCAACACAACGTGTTTCTGTCATTGTCAAGAAATTGGTATTGCGAAATTCTTGGCAAGTGCATGATGTCACTCTTTTGCTGATTTATTAATTTCCATCATTCGATTTCTTCTTTTTTATTTGTTCACTGTTTCTAATTTCTCTTGCCTTCTTTTCTCCTAAAGTTTGTTTTTCTTCAGTTTTTGTTTTCTGTACAAAGTAGCGGTTCTAGAGAAGATTTCGAGGGGGTGTGGTATACCCCCTCCCCAACAAAAACTTTTAAATACTGGGCCGTAGAATTGGATGCACGCCACTGACTCATGAGTGTAAGAGTTACTGCATGATGAGAACAAATTCAGGCCTTTATTAGGTTTCATCAATTAGGAAATACATTACTAATCACAAGCCCAGGTTGTTTATTAATTGTCTTCAATACTATTTGGAAATAATGTAATTTCAGACGTCCTGCTCTCAATGTTGGAGCATGACATTTTCTTAGTCGCTTTACGTATTTACAATTTCATGGTTACTGGACTAATGGCCGCCCATCCCATTGTGACGTATAATCCTCAAAAGGCGATCGGGAATTCCCCCTCTAATCTTTATCATTTGGTAATTGTCAACATGCCAGTAAAAGAAAATATGCAAAATACAAAATAATGTACATTTTATAGAATATAAAAATAAAGGCCTACAAATTAACATAAACCAAAAAACAAGTAGACCTAATTGACAAAAGGGGGAAATACTGAGTAAGCTAGGGAGCAAGAAGTTGCTTTGAGAGAGTAATCCTGAAAATAATTATATAATCACTTGTAAACAAAAGGGGCGGTCATTAAAATATTACAGTTATACTGGGCTAGTGAGGAGAATTGTAGTTTGTAAAATGTTGTTTTAGAGCTTTGGGGTATATTATACAGTGCCCTTTTTATGATTTTGTCTTTAGCCGGGTATGGTCAGTGAGCCTTGACTCAGGACAGAGTGTCCAACAATTAGGGTAGGCCTATACTATCTGGCGGCTGCGAGCCTAAATTTTCCTTCTTTTAAAAATAGGCTATGATTGTGTCTGATTGGTTGTTTTCACTGTCTTAGTCATCAAAGAAACACACGTGGCCGATAGAAAAGTGATGTTAAAAGAGCTTGGTTACTGCTTGCGAAAAAATACAGCTGATGGTTGAACATTTACTTAAAAAACAATAGTAGCCCCACCTAATTGTTTATATTACAGTAATATACTAGTACATGTATTCCTATCGTCAGCATTATGATAGTCTCATTTTGTTTTTTTCTCTGTATAATTATATCTAGAGAGGAACAGAGAGAGAGAAAGAGAGAGATTATATGGAAATGATATATACCGGTATGCAATCTTGGTCGTGAGAAAATGACGCCAATATTTTTCATCTCTTCGATGATCGGGAAATTCAAAAGTTTGTTTTCTTCTTTTGAGTGTTTCAATCAGATAAATACTATGATGTTCAGTATAAGAAAGTCAGAGGCGGTGCTCCAGGGGGGGGGGGCACAGTGCCCCCGCAATTTTTCAAGTACCCAAAAGTGCCCCCTTTTTCTTCGTAAGAAGTGCCCCTCCTAATAAGATTAGTGCCCCTATTAAAATCTGATTGGCCCTTTTTCTTCGACAAGTGCATCTTTTCAGGTACGAGAAGTGCCCCTTTAAGCCCTTTTCACTTATTAAATGCCCCTTCACTTCTAATAATTGCCCCTATTCATATGTGAGAGGTGCCCGTTTTAATAATTGCCCGTTCCCTTTCTGATAAGTGCTTCTTTTTAAATGTGATGAGTATCCCATTTTCAGGCTCTGATAAGTGCCCCTTTTATTTGGGCAAGTGCCCATTTTACTTTGACATGTGCCCCTTTTTCTTTGTAAGAAGTACATCTCCCGCCTTAGAAGTGCCCCTTTCCATTTGGGATAAGTGCCCCTATTAATATCTTAGAGGTGACCATTTTCATTCGACTAATGCACCTTTTCCATTCTCATGAAGTGCCGTTTTTCATCTCTAGTGAGTTTTTCTTTTTTTGGTGCGAAAAGTGCTACATTTTCACCTCTGGTAATAGCCCTTTTTACTTTGATTTTGCTCCTTTTCTTTTCTAATAAGCGTCCTTTTCCCTTTTGATATAATGTCCCCTTTTCATTTCTTTATAACATGCGCTTCTACTTTAAAGCGACTCAGAGCAACTTAACTACCCCCTGGAGCTCGCTCACTACGCAAGCTCGTGTGATTGCTAATATATAATATAATCATTTCAATGTAGGGGTATATACAATTGTCTAAAATTTGTATATTTTTGCTCTAAGAATCCCTTTGAAGGTGCCCCCTTTTTCCCCAAATAGTGCCCATTTTTGTTGGTGAAAACGTTTAAATCATCAAAGTTACGTGCTTACGTATTGCAACAGATAGAGCTAATCAAAGTCAGATCAGGGCCCCGTCTTAGAACGGTTACAATTAACTGCAACTGATTTGCGATTGATATCAACCGCAACTATAATGATAAGAGATAAGGTACTGCAAACTTGCAATTGAATAGCGGACTTGCGATTGATTCAGCTTAACACAATCACAGGTCCACTGATCAGAGTTGTCTAGCGCCATCTCAGGTAAGAATTTTATATTTCGGGGATCCACCTAGTACTGTAACATGGACATTGGTGTCAGGTGATCGCAGCACTCGTGTAGAATTCTGCCTTTCTCTGTTTCTGGTCACAATGCAATGATTCGTAACATGTCCAGATTGTTTTTTGTAAGGCGAAATAGTTCGCTTGCATTAGGTCGAATTATTTACAGTGAGTACACCACCTCAAATTCAAAGGTAAGGCGAGATATTTTTTTCATTTCCTGAGGAAAAGAGTGATATTACTCTAGATCTACTTGATCAAGGCAGCTGCAGGACATCGGCAATGGGATTGCCGCCGTCCCGGGACCGACGGCCTGCCTAGGCCTAGGGCTAGGTACGGTCATGCAGTGTCGAGACTTCTTGCAAAACTACAGTAGCTATCAAAGATGGAAACGGGGCATTCAAAGCTCCTTAGAATTGCAGTTGAGTTTTGAAGAAAAAAAATCTATGTGATGCAAACTAAAAAGGAAAATATCATAAAATACGACATGTGGGATGTTCTGAAACGTCTGAATGTTTTGATAACAAAAATGGTAAGAATTAATTGTCACCCTCAAAATAAAAAGAAGAAAAAGTAAAATGAATTAAACAAAAACACAATAGTCATATAGTTCTATTAATGTATCGTTAAATCATGTCATATTGTTGCCTCCGCAGATTCCACAGAAACCACAATGGAGAGAAAGCAAAAAGAAAAACAAGGTAAAGACTAGACCCATCTAGATCTATAGTCTGTATAATCTGATAATTTAATTTATCTTTACAAGCCAGCACCAAAAGCCAGGGAGTTGCAAAGATTTTTCCACTATTAGAATATGGCATATACAACAAAGAAATGATTTAGTAAATGCAACTTATGCAAGTATAAATACAAATATGCAATTGCATATCACTTTCAAATAGCAGCACAACTAATTTGTCATTCGTAAACCTATCCTGAGGTCACTTTACTAGTCTTTAGATGTAATTTTTTCCAGCTATGAATTAATCCATTAGTAATTATGTAAGTCCATGAATAGACGGCCCATCACAGAATTATAACTGGTGACTGCAAAGATGTTGAATAATCATGACAAATTAGATTCTGTGGTCTTTTTTTTTTTCCTGTTTTTTTTTTTTTATTGTTTATTTTTTAAGTTTTGTAATTAAAACGGTAAAGGATTAAATGGTATATAGAAGTTACTACATACCATTGTTGACAAGTTATACAGAAATTTATCCTGTCGATATGGTCAAAGAAGGGTGGAATCTTGAGGTATATTTCTTGAAATCCTCTTTCACTGGCTTTCATATCCCCTTTATATGCCCCTCCTGCTGGGCACCATCATTTTATAGGAAGCTGCCAATTCAGTAATCTGGCTTTAAAAAATGACAAAATATTAAAAAAATGACTTTCCTCATCCCTAGGTCAAGGTGGACCCGCAGACCATTGAGAACCTGGAGCGGTTAGCGCTTGTTAACTTCAACAGCTCTGCTGGTGTGGAGAGGCTTGAGCATGCCATCACTCTCGCAGAGCAACTAGATGATGTGGATACTACTGGAGTAGAACCCATGGCGTCGGTCTTAGAAGACAGGTAAAGTCTGGTGTGATAGAACGACGCAATTTTGCTAATTATACTACTCAACTGTCAAAGTCAAAGTTGATTTCAAAGATCCCGCTGATGCCACCATGATGAGTTTGAGGTTTGAGGGTCTTAGTAATGGTAGGTAACTCAGAAAAATATAGAGTTGGCAGACAGGTTTGTTATGGTAGACCTGTTGTTTATTCAACTAACACCGATACAGGATTATCGTAACAGTTGGGTGATAACTTGAAATGTGCAGTATATTTTTTATCCAAATTTTAATCTCTTGATCGAATAAAAAGTAATTTGGTGCAAAGCAATGTTTAGAGAGTATAACTGTTAAGGAGTCAGAAAGTTGATGAGAATCTGGATTGTGTCTGGAGAGTGACAATGTGGAATTCATTTGAACTTACTATTCCTTATGTAGCTATCATGATCTCTAAATTTGTAGGCTTATTAGCATCATTCATTGACTCTTTGTTGATAATTTTGGACAAAACTCGCCATACTCCACCCAGGCGAGGTAAATGGGTACCCAGTAGGAAGAAATTCATGGTAGCTCAGCTAAAGCCGGGGATATGATATGATTGCAGGTCCCGCTGGGAGAACAGTGTGTATACTGATGAGGCTACCCTGGGTAAACAAGACATATTATTATTATGTTATGCTAAATTGATACAAATCAAACTACATTCCTTTCCATGTCAAAATGTTAAACAGCACCTTAAAATTGATGTTTCTAGACACAAATATGAAAACAACAATGTGAAAACAAAACCTTAACACATTATGCCTATGCATACTTAGACTAAACTGTTATAAATCAAGAAGTTTATTTTGCTACAGATGTTTTTTTCTTTGGTATTGTTTTATTAGAGAGTTGTACTTGAGAGATGATACGGTGACAGAAGGCTACTGTGCAGAGGAGATATTGATGAATGCTGCCAAGACTTGTGAAGAGTACTTTGTTGCTCCACCTGGTAAGCGCTTCACCCTCCCTTGCACTTATGTGGTGGGTTTAGATTAGTTACGGTACTTGACATTGTTCAACATTTTCAAGTATTCGGAGTAGTGTCTTTCATTTTTATGCTTCGTTACGAAGGAGCCGGAGGCATTATATTTTTGACTTGTCCGTCCGTACGTCCCGTTCTCGTGATCGCGTTATCTCAAGAACTGATTGATGGATTCCCGCCAAACTTGGGTCATGTATGTATCTTGCAGAGCCAATGAACAGATTAGATTTTAGGGTCATGAGGTCAAAGATCAAAAGTCGTGGAGCTCATTATGTATTAAGAAAAAGCTTGTGATCGCATTATCATGAGAACCGATAGACAGATTACCATCAAACTCAAGACATATATATTTATCTTCCAGAGCCAATGAACTGATTAGATTTTAGGATCATGAGGTCAAAGGTCATGGGGCTCAATATGTATGCCTATAGATAGCTTGTGAACGCATTATCATGAGAACTGACAGATGGATTGCAATCAAACTTGAATTTTAAAAATTGCTTCCTTTTTGGGATATAAAATTTCTTTATGGTGGAGGCATGATTTTTAACTGCACGCAGTCAAAGTTCCATCTAGTTTTTAATTGACTGGGCAAAGTCACGGGCAGGGAGACACAGTGGTTAGCTTTCAAGCTTTCCTGGTAGGGTTTGATATCCATTTTTTGCATTATAGTTATAAACTTTCTTGCATGCGAATGAATCTAGTTTTACAGTATTGAAAAGGGTGACCCTAGTTTTACATATACAACTATAATTTGCAGGGAGTTCTTAGACAATAAATCAAATATATTGAAACATGTCAGGCTGTCTGGTTGCCCTGTCGCCCTGAATGGATTTGTCCTTTAAAAAAAAAAAAAAAAAAAAAATTATTAAATTTTCTCTCTCGTGTTTTCATTCTCTTAGGAAACATCCCCCTGTCTGCTCAAGCTACCCAACAAGCTTCAGAGAGAACCAGGAAGGAGGAAGACAGATGACAGGAATTGAGATGTATCAAAAATTAACTTTGTATTGAACCCAGCCCCCCCCCCCACTCAGTGTTATTTAGGGTACACATATGCATGTTCCCAGCCCCCCCCCCCCCCCCCTTTTCAGCAAAAGTCTGGTGTGTATAGTCAATACGGGTAGTCCTTTTTCTTTTGTTACGAGCCAGAGAGTTTGGGAACACTCTTGGTATCCATCCGTTCACGGAGTGGGGGGGGGGGGCCGGGGTAATGAATGGTCTACAGAACAGCCAATGATAAGTTATGGTGACAAGGCGATCCAAATTTGCTCCAGCGGCATTTGGTATTGGCGTCGGTTCTTCAAAGATATCATCTGGAGCTAAAAGGGTGTTAAATCATATTCTTCAACACAGAGTAAATGCCCTTGTGGCTCGAAGCAGACAGTAAAGGGTTAGGTTAGGGTTGATACTGGGTTTCAGTTTGTGTTAGGGTTGGGATTACTGTTAGAAGTATGGTGGAGGATCTAGGGTTGAATTGAAGAATTCAACCAGTGTAGGGAATTGTCGCAGAAGCACATGTTCCGCAGTTGGTAAAGGACAGTGGTATGTTGAGGAATTGCTACAGTTTTTACCTTATCTTTGACACAACTCATACATGCTGATGTTTAGTTCATGTAACTGCTAAGAGAGCATGTTTTCATGTGCTTGTAGCACACCAGGGGAGTGTTTCACAAAGATTAAGATCGACTTTAAGTTGGACTTAAATATGGCAGGCCACTGTTTGCCACTGTTTGCTCTCACCATTTACTGGCATTAGTTTCTCAAGGGACATACAAATATGAAGGTCTCAAATCTACATTTTTGATAAATCATTATTGAAGGAAAAAATGATCTAAAGATGATAATGGTGAGAGCAACCAGTGGCATGAATGGCCCGCCATAGTTAAGTCCGACTTAAAGTCGACCTTAGTCTTTGTGAAACACCTCCACGGGATGTAGGGCTTAAAGTCATACCCTAGAAACTTGGGTGGGTTGGTTATGAAGATTAATGTCTTTATACCAAAGTATTTGATCTTTGATAACACTTTGTCATGATTTAGTATTCATGATTAAAAGAATATACAGCTTAGAATTCAAACAACTTTTGATGCACTTGAGAATAAAGATTCAGATCATTTGTCTGTTGAGTGTCAAAAGGGCATTACTCTATGCAATAATTATGTGAGTAAATGCTTTGTGGCTTCCAGCAAACCAATCATCTGTACTTTGGTTACTTCAGAGGGAAATTATCCTGATTTCTGAAAAGATTTGCATGACAAATTACCTTGTGATGACAATAAAAATAATAACAATTCAAAGGAATTCTTTTTTTCTTCTTTTCAATTCAATTTCAGTTTATTTGGCATCATAAAAACATTACAAATCATAAATACAGAACTAAGAAATGATAAAGAATTAGCCAGGACAACTAAAAAGCAACTTGTGCATGTAAAAGAGGCCATTAACAAGGTAAACACAACATCAAATTAAATAGCATAAATATGTACATACATTAAAACAAAAATGGACCAACCATTAACTATCGGCAGGTATATCCCACGTTAAGCTCACACCCACAAGTTCCACAACCACACTCAAACACACGAGCAATTTTAAAAAGGAGAGTTCAGAATGAGAAAGACAAAAAAAAGGAAAGAGGTGAGAAAGAGAAAGAGAAGAAAAGGAAGAGATGGGAATGAGTCAAGGATGACATTGTTTTAAAAATGTAACGTTTGAGTAGAGTTCTAAATTGCAAGAGTGTGGAGCTGGATTTAAGGTTATTACATAACGGTATTGAATTCCATTCATGTACTCCTGTAAATTAATTACCGATACAGAGCCTTTCTTTAGATCAACATTTGATGTGTGCAAATTTCTTCATTTATAGAAAACTGACAAAAGGATATCAAAATTGATGTGCACATGACATATAATGAGTACATTTAATTTGAATTTGAATAATCAAAGTAAAGCTTATAGAAATTTGTTGAATTTGTAAACTGACATGCATTATACACATTGCATTGATATAAAGACACTATTCAGAGTTCTTTAGAGTAATGTTTGTATAATTGATGATTGTGCAGAGTGCTTTATGATATGAAGAAACAATATTCAATTCAATTCAATTCAATTTTATTTCGCAACATAAAAATCAAAATATACAAAGTAACAGTAAATTTTAACTATGTTTACAAAGGTTATATGCGGGGCTTTCCATGAAGGTTGCGAAAACCTGTGAAGTTGGATCGCCCAACTAGGCTTGATATGCAATGCATTTAATACAATGCCTAATTTTCAACAACTTTGTGGACCATGTACACTTCTGGTTTTATATTTGCTGTTTAATCATTCTGTAATAGGTATGTGTAAAGTAAGAGAACAAGAAGATTGAACATAACAGCAGCTATGGAAATGTGAACGTTGTGAAGTGCCGCATTACATAACTCTCCTACACAGCAATGTGTACAGAGTTCTGTCACACAGACTTTCTTCATGCATTCATCCTGATGATCTGATGAAAGACATCCTCTGCTCACAAACTCTGGAAGGACAGATTTCTAAGAAGTCATGTAAGAGAGGAGAGAGAAAGAAAGATTGCAGCTCAATAAGACATTGAGTGATTTCGAGTCAGGTGTTAGTGTTAGTGTTAAGAGCAGTCAAGAGCTCTTATTAAAATCAAGCTACAAATTTGCTGATGAAATTAAGAGCCCGATACCAATATCAATAACAATAGTTTAACACTAACACTGTATTGGAAATCAACATTTGCTTAATTTCTAGGGGCTAGTGTTAGTGAATAGGACGTTTGTACGTAAATATTAACACCAGCCACAAAGGTCGGTTCAGCAGACAACAATTTTGCAAAATCGATACACTAGCTACCGGAAGCCCCAGAAGTTGATGATATTTAGAAGTCAAAGCCTTAACACCAGCTGATTTCCATTTCAGGGTTTAGGGCTGGTGTTAGTGTTTATTAGACACTAACACCTGCCTTAAACACCCAACTTCAAATCACTCAATTAATAGCATTGATCATTTATAATGCTGTCTCCACAGAACAGAAGGAGACACAAGTATATTAAAAGTAAAGTCCAACTAAGAGAATAAGAATATTTGGGGAGATAGACAAATTTGGTGACACCAAGGAAAAAGGGCGTTGAGAGGATTGAAATTTAGTTTTACAGTGGGAGTCAAAGATTTATGTTCAGAGATTGCAAATCTTTATGAAAACCCCCCAAAATACAGAATTATAGGTTTACTTCTGTTCAGACATCGGGAGATATTTGTCATTTCAATTTTGTATTTATCAAACTTTGAATCTCAGTCTGTAAGATTAATATTATGATTACTCATGTTCAAGTCCAAGTTTTATTTATCTTTCTTTCATAACACACATTACAAATATGACATGAATATAACAAGTTGACAGAATAGGGCATTACAATAGAAAGATGAGGTGGCCTTGGTTGAAAGCAAGGCTTGTGGAATTAAGTTATTATCATTATTATTGTTGTTCTTATTGTTCATGATCTTAATGTGTAATTGATATTATTTTCATTGATCAGTGTAATACTAATTACCTGGCATCCATCGTAACACTGAACTTCCATCACTTCCTCACTGCTGGGATCAAAACCATCCCCACATACGCCCCAAGGATCACTCCAACACTCGTAGCAAGATTTACTGGCCCTCATCACCGCATCGTCTTGAGATGTTTCGTTACCATGGCAGCAAGACGAGTTCTTCTCAGGTGTATTAGATGGAGGGGTATCAGGAGTAGTACCTAACGCTGGTGCCTGGATATTATCTGGATACTGGGTCAAATTTACAGACGTCTGTATATAGAAATAAGAGGAAGGTTAAGAAATGATCGCCCAAGCTTGAATGTTAAAAGGGGTGGAGAGGGGAGAAGCAGATTCTTAAGTGATCAAGTGAAAAAGTGTGTTTCTTTTTCTTTTTTGTTTTAATTTTTGTATGTATTTCTTCCTCTGTAGAAGCAGTTCTTTTATTCTGAAACAGAATATACATGTAGTTTCAAGCTTACTTATCTTAAGATAATAACAGAATAACTGTTTGGGGGCAATACTGACATACTATGACAGTGCTACATTGATTAATAATCAATAAAAGTTATAATTTTGGGATGAGTGCCTTGTTGTTTCTCGAGGTATATTGATTGTGCTAAGAAATCATGTGTTGAAGCATGATCAATTAATGAAACGGTATGTTTGAGTTGTCAAGGGGTGAAAAAATGAATATACAAAAAAGTCACCTCTATCTCCTCGTCATCTGTATCAGCCATCGACATGTTATCGGTTTCATCTGAGCAACATTCACTGCACCACTTGATGTCTTGGCAACATTTAGAAGTGTCTAATATTGATAGAACCAAGACAGTCGTGCAAAGTTACTGATATTGATACTTCGTGCAAGACAGGTGTTCTTTTGCTTGGAGACTTCGGTGGAAAGTGGTTTATAACCACCGTTTTCATTATTATTATTATTATTATTATTATTATTTCCTTATACTTTTGAAATGCTGTCACAAATTTCCAAATATTACTCCATTTCCCTGACAGTATGCAGGTGTGTGTATTGTTACATCATAGTCAAAACTTGTGAAGTAAGTAACAATTCAAAAACAAAAACTAAACTGTAAAAGGTATATTGGCATGATTGTTTATTTGAAATAAACTTATACCTGACCAGGAGGCTGCCCCATGTTGATACAATGCAGTGCAAATTTCCTCCATCTCTTCTTCATAGCAATAGGTTGTTAAGTAGTAACCGTATGAAGATGCAGGGACCATGATGTATACACTGTCGTTCATGAAGGTATAAAGGGACATCATTCCTTCGTTCATTAAGTTATTCATCTGTGGGAGAGGGGGAAAGGAGAGAAAATGATTGACACAGTTTGAGGGGTACCGGTACGACAAATAATAGTGATTTTAGAATGTAAGAGATATGTTCCGGAAAGTTTTAAGATCGTTTAGTAAGTGAAAAGATAATATTCATTTTCAATAATTAAGAATATAACATGTTGAAACATTTCACAGGAATCCAATAAACTATTGTCACCTTCCATAATTTCTTCACATCATGTTTTGACCGCTTAATTATTTTTCATACATATTTCCATAAGTCAAATATTACCTTTGATAACAATATACACATCTGCCAAAACTCTGATGTGTCTCTGCTGCACATTATACTTAATTAAAATCAGTTTTGTGATTGTGATTTATCCAATACGTGAAGATTCGATTTCTAACGAGACAATTCATAAGGGTGATGTTGCTATGGTTACCTCACACCTGTGGATGTGGTTGAAATCATCCCCATCATCCGGATAGTCAAATTGGTCATCATCTGGATAATCAATAGGGTCCGGGTAGCCTAGTGTGTCCTGTCCATCATTCGGGTAGTCGAGTGGGTCATCCTCCCAATCATCCGGATAGCTCATTGGGATATCCAACCCGTGGTGCTGGTAGTTTAGATAGCAATGGCACAAAGTTTGTGACGCAGTACCCGCGCTACATGCCACACCCTTGATCAATGCATATGCTATTTAGAGATATTTGTAAGGGGAAAAAACCAGATACCACCGTTAATCTTCACTTGTAATATAAGATCCGGTGCTAGCGTGATTTTCTGACATATAGGACGGCGTCATGATTGCACGGTCAGTCATGCGCCACCGTATCAGGACAATTACCCCCTGGGCAATCACCCCCGGAAAATTCTCCCCCGGACAACTACCCCCAAGGACAATTACCCGACCCCCCCCCCCCGGAAAATTACCCCCGAGGACAATATTGCCCCACCCCCTAGGACAATCCCCCTGGCCCGGCCCAGGACAACCAAGGATAACCACCCCGAGGAAATTTACCCCCCCCCCCCCCCCCCCCCTCCCCTGTTTATTAAAGAGGAAGCCCAGCCTGATAATAAGTTGGTTTTCCGGGGGATAATAATTGTCCTCGGGGGGTATTTTTTTTTTTTTTTTGGGGGGGGGGGGGGGTTCCTTGGGGGTAGTTTTCTGGGGGTACTGTGCTCGGGTGGGGGGGGGGGTACTTTTCCGGTGGGTGATTGCCCAGGGGGTTATTGTCCTAGAACCACGTGCGAGTGATACTCGTGAAAAAAAGTGATTGAGAAATGAATATTGCAACCAGTGCGTACTTATCGTGACATGCTTATTGGCGCAGGTAATAACGCAATCGAAATAACGCTTCGTTTGCATGTATTTTGCACATGAGGCGTTATTTCTTTGCGTTACCTGCGCTATTAAAGTATTTGCATTGTTTCTTTTTCATACTCATTCATTTGTAATTTTGTATATAGATAAGAATGAGTTTTCTTTGTATTCCTTTACGCCCGTCTTCTCTCTCTCTCTCTCTCTCTCCTCCTCCTCCTCCTCCTCCCTTCTTTCCCTTTCTCTGTCTATTTCTCTTCCCCCTCATCTCTCTTGATATCGCTTAACCTGAAAGTTAGCAAAGATCAAGTAAAAGTATACTTAATACTTAAAAAGGTTCTAACATAATTGGGCAGATATTTACAACGCTTGGTTCATACTGTTACTTTGTCTATTATCATGATTACTTGTGATTTCTGACATATCATACAGATGGTGGGCGGTAAATGAACGTGAAAAGAATATTATTCGAATGCGACCCTCCCCCCCCCCCCTTTTTTTTCCCCCTCTCTCTCTCTCTCTCTCTCTCTCCCTCCTTCTCTCCCTCCCTCTATCTCTCTCTCTCTTTTTTTCTCTCTCTCTCTCTCTCTCTCTCTTTCTCACCTTCCCACTTGTTGTCCATTTTTATTCTCATTTGCATTAATTTTCAACCACCGATAAAGACTAGTCCCCCCTCCTCTCCTCATTGCCTTCCCAGCTATAATATAGCTACGTCACTGAATATACACGTCGTTCAATTGCTAATCACAGAGGGGAAGAATCATCAAAAATGCAAAGAAATAAGACAAGAAAATCCCTCTCAATCCTCGTCGGCACAGCTTAGTAGACGGATTGAAAACGGGTAAATTATGCGCATAATACCTGCCATGAACTGTAGATGATAATAATCATCATGCATGGACACTGTTTTGCCATATACTGTTGTGCTCCTTCCTCGATGTATCAATCATGCATTTTGAATAAGAAGAGTAATGTCTGCATTATTTCAAACTTTTCTAAATATTGCCACTCATTACATAGTCTTACAGAAAGTATAGTTCAAATGATATTCGATATGACGATAGGCCTATTTCATTATAATCAATTTTATAGGTGGGCTTGGGTCTATTGAAATGGATGAAAGACAAAGAAGGTAAATTCATTGAAACAATTAAAGAGGGGATATATTGGAAGAGAGGGAGGGAAGAGAAGGGGGAAAGAAAGAGAGAGACAGAGAAGGTGTGAGAGAGAGAGAGAGAGAGAGAGAGAGAGAGAGAGAGAGAGAGAGAGAGAGAGAACCGGAGGGGATAATAGGCTAACATTTAAATTTCTAAGACAGAATGATGTATGGATGAATGGATGGATGGCAAAATTGATAAATAATGGACGGAACGGATTGAAAATTAATGAATGATGCATGGAAAAATATAAAGATGGATCGGAAAGAATAGAAGGATGGATGAATGATGAGAAGATTGATGGATAGATGGGTGTAAGAGTAGGTAGAGAATTAGTATAGGGTAGAGGCAATGGATCTTACCGAGTAGGACCACTGTCAGAATACATCGGAAAGCTGACATCATTGATCGTAGTTCCAGTATCTGACTTCAAAGGTGGAAAAAATCCTCCAAACTAATAAAAAAAAATGATACACTGTCACGGTACGGAAGGCAATTCAATGAGAACATATATTTTATCTTTCTGTTTTTGTTTCGGATGAAATAATATGAACAACCTTTATGACAAACTTTCTGTCACGAAACTTGGTTACAAACTAAAATATATGAATCGGGTATGATTAGAAAACTCGAGAATTTAGTCATTTTGGCGGCCAACAGCCAATGTCTACAGCTCCATTTTAAAAGCCACCATGCAGCTTCAAAGCTGAATGCCTGTTGGGGAATATTGCTCAGTCAAACTACAAGAATCGCCAATTTATTTCTGTGACAACATAAATTTGCACTTACTGATTAATACCATTAAGGCATTTCGTGATTCCAACAGATTCTATTTCATATTTCACACATTCTAAACATATGACAGAAAACATAATATACAAGGCTTCCAAAACATATGAATTTCTGAAAATGAAATTCAAAAAAATAAAAAAAATAAACTGTCTTACCCTGATCGAGTTGCTGTATCCCAGCGTTCCCACAGAGTATCGCGTTCAAACTATTCTCTTTACTTTGAGTTATATAGCCATGCAGCTTATACGTCTGCGATATATTCCAACCAAATGGCGCCCTTTTCTCGCTTGGATATGGTGGGCACTTTGCATTCCGCCGGAACACATTATCTTAGTTGCTAGTCAATTTTTGGATCTCGTATTATTGGGTGTGCGACGTGGCGCCATGGACTAATCTGATAGTGTGTTACAGCAGCATTTTTCAACCACTTTTCAGTCACGGCACCCTTTTCAGAAATAAAAACTTTCGCGTTCCCCCATCCCCGGAAGTCGGTTCTAGGGCAATTGCAACAGCGAGACAATAACCCACCGAGGACAATTATACCCTTAGAAAATTACCCCCCCCCCCCCCGCCCGAGGACAACCACCCCCTTGGACATTACCCCCCCCCCCCGGAAATTGTTTTGCTTTTATACAAACCAACTTATTATCAGGGTGGAATTCCTCTTTAAGGAACAGGGGGGGGGGGGGGGTCATTTTTTTCGGGGGGGGGGTTGTCTTCGGGGTGTTGTTGTCCTTGGGGAGGGGGGAGTTTCTAGTGAGGGGGAGGTTCCTGGGAGAGAGGGTTTTTAATCACAGAATCTTACTTGTGCATCATTCGTCGAGCGAGTCTAAAAATGTAATCTTTGATATACAAATTATTTTGTAATCGACATACAAGGATAAGATATTTAAAACAATAATGTATGCGGGCATCCCGTTGCCATATAAACATGAATGAGGATATTCGGGCATCTTGATGCCCCGAATTTACCCGTTTCTAGATGTTGCGAGTTAGGGAAGCGAACAAGCGGGGAAAATGTAATTTTGATTATTATAATCATGAAAAGCATATACAGACATACGGGGACCTGGCTGTCAAAAAGAAGTATATATTCGGGCACCTCCATGCCAAAATATGAAGGTATTCTGGCATTTTACTGCCTGAAATCATGCCGTTTCCAAAATAATGCGAGCCAAGGTAGAAATACACTTTTCATCTTTAAAATCCTTTTTTTCCTCATCAATTTACAGAAATATTGAATGTTGTCGTTTCACGAAATCGACGTTATTCCAAAATAACTTTTTGAAGTAACTAAATTTTTCTTGCGGCACCCCTTAAGATGTCTTGCGTCACCCGGTCGAAACGCGTTTTTTATTATTTTTTAAATTTTATTTATCCATTCATGTATTTATTTTTGAATTAACTGATGATAAGTTAATTGATGATTAATTGATTAACTTAGTTTTGTATGTTAAAGTTTAGTTTGCTTTACTTTTGTTTGTTCCCGGTTTCGGTTTGTTTTATATAGTTTTGTTTAGCGCTGTGTTTTATTTGTTTTCCATCTGTTTTGTTTTGTTTTGTATTGGTTTAGGTTTGTTTTCTATTTGTTTTGCCTTGTTTTGCATTGGTTTGTTTTGTTTTATATTTGTTTTGCTTTTTGTAATACTTATTTTGCTTTGTTTTGTATGGATTTGTCTGAGTTTTAGTTTCAGTTTTACTTTTTATAAATAGTTTATTTTAGTTTAGTTTAAGTTTATAGTTTAGTTTAGTTTAGTTTAGATTAGTTAGTTTAGTTTAGTTTAGTTTCTTTAGTTCAGTTTAGTTTTGTTTTGCTTTCATTTGTTTTGTTTTGCTTTGTCTTGTTTTGTTTTGATATAGTGTTTTTTTTTGTTTTTGTTTTGTGGTTATTATCATAGTTTTTTTTTTTTTTTTTTTGGGGGGGGGGAGGTGTTTTTTTTTGTTCTATCTGTTAGTAGGGGATCATATCCTCTCGGTATCCTTTTCGGGGGAGGGGAGTCAAAATGTAAAATGTTGTTACCGCGCTCTTTATCGAAGGGTACTACATAGCCAATTTTAAAATTATTTTGTAACCAAACGAAAATTTATCAAACTCGAGATGGTCCAAGGGTCGATAATATTGCATTGCATTGGCGCATGCGCATGTGTATACTCCAATGATTGGTATCCTTTCTTTCTTAGAAACCAGTTAGATTGGCAACTAAAAAGAAATTAACGGAAATTACATTAAATATTAATAAGTTTGAACTAAAAGTGATATAATAAAACTTTTTTCCATTTACAAAAATTATTTTAAGGAATTAAATATTACCTTTTTGTGAAATGTATACCATCTATTTTATTTATATCAGTATTCTACACGCATTATACGTTGCCAATTTGTACCGGTCGTATTTTATTATTCACCACTGTCCGTAGTCTTTATTTGGAACTTATCCTTGGCTTTGTTGAGATCTGTGTTGCCGAGCATATTAATTTCGATTTATCGTTAATTCTACCTCGATTGGGTGCTTTATATTATCACTAAAGTGACAGCATGGTACGTTTTTAGTATTATCATGAAACTTATCGTTCATTAATTCATTTAGTCATTGACTGTGCCTGTGGATGTGCCGTGCATGTGTGATTGTGCAGTGTGATGAGTGCGAGTTCACCTTCGCTTCGGTGGCTCTGGGCTAGCTTCGGCATCGCTGCTTCGCGGCCCGGCCGGTGCTGCGGAGAAGCCAGAGATCCATTGCGTCGGCGTCGGGCGTTGAGAAAAACATGTCCATTGTCAGTGCCAGTGGGCTGTGGGGGCAGTATTATTAAAATTCTTTGTTAGTGATAAATATGTCATTGTCAAATTGAAACAAATCGAAACTTTGTCTTTGAAAAAGACCCACTTTAATTTTTAAAGTTAAAAAAGGGGGAAACCCCCAGTTAGACAATGAAAGTTGAAGCAAAATCTGATTAAAAAAGATAAAATAAGTTGTTAAATTTGCAATCAATCAAGCACAAATTAAAATTGTGGCCTATCTTGTGAGCTCCTTTCCCATTTGCTAGATTTAGGCTAGCTACGCCTACGCCGCTTGATTAAGAAGTAAAATTTTAAAAAGACAATTTTCCATCAATAATAGTTGATACGTCCCTGGTATTTGTATACCAACATGACAAACACAAGAAACCTTGTTAGTCCAAACCAATAATGATCATGGTGAAACTTGCTACCCTCTAGCTCTACTACACATGTAACTGCCAACAAATTAACAATATACAAATTATGTAGGAAAAGGAGAAGAAGATCGATGAAAAGGAACAAGGGGGAAGAGCTAGGAGAAGAAGAAAGAAGAATGAGATGAAGTAAAGAAAGGAGAGGAATGTATTCCAGATGTTGAACACACAACCACTTAACCACTGATTATCCTACATAAATAATGACTTCAATAATTTGTGAAATGAAATGTCTATCACAAGTCGATGCACTAGTGCCCTTTGGTAAGGCATTAATCCTCATTACCAGGTCACACGGAGAGGACCTCAAGCCGTCAGCCGTCTGGTTGCTTACTATTTACCAACAAGCATTTATGCTTTCTTAGCAGCCAGGTAAAATAACCACCACCACATAATCTTATTGTTTGCCCATTCAGGATGTCTTCTTGATGATCAAGCGTCAGAAGACGACCATCTTCACGGACGCCAAGGAGACAAACACAGTGTTTGAGCTGAAGCGAATCATCGAGGGCATCACAAAGAGGGGGCCAGAGGACCAGCAGTTGTACAAGGATGGAGACACGCTTGACGATACCAAGACGCTGGGAGACTGTGGATTGACGAGCAATACAGCCAAGGCACAGGCTCCGGCCATGTTGGGGCTTGCCTTCAGAGAATGTAAGAGTTGCTCGCCAGGGCTTGTCACTTTCATTGATCATTTTGCTAAATATGATGTAAAAAGTTTTTTCCAGCTAGTGCAGTTTTTCTAAAGAAATTAAACACACTTTCAGTTAATATTAACTATTTACTTCATATTTTTATAAGTTAGAGTTAGCCTTCTCTTTCACTCTGTTAAACTTCTCTTTCCCTCTGTTAAACTTTCTCCCCCATAGGAAGTTGAAGTCATTTTTTCCCCTTTTATTTTCAGTCTCAAGAATTGTAAGATATCAAATACCTTGATCATAGTATTCAATAGGTAAAGCCAAGTGAGAAGATTTAGTTTCTTATAACATATATTCCCAATGCCATGAGATTGTTCCTACTTCTTGGGTGCCGATCTTTTTATGCCTCTGGTTTCTGCTTATGTATGAGGTCTAAATAATCTTCATTAATCTGAATCATCTATTCACTCAAACCTGAGCACCAAAATATCCCCCACAATATGCCCCACAATATGCCCCACATTCTCTTATTGATGTACATTCTTTGATTACTATCTTCCTATCTGCAGGTGAAGGGGCTGACTTTGAGCAACTAAACATCACTCCCTACTCAAACCCCCCGGAGCTACCCGACGTCATGAAGCCTACAGATTCCACAACCAACACTGTAGATCAACCAGTCCAATAGATAAGCAAATCCTTGCTCATTTTGATTCTTTCCCCTAGACCGTAGTGACGTTGTGGTTGACATGTCTACTTTGTCAAGGTTTCTTACCACAGTAGCTACAAACCATGATTCATATACAGTTGAACCTGTGTTAGTGGCCAACTCTCTATAAAGGCCACCTGTCTATACTGACCATGCATCTTGACTCACTGTAGAGAAAAAGGTGTGTTGTAGAACCTGTCTAGAAAGGTCACCTGTCTACAGTGGCCACCTTTTCTGCTTCCCTTGGGTGGCCTTTATGTACAGGTTTGACTGTACATGTACTTTACAACCTGAAACTATGCTCGCACGAAACTTTCTAATATTCCATGATTAGCTCAGATGAGATTTGTGAAAGTTTCATGCTGCCAAATGATCGAATACCAGGGGGCGTTTCACAAAACTTGTCATCAGTGACAATTGACAGTTTTTGTTATACGCTACTGAAATCCTTGCTCCTGATTGGTTATCATCAGATTTGTCACTGATTTTTGTCACTTGTCATTTAAAAAAAAAAAGGCTTTGTGAAATGCCCCCCTTAACATGAAGTTTGTGCAAGTCTTTTGCCTTGACAAAGACTCTTATAAATGATTCACAAAAGTGTCCACTAGATAAGCATAGTGTGAGAATAGTCAAACTTTAGTTCTCCTTCCTTGAAGATAGTTATCTACCTGGGCGCTGTTTCATGAAACCATCATAATTACAAGTTCACCGACATCCCATTAAAACTTGTGTAAATTTAATACATGCGTCTTAAAGGGTTGTCAGAGAACTTGTACTTATGACAGTTTCATGTAACCCTGCCTTGGTGACATTTGCTTTTTTTACCCATAGGTCAAACTACCTTTTAAAGCTTGTGAATTAAATGCTGAACACAGAGATTAAACTCTGTACTGCACACGTTGCTCTAGTTACTGTACTTTAGTATGCAGAGAAATATGTATTTAAATGACAATAAGATTGCTATCGCTATGTGTGTCCTACAATTACAGGTACCACCATGATGGTAGTTAACTACTAGTTATATCAATTTCTATCAGATTAGTAAATTCATGTAAGAAGCTACGTGACAGGTCTCTTGTCAGGCTACAATTGGTCGATACTGTGGAATCTCTCTGTATAGCTCATTAAGAAGAATAGCAATGAAAGGATATCCATTAAAAAACATTGCATTTGCTTTGTTTTGCGTATGGAAGGTCAGTAAATGCACTTTTGACGTGAGGCATACATGTATATGAAATGCTAATTAATGCATGTGAATAACCTCACATTGTTAGCATTATGACTACAGTAGTAATGATTATTATGAACTATGTTACACAGAACCTGAGCAAAGAGATTATTTTCCAGTCTAGAATTATTGATTTTTAGTGTTTTGTTTGTCTGTTTGTTTGCATATTATTTTTGAGAGTAGATATGATATGTTTGCATTTTTTTTTTAAATTGTGTACCGTTAGCCCATGCATCAGTATGCATTGTAATGTGCAGGGTGCTTCTTTACTCTGATTACAGTATAGACTCTAGATCTATTTATTTGTAGAGATTTGTAGGATTTTAAAATGGTTTCATTGTAATCAACAAATGGTTCTACTTAACAAGAGCACATCTGAATAACTAAAGGTTTTATATTAATATTTATATCTGTATTTCAGCAAGTGCATGGAAATCTGCTGGTACATGTATCTCATTTCTTACTGGCAATAGCAATTTAGCAAGCATACGTTTCATACAATTTACAATTGCACAAGTTGTATTTTGTTATTTGTGTTGAAATTTCTTTTTATGCAGTGCCTGTTCAAATGGCATAATTAAGAGATTTAAATAACACAATTTTTGTACAATCTGTTATGAATACCACACATATTATGCAGTAGAAGTACCTTTTTTCATTTTCCACAATGTACATGTACATACCAGTATGCTATAACTAGTCGCCTTCATTATGAACTGACATATTCGTCATATATACATGTATAACATGGATTTGATGGTTCGAAATAAGCGGGTAAACGTTTTAAGGCTCTGTAAAATGATTGGAATACATGGTTCTATCTAAGTATGTATGCATTTACATGTAGGAACGCATCAAAATGTAATCTTTGTACAAGTTTGTTTCTGTCGTGTGCTGTAAAACCATGGTGAAATGGTGATGGCATTCCTTTGATTAAACTTGTGGAGAGGTATTCTGAAAACGATTATATCATTTATTATAGAGAGAAGAGAAATAGTTTAATTGTCTTAACAAATCTAAGTTATGAAGAGGCAATAGTAAATAATGACTGGCGTAGGTGGCTGCGGACTTGAAAAGCTCATAGAACATTTTTAAAAACATCAATGAAAAGGTGCATTTGAATTTGTTGTGACAATTCAACCTCTTCTCTAAAATAGGAAATAAAATAGTTTTGATAATTAATACCACCTCTAATAAAAGTATTGATTCAGTACAGCCCCTATATCAATAGTCTATTTAAGAGCTAATCCAAGTCACGTTATCCTTAGATTATCTGTCAGGTGTGGGGCTGACAAGACCTCTGTCGTCAACTTCAATTTCATCTTTTAATTGAGAGAGAGGGACACGTATATTAATGACTCACATGCTAGCTATTGATGTAGTTTGATAATAGCCTGTGGTTAATATTGTACAGAATCTTGAAAAAATGTTTGTACATTTCCTGATAATGAAGCAAAAATGAACTTACGTTACACTAATGTACAGTTGCCTGAAGATTTTCCCTTCTGGTAAAGATAATATTTACATTGTACAAAACTACAAATAAATAAGTGTTGCTTACAGCGATTCTGGTTTGGTATACCTATATTTTTAGATACTTTTAACATAAATAATAAATATCAATTAAATTGATATACCAAGACTTTCACATAAAAGGAACATACAAAATAATTTAATGTATTATAAATGTGTAATTTGGACATGTGATAATCAAAAATATCTGTTAAGTTTGTATCTATTTCTGTGATTTATTTTTCTTCATTTTGTAGATTGGAATAAAAACATTTATTTCAAAATGTATTCAGATGTATTTTGCTTTCCTCTTTCTCTTCCACATTTAATTCTTGGCTTTAATAGCCGCCTACAAATTAGCTACATGTATATGGGGGAGAAAATGTAAAAAGAAAGAGAGAAAGAGAGAGAGAGAGAGGAAAGAAAGGGAAAAGGGTGAAAGGACAAAACTCATGAATCACCTCCCGCACCCCCTAATCAGTAGTATTGTACATTTGCACTTTTTTTTAAGTAGGACTGATGCTCCCACTCCAATGGTTCATTGCCCCCTCATTGCTATACCCCAGCTATATAAGTACTGTACACATCCCCAAAACAGCTGATGCAGTGTGGGAAAAAACAAGACAATTGCAACTGCGTCTCCTATATATAGTATATGTGCCTCCACCCTAAATTCAGTATAGGAAGTGGAAGAAATTATTCATGACATATCACAATGAAAACAGAATATTTCACCCCCTCCCCCACCAGCATGAGTGGATCCAGCCAATGTCTTTCCTTTTAGTATCTCATCTCATAGTCACAAATTTGTCTCTTTCTTTTTCTTTTTAATTAACATCAAGATCAGGTCTCCATCCAATCATTTCTTTCGCAGCATCTTACCTCAACAGAGGACATGAAATAATACAAGCACACAAATCCACTTGCCTTTATGTATCATACAATTTAATTCACCATCACGTCAGATGTTCGATGGCTTTTATAATCACCTGCAGGATGATGACAGTGCATTAAGCCCAACACACACACACACACATACTCTACAATCCTCCTGTGATATGATTTATGAAGAAATCGCAAAATCATAGATGTGAATTCTTCCTGGTTAATGTTCCCCATGGTCATTTGAACAAAATTAAATTGACATTCTGGGGATATAGTGGGCCTAGAAGTCAGAGAAAAAGCATGATTATCAGCTTCCAATCACAGTTTAATGTCACTACATATGGCAGTCAAATGGACTTTATCCCTAACCAGAATGACCACAAAACACAGCCATTTTGATTTACTAATTACATAACTATTAGAAAACTTCAACCAGGAATTTTTACATTTAGTTTCTAATATCAGATGATTACCGGTATGCAATTTCTTCCACAGAGGAATTGCAGTGGGATCATGTTGTGGTACGCTTCATTCATTCACATACCATCATTTGTGTAATCGTACTTCATCCACGTCTATGTACATATAAAACAAGAGAAAATATAATACATTATAGCATGCAAAGCATTCAGTTTTAAAATGAGAAATGAGAATTTTGTTCACAATTGAGAATAATTCCTGATTATTGAGCTGACAAGTATGAGCAGCTCCAGTATTCTGACAATTTATTATGAAAGCATCAGCCTTCTTCATTCATGCAAATCGCCAATAAGTCTGTACTATTAAAATATCATGCATTTCTCTTTATATTTATTCCAAAGAAACCAAAATGGTATTCATGCCATTGCTATTAACCAAGCGAAGATGGGTCTATCCAAACTCTGACCATACATTCAACCTAAAACATCATGCAGATAAATGCCAGTACAGCAATCGTAGCATAAAATTCCAAACCAAGCAAATTCGGCATAAATTAATTCATAAGGTCTCATCTCATCAGATCTCAGAAAGTACAAAACATCGCAAGCCAATACGGCATTAAATTGTTTGTCTATCTGATGCCTATGAAGTAACCGATCACTGTGACAAAATGCCCAAACAAGACCCATTTACCTATCGCCATTTCGGGCCGAGGTCTATGAAAAATGGGTGATATTCCAAAATCGAATTATTTTCAAAAGTTTAGAATAGTAATATGTGTATAGCTACTGTACAATAATTTACATAGATATTAATCTTGAGACTCCAATTTATTCATTGAAATTTATAATTCTAAGTAATATACATTATAATTACAATATGTACATTTCAAAGTTATTACATATCTCAGTTTACACATCACAGTCTTTACTGTTTCTACAAACAATTAAATGTGTTAAAGTCTTTATATACAATTGCCATATCTTACAAAGATCAAGCTCTGACATTTTGCGAAACAAACAATTTCTTACACTAATTTTATCTGTTTTCTTTTAACAATTCATGAAGGCAGAAAGAGAAGGTACACTATGATCCAATTAGGATAATTAGCGATACATGTATAATACAAATTGAACATTTATACATGATAAAATTTATCTAATATCTACCTTAACCTACACATATCTTCTCAGGTGCATTCTAAAGACATATAATTATGTACAGTTATTGCTCTTAAAGTTTTGTACATGCCTCTACTTGAATGAAACAAATCCGTAGGTTCACAGCTCATTCTTGCCTGGTAAGTTTCTAGAATTAAAAGATTTCATATGTATTTACAGAAAATGTATGAAAAATATACAGGAAACTGTTTAAAAAAAATGTATAGTAGGCAGTCTGTTCACAAACAGCATTAGAAGAAGAAGAAGAATGTTATAATTGTTTGATCTTTAAGCAGAGAAAGAATTGGAGATTTTGTACAAATGGTTGTTACTGCTTTTCATAAAACATTCAAACAATACACTGCTCTCCACACTTGTCATATAGCCCAAGTTCTGTACATTGAGATACATATCAACAGGTAAAATCTAAAGGGGCATTAATTGTAATCCTGAAAGGAATGATAACAATTACCTTTCTGGCTTGTAGCAGATGGGTAAACTATACACTTCTATTATCTATCTTTTTATATTCTATCTGCACATTCAAATTTGCATAACCCTACACTACAAGCTCAGTTGTATTTATCGCTTGCTAATTCTCATCTTCCAGCACATGTGTAATGTATTTGAAGCCATATTCAGTGTTCAGAATGTTGCTCCAAGATTCCTGAAGACAGCGCTTCCTGGAACTGGGAAATCTTGGGTGTGTCTATCGTTTGGTACTCCTGGTCTTCCTGCATGTGACTGTACCATACTTGAGACCACAGCTAGCTTTCACTTCATCTTCAGAGGAGGACGTAGAGGGCACCCTAGCTGATGCTCTCGCTGCGGTACGGCTGAACTTGCCCTTTGGAGTGTTGCTCCAAGATTCCTGGAGAGGGCGCTTCATGGAGCTGGAAGGTAAAGGAGACAAATGCACATTGGACCGTGAGGAAAAGGGAATGCTTGTATTGGGACCGAGATATGTAGAAACGTGTGCACATAAGACAGGGATAAAAGAAAGAGCATCCAAAGTTATTCTGATGTTATCTATTTCATTGTATTAAAATCTTTACGGGAAGTAACAATAGCATAAAGAATGAAAAAGACTTGTCCTAGAGACCCCAGAGGTCTGTATTTGAAATGTCTACAAACGATATCACATATTCATTATAGAAAGATATTTGATCATAATTACACAGGCAATGATTGATTACTTCCTCTGTTATTGTTTTTCATGATTTACCTGATCTCTGATACACTTATGACAAGAAATTCAACTTAATCAAGTGGAGACAGATTTCTAATTTCATTCCCAAATAATACATTAAATACAATCAGCTTACACAGTCAAACCCGTCTATAGCGACCGCCCAAGGGAAACACAAAAAGGGTCTTTGTAGACAGGTTCCTTTAGTACATGTTTCAATCAGAAACCTATTGCAAGGTAAACCAAAATGTGGTCTCTGCAGACGGGTGGTCACCAAAGCAGGTTTGACTGTAAATGTAACCAAAGAGATATAAATACACTCTTAACACATACCTCCTTGTGGATCTCTTATGTACGAGAGGGGTCGTGCTCTGGGTACTAGGGGTCCTCTTGACCAACGTCACAGGTGGTGGAGGGGGCATGGTGGTGGTGCCACGCCCACTGTCTCCCGCGACGCTCACACTGTCCCCCACGGTGCTTCCGCTGGTATCCAGCTGGCACGCGGAGCTGCTCCTGGAGGAGCCACCGGAGGCGTAGTTTCCCTGGAGGCACATCAGCTCCACGCTACGGTCTCCCAGGGAGGCGATGTAAACGGCCCCGGGGGTGATGGCCGGGCCGACGAAGCGAGGGTTGGCCTGGCTCAGGAATGTTCGGTTCCCTTCACTGGGGGTATAGACAAACACATCAACAGAAATGGAATAAAGATTCATAGTTTTACGACACTTGCACTAAGTAGCGTCCCAACTTAACCTTGGACCCAATAGTACACCTATCCCTACTCTACATCTACTATACACCAATAGCAAGTTCATCTCACCCAGGCCTGACCGCACCTTTATCTTTGACAAAATAAATTGAATTTAAATGGTTTATTAATCAAAATTCAGTCCAGCCAATGGCTGAATTGATACCGGTAAGTCTGTAGTAATGTTTGTCAACAGAGAACATGCCAGATCAACAAATCTTTAGATGTACGATACCTGGAAATGAAAATTCACTTAATAACACAATATGTAGCACAGAGACAAAGGACAAATTATCAAGTCCAATAAAATGTATTATTCTTTTGTTGCATACTACAATATGTGCCCTCTAATTTATCTTTTTTACAAACATCAGGAATGCCAGTTAGAATTGATCAGAGGGCCTGGACATCACCTAGAATGAGCTATTTTGTACACAAAAAAGCCTAAACTATGGTCTGAAAATAACTCGTCAGGGACTGAAAATTGGCATCCCTGATACATGGATAATCTTCAATTAAAGATGAACGCCAATTTAAAGATGACAAACCTCTCTGGTTCAGCGGTGTGCTTGATCTCACAGACCTCTACAGAGTTGAAATGGGCCATATAGAGGTATGGCTGACGATAGGTGAATGCCAACGGCAGTCTGGACCATTTCATGTCGTCAGGTCTTGACCTTCGACCTTTACTATCAACAAAGATGCCAAACTCTGGAAAAAATAGATAAGACAAGTGATGAAATCTTTTCTTTCTTAATATGATAAAACACTGGGCAAGATAAGAATTTCCAAAGCTAACAGCAGGCTAGGTTTTTTCAGGTCTCAACCCTTGATATACTGACTAACTATGGTTTGAGAGAACAAACTATAACATTTCAGTGTTTTTCATTGTTTTCTAACATTTCATTTCCCGACATTCAAGATATCAAGGATATGTTAAAGCTTTCCGGCCCAAATTTACTTTGCTGACCCATTTCGTAAGCATGCTATCTAAAGAACAGACTGAACAATATTCCAAGAAGTTGATGAAAATAGTTACCATGGAAACAGAGTAGGAATTCTTGTGGCTCTCCATCCGGTGCTACCTGTATGGCTGCGATTGGGAAGCTATCAAGCTGAGATGCTCCATACACAGCAAACGCTAGGCTGGTATCGGTCGACTCCAGAAACTCTGCAACAAGTATTAAATCAATGTCTCGTTTTACATCATGGAGAAAAAGATGTACTTTTTTCCTGTAAATGAACTTCTAGAAATGGTTTCCGTATAAGAAGGGCAGCTCATAATGGCACAGACTCCCGTGGTAGATATAATTTTCTTTAATCAAGATTTGGAAGAAAAAGAAATAGTCTTAGCAGAAACTCTATGTAAAGTAAATCAGTGTGTTGTTTTATATCATGGAGATACAGATGTACTTCAAAAGAAAAATATTGAAATGAAAGATGACGTTAAAAGTAATAAATAAAGTTACAAAAGTGAAAAAATAATAATTTTCCTGTAAATGAACTTCTAGAAATGGTTTCTACATAAGAAGGGCAGCTCATTATGGCACAGACTCCCAGGATAAATATGATTCTATTTAATCTTGATTTGGAAGGAAAAAAATATAGTCAAAACACAAGACTTACCATCAATCTTGAAATCTTTCAGTTCTATCTCATAGAAACGGTCTGTCCCTGCAAGGATACTGGCTTCCGTGAAGAGCAGACAGCTTGAAGGCTCTGCTGTCTGAATCTCCTACAAAACACAGAAATTATCAAGAGCAATTAATATTTTGAGGAGTCAACAACAGAAGTGGAGGGAGATCTTTATTATAATACATCAAATGATATTCTTTGATGTATTGAGCATTGTTTGGTAAAGTTCATGGCTTCAGTTAAGGCTTTCCTTTATTATGGATGAACAATGTTTTTCTTGGTGTAGGTCCAAACTAATAATCTTCTTTTTTTTAATTAACAACCTTTGCTCTGGGATATACTTTGTCAAATATACAGGATCAGGGCTTGGGTTGCGATTGGGTTCTAGACTGGATTGAAAGGTTTGATTTAGGCTTAAAGGCCAAGTCCACTCCCAAAAAACTTGTTCTATAGTTTGACATCCTTTTTTTAAAAATTCATAACTTTCTTATTAGTTATCCGATTTTGCTCAAACTTTTTTTGATTGGTTTGTCTGATGCTTCTGCTTCTATTAAAAGTAATTTATTTGTGGAATGGACTTACCCCTTAAGAAAAATGTTTGGTCAGGTGTTGCAGTAAAGGATTTGGTTAGTATCGGATATAAATGGCAGAGTAATTGTTGCTGAAGCATGTGTCGTATAATCAATATTTCAACAATTATTAAAAAGATGTACCTTTCTGACACAGAACTTGGAGAGTCCTTCGCTGTATTTGAGGATGCTAATCTTGGTAGGCATGGCAGCACACAGGTAGAACGATCCATCTACCTTCCCACAAGCAAACAGGTGACATGACTGTATGAGATAAAAGATGGACCATCAACAAGTGAGGGTTTCGATTGTAGGGTCATAGAGAATGGAAGGAGAGAATAACCCAGGAGCTGGCATTTGCATGGTACTTGGTTGGGTAATCCCTTTGGCAGCTCACTCAGGGAGCTATACTTGAATGGTAGGTGAGGCAAGTAACTGCCATGAAGTGCAGAAATGGTGTGTGGACAAAGCACTTGTTAATTTACAGTAAAATATGCTATGTCTAGTGCAAGTAAAGTTATACTATGTGAGAGCCTACAGGGGGCTGCATAATTCTGATGAAGGGTAGAGCAGCCTCCTTGAAGTACCGGTAGGAAGTTCCTTTTGCATTGACTGCTGAGCTTGGTAGATGGTTCCAGATACTTATTTTTCTTTGATAGTAGGAAAGTTAATAGTTGCATCAGAAATTACATACTTCAGGTTGTGGTCGTGTCTTCCAAAGTATCATCAAGTTTGTATTTACAGCCCATTCGCAGAATCAAAAGAAAATGTAGAGAAATGATATTTTACTTGACATGACATTCACATACGTTGGATATGAAAGTGTAAGATGAGGGTGATACTTACATGGATGTCTTCAATGCTGGTGTAATCAACTGAGACATCGCTGATGCTGGCTTGACTGCTCATAGTCCTCAAGTGCTTCAAGTCTACGATACACAAATTCCTCTCAGGACCTGCAAAAATAAGCAACATCAGGAAAAGGAAAAGATAGTTGCTATTATTACAAGAGACGTTTACCTTTGTATTTAAGTTGCCTACAATAAAAGCATGAAAATTAAAGAAACAGATCAGTGAACATTTGAGGAAAATCTGATAAAGGATAGGCAAGTTAAGAAGATTATTCAAAGTTGCATCAATCTCACACAAATTGGCAACCCTATAATTTCCCTTGCAACCAGCCCCCCCCCCCCCCCCCCCCCCATTTGTTTTGTCTCTCCAAACTTCACATGTGTCCATTTTTCTCCCAAAAAAATATTGTGAAATAGATGTGTCTCAGACATATAATTTGACAAATGCTTTTAAGTATCTGTGTTTTTTAAAAGTTGCAACTTGTCTGGATTAATCAAAAGTCCTTCCATCAACCAAAAACTACTATGCACAATTGATATCAAACTCAAGCTGAGTCGCAACAAACCAGTTTACTAACAGATTCAAATTTGATGTTTACTTTTTAAACAACGGTTGTTCTTGACAACTTGAAAGCTTGTCCGAGACTTGCTCAACATAGCTACAAGTAATATATGCAGACTGGATTACGAGTATTGTAGTTCATTCATCAATAACAAGTTAATGGAATAACTCGTCACTAGGTCCCCAGGAAAGAATCATCCATAAATTTGAATACATAAGTAAATCGGTCTATTGCAACTCTTTTCTAGGCAGGGGTTGGTTGGAGACGGAGTACTTGACTGACCTATGATCATGACTGCTAGCATTAGCTGAGTGATTATATGCATCTGGAAGACGCTGCTCACCCCTCCTATCTGAGAAAGTGGTTTCTTCCGATCCATTAACAGCATTGTGTAGAGTCCCTCCTCAGCTCCAATCAGAAGCATCTATTCAGGAGAAGAGGGTGTTTCAGAAGTAATCATCAATTCATGTATCAACTGTATAAAAAACATCCAACAATAATTATACATACAAGATCATTCTCCACTCGCTGACTCAAAATGTAATTTGATATATTATATTTTGCCTTCTCATCCCTTTTTCCTCTTTAACGCGCATTTCTCTTTCCTTATCTTCTTCTCAATCCCACATGCAGCTCATCATTTTGTATTACTTTCTGTACCCTCGATCTCTCACTTCTTTTTGTCATTGTCTACTCTTTGTATTATGACCGTGTTCTTCTATCTTTGTCGTGTAAAGTATTGTCTTGTCCCTTTCTCGTCTCTGTTGGCATCCCCCTTTTTCTTTCCCCTATTTTGTAGTTCCTATTGTAGTTACAGATTAGTTAACTGAATTACTCATTATTCCTAAGTATCATTTGAGGTGTTCGCACTTGTACAAGCATTGCTTTTTAGTGGACCCCTCTGTTTCCAACATGTTTTTCTTACATTTGTTTTAAATGCTTATAATTGATTTGTAATGTTTTGTTGGAAACATGAATAAATTTGAAATCTTGAATCTTGAAATCTACATACTGTACCTGCCAACCATCATTATTCATGGCAAAAATTAGGAATCTCTCAAAGCAGACTTAGGAAAACAGTCTACTCTGTATACTGATAACACAGAATTGTTTAGAAAGAGATAAAGTAGGACCCATTCCTCCGAATTGGAAGACAGCTAGGATTATATTCCACCTGAAGTAAATTTGGTTAATTGACGAAATATAGCAAAAATTAATGCAACTGATTAACAATGCAGTGCACTTGTTCATTTCGAGTATTCCATCAGCTTAGTTAATAGTTTTGGAAAAGAGAAGAAAAAAAAAGGAATCATCATAAACCTTTAATGAATCCTCAATGATTAAAATCAAGGATTTAAATCAAGTATACTTTAAACATTAAGAAAGTATCACCATGCTGAATTGTTAGCTTTGATTTCCTTGTGTTTTAAAGTTAGAATAACTCTTTTCTTACATTATCACTGATAAGGAGAGTGCAGTTGATGTCCAGCCGGTTCTCTTGGTTGAGTTTGAGGAGCGTGTTGCCAATCAGTCTAGCTTGATCTCTCACTGATCCACCAGGACCAGCATTACGACCTCGGATGCTGGCCACCTCAAGACCAACCTAGAGACAAATCATCAGACCATCATGTACATACAGTTAACAACTAAATTATCCATACCTTACGAAATTTGGGGGATTTTTTTAAATATGTGAAATTTTAGTTTGTCCTGATTTATGTTTCTCGAGAATGTGACAAGTGTGAGAATTATTTTGCATGAATCTTTATTTATTCCTTTTTTATTCTCATTTACTAGAGCCCCTTTAGAGCTTTCTAGAGCTATATCGTTCACTAATCCCACATACTTTTCCCCAATGTGTTACGCATTATCTAATGCTGCACTCAGAAAGCATATTCTACGTTGTTTCATTTGTGATGAGATTCCATTCAGAGTAAATACATTGCTTGTGTTATGAAAATAAAAGATTGTGAGACCGTGAACTCACCATCCACTGCTGTTTATCTTGGAAGCTCGGGGCCATGAGATAGAGAGTCTTGGTGTCTGGCCAACAGGTGGTCACCGGCCGTGATTCCAGATGGAACACGAACGGTAGATCACTGGATGCTGTATTGGGTAGCTCCGTGGCAGACACACCAGCATGGACAGTCACTATAGCATCTTCAGGACAGAGGCTGTACTCCAGGAAAGGAGAACCACAACCTAAGAGAGACAAGGAGAACAAACATCAGTAGGTTGTTTGCCGGTGTCTAAGGTAGATCTTTAACATTAAAGCCCATCTGCACTAGTTTGGCCAGGGGGGATTAGACCTCCCTGCAAGGTCACTGACAGGTGGTTATCTCATCAAATCAGCTCTCAATTAACAGAAGAAAAAGGGGATCATGGGGGACCAAAAGGCACCGATTAGGCATTGTTTGATATATAGAGGGCGCAAGTAGCTATAAGTAGTGCAGTGGGGCTTTAAACGAAAGTTAAGAGACACCATGAAATACTTTTGATGTTTGGATCACTTTCTCTCTAAATATCTTCTCAACATTTAAAATTTGTTGGGGACATAAGAAGGTAACAAATCTAGACCCAAATTAGGCAATGATTACTTCCCTTCTCATTCTGAGAAAGAAGACATACATGAAATGTTTTCACACCATAGCAAAACAAAAATTCAGAAAGGAAGTACATGTGCACCTATCATAAATTCACAATAGCTATTTACAAGATATAATATTTTGATGATTTATGAATGAAAAAAGTGATAGATATTGATTACTTCTATGTGTATGCCATTCATTATCTTCTTGGAAGTCAGAGAGACTATGACAAATTTTTCATAGAATATACCTGGGCCCTGTTTCATAAACTTGTTATCAATAAGAAATGCTAAACTTCTATGACAAATTAGCTCTCCACCAATCAGACGCCATGATTTCAGTAGCTTATAACAGTTATGGTAATTTGTCCTTGATAACAAGTTTTATGAAACAGGGCCCTGATATAGTATACCAAAGAGATTATAAAAACAAGACAAACCTGAGGAGTTCTCCTTGTCAAACAGACTCAGCATGGTTCCTTCCAAACAACACCACTTCTTCTCCCAACCTTGCTTGTTCATCCTGGAAAATAAAAAAGGGTGTGAACTCAACTGCATTGTCACAGAATATGAGGCAACTACACCTTCATTAAGTGGACGTTGTGCAAATTTTTGTGAAGACATCATACCTGCCAACCTTTGAACAGCTAAAATTAGGAATCCCTCAAGGCAAAATTAGGAATACAGTCTATTTTATATATTTTTCACACAGAATATTTCAGAAAAAGAGAGTTCTCTAGGGTTCAAAACAAAAGCTTGAAGGTAAAAAAAAAGGAATCATTCCTCCAAAATAGGAATTGTTGGCCTGATTTTTGTTGTTTATTCATGTATCTACCTAATTTTTTAAACTTTATTTCATTTTTTGCTTAGGTGAGATGTTCCACGGCATTGCTCATTACATTAAGTAATGCCTGCCAATCTGAAACCTGCAATGGATTAATGACAACATACTACATACCTTATCAAAGGAAAATAACAAATGATGTAATATCCCCACAGGAATTAACTCCAGTCTGTCTTCAAGTTCCTTTCATTTCAGGCCCAGAAATGATTTCATTCGATCAACAATATCTACAGTTCCTTCCTTCCTTCCTTGCCTATTGGGATCAATCGATATACAGCCAAAACTGCTTTAGTGACCACCTGTCTTCAAAGACCACAGTTTTTGTTTCCCTTGAAAAATGGTTTCTCATTGAAACATGTACTAGAGGAACCTGTCTACAAAGACCACTTTTTGTGTTTCCCTTGGGCGGTCTCTATAGACAGGTTTGACTGTACTTACCTTGGTGTTTTCATCCATCCCTGTATCTGGTTGCCACACACCATAGGCTCCTGGCCGAACGAAGTCAAGGACGAAGCGGTCGACGACACCACCGACGAAGCAGTGGACGATGACGAGGAGACGGACCTGGTCGATGGAGATGGGCCGTCCATGGCCTGCTTGAAGTGCCTCATGAACTGGAACGGAAGACCGCAGGTGTGGGGTAGACAGTGGGCACACTTGGGATGGCAGATCAGGTGACATTCTATTAAAAAGACAGAGGGACATCAAATTCAAGAAAATCATCTTTTCATGAAGATGCTCAGGAGGAGCTTTTAGTCAAACAATCAGATCGTAATGATTTTTAAAGTTCTGTACTATTGACAAAATTGTGATGTTACAATCCTGTAAAACCTTCAAAATGTTGAATTCCATAACTTAACTGAAAATAAAACAAGCAATTAAAAGTGTGGTAGTACATTCAAATGTTTTTCTTGATACAACACACATTTACAGAACATCAGTCAAAGATTTTTTTAAATTCACTCAAGAGAGCTCTTTTGGGATTTGCCAATAGTGAGAGAAATATTACTTAAAGCTTATCTGCCATAGTTTACAGGAGGGATTAGAGCGCCCTGCAAGGTCACTGGACAGGTGGTTATCTCATCAACTCAGCTCTCAGTTAACATAAGAAAAAGAGGATCATGGGGGACCAATGGTCACCGATTAGGCATTGTTTGTTATATAGAGGGCGCAAGTAGCTACAAGTAGTGCAGTAGGCCTTTAATGAGAATTCTTACATTTTTTTTAAAGCCAGTTTTCCAGAATTGAATTACTCATTACTCTTACTATTTTTGTGATGACTTTGGCACAAGCTTTTGCTCCACTTATGTGAACATTACAATGAAATTTACTTTTTTTATAAATAATCTAATGTTTGCATTACTTTGCTAATACCGTTGTTATCATTTGCAAAGTTTAGTGTGAAAACACTCAGGAAGAGAAACAAATCATGTAAATCAAATCCAATGAACGGTAACTCACCCTGACACTTTGCAACCTGGCGTCCAAAATGAATCGTATCAGCACAAGCAGAGCACTTGGTACCCCTCATGCTAAGCCCAATCGTGAACCGATGGGGTATATTGTGCTTCATGCGTTCTTTGAGTCTCTTCATCGTCCCCTTGCCAGTGGCCAGGGCCTTGTTGCGCTTGTCCCCTGGTGTGGGTAAGATGAGGCTGGACGGGCTTGACCGATGACCGGGGGACTGGACAATGGCCGAGATGAGGTTGGCGCTGGCTGTCTGGGTGAAGACCGGGGTGGACGGCTGTTCTGGGATGCTCATCGTTGAGCCGAATTCAGAATTGCTACAATTGGTCACCGCTACAAGAAAGAGCAAAAAAATCAATCCAATCAATATGAATATACATTTGGAGTACATGTATATAGGATGCATATGTGCACAAATATATAAAACATCAGGCCAATTCAAAATATAGAATAACGTTCATTTCATGTCATATCTACATATGTTTAAAAGGTTATACAATATCTATATGAACAATGTGAGCAAATCAAATTTAGATTGGTCATTGAAATTGACATTCATTAAAAACTGAAACAGATTGGAAAATATGGACAGCCAATCATGCCAGCAGTCCCAGTAACTAGAGTCCTAAAATGGCTAACCATATTGTTTTTGCTACCGGTAATCAATTGACAGGTTCATGTATCCATAACTGAATTTGATTTGGGGCAGTTACCTCTTAGCTTAGCTGCTTGCAAGTCGGATCTTGCTTCGTTCAGGGCTTTCTGAAGCTCCCACGCTCGGCTCTTCTCAGCATCTAACTTCTGCTGAAGCTCTTTCACCTGATCATACAAGAAAGTCAATCCAACCTGTTTAAACACTGAAGTAGACTACTTGTTGTTTCCTCGTATCACATACACTGTACAGCCTAGGCCAGAAGGGTGTTTAATCAATTTTAAATGATATGAGTTAATGCTTAGATAATACAGAAGAGAACAAAAGGCTCGTTCACATCTGATGCAGCAAAACTGCAGCAATTTAAAAATTAAAAAAAAAAAAAAATCTATATTGATCTAAAGCTTCGCATTCTGTATCTTAAAACACAGAACTCAGTTAATATTCACAGAACCTTTGTTGCGGGCAGTTGCCTTTCATTTACACATCAAGAAACTGCTACTTTTGTTCATTAAGAAGTATTCTTTTAAAGTATAAACAATTTATATATATATATATATATATATATATATATTCAAATACACCTTGCTAAAAAAAAAATTACTTTCAGAATATGGTCTTGGGAATAGATGAGATGACTGACCTGCATAGAGACCGAAACACCAGCAATCCCTGTGCCTCTATTATCTCTGAGATGAGGAGGAGGAGGTGGTGCCGTCTTGCCAAACAGACGTCCTCTCTTCTTCTTGGGCGGGGCATCTACCTTGGCTTGTAGGAAATCAATCAGTTTGGTCTGCTGGGCCGAGGTGCCATCAAATTTGATTCTCTCATGCTGATGATGGATCTAAAACACATAAATGCCAAGAATTTTTTGTGATATATTCCTGAGATTTCATGGAAAGATGTGGTGAAGAAGGAAAACAGTGTGGTTTGTCTAAATGAAGAGATTGCTTGAGACAAGAAAAGGTGGAGGAAGGGTGAACTGTACAAACAAATACCTGTATATGAACAAAGTCCTATGAATAATATTAAGAACGATAATAATTGCAATTTACAAAGCACCTTTTCCACTGGATACAGAGCGCTTTGCAATACCATCCATGAGTCAGTGTTAGAGTTAAAATGTATACAAGTTACCAAGCGGTAATAGTGTGAGTTCAATTAATGCATATGGTTTCAGAAAAGATATATGTCTTCAAACTTCTTAAATCAAAGATAGCCCAGTGAGATTAATTTGGAGTTAAATGGAGGGAGGGGTGTAGAAAGGGTCATACATGAAGGGGGGAATCCTCATTTAAATCTTGGTAATTTAAATCACAGGAGGTTACAGCATTGATCAAGAAGTGCATTTTGGAGAAGCATCATCAAAGAGTATCAGAGCCCCATCTTATAAAGAGTTGCAATTAATCGCAACTTATTTGCGATTGGCAGCAATCGCAAGTATGTATATTTAAAAAAGTTCAAGACCCACCTCTTGACTCTCCATGTGGCTCTCCAGTTCTTGCTTTTGCTCTTTAATGTATTCTCCTTTCGAAAGCGCTTCCTCCAAGGCCTGCGTCAGCTGGAAGTTGATGCTCTTACTCTCCTTCAGTTTCTCCTCCAAGTCTTTAAGCTGAAATAAAATGGGTGCCATCAGATATCAGACAGGTTAATGTTGTAGTTTTTAATCATGATTTTGACATAGCACTAAACAATAATAACCGGCAATAATTATGATGGAAGACTTTGGGGGTGATCTTTAATGTGAAAGAGATTTTGAGTGAAGTATGACTGCCTAATTGCAATGTCATTTTGTGGTGAGGCAAAGACATGAGTGGAAAGGATGAGGAGACGTTACAAGATTTTTTTTCTTCACAGATTTCTTACTGATTGTGGCACAAATTCAAAAGATAATTGGCCGATAACGATAGAATACCCTAAACAAATGCATATAGTGGGAGCTTACAATAACTGATCGATATATATAGGCACAAGCCTAAAATAGGCATTTTCTGACTTTGGCATCAAGACAAGTGTATTACTTGCCTAATCTTGATCGACCACTCTTCCATCATTGTAGATGAGATAAGGTTCCATTTAAATATAAACTATTCAATATGTAAGTGATTCGATTCGGAAATACTATAAACTGGTAAACTTACCTCTTTGTCAAATTTGATATTATCTTCTTGTTCATCTTCATATCGTTGCTTGAGTTCCTTTGCGGCCACCTCCAAGAGAGCTCTATGCTTCTCAACTTCACTCAACTGCAATACAACAGACATTCAAAGGGTTAATAGTATACTTATTAAAGCCCTACTGCACTACTTATAGCTACTTGCGCCCTCTTTATAACAAATAATGCATAATCGATGACCATTGGTCCCCCATGATCCTCTTTTTCATATGTTAATTGAGAGCTGATTTGATGAGATAACCACCTGTCCAGTGACCTTGCAGGCTGGTCTAATCCCTCCTGTAATCTAGTACGGATGGGCTTTAACTTTTTTTTCTCAACCCGTTTCAGTTACAAGCTTAGGACAATAGACATTTAAATAAAGGGTTACTATTTCTTCTTGTTCATCTTAAAGTGGCACGTTCCCGCCAGTGTAGTTATCGCTGCTCTAGTCATCGCCATCTTGGTTCCGAAGATCGACTTCTAATTTGCATACAGCTGTCAATCAAAGTACGCGCGGCCTGGCCTGCCTTCGCCAAGCCAGCTGATCGCTGACGATCGCGACGTCACGAAAGTGGGCGGAAACAGCAGCCGAATCTTAGAGCCGAACTGCGATTGGCATTACTTCGGCACATGTATGCGATAATCGGTATTGTCCGGGCATTCGGAACATGCCATCTGCGTAAGAGCCGTATTCTGTTGGTGTCAATAGGCAGCTAGCACCGTCCGCCAGCGGGTACGTATTTTGAACGCCCTCTGGAATACGGGGAACATGCCTCTTTAACGTCTTTTTGATTTTATTAACAAGTAACAATCAACTGTAGAAATTAAGATTTATACTGAGAGTCAGCATAAATTAATTCTATTCTCTGACAATTTATTTCCTACCATTACCACAGCTAATTCTGTCATAACTATAACTCATAATTACTTAAATTTAGTTGTCCCTTTATATTCTTAATGATTAATTTATCAACTATCTTTGATGATTATACTAATTTTGCTTACATTCTCAGTGAGTTGATTGATCTGTTGTCTCTGATCGTTGAACTGTTTATGCCATGAATCCAGCTCTTCTCCTTGTCTTTTCTCTCTTTCGTCGGCAGCTTCCGTCAATTCTTTGATCTTCTCCTCTGCACGAGATCTGAATCAACAGAGAGAGAGAACATTTACATTAAAATTTTTCACAAACATATTGACTATCATTTAATAAGAGTTTTGTCACTTTAGTCCAGCTTAATAATGTGGACGAGGGGGGGGGGGGGGGTGAAATTCTTCATTCATTAACACTTTGACAAGTATTCATAAGAGCATACTAAATTTAGTCTAGCATATTTAATAGAGGGAGGACATGAACATGACATGACTTCCTTCACAAGGATTTTGATTGGCTTAAAAGCATACCGGATTAAGTTTGGATTTAAACCTCAACTATGTCGACTGAGTTAGTCCACTGAATTGTGCCAATTGTCATCTGTTTCATCTTGTAAACATGACCATAAAATAAACGTAAATGTTAAAATTTATCTACCATTCACAGTAGAGTGTCTTTAAAAATGTTTGCGCCCGACTGAACCAAATCTTTTAGGGGTTACCATGTTATAAAACATTAAACAAAGCAAAAGACGTGATGTGCATATGTGCATATATGCAGAATAATGCTTTCAGCCTTCTAGTAATATTACACGTAGTTTCACATATTTTAGCCTTACCCAGCCTGCTGCGCATCTTCCGATGCCTTAGATACGGCTCGCAATCTCTCCTCCTTCTCCTGAAGACTCTCCTTGGCTCCATCCCTCGCTTGGCGACACTCCTCGAGCCTGGTCTCCAGGCGCTCGGTGATGGTCTCAAGGTCAATGACCTGTTCCTCCAACATGGTGCATGTGGTCTTTAGCATATTGATGTTCTGTATGAATAGAAAAAGGAATAATAGTAATAGAAATAACATCAACATGTAATTTTACAAACATATTCATCATTTATTTAAAGGAAATATTAAGGAGGGCAAATGTTGAAAAGTATCACCTCTGGAAAAAAATGTTGATCACATGTTTTTTTTTTAAAGTATAATTAATTTTGTGATATAAGTATAATCCACATGTTTTTCTTTGTAATCAATATAATTATGTGTTTCTTATGTATGTATTATTCAATTAATAAATGATGGAAGAAAACAAAATAACATCAACATCATCATCATAATCATAATCATCCCTGGCTTCAGATGCTCTGTAATGGTTTCTAGGACCTTTTATCTTAACATGGTGCATGTGGTCTCCAAGCATGTCGATGTTCTGTGTGATGTACAATTATCAATGTCACTTGTTCTTGATAAGACTCTAGGGCTAACTCATTCAAACCAATGTCGCAATGGCAATAACAGTGGCTTCTTGGACAGAACCACTGTTCTCATACTCTACCACATCCCTGGATTACAGGTACCATATAACATTATGTCATGGTCATGAATGTACATGAAATTGTAGTGATTATCAAGGTATCAATAACCATAGATAGCAAGAAATTCAATCTACACTATCAACATCACCCATTTCCTTTTGCTTTCCATCAACTTTTCTAGTGACTTTTCAACTAGAATTTTCTAAAGATAAATACCTTTACATCCACCATTATGGAAGTTAAATTCCTTTACATCCGGTTGCCAATATGGCACCAAAAACATTCAAGGAATTATATCGTAACAGATTCATATCTTGCACACCTATATGTACTGACTTAATTGTAGGAGTCTGCAACTTTGAATGGTTTCTTAAACAAAAACACAGCCTCATATAAATGCTGTGCATCATCATCATCTTCATCATCAAGAAACTTACCAGATCATTTTGACTGAGTTTATTGTGACAGTCGGCCATACTGGTGTCCATCTGTTGGTTCTGGGTGACCAGACGACCCTTCTCCATGGCAAACGTCTCGCACCGCTCCATCAGCTCCTGCTTCTCCTTGCTGATGGTGGAGCACTGGCCCGTCTTCTCCCTGAGCTGCGTTTCCAGGGAGGTGATGATGGTGGAGCGCTCCCTTAGCACGTGCAGCTCCTGGTCTAGCAGCTTCTTCTCCCCCTGTTCAAATCATTCACCAAAGGTAAGTTATACTCAATTGATATTTTCTCCCTTATCAAATCATTAAATATATATGACTATGTATTTGACAGACAAAAGAAGTAAAATTGACTGTTCACATCTCCTTCACTTTTCTTTCATATCATATGTATTGTAATTTGTAGGTTTATTACTTTATTTACACTTTTTTGTTTTGGTTAATATGTAATTGTTTATCACTGTATTTTGTTTGTTATAGCGCTTAGAGACTTCGGTGGTAAGCGCTTTATAGCACCGTTTCTATCATTATTATTTATACTATGTGTCAATATGTATGATAAAGTTACTTCAATTCCTAAATGTTTTGCCAATTAGATGTTAATCATGGTTCTGTAATAGAAACTGATTGAAATTGGTTAGTGATCATTGCTCTTTCTTCTTATAAGTCATAAACCAATGTTTCACAAAGACTAAGATCGTCTTTAAGTTGGATTTAACTATGGCAGGCAGTTCATGCCACTCTTTGCTCTCACAATTTACTGGCAATGGTCTCTCAAGGGACTTTGGTCACAAATCTACAGAATTTTCATTTTTTGATAATTCATTATTGAAGGAAAAAACATTATCTAAAGATCATAATGGTGAGAGTAAACAGTGGCATGAATGGCCTGCCATAGTTAAGTCCAACTTAAAGTCGATCTTAGTGTTTGTGCAACACTCCCCAGAAGATGACACTTCATGTAAATGGTACAAAATACAATATACTTACCTCTAGGTTTTCAATCTTAGTAGCAGCATTTTCAATCTCTTCTTGTAGTCTGGTCTGTAGCACCCTGACCTGCTGCTTGAGGTCATTCTCGCTGGCTTCCATCTGTTTAGAGTTGACCTCTGACCTCTCGGCTCTTGCCCGGGACTCCCTCAGCTGGTCTTTGAGAGTGAAGACCTCCTCCTCATACTTGTCAGCCACCTACAGTCAGACGATCAAATGAGAGGAAAATAAGATGAAATAATATATCATATCGAGGGTTCAGTGACACAAAGACGTAACTCCATATTTTGCCAAAATGAGTATTTGACATCAAAATGTTCAGAAAAATGTCGGCTTTTCATGAAACACAAAGACTTAACTCTACCCAACACCCCAATGAAGTCAATGGCTAGTGAAAGATAGACTAAACTCCTTAAGGCCCGAGTGCTCAGTGAAACATAAACCACTCTTTCTCAAAATGGCAAATACATAAACAAAAACAATCAGAACGTCCAACATCTTACAATAAATTTCAATCCAGACCACATGAAACAACTATTAGTACGAAAAAAATAAACAATATTGATAAAGCGAGGTGAACAGTTGAATGTCAAGGCATTAAAAATATCAGTCCTCTGGTAATTTTTATAATTGGATGATTAGCAAAGTTAGATAACTTCAAGAAGAGTGTATTTGTGGGAAAACAAGTTTAATGTTAAGTAGTCAAAAGAAAAATACTGAGAAAAGAAAGTGATATGAAAGAAGTTGGGCTATGCCTCGCAGCCTGGTCTAGTTTAGCTTATATCTCATCGGATTTGTCTGTTAGACTAGACCAAGCTCTCTGAGCTTTTATCAGCTAAACATCTAGACAGCAAACCTACGTCTGAAGAAACAGTCTATCCTGGTTTTAAGATCTAAGAACTTACCTTGTCTAGTTTGGATTGCATCTCTTTGGACTGGTCTGTTAGACTAGACCTAGCCATCTGGGCCTGCTTCAACTCAAACTCTAGACGGCTAACCTGCGTCTGAAGATACAGCCTATCCTGGTTTAAATCTGAAAACTTCTCCGCTTCAACACGTCTACAAAGAAAACAGAAGCAAATCTCAAGCATTATCATTTTCTATACAGTATATTTATTTATCAAGCCTAGTACTCACAGAGAAGCCAGCACTGTAAAAGCAGGTAATAAATATTGTCCTAAAATACGAATTGTTTTGCTTCCATAAATAACAATCATAACTTATAAAATATAAATATTGAAATATTTATTATTAGCTAACAGATGTATTTCAAATATATCAAAATTACCCCCATTCACAGAATCATAGTGCACTTCCTTGACTTGTGTGCAATTTTAGAATTCCATCTCAGGCAAAACATTCTGAGAGGACCTTTAACCAGTTCCATTACGCTCTTGTTGTAATGCTTTAATACCAAGCATGGGAGACTTCACGAAACTAAATATAAAAGGGTGTATGCTCCCCCCCCCCCCCCCCCCCCAAGGGTATCAACCATGGTAAAACATATGTTAATGCATATCATCAAGCTGTAGAAATACCCTGGTCTTTCTTAAACTGTAGTACCTATTGCCCCAATATAATCTGGCTTGGGTCACCACCCCCCCCCCCCCCCCTCCCTCCATCCACCCCAAGTACCTTTTCCGAACCTTTTTCATCATTTCGATGGTTCCAGAATGTCATTAAAATCCCTGGTAAAATATTAAATGTCTTTCCGCGACCATATTTACATCAAGTAATGGTATAGAAAGGCTTACTTGGATTCTTTCTTCTCTTGCTGTGAGAAAGTATGACGGTCAGCAACCATCTTATCTATCTGAGCTTGAAGAACCTTCACTTGATTGTCAAGAACTGTGATGCTCTGAAACAAAAAAGATAACGATCTCCACTATTAACTTGTCAACATTGCCACTGTTCCTGTCTCCTTGCGTGGTTGAGAAATGCATTGAGTCTTGCTGTGCCACAGATTGTAGTTATAAATTGTTTGGTAAAATGAAAGTTTCAAGTAATTCAATGCACTTCCAGATCATCCTAGATGTATTATTTTTCATGTTGATTTTGATACTACATATGTATTGCAAAATAACATGAAGAGATTGATTTTACCTACTAAATATTTGATGAAAAATGTCAAAAACTTGATAGCTTAGAATAATTATGGGGCACATTTCACAGCCAGTTGTATAAAGGTTTTTAAACTATTACAAAATATTACTAAGAAAATAGAAAGTCTCTGGCAAACATATTACGTAGGATGATGTCTACTGAAAATTTACATTCTATTTGTTTACGTGTAAATTTGTATTGCTGAAAAATTGCCTGATACGTGTATCAACTATATGTCTCAGTACATTTTTGGAGGGTCTTATGGGACATTTTAACAAAAGGACTTTCCTCAGAGTCAGAAAGGCATTGTTTTATGTCATTCAACACAGGGTCAATGCCCTTCTGGCTCTCAACAGACACCATACCTCATCTTGTTCTTGTATCTTTTTCAGATGTGAGTCCTGGCAGTCGGCTTGCAGAGAGGATACCCTGTCCAGAGTCTGTCTGTCTCTCTTAGCCACCGATCGGAGCTGCTTCACCTCCTGAACAGAGCACAAAGCAGGGAATAGTTACAATCAATGAATATCCTTAAAGGTATAGACCTGCTTTGGAAATGCCCCCCCCCCACCCCCCCCCCCCCCTCTCAAAAAATGAAATGGAAGCTCTTATTACTAATCATGTGAAAGAATATTTTTTGACTAATACGTGATGATACAAATTTTGCTGGGAAACCGCCTACTAATTGATATATTTGGTGAATTATCATATCGATCCGGCCTGGATAGATATCCCGAATGCACTTCAACATTTAACATTTGGGCATATATTCCTGCTTTTTTGCGAATTTAGGTTGAAGTATTGCCATCTAAACCTCTGAAGGCAATATTTAAACAATATTGAATGGATATGTTGCACCCAAAACCCTTGAACCGCAATTTTACCACTACCGGTCTTTATCTTTAACTGCTGTTTATAAACTGTGTGAATCAAACTGTTATACTACATTATTTGACAATTGGGGTGGTAGCTAAATTAAGCATTCCAATACAAGAATGAGACAACCCTGAAAGCTCAAATAAATAAATAAATAATTTTTTTTCAATAAGGATGATACAGTCTTCATGATCTAGCATTCTGTGTTTCATTCCACTCTCTCCTTTGGTTTTCTTTCTTCTTCTTGTTATTCTTCTCTGCTTTCATATTTTATGATGAATGCCTAACATACAAACCTGTTCTTTGTTGTTTAGTTCTCTTGTTTTAGCAGCTACATCATGTTCATATTCTCTGCACGCTCTGTCAGCTGAAGTTACCTTATTCTCCATTTCCTTTAAAAAAAATTGAAACAAAACTTAAATTTGAAAATTCCTTACAAATTAAAATGAAATTGTTCTGAGGAAATATATGTCGGCTTATTTAAGTATCATTTGGTCTACACATATAAAATGTAAATGGTTCAACCACACATAGAAATAAAATACATGAAGCTAGGTATCCTTCATTAAAATTATTTATAGATTTCTACAGTTCTGGTATATATAAAGGCAAACTAACCGAGGAAAATCATCCAACTTGCTGATTAATCTCAGATTTCTTGAATTTCACTGACTAAAGTCTAGATTTAATCTGTTTGTTTTTCATTCACAACACACACATGTTTTAACACCAGACAGCCAACTTTCAGCCCCAATACATACCTGTTTTGTCAAATGATTATTTAAAAATTTCTGCTGTAATCAACTTACCACAACCTGATTGGCTAGATCCTGTGTTAGACCATGTTTAGATTCCACCTGCTCCTTAAGTCGCTTTTCTCTTTCTTGGACCATTCTCAAACGATTCTCAAGACTGCGTTGATCATCCTAAGTATCAAATTAAAAAGTGGACATGAAACATAGCAGAGATTTTTAAAGTCGACTATCTTGAAAGTCTTCTCTTTTCATTGAATTACGCAATAAACTTTTTTTTTTAATTTTGAAAAAGAGAGCAATTTGGATCAAAATGAAAAATGTTGAAATTGTGTGAGTAGATCAAGCAACACATGCTTCACGTACATTGGACAAAAATATGGAGAGAAAAATGCAATTAAGAAATGCAAAAACATAGAGAGCTCTCCTTTGCTTGCAATTTAGACAACATGCAGGCAATCATTAATAAGAAGGGATTAATTGAAAAGCTTATATGTGTGTATATTTGTTGTACATGTATTTGATTCACTCTACTGCATCAAAAATATAGAATTCGGGTTACGATTAAACTTTACTTGGTTTAAGAGTAGGTTTAGAATTAGGGTTTCAATCGGATTTTAGACTTGGTTTGGAGTTGGATTTAGGGTTACAACTGGGTTTTGGATTAGGTCTAGAGTTATAGCATTAGAACCCGTTCTCACTCACTTTGAAAGTGGTCTTAGTTAGACCGCTCCAGACCGCTCCAGAGGAACGGGTCTTGAGGAACGGTTCGCGAGCGTTCACACTCCGAGCAGTTTTTATGGCTCAAACCGCTCCACAAGTCAAAGTGGTCTTGTTGCTATGGCAGCTCAGGTAGGCGGGTCAATTTTTTCGCGGAATCCAAACCCTATGTCACCTGCGTCCCGTTCGCGACGCGTCCCGTATCCATGTATATGTGTAGTGCCTGACCGATCGCTCATCGCGCGGAACGTCACTTCCGTTCAAAGTACGCTTTCCGTTCACATTGCACGTTAGAGCGCTCTGGAGCGCTCTTAATAAGACCCGCTCCTCAAGACCACCTCGGAAGGTGGACTTCTGGAGCGGTCCAGAAGTCCGCTTCCTGGACCACTTTGAGCGTTCTCACTCACCTAAGAACCGCTCCTGAGGAGCGGGTCTTAGTTAGAGCGCTCTAGAGCGCTCCAACGAAGTGAGTGAGAACGGGGTCTTAGATATAAAGTTGGGTCAACTTGGTCAAGGTTTAAAGTGACTCGGTAACATTGCCTCAGATTATAAGGTCAGTCAGGAAACCCATGACTTTTACAAGCCGTTCACTTGTCTGATTTTCAAGATTTTAATGATTTTAATGATTGGAAATCAAAATTTCATTTTTGTTTTCCTGACGGTTTTTAAAAAACTACAGTCTATTGGAAAAATGAGTATGGTAAAACCGGTCACTCAACGATTTTTACTTTTTCGAGGCACTTCATGATCATTTTGAAGCGCAATTTTTTTAGGGCTTCAATATTACACCATATCCCAGACACTTATAACACGTAGGGCCATGCATCTCAGTTTTAACATTGTTAAACGATGCCCTTAATAGTAAAAACCATGGAGCAATTGTCACTGAAACATGTTGAAATGTAATTTACTTGGCTCTCCTGAAGCTGTTGCTGTAGATCCATGACGGAGGCTCTCATCTCCTGGACAGACCCCTGACACTGCTCCTGGACGATCTCCCTCATCTCCGTCTTCTCCTTCCTTAGTCGCTCGGCTGTACGGCTGGTCCGCTCTTCAGCCTCGCTGGCCTCGCGTAGCTTCACTCTCAGCTCATCCAGTTGGATCTTGCTACTCCTACTCAACTGGAAACAAGATGGGTAGGTTGAAAAATATTAAGAAGTCTTAGGGTGCATTCAAGCTACAATTTTTTAATCCTAGAACACGGTTTTTAAAGACGTTTAGTTTAAAGGGACTTGGTAACATTGTTCAGATGAAAGATAGTGGTGCTAAGGTAGTGACTTCAATGCTAGATGTACAATCATAGATAATCTGAAAATTTGAGTGAAAACAAACCATTATTCATGGTACAAATTGGGAAAAAAAGATCTGATCGATTCCTTAATTCTCCCAACAATATTGTTACAATTTACTTACATTTTAGGTGAATGGAAATCGTCACAAAGTAATAAAATGGCTCTACATTCCATTCCAGACATTTACGGTAAGTGTTGACAGATTTTTTATAGCCTGTTTTATGTCTTTTATTCATGGAAAAACGGTTGGGAAAATTCAAACATGGTTGGGAGAATGTACTGTTGATCACTGTTAGAGGGTGTCATACATCGACTCCTTCAAAGAAAACCATACATATCTTTGTGGTTTGAGAATTTTTTCAGGATTTTTTGCATGTCAGAGGGTTAGTACAGTAGAAGGAATATAGTAAGTAACATTTTATACAAAAATTAAGCAATTTTTTCATCAACAATGTTACCAAGTCACTTTAAAGCATGGGTTGCGTTCAAGCGGTTTTAAGCAATTTGTTGTCGGTCGTAATAATAAACGTGTTTCAAAGCGCAAACAAGAAATGCTGAAACAAATGCGTTTTTTGTAATGTGATTCACTTAAAAAACTTGCTTGAACGCAACAGAGATCATGATTCTATGATGTCATTATCGTGGCCTACTTCTAGTTTGGCCGACAGTCGACCGTAAATAAATTCAGAAAGCGTGCGCCAAAGTTGACCTATTCTTCCTGGGTCAAACTATGCAGTGTGATGCACAGTGGCTGGGCTTGAAATGAGCGAGAATCAGCGTTGATGGAAAATCGCTTGAACGATCTCCCGCAGTAACCGTGTTTTGTAAAGGCTTTTGATTTGTGATTCTAGCTTTAAAAAAAAATCGCTTGAACGCACCCTTACAGTACTAGAATGTTGATTCTGGTTAACGGAGGCTTTGATGGAATAACTACCGGTATAAGGAAGTTAGTGTGTAACTGGTATGTGCTTACTGATATTTAGATTAAATCATTTTTGTGAGAAATAAACAATCAAATAATATGTTACCACACAATAATACCAACATCACAATCCAAATTTTTTGAAATTGTCGGCTGCATTGCAATGAATCATTCTCTACTCATACCCCCTGATCTGCACATATTACGATACAGAAATGTGAAACACTCTACACTCATTTCATTTGGGTGGTTTGTTTGATTTACCCGACTGCTAAGAGACATGTGTATGCTTTTAAGTAAGCAACCAGGGTACCAACGGCATTAAGTCCTCTCTATACCACTGAGCCAACGCTCTTCACTCTTAATTTAATTTTGCTGTGTACTATTTCTTTAAGTGTTTTACCACCTCGTGTCTGAATAGGGCTCGACAATTCTTACCCTCTCTAGTTGCGACTGTAGCTCTTCCACCTCACTCCGAGATCCTTCACAGGACTATAATGAAACACATGTCACAATTAAAGTAAAACTGGAAGAAAAATAATTTCTATAATTTTTGTTATGTTAGGCTTGCTGGGAGAAGTTTCAATTGTTGGCTTGCACCCAGTAGACTGCCATGGATCGGTGATCATGCCTGGTGGTAGAGTCTCTGCTCAGCAAGCAGTGGATGGCAGGTTCAAAACCTGCTGGTTCCAATAATATTTTTGACTTGTTTTTAATTACAAGATTGAGCATGCTATCTTTATCTACTGGGTTCAAGCCAACAATTTATTTCCAACAAAAGTTCTATGTACATCATGAAGCCAAAAGAGCCTTGCATTGAAAGATACAGTAAATATCAAAATTATATTTTGCAACCATAAAGAAATACACTTATATGAACATCTAACAAAGCCAACATCTCATCTTCAGCATTTAACATTACTTTTGCTCTAACTAGTGCTCACACTTATTGCAATAATCAATGAAAAATATGGCTGTGTTTAATATAAGAAGAAACTCAATCATAATTGTGTCCATATATTTCAGAAAGTGTTTCAAAATTTGGTCTACTGTTTTCTGAAGCACTAAAATAAACCATACCTTTGTGAGTTTTGACTTGACATTGTAAACCTGGGCCTTGAAATCTTCTGAGCTCTCTTAACTTCCTCTGACTACTATCATCACTGATACTTCAGTACTTTCAATTTCTATCCTTTTCTTAGTTTAACTACTTCTACTTGCACTGCTACTTTTATTACATTTCTCACTGCCCTACACATTTTGAAGATGTGTTTTATGAAAAAAGTGTACCTTTGTGAGTTTTGACTTGACATTGTGAACCTGGGCCTTGAAATCTTCACACTCCTGTGTCTTCTGTCTAAGCTCGGCTTCTAGCTTCTGAGCTCTTTTGACGGCTACCTGACGATCGGTCTCCATCTGAGAGAATGCCTGCTTGTAGTCCTCAACTTCAGCTCTGAAGGACAAGAACATAAAACAAACTGATATTGGGGATAATATAATACCTTAACCCTACTAGGGGTTGCATAATAAATCACCCTACCCCTTTACTTTTGAACCAACATGTTCTTGATGGGGGGGGGGGTGTTCAAACTGTGAAGTTTAGTCACACTACATCCTCAAGTTGTATGCATCACTTACTACCAAACTCATTAAAAACTTCAAAGAATTGGTTAAAGTGGAGCAACTTCACAGTAGAAGTATGTACCATTGTCACCACCAATAGCATATTGTTTCATGTGACCTTTTGGAATGATCTTTCAACAGTCGAAAAGTGCCTTTAGCAATTCATTCCGAGGCTTTTACTTGCCTCCATTCTTCATCTCTAAGTTGTTGTTCTTTCTTGCTGGTCTGTCGTATCTCTCCCATCAGTCTCACTGCCTTACTGTCCATATCCTTCTGCTCATTCCTCTCCTGCTCTAGAGTACGCCTCAATTTCTACAACAACAAAAAACAAACATATGACAGCATATTAAGATCTTACTTTATCAATTTCTACATCAAAATAAAGATTAAATTCATTGATTTCACTGTCTTAATTTTCCATTCGAAAAACAACAGTGCATTGAGTTTTGAACTTAACTACCGAGTTCTGCGTATATGCCATCTGATCTACGAAGAATTGCAAGAGAAACAACAGAAAATCTAGAGATCTGAAGAATTCATGAAATTGTGTATTTTACCCCTCAGTGCCCAGAGTGAAATATGACTAAATTTAAAATAGATATAGCAGAACTGCTAAATTTGGTCTAGAATTTAAGCATTTTACAACCTTAAAACCCTGATGCTACAATTGAAACTGAAATAAAATGTAATGAACAGAAGAGTGAGAGTTCCAGTGATAGCGAATCCATATGCTTTGCAGCAGAGAAAGCAAAAGATAGATTCCCTACATTTGAACTTCAGTATATTTGAATTTTGTAATCCGTACTGGTTGAACAGCTCTACAAATCTGAATAGACAAACCAGTAATACTTACATTCAGATCAGCGACTGACTCAGCTAGTTTTCTTTCCACAGCATTCTTCTCAGGCTGAATAGTCTTTAAAGCTTCTGTCTTCTCCTTCAAACTTTTACTCAGCTCATTGTTGTGTCTAGTGAGGGAGCTATGCTGAGATTCAAGACGTCTGCAGCGATCCTGGAGTTTCTGATCGGGCATGGAGCTCATCTCCATCGGTGCTGATAGTGTGGTGTTCATCATTGACCTGAGTGTAAGAATGAAATACAGTCAAACCTGCTTTAGTGACCACCTGTCTACAAAGACCACATATTTTATTTCCCTTGAAAATGGTTTCTCATTGAAACATGTACTAAAGGAACCTGTATATAAAGACCACCTGTCTACAAAGACCACTTTTTGTGTTTCCCTTGGGCGGTTGCTATAGACAGGTTTGACTGAACATGTATGAATAGAGTCCTGGCTACTACCCTGCAGACCGCCAACCCTTAATTATGCTGTGGATACGAGACTACATGAAATAGGGCAAGAAACCGCCCCCCCCCCCCCCCTCTCTTTCCAGGAAACATGGATGATGATGTAAAAAACTATATACCATCTACATGTGTAGGAGAAACACACTGTAGATGGGATGATGGAACTGTAATACCAGACAAGACGTCAAAGAGGAAAACTAAGTTGGTCCAAAAACAAAAAACCAGAACACAACCTACAGAAATGTATGTTGCAGGAGAGAGAGAGAAAGAGAGAGAGAGAGAGAGAGGGGGGGGGGGGGGAGTAGGGAGGGAGGAAGAAAAAGGGAGAGAGCATCAGATCATGTGTTGTACTATCATATATATCCCTACAGGTGTACCCCCCTTTGTACCTACTGTAAGCAGCGTGGACGACGTAGAGAGGGGGGAGTAGGGAGGGAGGAAGAAAAAGGGAGAGAGAGAGAGGGGGGGGGCATGCGTGTTCCCAAAATCTCTGGCTCGTAACAAAGAAAAAGATCTGCCCGTATTGACTTTACACACCGAGTTTTGCTGAAAAGGGGGGGGGGGGTGAGAAGACAGGGATAAAGGAACATATAGAAATTGAGGGAGAAATATGAAGTACACAGCAAAGGACATTTATAATTTTTCAGAGGTGTGACTCACATATCACCCAGCCCTTGGTTGTTGCTGGATGTCTTTGAGTAGGTGAATCCCACAAAGGGTAGGTCATGCCCTGAGAAACCTCCCTTGCATCTCATGAGGATGCTAGCGTTGTGCTTCATAGGCTCGATAGGATCAAATTCATCAAAGTTAGACACGTCATCCACGCTGCTAACAGTAGGTACAAAGGGGGGTACACCTGTAGGGAATATAAAGATTCAATTGTATGTATTTCCTCGACTTTAATAATCCCTCAAATAGGACTTACAGCTGCAGGACCCCTGAAGCTTATCTCCAGGTATACACTTGCTTAGTCATTAGTATAACCCTTGATGAATTTAATTTAACTACTTGTAACATATGAGAGTAGAAAAATGAGAGAAAGAGGTTGGTGAAAGGTTGGCGAAATAAGATTTATATTGAGAAATGTATGAATGGTAATAAGGTGAGATTACTAAACATGCCGAGGGATACTACATCAAGACATGACATTACTACTGACTTGCCAGTTTGAAAATTCAAAAGGCGTAGACATTTCAACTTAAAAAAACATTCATAAGTTTCTTATTGTTCACGCAATTTCTTGACAATGTACCCGCTCTGTTCTATGAATTTTCAGCTTCTCTTCACAGCAACTTGCTTTTAAAGGGGAAGTCCACCCTGATATTATGTTGGTTTTAATAAAAAAATAGGACAGTACTTAATTTTTTAAGTTGTCATCAAAGGGGAACACAAATTGGCAACACTGACATATCTTGCAAGCTCAGCTCCAATTTGCTCTGTACAGAAAATTTCCTAAACTTTTATTTTCTTAGTTATTGATGACGAAATAGATTTGTTTCATACTGGGGTAGTATAAAAACGTTTTGCAATAGTTATATTGAGGGTAAATGTGTGATTAAAAATTGTCTAAAGCGAAAACATAAAAGTTTTTCAGTACTGGGCTAATAGGGAGAAGAGCTCGTCACAGGGTTGCCAATTTGTTTTTGATTGATCGCACCTTCCAAAAATTAATATTTTTTTTTATTTTTAATCAGCTTTTGCTCAAGCTTTCACTAACCTGCTTCTAACAAAACCAACCTAATATCAGGGTGGACTTCCCCATTAACACTGGGTTGCTCATTCAGCAATGAATCAAACGCATTTACCGTCTCGTAGTGTTGCCCACTCAAGGCCGGTGAAGAACTCATGATATCCCAGCTGCTCATAGCCGATCCTCGCAGACCTGTCGCATAGCAGCTGCTTGATGAGACTCGTTGCTCGAGGAGTTAGGGGAGAACTGGTAGGAAAGGATAGCTTCCTCTGAATACATAAACAGATGATTTTTATATATCTCAGGAAAGTTATGTGAATGAAAACATATTCATATATATCGAGGGGTCAGTGACACAAAGACGTAACTCTATTTTGGCCAATTTGAGAAAAAGTGGTTTATGTGTCACTGAGCACTTGGGCCTTAAGGAGTTAAGTCTATGTTTCACTAGCCATTGACTTCAATGAGGTGTTGGGTGGAGTTGAGTCTTTGTGTTTCCTGGAAAGCCCACATTTTCCTGAACATTTGGATATCAAATACTCATTTTGGCGAAATATAGAGTTATGTCTTTGTCTTTGTCACTGAACCCTTGATATGTCTCATGAAAAGGATTACTTCAAATTCCAGAAAGAGAGAGAGAAGGAAAGAAAAGGGTTCACTTTATTTCAACCTTGATAATGATAACTTTCAAGGGCCTTGTCGATATAAAGCCTGCATTTAAATGCGACCGCAAAGATTACATAGGAGTCCTCGACACTCAATCGTGATTTGTTGAAAATAAAGTTGTGTTTAAATGTTTTGATTTGCATATAAAAGCAACCTGTTGTGGTCAACAAAGTAGTCACGAACAGAACACATGAACATTCTATCGATGTTAATCATCCTCAAGTTGTCAAGCTGTTTATTTTATCCCTTACATAAACAAATCATAGCTTTATCTTTTGTATCCCATGCATTGCTGATAGTGCAACCCGTCTGGAGTAAAAAAAAAATTAAAAAAAAGGATTCGGGGAGGGAAAAAATGGCATCAAACAACATTCGCCACCTTTTGAGTAAGAAAAGAGGGGGAAAAAAGGAAAAATCTGGAAAAAAACGGGAAACTGATTTAAATCGGGTAATTATCACGCCTGTCCATGTTTATATCTAATAAATTCACATTCAAATATGTTGATTCTTGAAGCTGCTTACCTGAAAATCCATGATGTTGCTGTAGGTGATTACCATTGAGTCATCACTGAACGGGGTCTTACCGACCATCATCTCGTAGGCGACTATACCCAGAGACCACCAGTCACACTCGGTACCATAGCTGGCGTCCAAGGAACCGTTGAGGCTCTGGAGAACCTCTGGGGCTACGTAGTCTGGGGTACCCACCGGCATCTTAGAGCTGACCTGCAGGTAGACAAAAAAGAGTGGATCATTGTAAATAATAAATAGACCGATTACCCCCCCCCCCCCAAAAAAAAAAAAAAAAATGCCATGAGAGTGGAAGCAGTCTTTAAAGGCAAATAGTCTTTATGGAAATGCAGTCACTCAAAAAGGTTTTAAGGTAATGGTGATGGAAACCCAATTTGTCAAGAGAAAGAATACAAATTGCGATAATCCAGATCTACATGATCGTTCTGACAAGAATTTTGGGATGCATGCAAACAAACAACCTCCATTCCCCTGGGAGTACCCTAGCATATAATTAATGTTTAAAGCCAAACTGCAAATATTATCATTATAGCTTATTCAGCATCCTCTCCTGGCTAAAGTAGAGGTTTGAAAATGTACAGTACTGTCTTGCCAGAGAACACAAGTACTCTGAAGAATTACCCACCAGATCCTGGAACCTCTTTAATTCACCAATGGACACTTGTCTGGCACTGGTCACAGGATTGGAATGGGCCTACCCTATTAAACTGAAAGTTATTTCTTTATTAATCTATACAAACACAGTGACTTACTGTATTTTTATCTCCCAATTTAGCTGCAGATCCAAAGTCAGCCAACTTGATGTGCCCGGTACGATCCAAGAGAACGTTGTCTGGCTTGATATCTCTGTAAAAATTGTATGAAAAAAATACATGCAATCATGGAAACTGGCTGGAAGCCTTATATTAAATGGGGATCATATGGTAAATTAATGGGAATTCTCACATAGATTGGAAAAGGAAAAAAAATCCAATGTACTATAAGATTATATCCCATGATGCAATATTCTTTTTTCCTCTTCAGTGTATTATTTTTTACGAGTGATTACATTGTATTTTCTTGTTTTCAAATAATATTTTCAAGGAGCATTCCAATCAATCTGACTTTTAGTTTTTCTGCAAGGCTTTGTTTACCCTTCATCCAAAGTGAGTGAAATATAGCCTTGTGGCACATAAGAAGTAGTTTGAGAGGTCCAAACCAATTTTGCAAGTTATCATATTGACTACTCAATTCTATAATTCCCATAGACTAAATACAAAGACCATATGATATGGTTCCCAGAGAGAATCAGTTAAAAAAGTATTCATTGACATATATTTATTACACTTGTCTGTGCCATTATTGGGGAGACTTTACCTTCAGTATGTTTGTTCTGAAGTCTGCCACGCTTTATAGTATTAGCAAAAGACGTTATGCACTGCCAAGAAATCTGGACTTTGATTTTATACTCGTCTATGGCAATGCACATTTCCCAAGGCATGGAGACTATGCTGCTAACTACTAGGTTAAAACCTTGTGTATTTACTCACCTGTGGACATATCCCATGGTGTGTAGGCTATGAATCGCAGCCACGAGTTCCGCCAGGTAGAACCTTGCCATGTTCTCCTCGAAGACATCATCAAACCTGGCCAGGAGAGACAGAAGGTCACCCCCAGGATGGAACTCCATCATCAGGTACAGGTTATCATCATCCTGGAACGCATACTGGAGCTTGGTCAACCATGGACTCGATGCCCTGGCCATGATGTCCTTCTCCTCTTCAAAGAAGGCAACCTGGAGAAATCAAGTACCACAATAATAATAATAATAATAAATAATAATAAAAACGGTGCTTATAAAACGCTTACCAACAAAGTCTCTATACCATACATATCGTTTCAGGCTCAGATTTAACCCAGAGGATCAATAGTTTTCCAAAGGTATAAACCCAAAAGGACATTCCAATATCACTAGCATTCATTTTCAAAAAGTGTTTGGTATTCTGGGTGACCAATTATTAACATACTTATCTCTTGTCCTAAAGTACAGTCTTTGTAAATTTAATAAAAGGTTGCCTAAGTTGGTTGGATTTTAAAATCTTGTCTGAAGACAATACTTTCTATCCAAGAAAAACATGGTTAACTCCCCCTACAATTTAAGAAATGGAGATTTGAGTTTTGATTTTCCTCACCATATTATTATTTTATTTATTTATTTTTTGTTGGTGTGTAAACATGATACCACTGCTTTGTCTATTATGTAAATATGGTTATAATGTGATTTTTGTTATTAATTATTTTGTATTAATAAAAATTGGAAGAAAAAAAAAATGTTTTCCAAAGGTTTAAAAGATCAGTCTTACCTCCTCAGATTGACATCATATTTTTCTTCCATTCTTACACTTTTATGACTGATGAAATTATTGAAATGTATATTTACATGAACATGTATGAATAATAAAGTTCTATGCAAGACACAACAGTTAAATGTGGTGACAGAAATTCAATTTTTTTTGTCTCAATTTTTAACAACTTAAAGATTCAAGAGCTTATTTAAATTCAAAAATTTCTTGTCCTAAAAACAAAAACGATCAAATAAACCTTGTTTTAACAAACTTACATTTTCTTTCGCGAGGGTTTCAGCCTTGTGCAGTACTTTCATGGCATAGACATCATTGGTCACTTTCTCCCTGACCACTTGGACCTGTCCAAAGTGACCACGCCCAATCACATCCTTCACTTCAAAGTCATTGATACTGATCTGAAGATTCTTGACCTTGCTGACCGTTTGTTTGACTGGTAAAAATAGAAGGGAAAAAACATGAATTTGAAATAATTCCAACCTAACTGTAATCAAAATATTCCATTTCATTTCATCTTTTAGAGGACACATTGATTTTTTCAGTTAATTTACATGTATTTTTTAATTTTATTATTGTTCCGATGAGAGCAAGCCCCAAAAGCAAAACTAATTTTAAAAGTTCAAACCATCACCATGAAAACTGCATTATACAAAAGCTTTTTTTATTAGCACCCTTTGAATTAATCTGAATTAGTCTGTGTGCTTTTTTTTTGACAACTTTTCTACCATTTGAATAATCTAAACTACAAGAATAAATGAATAGTAATACAGATATAACCACATACATTACTCTCCATTAGTTTCCTTTATCAACATAAATGTACAATCCCAAGTTATTTTGGAATGACGAAAATAGTTTTATGTGCTTACATTTGTTCACAAATTGTGCGGCATGTTTGTTGGTTCGCTTGAGCTGGTCTTGACTGCACTCCCCATACAGAGCTAAGAGGGCATCAACCAACCCATCACGGCTCAGATGAGAACAAGATGTAGCGTTTAATCCTTCTTTAGCTTTGCCAGCAAACAGCTGGTTTAGCTTGCTGGTGCGCAGGCCAGGTGGCTCAGACTTCCCAGCCATCTTTGCTTCTATTTGGAAGAAATAATATACATGAAGTAGAAAAAAGGAGAAAAAAGAAGAAAGGAGATAAAACAAACAATGAACACAACAAAAACATATAGATGTATTACAAGGGTTCAATATGAAAACAACCCTGTACATGAATGGTGGTGTAACTTGTGCGTGACCTTAATCGCGGAGAGTTCCATAGACCGGATTCCCATAGACTATATCTTTAAAAATCTGATACCACCAATGGAAAGAGGAAACTAAAATTATCTGGAGACACAATTTTCTATGGAATATTGTTTCAAATTATGAAAAATATTGACAAAAGTTCACCACATTTTGCTGTCTTTTTTGTATCCGTTTCAATCATTTTTAACTCAGACTCAATGACAAGGGCCTAGGCTAGGAGGAGTACTAGGAATCTTCATCATTCATAGCAAATTAGCAAGAGAAGATGTCATCAAAATTGTAAATAAAAAGAGATACCAACTTTTTTTTTTCTTCAACTGATTGGATGATATCGATATCTGGCTTGACTTGAGCCTTGCCCTTGGCTTGATCAGGACAGGGAGAAAAACAGAAAACCGTTTTCTCAAATTCAAAACAAAAGTTAATGAATAATTTCATTCTTAAATCAATTCTAGACCCTATAGACTCTAGTATTTTGATATTAATATCAGCATGACTTCACAAGCATTATTAGATATGATTGCATGATGCTAATAATTAAAAGACCTAAAGAGTAAAGCTAAGTAAGTAAAGTAAAGAATCACAAAGTAAAATGTGTAGACACTACTACCAGAAACAATACATGAACACGAACGAATGGGACTTGATACTTGCACGACCAGAGATTGAAACGTAGAATTAGCCTTTCTTTCACACCATTAGTCAACCACGAATCATTCCAGTTACACATATTCTTATTTGCCTCTAATTTTCTACACTTGTATCATTCTTTTGTATAATAAGTCATTTAAAACGATAATATCAGTCAAAAATATCACTCACCTAAATTAGACTGGCAGTCAAATAATCCGCTTTTCGTTTTTATTTTGTATTACGATATGAGAGATGGCCGTTCATTGGCGCTGCTCAAGAGCTTGCATATGAATTAGCGCATGTGATTGGTCTAATGATCTGATATATTGGCGCATGCGTAATGTCTGTATTTCGAAAGACGTCGTGACATACAGAATGGGGGGGGGGGGGCATCGAAGAATAACATTATAAAAAGAACGATGGAGAAGGAGAAGGAGAAGAAGAAGACCGAAGAAGAAGAACAAAAGGAGACGTTCGACGGGCTATAATCGAATTCATTACGCGCGGTATTCCTGGCGCTGTTATATTCGATCATACGAATTATAACACAAAATCGGAACTGCATAAAAAAGAATATATCCCCATCTAGTTTCTAGTTTCTGCTTAAAACTTTAAAAAGGCTTATAAATATGGTAATGATCCTCTGTAATATCTTTCTTATTCTGCGTTCACATATAGTCTACATGTAGATACTGTTGCATGCCGGGTTGTCAAATTTTCTTCTAAACTCTCAGTCTAAAGCCAACCTTTCAATGCCCCAACACATTTAATTTGAATTTGAAGTGAATTCGGATTTTAATTCACTAACAACAACACACCACAATGATGGCAGTATATGAACAATCATACGCAGTCACAGTGGCGGATTCAGTGGGGCACAGGGGGCGTGTTCCCACGGTAAAAAAAGGGGGGAAGGCGGAGGGGAAGAAAAGGGAGAAAAGGAGAAAATGAGAAAAAGGAAGGGGAAAGGAGCTAGGGGGAAAGGAAAACAAAGGAAGAAAAGAGGGAGGAGAGAAAAGGGGAGAGGAGAAAAGGGACAGGGAAAGGAAGAAAGTGGAAGAGAGGGGAGAGAAAAGGAAGAAAGGGAAGAAAGGGGGTCGAAAGACAGAGGAGAGAAAAGGGGGAAAAGGAGAATAATGAGAATTAAGGGAAAAGAAAGAAAGGGGGATGATATTAGAAGTTTTTTTTTTTACCGGGAGTCAATGTGATGTAGTAATATAAAAGAATATACAAGAATAATCTGATAACAGTTGGTAATCATCTTAATTTTTCATTTATATCTTCATCATCTGCTCGATTAATTTAATATTTATTTGGTCTTATGATCTTACCTTCCCAAAATTAAAATTATAGCTACCTTTTTTTCGGTCATGATTTGTCCTACTTCTTCTTCCTTCTTCCCCCTTTTCACTTTTCCTTCTTATCTGTTTTACCTCTCCTTGTTCGTTTCGTGTTTGTAAATTGTATGTTGTTTTGAAATATTGTTTTGTGTTTTCTAAGTCTTCGTAGGCAAAATTTGAAACATTTATATTTTTATATTTTTCTGGGGGATCCACGAACTTACAAGCACTGCTTTTCAGTGGATCCCCCCCCCCCCCATTTCCTCAGAAATTAAGAATTTCTTGTAAATAATTTTATAATGTGCAAAGTTTATTTGTATAGTTTGAATTGTATGAAATAAAATGTAATATCTTTGTTTACCTTTCTGTAGGAAATGAAATAAATATGAATATGAATATGACAAAGTTAAGTCGAACATGACTAATGTCAAAGATTTTATCTCCTGTATATCTTCTAACTTATAACTTTAATAGTCTTGAATGACTTTTCCGATATATCTATTCTATATGACCTCTTTCAGCAGATTGTCCCCGCCATTTATCCTGCCACAGTTGCCGGTTTCATTGCCATATCATTTTATGTCATCCCTGTGGCCGCGAAAAGTACAATTCTGCCTTCCGCAAAGTTTCTATCCGTTACACAAGCATTTTTTTCTATCGCATACATGTAATGCTTATATTGCTTCCAGTTTAAAACTTCAACCATTTCCCCTTCAATTTAACGATCTGGAAGTGATTGATTGTGGAAATTGTATATGGTACTGTCAGGCGCGTACGTAGGGGGGGGGGGTAACCTCCCCCTAACCCATTTTGTTTAATGTGTGTGTTTCGGAGGAACCCATCCCCCCTCAATTTGTTTATAATGTTATAAAAAAAATTAAAAAATTGGGCTTTAAAGGGTGACAACAAAAAGTGACCCTACCCCTCCCACGTGCTCTCACACCCCCCCCCCCCCCCACCTCCCGCTTATTCAACGGCTGGCTGAGTTGTTGCGAAATTTGTCCTAAAAAACTGGGGTGGGGGGGGGGGAGTGCTCTTAATAATCTTAATAATGATGAATATCTTGAATTTCTAAAAACGTACAAAGTTTAAAAGTTTGAACCTGGCATAAAAAGTATTCAAGCTGTATTCAGGCATGTAACACGTCATTCGCTTTTCTCCTCTGACTCTCACGACCCTGGTTTATATACACAGGGTATATAGCCACATGATTAGGCCTGTTAATACTGCTCTTCCTACGGTCCCTGCGGCCCTGCCACATTATATAGACCTACTGTTACCAGGAACCCATTTAATTTACTTAAATTTAAGTTCTACCTATGGCTTGGACTTATACAATATGGTAGGCAATTTATGCCCTCGAGACCGGAAACTTTCCTTTTAAACAAAAAGAAGAACAAAAACCTGGGGGAGGATTTATTATGTACTTAAAGTATGTCCTAGTCGGGTTTTGCCGGTGGGGTGAAGTTGAGGGGGGGGGGGTATGGTGCTTTAATAGCTCGTGCCCACTACCCCGACAGTGCCACTCGCCACTCAATCACCACGGTTGACTCACTATTCAACCGTGTATGCGAATATTTTATCTTATGAATCATTATAAACTTTAACAAAGAGACGCGTTCAAAAGCATATCACAAAAACTTAATATATTATTTAGTTTTCTGCAAGTTAATGCGATGGAAATGTGATAAGGCCATCTTTTTCAATTGTAGTTTAGGTTTAGGAAAGATGTAAAAATATTTATTAGCTGTCACTAGTTTACAGGAGCAAAAAAAGGGATGGTGGATTCCCCCCTCCGGCATGGCAACATGAGTTCGGAAGGGGGGGGGGGTCCACCTCCCCCAAGTACATGGGTGTCGATCCCGGGGGGGGGGGGGATGGGGGGATATATTCCCCCCCCCCAATATTTCAGGTGGGGGGGATGGCCTATACAATCATCCCTCCCCCCCCCCAATAATTCACCATCAAAAAAAAAAAGGGGGAGAGAAAAATTAAGGATGAGAGCCCGATGAGAGTAGTAAATGGTTATTACTCGCAAGATGACCATCAATATACACATTTTGCTATCTCATTTTCATAATACATACATATATACGAAGTAAATAAGACAACCGTATATGAGACAAGAATAAATTGAATGCTCGCTCATACGGCTTCATCAGGAATTGATGAATTTATCCAATTTGTTCAATCAACAGCATCATAGAAATGCAGTGCGCCAAATGCAAAGACGCAGCGTCAAAAAGCAACGAGCTAAATGTTAAGCGCGAAGCGCAAAAATAGCAATCTGCAATGCACATCAGACAATCCTGGACAGTGTAAACATAGATGAACTCTGTGACGATTTCGTGATGAGATCGGAGACAAGGAGAAAGATTTTCGGACATTTAGTATGACTTATAAAATAGTTCTCTAGTTGATATGTAAAGGCGCTAAATAAATACCAATAATATGTATGTATGTATGTTATGTTGTTTCCGTTCACCCTTTTTTTTAAAAATTCACGTCATTGTATCTTTATTTTTGTTTTTTTCACTCATTTTATTTCCTGATATTTCCTAATAGATTTTTCATTTTTGGAGAAAGATTATTATGACACAACTTATTTGTGACACAAATTATTTTCAGTGGGGAAACTGAATTCAGACAAGGATTAATATAGAGAACTGTACAACGAATCGTCTCCTTTCTCTAATAATTCAGTGAAAAGGGCAAAGCTGTTAGGAGGCAACTGAATTCAGACGTGGATTAAGCGTAATAATCAAATGAAACGTCAAAGTACACGATACAACGAAGCGTCTTCTTTTACGAATAATTTAATGAAACGTGAAAGCTTCCGCGCTAAGCGCGGAATGGGCGAAAATGAATACAGACAAGGATTAAGTGTAATAATTTATTGAAACGTTAAAGCTTCCGCGCTTCGCGCGGAAGGGGGGGGGGGGGAACTGAGTTCATGAAGGACACGATACAACAAATCGTCTTTTTTCACTAATGTGAAAGCTTCGCGCAGGAATGGGCGAAAATGAATTCAGACAAGGATTAAGAGTCGAGAATGGTACGTAGGATCGTCTTCTTTCTTTAATCATCTAATGAAACATCAGAGCTTCCGCGCTACGCGCGGGGAAGGGGGAGGGGGGGGGGATTTGATTCAAACATTAAGGATTAAGAGTCGAGAATGGTACATCGAATCGTCTTCTTTCTTTAATAATCTGATGAAACGTCATACGCGCGGAGGAAGGGGAACTTGATTCAAACAAGGATTAAAGTCGAGAACGGTCCAACGAATCGTCTTCTTTCTCTTATAATTTAGTGAAACGTCAAAGCTTCCGCGCTTCACGCGGTAGGGGAGAAACTGAATTCATGAAGGACACGATACAACAAATCGTCTTCTTTCTCTAATGTGAAAGCTTCCGCGCTTCGCGCAGGAATGGGCGAAAATGAATTCAGACAAGGATGAAGAGACGAAAATGATACATAGGATCGTCTTCTTTCTCTAATAATTTAGTGAAACGTCAAAGCTTCCGCGCTTCGCGCGGGGGGGGGGGGGGGAACTCCCCCTCCCTGCACGCAACCCCCTAGGGACCGCGCTTCGCGTGCTCACTTCCGCCCCATAAAATGAAATCCTGGCTACGCGCTTGGGAGGGGTGCAACTTGCCACATACTTCTACCTCTTGATTGCTTTGATCCATTGCCGAAAATATTTTGGCACCTATCATCCCCCCAACCACGAATACAAATCGACACCCTTGCCCAAGTAAGTACAAATCATATCTTGAGGGTATAGGATGTCAGAAGAAAAATATGGTGAAGTTATAAGCCTATTCTTTTATGTCATTTTTACGCCTTTGTTGTTCCTTACAGACAGAGGCGGCGGAGCGACCTCCAATCCAAAGCAGGGGGGGGGGGCAGCAACAAAAAAGGGCACTTTCTGGAAAAAAGGGCACCTTCAAAGGAAAATCTCAGAGCAGAAATATATTATATACATATACCCCTATATTTTGATTACATTATCAGGGATGATTCCAATAATTGTTTCTCTTTTTACATCATATAAGATATTGCTTAATAAGCATCATACTTTGCAGTTGGGTATGATGGTCTCAAAATTCATTTGCGAGCGGGGATTTAAAAAAAAATAGATTTGTGAGTCGCAGTGCGAAAAATTACTTCTTTTAAAGATGAAAAACTCCATCCTGATGGGATTATAAGCACTTTCTCATAACGGAAGACTAAAAAGACCTTTGATAAGTTACATAATCATAACATCTAGCTAGGCTAAACAGTATTTAACTCTTGATGGAGCCTACTGAAACAATACTAATAAATACATTAATAAATTAATAACTACGAGCGAGCGTAGCGAGCGAGCTTTGGGGGGAACTGTTCTTAGTCGCTTAAAATTAGGGGCACGTTTAATGATGAGAGGAATAGCGGGACACTTATCGAAACGGTTAAGACACTTATTAGAAAGAAAAAAAAGGAGCAAGTGTCAAAGTACAAAGGCTAATTATCAGGGGTGAAAATGGGGCACTTCTTAAACTTAAAAAAAGTGGCACGCACCAGGGATGAAAAGGGATTTTTATGAGAAAGGGAAATGGGCATTTGTCGACGGAAAAGAGGCACCCATCAGATTTTGATAGGGGCATTTATAAAAAGTGAAAGGGTGCATTTATGAACGATCAATAGGGTTCTTATAAGAAAGGAAAAAGGACCAATATCATTTTTAAAAGGGTAATTATCAGAGGTGAAAAGGGACACTCATAAAAATGAAAAAGGGGCATTAATTATAACGAGAAATGTGCATTCGTTGAAAGAAAAAGGGCACTGATCAGATTCTAATAGGGGGACACATCGGAGGTGAAAGGGGTAGAAAGGGGGCTTTTATGAGGAGGGGGAAGTAGCTCTTATTTAAAAAAAAAAAAAAGAGGCGCATGTTAAAATAAACGGGGCACTTATCAAAGATGAAAAGGGGGTAATTATGAGAAGGAGAAGGGGAACTTATAAAATTAGGAAGGACAAAGGGGACGTGTCAAAATAAAAGGGGCATTTATATAAGATGAAAAGAGCACTTATCAAGAGGGGAAGGGGCACTTGTTAAAGTAAAACGAGTATCTCTCGGAATTTAATAGGGTCATTTACAAAAGATGAAAAGAGGCACTTATGGGAATGAAAAGGGGCACTTATTAAAAAGAAAAGGGGGCACATGTGAAAATAAAAGGTGCGCTTATCCGAGTTAAAAGAGGTAGTTAATAATAGGGGAAGGGGCACTGTTTACAAAGGAAAAGGGGAACTTGTCAAAGCGAAAGGAGAACCTCTCAGATTTGGATAGGGCAATTATCAGAGGTGAAGGGGGCGTTTATCAAAAGTTAAAAGGGGCGCTTCTCGTACCTGAAAAGGGGAACTTACTAGAGATTAAAAAGGCACTTATGAGAATGGAAAATGGACACTTTTTGCAAAGGAAAATGGGAACTTGTCAAAGGAAAAGGGGTACGTGTCAAAATAAAAGGGGCACGTGTCAAAATAAAAGGGGCACTTATCAGGGGTGCAAAGGGGAAGGGGCACTTGTCAAAAAAGGGGCACTTTTCCTATGTAAAAAAGGGGCACTTCTCACAAAGTTAAAGGGGCACTTGTCCCATGTAAAAAGGGGCACTTTGGGGATACTTGAAAAAGTGGGGGGGGGGGGGGAGCACTGTGGCCCTGCCCCCCCCCCGGGGAGCACCGCCTCTGATTACAGATACCACGACCGTTTGATGATTGGTTGATTTTTATTCGCCAAGCTTCCAACATACAAAATATACAAGAATAATTAATCAAAATTATGCCAGCTTGAACAGAATAGCCTACAAAAGCTCGAGAGCTTATTTCCAGTGGGGTCCCCGGCATACATGTACAAAATTAATAATTTAACATACATATATTTACAGACAGATAAGAAAAAACTTATTAAAGATAATAATAAAAACAACATTATTAAACTGATGATTATAGAAATGATAAGTACAAGAAGAAAAAGAAGATGAAAATGGATCGACACATTGACGTAATCGTTCTGTCTTTCACTTATATTTTAAAGCACATTCAATAATTAATTGTTCTCTCTCTCTATCTCATTCTTTTTTTCTCAAGAAATCTGGATAGCTGTAATTGCCAATTTTGTTTACTGCCCCGCCCCTTCTGTTATGTAATAATAACGGCACATTGCACACGTACACAGTACAGCTAGGGCAAATTGTACTGCTTATTGAAATAGCTGGCGCTGTTTATCATCGCAAGAAAAGACGTAATTCGGGATGCAAAGTGTCAGCTAAAACTGCATTAGATTTACTATTTTATACTGGAGATGACAATAAAGTGAATCAACATCATGCCCCTCTTTAAGAGGAAATCGGGTAAGTTTCATTAGTTGTTAGTTTTAGGTAACTTTAACTCTATTAAATGAAATTAAGCTGGAAACATTCTTGCGATTGATAAGTAGCCGGCGAGTATTTGTATTTGGCCCGTTCGCAAGATGTGTGCATTGTCATGATTGTCAGATTGTGTATTGAGTGAGTGTGTGGCCTTGGTCGTTTGAAATTGAATGGTGCATATTTATAAATGCTCTGTGCAATGAATAGTATCACTATCCGTGTATATTTATGTGAAGCCATTAATGCATTGTCTGAATTTCAATTACTTGAAGATTTTTTGTAGGATTCAGGAATATGCCATGTCTACTAATTCTGAGAATGAGGAATGACCGCATAAACGAGGATATCCTCGTAAACACTGACAAATTGCGTCCTTAAAAATAAGGATCATCCTCATTTTTGCGGATATTATTTGTCCTCAGCGCTCTGTCGGTTTCGCGGGTTCCCGAATCACGTGCTGGTGATGCGAAAAACTGATTCCGCGTAAGAAAATAACCCCAGTTCACCGTCGACTTTTATGGGTTGTCCGTTTTCCCGATGATTTAACGCTCATAACGTGAAAGTCTCTGTACAAACTCAATGTAAAATGCATCAAGAAAATCATAGCGGAATCCGTTTTTCGCATAGCCAACGCGGATTGGAAATATGAAACGTCTGGGAAAATGAGAACGCGTCCGTCCGCTTTTACGAAGACGGTCCTCGTTTATGCTGACGATCCTCATTCTCGGACCAGCGGCCTCTACTGTTAATAAGCCAAATTGATCATGTCCGTGTCTTTGTCTTTCTGGTCATGTCAATGGATGTCTATCGTTAATTTTTTTACCTTGTCAATGCCAATAAATCATGCAACATAATTTTATTATCTGCTGGAGGGATGCAAATTTCACCCTGATTTATACATGTACAAACTACAAAGCATCTATATAATGTCAGGAGAACAGATGCTATAGCGGCTATACAAATGTACTTAAACAAGTTAACTTTTGTAATTATTCATGTCTGCTAGTGCTATGTGAATTGTGATAAAATCATTATTTACAGAACTTATGTTGTATTCTGTATATTTTCAGGTGTCAAAGAAATGTTGAAACTCACTAGGTATGCATCCATTTGCCATACAAATTTCTGTACAAATTGAATTGAAACAAAGTACTTGTATAATCATAGACCTGCATTTTCATTGTGGCTTTCCAGTTGTAGAAAAAAAAGTGCAGCAGCCGACAGCTGTACGACAGACGTCACAGCATGGATCTCCACCAGGAAAGACAACCCAGCAGCAACAGAGAGGGCAGCAACAGCAGCATCCGCAGCAACAGCAGCATCCGCAGCAACTCAAGAACAGCCCTCAGCATGCTGGTCATAGATCACCAAACTCCAATCAGTCTGGCCAGCCTGGCCCTAGACCTGGTCCTAGACCTGGTCCTAGACCGGGTCCACCTGGCCCAAGACCTGGTCTTCCTGATGGAGATTCCAGGAGAGTGGAGAGGATCGATGATGGCACAGCTGCCATGGCTGCAAGCAAGAACCTCAGAGATAGTCGGATGGCAGCAGGTGCCCAGTTCAGCAATGACGAGAGTGATGCATTAGGAGATTTGGGCAAAGGTGAGAAGCAGACATATCCCCTCCCCTGACAAGAGTAGACGTAGTTTCCTAAGTTTTAACTATGGCCCTCTCAAGACTCAAATTGTAAATGCAAACTAACCCCCCCCCCCCCCACCCCCAAGGAAAACAATACAAAACAAAAAAATTATAATGAAGGTCCATGCAAACAGACTTTAAAAGCATTAGTCTGGAGTTCTTAAAAGAAGAAAAAAACATTGAAGGAACTCATTCCTACAAGGTACATGGTCCTATTCACTCCAACTGGGTGAAGAATGACAAATGTTGGTTTTAAAATGTCTTGCCAGAGAACATAAATTTTGAGCTGAGGCTTGGACCCATGACCTTTGCATGTCCAGTGACAGTCAGTGTTTAAACCACTGCGACACCTTGACATGACATGTCTGTGGCTACATGAGAAAATAATTGTTTATCTCCTTTGTAATGTAATTTGGGGGTGATCTTTTTAGACTGCTGTAAAAGAAAGTGACCTATTACGATGCAGTGATTACCAGTGATCATTGAAACCTATGCTCTTTTCATCTTGTCATGTTCCAAGGGGTTGGTAAGCTGGAGACGACAGACCAGCCCGTCAATCGATCCCGTCTATGTAAGAGCTTGAACGAAGCCCTGCACGATAACGGAGCCCTGCCCTACTTCATTCAATACATGGCGTCCTGTGACAGGAAACAACTCGTCCAGTTCTGGCTAGCGGCAGAGAGCTTCAGCAATGCCTCTTGGTCCAAAATGAGAAACGACTCGATGATCATGGGGGATTCCTCGGTTGCTGGAAACCATATAACAACAACAATACCAGAGGATCGATCAGAGAATGTGGATCAAACTCGGAGCAAAGAAACAAACTCGTCTGTGATTAATAGCAAAGAGACAATGTGTAATTCGAGTGAACCGTCACCGGGAAGCGGTTTAACGAAAACGAAAAATAACAATATTGACTTGCCAAATGTGGATGAAAGTTATTCATCTAGTAAAGACACAAGAGTTGCAGTGGAGCCCCCTGTATCTGTGCAGAAGGAGAGTGAATCACCAAGTAGATCTCCTCAAAAGACTCACACGAGGGCGATGTCCGATTCAGCTGTAGGTGTCGGCAAGATGTTTGGTAGTGGTGCCAGTTTCCAGCCAGGTCATCAGAGACATAACTCGTGGAAAGAAGTGGACCCAAGAACGGGTAATTTCTAAATGCTCTGCATGAGTTATTTTGTTTTATCATTGCCTGGAGTGAATTATCTTTTGAGATGGAATTTGTATGATTAAAGATCACATTGTTTCTTGTAAAACATATTCAAATTATTATCTGCATTTAAAGATGGCATCCTCAAAGGAGAATGAAACTGGTAAGTATAAAATACACAGACAGGAGTCTCGGTTACTGGGTGGCACTACATCGGTACAGCATTCAATGGGTTTGGATTATGAGTTCAATTTCCTTGGGTGTGATATGTATATGTGCTCACGATAGGTATGAGGTACATGTACATGTACATGTACCAGAATTAATGTGTTGTGTGGGTAAAATAATGGGAGCCATTGAACAAATGATTTTTGAATACTTGTATATAACCATGCTGGAAAGCCTTTACATACTCTGATAAGATAAGCATAGAAGGATAAATATAGAACGATAGATATACTTTTGCTGAAAAATGAATCTTACCGGCTGAGTGTCCAATTTAAGCATAAATACAGAAGATTTGGTTAAGTTTGATTCAGTTTAATGCTCTTAAATCTATGTATTTTTTAATATTTAAGTGAGAGTTATGTTTCTTACCGTTCTTTCTGTCCACATCACTTTGGAATTTTTTTTATCTGAAAACGCTAAATGTCAATACGATCAACCAACATTTCTAGGAATGACACCAAATCCTTTTGTCTATACATTTCTTATGAATATTATTTGTGTTTATATATATTCATGAAAAAATTGCATCAAATTTAAATTACCGGTAGTGTATTTGTATGCTTAAAAGCAATTATATCTTTAGTTCAGTATACATGTAGATACCTTCATAATTCATTTGTTTTCAGATAATCCAATCTGACTATCTTAAATTTATTCATGTGGTACATGTAGCTGGTAGTAAATCATATTTTTAATGTGTTCAGTTCTATTGAGTAAAGCAAATACAATGAATGCCCAATTTTTGACTGGGGAAGGCTGATATAAAAAAATAATTTGCAAATCCTGACATTCTTTACATGTAGGTTGGATTGTTTTCTACTATAAAAGCTTTACATGATAGATTGATAAACTAATGCTAAATTCTCAGGTGAAGAAATAATTACTTATTCCAAAGTACACTGATTTGTTTCATCTATAGCGGTGGAGAGAGATGCCATTAACATATACACCAGGTACATCTGTAAAGATGCCACAGCACCCATCGGGGTACCCGAACATATTAGAATAGATATTATAGGTAAGTTCTACTGAATTTTATGGTTCTCAGTGTTCCATTAAAGCCTATCTGCACTAGTTTGGCCAGGAGGGATTAGACCGCCCTCTTGGTCACTGACAGGTGGTTATCCCATCAAATCAGCTCTCAATTAACATAAGAAAAAGGGGACCTTAACATAAGAAAAAGGGGACCATAGGGGATCAATGGGTATCGCTTAGGCATTGTTGGTTGTATAGAGGGCACAAGTAGCTACAAGTAGTAGTCCTGCTTTAAAGTTATTTAATATACCGGTACCCTATGCTCCAGGCTATAATTCATTACTGATATGGTTGGGGCAAGGTATAATGATCCGTCTGGGGTTAACAATTCAGAAGAATTCAGCCAGTGTTGGAGCAATTATTGCCAGAACACATGTGTTTTATAACCGCTCCTTAACAGTTTTATGTTTTGGTTGAGTTGTACAAATAAGTTTGAATTTATTCATTAATTTTTTTTGAAGAATATATGCTGGGAAGTATTTTGATTTACTGTACACATTCTTTTGTTTACCAGCATGCAAGAAATATTAAAGAAAATTCTCACTTTTGGTATTTTTGAGTACTTTGCTGCCCACAGCTGTCCAGATTTGAAATGGTATTATTAAAAGCTTTGATTGCTTAGATCTTGAAAATTATAGTGTGAAGATAATTCAATGTAGCATGATATTTTAGAAGATAAACTTTCAGTTCAAAGAGTTGTGATTTCATTGTTCTTTTTTTGTTTCTTTTCCAGCCAAGATTTGTCCCAAAGATGGCCAGTTTGATCCAGACAGTTTCAAAGCGGCCCAGAACTATGCATTCAGTGTTATGGAGAAGCAGTGAGTATACAATTCAGTATGAGTATTAGCCTTTGAGTTATGAAGATAAAAAGTGTTACGTTAATGTTTTTAACACCTATTTATTGTATGTCCTGTTCTGTATACCAGTACTGCTCTTTTCTTTGTTCTGAATATTAAATACATGTTCCTCAATTATAGTTTAGATTCACTGATTGATATTCCCTGTATCACAAATACTCTTTACCTCAAAACCTTCAAAACACATGCATTAACCCTATACAGGAAATTGGTAGTTACTATAGAAGGTGTTCTTTTGTAAGTTAATTATGCGTGACCTATGCAATGATTGAAATTTCTAATACTGAAATATATTTTTCTTTTCAATTGGACAAATGGAAAAACATGTAAATCCATGCCAGATGTTCTTTAGTTCATGTGTGAAATGTACAAACTGACATAATTTCTTCAACTTGTTTACCCCAAACATGATGTTTTTTATTCATTTTTTGTTCAGATATTTCCAGTCATTCCTGATGAGTGAATTCCATTGTAAATATCAGATAGATGTACTAACAAGTGGGCGTGTCTACCTGGCAGACATACTCTACAACGATGTAGCCACCTTCTACTTCATGGAGGTAACTCACTTCAGTCTCCCCTAAAACAATATTGAATATAATGAACATGATAATGAAATAATACATATAATAATGAAATGGAAATAAGAATGATAGCTTAATTCATATAATGCTTTTCCTCAGTATACAAAATGCTGATTTTTAGCATAGTTACTCTGATGAGAAGCTCGGACATTCAAGGACTTTCTGTCCCATGGTTCACTCATTTTCCATTTTCTTCACCTGGCTAGAGAGTGGCAAATGTAGATTAACGTTTTGCCTAAGGCAGGTATTCAAACCCAGTGCCATGTAGATGGGGGGGGGGGGGGGGGGGGGGGCTACATGCATCCTCTGGCTGTAATCTGCATATAAAAACCTTGTACCGGTACTCACTCTCTTACCAAATTTTACTTTAGTTAAAGAATGTTAGTTCTGACACCGATTCCATATAACCTTTGCTCGTTTTCCTAGATAGAATCCGAGTCCCAGATAAACGTGTATAAACACACCACATAATCACTCGACTGAAACATTCACACATCACTCTCCTACCAAATTTCACTTTGGTTAAAGAATGTTAGGTCTGACAGTTACATGCATCCTCTGGCTATAATTTGCATATACAAACCTTGTACTCCCTCTCCTACTAAATTTCACTTTGGTTGAAGAATGTTAGATCTGATGATAATTCCATTTGCTCGTTTTGCATTTATATACAGGGATGCCAGCTTTCAGGCCCTGGCGAATTATTTTCAGACCATAGTTTAGGCTTTTTTGTGTACAAAATAGCTCATTCTAGGTGATTTCCAGGCCCTCTGATCAATTCTAACTGGCATCCCGGTATATAGCCCTGAGTCCCAGAGAAATGTATAAATACACCACATAATCACTCATCTGAAACATGATTCTCACATCATTCATGTCCTTGTAGTACCTGGAGCAAGAGAATGCCGTCCATCTGCTGCAGTTCTGGTTGGCCGGAGAGAACTTTCAGCAGCATTTGTTATCGCAGCAAGGGCAGTACGACCCTATGGAGGCTCAGAATGATGCTATGGTGCTCTATGAAAAGTAAGCTTGTCATGTCACATCGTATCACTTTAGATCTGTAGGTTATGATTATATAATGTAAGAAATCTCACTAAATTAATGGATCAATTGTTTTATTGAAGTCCATGTATAGATTATTTCACACCCAAACTTTGTCAGATTTCTTTGGTCTTAGTTGATTAATAGCTCAATACAGTGTTTTTTACTCTCAATTTGAAACAATGATCGGTAAATATATTTGACATCTTGCCTAGGAGGAATATTCCACATATGACCAATGTTCCTTTCAGATTTCACACTAAAATTTGTTTGAAATGGTAGATAAAGTATCTACATGATGGCTCAAGCCTCTTTTGATAAATTTTGAACAATTCAGGCCATTCTTAATAACATGTTTCATCCCATCATCCCAATTTTTGTACTTACTCTAACCAAACATTATCTTTAACAGGTATTTTTCATTACAAGCTACCAGCCCTCTAGGCTTCGATGATAAGATCCGATTCGAGGTGGAGAGTAATATATGTCGGGAAGGTGGACCGCTACCATCATGCTTCTCTGCACCCATGAGACAAACCTATACTACACTAGAAACAGTGAGTATTCATAAACCCCAATGCATTAAATAATGAAGCAATATTCCCTTTTAAATATTTAGTGATAGTTTATGGGGCTGGGGAAAAAGAGGAATGGAAATAACATGGGGAACATTGAGATTGAGAAAGAGAAGGTGAATGGGAGAGAGGGAGAGAGAGAGGGGGGGGGGGGGGGGGAGAGAGAGAGAGAGTGGAGAGGTGGGATAGGAAGAATATCTGGAAGATGAGGGGGTAGTGGGAGTTGGGAGGTAGGTTGATATTTTGGAAGTGAGTAGGATAAGAAGAAGAAGAGAGAGGGAGAGTGCGTGGCACACACAGATGTTAAAAAGATTAGGGAGAGGTTCAGAGACAGAGACACAAATGTAGAGTTCCATTATATTATTTTTTTTAGTCTCTTATATCCCAGCTTTGTCTACAATTGATGATTAATTTTGGGTTGCGCTTTCATGAGGCCCAAGAAAGGTCAATTAAACTTTGCATACACTCTAATCTTTGAAATATTTCTAGATGCATTTTCCTGGGTTCCTGCGCACCGATCTCTACTACAAGTTCCTCAACGAGCTCATCAGCAACATCAAGAATGAGCAAGGGTCTATGGCTGCTGCGGCAGGGTCTGTTGCCACAGCCCTGGAAGACGATCAGTCGTCCGTCTCCTCTGAGCCCGCTACCAAGGGGATGCGCAACACCCTGCTGGCTGAGGGCAATGTGGTCAAGCTCTTTGACGGGGATCTTAATATCGACCAGATGAAGTTTGATCCAGACTCTCTCTGGCAGAGACCTCAAGCAGGGTGAGATAGATTATTTGATTTGATATGATTTTATTTATTTATTTCTGGTTGATTTTCTTTTTCTTTTGCAGTTTTACAAATATACATCTTTGCAAATTTTACACATGGTAAAAGAATATATGTAGAATAAAATAAGGCTGGCTGTAAGTAATCGAAAATATCAAACAGATTATGTCAGATTGATCAAACACACCACTGGCCATGTGTACTAATGATGCTCTTGTCCTTAGTCCTAAATGTAACCCTAAGACTAAACTTTATTTTTGAACTAACTCGTAATCTAACCCTAAGACTGAACTCAATAACACTAAACATTATTCCAATTGTAACTACACCTATCCCTACACCTAAACTTAAACCCAACTTTAAGCATAACCCTTATGCTAGATATTTGGGTAGGACCTGTTTTGGATAGGACCATTGGGATTTGTGACCAGTGAGATTACAACTATATATATATATAGATACACTGTAAATATACATGCATTTTTACTCTTTTTGTATTTTTTTAAAGTAATTTCGGTGAGCAAATTATTCATATATTGATGACACTCATGGCGGAGTTTGTTGTCATGATAATTTTCAAGTTAGTCAAGCTACTGATCTAGAGTTGTGTAAAACAGGATCATACATTGACACTGCTACAGGTCATAAGTAGCGGAAAGCCTCCGTTGTCTAGGGGGGAAAATGCCACTCTTTCCAACTGGTTAAGTTTTGTATCTATCTTGCTCATCCTATTTTTCTTCTTCAGGAATACCGGTATGATGTTTGGCAAGATGGATCATCTAGGTCAGTTTGTACCTGAATATGAACCGGATCCAGAATCACTTCTGAAGAGAAACTTGTCTACTAAATTCTCTCTCAAGAAATTTGTCACCAAAGAGGAAGATAAGGTGGGTTGTGTTACGTTCTTGAAATACTTTTATTGAAACAATAGAGAAGGATATTATTCTTGAATTTGGGTTTATTTCTGTATGCCTTGAGCTGTCTGTATATTTTTAGTAGGGGGTGGTTGCAAAAATGTCTGGATGTTTTAACTCTTGCACAATAAAACGGATGGAAAGAGCACGCTGCCTAGTTTTGATTAGATTATAAAGAATCAATTCTATTTCAAGCATGTCTGTGTGAATACTAAAATCCATGTTGCTGATTTTCAGTGTACTACCTAATTTCAGGTCTTGCCACCTCGCTATCGTTATTTTTTTACAGGCATTATATCATGCAGCACATGTAGGGCTCAAATATTTCTTGGCTTTATTCCATGCTGGCTAGGCAAAATCAACATGTGTCTGTGTAAAATGATCCCAGGGTAATTAATTGTTCAATTTCCATAGATTCATTTAGATTTATCTAGCTTTATGGGGAATGTCTTTATGTGTTGCTTTAAAAGAATAGATGTTGTATTGCCCTTTGCGACCGACCCAAACATTTTGAAATCTAGGGTCGGCTTTATAAAAAGTAAAGTTTAAAAAAAAAAAAAAAGTGTTTAATGCAATTAAACTGAGAATATCAGCCCAGGAGGGGAAAAAAAAGATTTCCGACTGACCGACCCATGTTTTGGCACCTAAAGGGCAATACAACATTTTTTTTTTAGGCCTAATAAGGAGATCAACCATAGTGAGTGAAAGATATTTTTTGTATTTTTGTTTTCAGAGTAAAGAAGAGATGGCTCTGAAGATAGCCCAGATGATCATCAACGATGTCAACATGCAAACCCAGGGATTAGCAGGAGAGGATATACCGTCCCCTACTGCAGCTAAACCACCACAGGGATTATAGCACAGGATACCATACTTATCTCATCAGAAAAGATGATTAAAGGGCCAGTCCCCCAGTGACTGATAATGATAATGATAACTGCAAATGATTCCCGAAAGATTCTTGAAGGTATTTGATATTGGATGAAGTAATGCCTCTGATGTGAAAAAATAGGTGCTGAAGTCTAAGTAGCGTAAATCATAGTGTATGGAGAGATATTGTTGTGATGCATGCATACATGCGATCAGGGTCATTGGTCAAATTTGTGACTTTGTGCATTTCCTTCCAATATATAATCTCTATGGGAGGGAACTATATGGAGCTCTATGAAATGACTAGACTAATCAGGAAAATATTTGGTGACGTAATTATCTCTCTCAACGAGGTTTGGAGTAAATAAATGAGATAGGACCTGCAACACCGATAGCCATTACATTTTTGGTGTAAAACTTCAGGAGGCTGATTTGAGAAAAGTTTATAGTTGAAGTTATCATTATCATTATTGGTCGAATGGGACCAGTCACAAAGTTTTGCATGGTGTTTGTAAGGTGTTCAAAGTTGGTGTGTATCATTTTAATATATAGGACAATTTGATTCTCTTGCCAAATGAATACAACTTGTTAGCATCTAGATGGATATATATGTATGTTGACTTCAGTTCAGTTGTATGAAGTGTTGCAGCTTGTAGTGATAGATCGATCAAGATTTGAGAGTCACATGACAGTGTCATCTGTCTCTTGATGGATACCTTTATACCTGGACCAGTTTCACAAAGCCGTTTTCAATGACAAATGACAAAAATCAGTGACAAATCTGCTGATAACCAATCAGAAACAAAGATTTCACTAGCTTATAACAAAAACTGTCATTTGTCATCGATGACAAGTTTTGTGAAATGGGTCCCTGGAAACCTTGGTCAGCATATGATGATCAATAATGATGTGCAAGAGGGTTCAGTCTTGATGACAGCAATTGCATACTGGGTTGTCTCACATTTTCCAATCGTGGAGGTTGTTAACTACTTGTTTAATGCAGCTTGTTAGTGTAGACATAAGCATATACAGGTACCGTATTTGCCGGCGTTAAGGCCGCAATGCCGTATAGAAAGTGACCCTGTTAAAAAGCTTGTCATGTTCTTTCCATTGCATATTATTACATCCCTAATTACAACCATTGTAAGCTTTAATTAGTAGAGAATAGGGACATAAGTTGGGAAAGTGTCTTTTTTGCCTTGCTGGTAATGGTTTTCCATTAGAATTACCCTTCATTTAAAAAAATTTAAATCTTAATGAATTCTTTAATGAATGGAAATAAGAAGGGTCTGCTTAATCACTTGGAAATGGAATTATGTAAAAGCTTTTTTCAAATTATTGTTGGTATTCTTCTGTTCTTCCCTGTTGAATTTTTCACACAGTTGAGCATTAATTGAATATGCCTCATACATACCACATGTATTCACATTGTGTGTAGTTTTCGCATTCAAATCATAACATCAATTATTGTATACAACTGGCTTACAGTCTACAGGCCATTTGAAATATACATTTAGGTAATAGGTCACCATGGCTTAATATTGAAATCAATAGGTACATTATATTCTGAGGAACTGATATATATATCTAGCTTCTAGTATGGTCGTCTGTCCGTCCAAGATTTGAACTCTACATGTGTAACCAATGAGTTTTAAATCACTTTAGGTATATTAGAGGGTGTGCATTGCTATCATTTTTCCATTCGGGTGAAGCTTGTGATAGTTTATATAGTTTGACATTTGAGCACAGCAATCTTCATAAGTTATAGCTCATGAAGAGTTCTATTCAGTGAATGGCATTTCAAGAGGTACTGGTTTACGTAAATTGATTCTAAATTCAATAATTGTGCGTCGATATCAGAACATTCAATCTCATGGAATGAATTTACACAGTTCAAACCACTTTTGTCATTTCGATTGGTGGCTAGCGTTTTGCTGGGATGCACTGGTTGTAATATGTGAACCCTCGAGCTGAAAATAGGCCTGTCACGGCTTGCTGGTGGGGGCCCGATTCTAACTGAAAAGCATGATAGTCTGCCAATGATGGAGTAATTACTGATGTAATCCTTTGTGTTCTTTTGTGTCATATTGGTGTTATTATGTGAAAGATGTGATCAAATCAATGAAAGCAATATTAATTATGTGTTATTATAAGTGGTTGTGTCTACTTTTGTGTGATGTACATACTTCAGGAAGTATTTTATCAAGATTGTGATGACTCTTAGCAGTGATACAAGTATCTGTTGTTTCTCATTACAAGATGTAAATTGTGATTTAAGATCAAACAGGCCTGTTTTAAGTTATAAACAGAATTTATTAGCCATTGTTATATTGTGACAAGGTATTGTGAGTTACTTTTTTTCTTGCTGCTAAATAACTTGAGTAAATAACATATGTTGCTCAGTGGTAGAGCAGTGGTTTCGTAACCAGGAGGTCCTGGGTTCAAAACCAAGTTGATGCGTTAGTGCCCTTTGGTACGGCAGTATTCCTTATTACTAAGTCCCTCACGTAGGAATAAGGCGTCTGTCCCCTGTTTGCTTACATGCTTTCTCGGCAGTCGGGTTAAACCTACCAACCAACCAACCTACATATATAAAAAAAGAAATTGCAGAAGATCATACTTTTATTATGTCTTCAAAACCGTCATTATGGTATGCTTGATACAGCAATATAATTTAGTTGAATAGCCAAAAGCATCAATAGGTCACTTGAAATGGGTTTGTCGCAGTAGTGGGTTTCGACAACCCCAAATTTCCCATCAATGAAGGGGGAAAAAAAAGAAGAAGGGGGGGGGGGGGGAGAAGAAGAGTGAGAGGAACGCCCCAAAATAAGGTTGAAAGTGTTTCAAATTTGCTTACTAGGATTTTTGTTTTTTCAGATTTTTAAATAAGAAAGAGAAAATTGAAAGGTTGGGGGTGGTCGTGGAGGGGTGTTACACTTCCCCTGTAGCAACACCCTTAATCATTATTGTGTGTGCTTAGATTATTGCTGTCAACCATTGCATGACATTGTTACCATTCATTCCATTGTAAACAGTATTGAAATATAAATGTAATGCTAAATAGAGGTATCAAATATAATTTCTTGTGTTATTCCACATTGTATTGTATTCCATCATATTGCTAGTTTTAATTAGAAATAAAAGGTTTTTGTTTTATTTTTTACTGTCTTGTAGTAGAATATCATGTATTTTTACCTCATGAATTTTGGTGAATATTCTTTATTTTTATTAAAGAAATACCTCCAGAAGCTACATGTAGAATAATATGTAGAAATGAAATAGGCAACATTCATTATCACTTAAGGACTTGAGTTCTGTAGATAACAAACATTTAGAATAGTGAAAATGGATTTTTACTTTGCCATGCTCACCTATGCTGCATCTCTGGAATTTCTTTCTTTTTGCAACTTTGAATTTCCCATGCTTGCGTAAACTAGTGTTCATCGTTTTATATTGCCTAGAAATGCTATCCTCCATTATACATGTAGACATTATTTTTATACAGAGGTGCAGCTTATATATTCATGATATACCTGTAAAAGTTTTTATTAAAGTGTACTAAAATTATGTTCTTTACGTTAAGAGCTCAAATGTCTCTACATTATATTCAAAATATGAACTTCAAATATTACTTCTATAAACAGATACTGCAAAATGAAACACTCATAATTAACACAAAAAGGTTTTTGCACAGGATTTATGTTATTCTCCATGGTCTCGGTCTGTTGGCCTATACAATGCCAGGTTAAATTCTTTAAGGTCATTTTATACATTCTTGCTATAACCAAATTATTTTTAAGTGATTGGTACACTTTAAATTCAAAAATGTTATTTGTTCATTGATAGCTGCTTCGTTTTCCCTATTCCTGAAAGTGCATAGGGACTGCATTTATGGTGATATGCATGATATAAATACAGTTTGTTAGTAGTATTATTGTTACTTACTTAAGGTGGGTTCCACTCTATTGGTTGTGAAAGTAATAGGAGTAGTGTATTGATAACACTTATTCAATGAATCAACCCTTTCAATACTATGATTCTCTTTTATGTAGCAAATACCCATATAGGTTAATTTGTGTTCAAAAGAAATACATTGTATTGAATTAGTTTGCATTGAATTCCCTGTCACAGGTTGGGAGCTACTCGAGGAATTTTGAGAATTCCATATTTTTTAGCAATTGATCATAATATAATTATACATTTTGTTTCAAGCCAGGCTTCCGAACATATGGGAAGAGAGAACTATAACTGTGAATGAATAGTAGTGCTATATATATATATAATAATTCTTGTTTGATGAATTTATTTCTGTGCTTATATATTTAAGAAGTTATAGAAGAGATTGTTAAATTTTTTAATAATTATTTTTTGTTGCTGTAAATTAGAAATTTATTGGCGAGACTTAGTCTTTGAATTTTAGATCATTAAAAACATCATTTTTTTCCTGAAGATTTGCAATCTTATTCAAGGTTCATGAAAGCAATCAAGGCTATGTATGGGTGATGATGTAATGTCGAATGATAAAATGTGGAACTCGTCAGTTTACTATTGCTCGATATACCACAGTGATTATGAAATGTCCAATGTATATATCCATGACCATTTTGTCCATTGGAGGTGTTTTATATGTGAAATCTTATGCGATCCAAGACGTTTTTGTATGTGATGTTGAATTATCCCAGCATGATATTGCCAATCACTAATAATACAGGTCAAAGAAATATATGTACTGTACATGTATGGAATATTATCAGAAATATAACATTTTTGAGTATATGTTATCATCTTCTTGTGAATGTTTAATGGCCATTTTTTAATGTGAATCTTCACCGATTATCAGTATAAGAGTTTGTAAGGTGAAATGAGAGTAAAAGATGGAAAAGAGAAAGGAGTTGGGAGTAGGAGGCGACAGAGACAGATAAATATATATTTTTTGATATATATATAGAAAAAAGAGAGAGAGAGAGAAATGGAAGGCTTGGATGAATCAGGAACTATGAAGAAGGGGGAAGGGGGGTACCTCTCGTCTATCTTACTAAAACTGTCATGGGTCAACGTCTCATATCTTGTATCTCCTATTATTCTAGATTTCAAACCCCCTCCCCCGCTCTTTCTATTTCTTCTCTTCATCTCTCTTGCTCTCTCTCTTTCTCTGACTCTCTCTCTCACCTGTATCTTTCTTAGGTATGTTTGTAATCATTGACAAATAAATAGAAGGTACATGTAATTGTATTGGAAAAGAGAAAGGAGTTGGGAGTAGGAGGCAACAGAGACAGATAAATATATATTTTTTTATCAATATATATTTTTTTATCAGTAAAAGAGTTTGTAAGGTGAAATGAGAGTAAAAGATGGAAAAGAGAAAGGAGTTGGGAGTAGGAGGCGACAGAGACAGATAAATATATATTTTTTGATATATATATAGAAAAAGAGAGAGAGAGAGAGAAATGGAAGGCTTGGATGAATCGGGAACTATGAAGAAGGGGGAAGGGGGGTACCTCTCGTCTATCTTACTAAAACTGTCATGGGTCAACGTCTCATATCTTGTATCTCCTATTATTCTAGATTTCAAACCTCCTTCCCCGTTCTTTCTATTTCTTCTCTTCATCTCTTTCGCTCTCTCTCTTCATCTCTCTTGCTCTTTCTCTGACTCTCTCTCTCACCTGTATCTTTCTTAGGCATGTTTGTAATCATTGACAAATAAATAGAAGGTACATGTAATTGCATTGAATATCTTACATTCTTTGTTCTACACATACAAAAATGAAAGATGAACAGACAAAAAAAATACCAAAGAGATGGAAGAATCTTCAGTCTGATAAAGAGTGCTTCCAAAAAAAAATATGGAGTACAAGATCTATAGATTGTCATCATATTACAAAAACTTGTACACATTGGAGTGTCTTAAAAGTACAGAGTCATAGTTTGCAAGTAAAACCACTCGAAGCTGATCACCTTATTGGGCTTCAGATTTGGTTCAAATCTGCTTGTAGTTGTCAAGGACCTGTTCCAAACTTGCGAAGCTGTCAATAAACTTCTCTTCTTCCATGCCATGCCTGACATACCAATGCACATATGCCCTCATGGCGAACATGTCCCATGCCTTCCTTACAATCGTGTTCAGGCTCCCAACTGCAGTTCTTCCATTGCTCATCAGGCAGGCCGACTTTTCATACGCTCGGAACTGCCTCGACTGATGGGAACACGTGAAGGCAAAGTCGGAAGGGATCCAGCCAACGTAGAGGGCGCTGTTCCGTAAAGGAGAAATGTCTGCTGTGGTGGAGTCCTTTCCTCTGAGGATGAGGTGATTGCTGATGCACTTGTTGCTATGTGTGGAACCGGGCTTGACTTGCCAGTTAAGACCTAAAAAGAGAAAGAAGAATAAGATCATAGTAGTCAAGACACGGCCGGAGCTCACACCTTTTTGCAGTACCTTCTTATATAGGAATTTACCTCATTTAAACAAGTACCCAGTAAAGGATTTGACATTAATTTCCTGCCACTGTGTGTTTACTTCTATAATAATCTTGAGGTGATTTCTACACTATATTTTAGTGTCTAATGAGGCTGAGCACTTCCTTAATCACAAAATTGTTAGATGACTACGAGACATCTTTCAGTTTATCCCCTAGATACTACTTTTGACCATACATATTCTTTTGTATAAGTATAACAGAAATTTGGTTGTATATCAAACTCTTTCCTAGATGGAAGCTTTAGACTTTGGATGCTACTGAAGCATACACATGACTTCAAGCATAAGTATTAAGTAGGCCTCTTAAATAAACTTGAGCTAAAGTTAAGCAAAATCTGAATCTAAATTCTAGTTGGTACATTAAAATATGTACCTTCCTCCATGACTGATGCATTGACGACCATCTGATGGAGGCGTTTCATAAGACCAGGCCAGGCAAAGGTACTGAATGGAAGAGATCCTTCAGAGGTCTGTGGCACACAATACATGGTGAGAAGCTTATAGTCAGGGTGTGACACCAAAGTCCCCATCATGTCACAGACTGTGGACGATCTGCCGCTGTGGTGGCTAGGTTGAAGCAATATAGCCATGTGCTCTGCGATGAGTTTATTCATATCGGTGAAAGATACCCCACTGTTTGAGCTTCCGGTGCTGCTGAAGCTGGAGCAGATCTTGCGCATGTGGTCATTATGAATGATGTTGATGGCATCGGCGCATTCATAGAGATGAGCCAGGGACAGGACAGCGTTGTAGTTCTGCAGGATGACCTCACCGCTGCAGTGCGGCCACACTAGTTGGTTCATAAGCAAAGCCTGCGGATATCGGTCTTTCAGGCATTGCGTGATGCGTGTACCTACACCAGACCCTGTACCACCTGCTACACTCATCAGGCTCAGGAAGCCACCAAACCTGTCACACTTCTCCACCTCCCGTTGAACCATCTCCAGAACTTGCTCCTCCACCACCGAGCCATGACCATAGAACCCATCTGCCCAATTATTCCCTGCCCCACGCTTCCTGCAGAACTGTTGCTTGTCTGGATACCGCCAGGTGCCCGACTTCTTCGCAGTAGCAACAGTATTCTGGATGACTTTGCTCTCCATGTCAACCATGACAGCTCTGGCTGAGGGTGTGGTCTTTGAGGATCCTTCCTCAAGGGATTGATGGAAGAATCTCTCAAGACATTCATCCTTGTAATCCTGATTGGAACTCACTGTACTGTGGGCGAGGTCAGACATGAGGGTCTGGAAAAAAGACAGTCCGATCTGATTTCCACATTGTCCAAGCTGCACAGTCACAATTGACATGATTGCTCTTGGGCCAGACCTCAAGAACGTTCAGTGGTAGCAGGTGAGTGTTAGACCTCAAGCTTATTAGCTGTGTCTAGTCATCAAAGGCTTTACCTGTGCCAGCAAAATGAGATACAGATTAAAATGAAATGCAGGAGTAGATCTATTGATAAATATTTCAGAACATCAGATTTTGTAAGTTGCTGGTGTGGGCTCGAACATTACTTATAATGTTCTATTATGCATGCTGTGGAAGTTTGTTTTAAACTTCTAAAATTTAAATGCAGAACTAGAGCTTATTTCTGTCTAAGAGGAATAGACCAAAAGCTTCAGTCTCTGATATCGACGGTTCTTCCGCTGAGATTACATCTAACTCCTCTGACTGCCTCTATCTATGGGGAATGTTGACAAATGTCAGTTTTATTAATGACCCATAATTCTGTCTGAGAGGAACCATGATCATGAATGAAATACAATAATGTTGTTTTAAACCAATTTATAATCTTGACTCGAGTCGAGTATATAAATGATTTTGATAAATTGATCATCATGTCAGGAGCTAGACCGAATTTTCTGTCTCTTTCGTTCGTTAAGCCTCTTATTTGGGTAGGGTCGGCTCTGACCCTACCCAAATAAGAGGCTTAACGAACGAAAGAGACAGAAAATTCGGTCTAGTCATAGTCAGGACCTAGACAGAAATAACTGTCTGATATGGGTCATTCTTTAAAGGGAAAGTCCACCCCCCAAATAAGTTTGTTTCGATAGAGGCAGAATAATAAGAAAATCAGGCGAGTGAAAGTTTGAGCAAATTCTGAATGAAAATAAGAAAGTTATGAATTATTGAAGTTGTGATCAATCAAATACAAATTGGCAACTCTGTGACTTATTATACGAGCTCTCCTTCATTTTGCTTTGTGCATAATATTCCATAAAATCATGTTTTCTTCGTTATTGATGACGGAATATATATTTGTTCCTTGCAGGGGGAGTATAGAAACATATTTGCAATTATTATATTTAGGGTGCATGTATGGTTGAAATTTTTCTTGAGGGAAAATGAAAATTTTAGATTTTTTTAGTACTGAGCAAATGGAAGTTGAGCTCGCATGATACGTCATAGAGTTGCCAATTTGTGTTTGATTGATCACAACTTCAAAAATCCTAACTTCCTTATTTTTAATCGGAATTTGCTCAAACTTTCACTGACTAGTTTCTCTCATTTTTCTACTCCTATTAAAACTAACTTAATTTCAGGGTGGACTTTCCCTTTAATGAAACTGACATTTGTTGACATTCCCCATATGTATAGAGGCGGTCAGAGGAGCCAGATGCAATCTCAGCGGAACCACCATCGATATCAGAGACTGAAGCTTTCGGTCTAGTCAGGACCTATAACTATGAACAGATGAATACATAGATTAAATAAAATTCAACTGTTGAACTGTTCAATCGTGCATGGTCACATGTAGTCTATGCACATTCATATGATTCATACTTTTCAGTACCGTTCATCATTACTTACGCCAGTGATTGGATAAACATTCTTACAATTCAACCGAATCCAGGAATTCCAAGCTCAGCCTTAGTCAGACATCTTGTCAGTGATCTCAGAAGACAGAACATTCTACAAACAATAGTACAAGCTACACAGAGCTGACAAATTTGGCGCGCCGGCTAGCCGATTTTGCTGTATGACCTCGCCGGACCAGCCCCGCCCACTGATCTGGAGGCGTCCGATAAAGCTAGCTCGATCGGACGGGTCGGGTGCGGAGCGTGTCGAGTGCTAGCAGAAAGTCGAGCGAGCCTACGCCGCGCCTCTGGCGAGGATCACTGCTTGTACACCGTACGTACAGGTATTTCATACGATACGACCGTGGAACTGTTGACAGCTCGTTGATTGCGCAATTCAAAATGGATCCTGCCTGTGAAGCTGAAATGAATGAAAGCTCCAACACACCGTTTTCAGATGAAAGGTATGAAACCAAATCTTTCAAAGTTGTGGAAATTATGAAGCTCAGAAAGATGGAAGACTAATCAAATGTGCGTTTTGTTTGACGAGGTGATGTTTTAAACGTCTGGAATGCCGGAGTTGTAGTCTGTCTTGATCGTGTGTGTGTGGCAATTAAGGTGTCCCACGTATTGGATATTGCGTTTGAGTCTACGGTGAAACAAATTATTTTTAAATAATGAACATTTTGACTGAGGTCAAACATTTTATAAGGTCATAGCCTACTAGATTTGGAATAAAAAGACTTGCTCACTGACTCACTCTAGAACAAAGGGTTGAATTTATTAACAGTCAGTAGGGGCGCTGGTCCGAGAATAAGGATCGTCTGCACAAACGAGGTTTGTCTTCCTAAAAAACGCAACAGACGCGTCTGCAAAAATAAGGAACATCCGCATTTCCGCTGACGATTCTGATCTCTGGATCCGCGCGTTGGCGATGCAAAAAACTAGTTCCGCAATGAATTTCTTTGAAGTATTTTACATTGACTTTGTACAGAGACTTTCACGTTATGACTCAAGCAAGGGATAAATCTTCGGGAAGACTGACAAGTGACAACCCATAACAGTAGATGATGAACTGGAAAAAAAAGGTCTGCGAAAATGCAGACAATCCTTATTTTTTATGGCATATTTTGTCTGCGTATATGAGTATATCCTTGTTTATGGGACGATCCTCATTCTCAGACCAGCGCTCCAACTGATAAAGGTTCTTGATTTTGACGTGTGAAGCTTAGAAAGCTTAGAAATAGAATGATCTAAAAAAATCTGATGACATTGTCATGATTGATGGTGGATAACATTGTGACTCGTTGTTGCTTTGGTTCTACTTACTCTTTGTTGCCATGGTAATAGTTTTGCTTCTTATTAAATTGTTATTAAATTATTCAACTGCTCAGTGATCCATCTAGTCAGACACACGTCCTCAAAAGTCAATGACTTGGCTCAGTGGCCTAGCTGCCGGCTGCCCTGGCCTAGCATTATCTTTCTTATGAAACCGTCATTCATCTTTAAGTTTGTCATTCTGAGCCACAAGATTTCACAAACGATGACAACTTAGTCTAATGTTGACATTTTCATGAGCTGTTATTTTTTGTTTTTGACATGTTGATGGCTTGGACTGAGAACAATATATTAAACATCTTAAACTTTCTTACCTTACGGGATCAGAATCAATTGTGATTTCATATTGCTCTAATTGTTTCACCTTTTTATTTTCATTCTTCCTCTAGTACATTCCTGACTGAACTAGAAGTACTGCGGGAAATATGTGAAGAAGACATTGATGTCAGTGACAAGTGAGTGTAAATATTCAATTCATTCAATTACAAAAGAATGTATATATTTTACGTTAAACGCATATTAAATGTTAACATTGGTCACCATAATACCAGTTCCTGTTCTGCTGGTGAACTTTCATTATTTGACAATTTAGAGGGATTATAGACGAAAAAACATTCTTTTCAAGTCCGAGGGCTCTGATGAATACAATTTTTTATTCAAAAATAAATTCAGCATTGCTCTTACTTAGGACATGGATATATATAAATCTTTAAAATGGTGATGTTTTTGCTTGCATTCTTGCCAAATTAGACAATTTAACCACCTTTAATGAGTGTGACACCAAATTAGTACTTACTTAAATTTAATATAATTGTTAACTATGACTGCCCCCTCCCTATATTATCATTGTATTTTTTCGCTTTACCAGACCTGATTCTGCAGAAGTGTGTATTACCCTTCACCCAGCTACAGCTGGTAACAAGGATGCTCAGTATGTGTGTCTTACTCTCATCATTATAGTGACATCGGAGGTAAGAATAAATTCATTTACACCATTTTGAAAAATTATCCCTTTAATCCCCCCCCCCCCTCTTTAATAAGCCTTTCAGCAATTCTAAAATAGAAATCATCTATAATACAATTCACAAAAATTGTAATTATAACTTGTTGCAATATCCTTGTGGTAAATGAATTGGATAGATGATGACCTTATGGCATTTTGCTATGTTTTATCATCTGCACTTATCTTAATTTGTGTATACCTCTGTAGTACCCTGATGTCCCTGCAAGTTTCCAATTCAGAAACCCTAGGGGATTGTCAGAAGATGAACTTGAAAGGTCAGTGTTTTTTTTAAATATTGTTTTTACAAATGATGACATGCATAAGATAGTTTACAAGTAGTGACTGCTTTTAGTGGAAGTAGTCAAATCTATATTGCCCCAAGGTGATATTGAAATTATGCCTTAGCGGCTATGCCTGAACTTTGAGTACAGTCCCAGGAGTCGGGACCATCAAGGACTATTGTCCTGTGACCCAAAGATACATTTACATTATCGGTATTCACATCAGATCATTACAAATGGAAAGAGGCGAGTAGTCAGAGGATTAAATGTGCAAATTTTGTGCTGAAAGCCTGATCAAAATGTTTCCTAATGGAATTTAAAAAAAAATTGCACAATTTCTATTACTGGGATCTTGACCCCCAAACTTTTTTACATTTATATCTTGACCTTGCACATGCCATTATATTGTTTGCACCTTTAATTTAAAAATTGTAATATTATATTTTTCTTTCAGGATATCCAAAGACTTGAAGAAGCTTGCTGAAGAGAAAATAGGATGTGAGATGATGTATGATCTTATACAGGTAAGCGTCCAAGATGTCTTTTTCTTTTAAAGTTTTGTCATTGCAGGAATCTCAAATCAGAATTGATTCATTGATATTTGCAATGGTAGAATATTAGTTTGTGCAAAATAATGAACATGTAAATGTGGTAAAACATTTTATTGTAAGCTATGTTTTAAGATTTTACTTTTACAAAATGTAATTCCCTTGTCTCACCAATACAATGTGTAGATGATTTATCGAGCTGATATATTTCTTCAGTAAGGTAAGCAATACAAATGCAAATCATTTTAAATACAAAAAGCCATGTTACTGTACACAAATAATTTTTTTTCTTTCTGATAGGCTGCCAAAGACTCCCTTACAGAAAACAACTCACCTAGCTTGCCTTGTACCATTTGCCAGTGCCTATTTGAGGTTAGTATTAGCTAAACTTGTTGACTTAATACCTACCATACATTTTTACCAGCTGCTGTTGAGATGAGAATTGTTGCAGCTGTGTTTTACTAGCATGTCAGTTACAATGTACCTTACCTTACTTAAATACAGTCAAACCTGGTTAAGTGACCACCTGTCTACAAAGACCACCTGTTTTCGTTCCCTTGAAAATGGTTTTTCATTGAAACATGTACTAAAGGAACCTGTCTACAAAGACCACTTTTTGTGTTTCCCTTGTAAATGGTTTCTCATTGAAACATGTACTAAAGGAACCTCTCTACAAAGACCACCTGTCTACAGAGACCACTTTTTGTGTTTCCCTTGGGCGGTCGCTATAGACAGGTTTGACTGTACCTATTTAAGGAAAGAATTGCTCAGTGTTATAGAAGTTCCACGATGAGCGTGTTGAATAGATACTTCCAAGCAGTATGACAGAATTGTCAGTAGTTTCTTATTTTAACTGTTACATTATCTATGTCCATCAATATAATTCAATTGGCAGAGCATATACAAAAATTGTAATTTTTTAAATTAATTGTTAAAGTGATATATTACTTTGTTCTCTCTTTTGTTGACAGGAGAGTGCTGTCTTTACCAAGACATCTTGCTACCACTACTTTCACAGCTTCTGTCTTGCTCAGTACCTTAAATACACAGAGAAAGATGAGGAAGAAGATGTAAGCTTATCATTTTTATACATGGTTTGATCATCGTAATCAACATCATTATCACCATCATCATAATGATAATTCATGAATTTAAAATGAAGGAAACATTTATTCAATATATTTTCAAGATTCTTCACAAGTCTGGAGACAAATATGTAGAGTTTCTGTATAATGCATAAAATCAGCATTTTGCATAATTAATTAGGCTATACCAACAAAAAAACGTGAATAATTACAAACATGCACATTTTCGTGTTCATCGGATATTCAATAGCCAAGATCATAGATCCAAGATCCCCCAGTGACGGGGGAGCTCAAAATAGCTCAGTGCAGTAAGGGTTAACAGAGCTCCAGGACAGAAGGAGCCTTTAAACATAGACAAATGAAATGTAACCTACCTCTTGTTTTCATAGCCCAAATGTCCTGTATGCCGTGAAGCCCTTGAAGTCACACTCCTGGAGAAGCTGCAGGATGCCCCTGAACCAAGCTATGATGATTGTCCTGATATTGTGATGACCCCAGATTTGCGCCGAAGGCAAGCTAAGATGAAAGCAGAGTTTGAACGCCAGAAAGCAAAGGGAGGCCATATTGATATAGAAGCAGAGAGCAATAAACATCTCATTAGCATCAGTCATGTAAGTTTACTCTTCAAAATGACCAATTAGTTTCCATTTCTTTGAAACAATCATTTCCCTCATGAGGATTTCAAAAAGCTATTTAGATTATCTTTGTGATGGCATTTAACATTGCATTGCATAAGTATCCCATTCAAATAGACTACCTATATCTAATTTACCTAAACTAACCCAATCAAAATAGCTTTTGGCATTGCACTGTTTCCTTGCAGTTGAAAAAAAGAGTTAAACAGTGCCTCACAAGTTTCTCCAAATAGAAAGGCCTTTGAAAATTCCTTGAACTGGTCTACAGAAGTAGCAGGCCTTTGAGTGTGTAACTTGTGCCATAACTTTGAAGCAATTGTGGACAGTGAAAGACAAGTAGAAATCATCGCAAACAGCACAGGAAGATGAGCAGTTGCAGTGGGTGGACATGACTAGTTGAGCAGCTTGTGCAATTCTTTTTCTTTGGTCAAACTTTGTGTTCAGGTTCCTAACTTGTCTGTAGAGGACATGGTAACACAGCGACTGAAGGATGCAAAACTCGCTGCAACCGATGCAAAGATACCTCAAGACCAGTCCAAGCCAGCTGCAGAACACACTCAGAGGAAGCACAGCGAAGGAGCTCCTGTCTTTGTTCATAACAAACATCGCGATCGACATGGAGGACGAGACGATGGCCGCCATCGGGGATCAAGAGGTCATGGAGAGGGAAGAGGTCATCAAAGGTCACATCCAAAGCATTCTGGTCGGAGAGATGAGAGGCCAAGTTCAAGTAGAGGTCATCAGAGGTCGGATCATCAAAGATGGACCGGTGATAGAGATAGACAGGTGGAAAGGAGAGGGAGTGATGGACAGAGAGGAGGGGAAAGGAGAGAGGAGAGTCGGACAGCCAAAGACAAAGAGTTGGGTGAATTGAAAGTGGACATATTAGATGATGAAAAAGATGTAAAACATGAGAAAGAAAAGATTAGTAATCAAGTAAATTGTGCATGTACGGAAAGAAAAGGGAGTGGGCTTGCATTATCAGCTACTGACACCAAAGGCATTGAAACCAAAGATATGAAGAAAGATGATGGTGACTGTGTCGTTGAGAAAGATAGGGTCAAGAGGGATGAGGACGGAGAAGAGAAGAAGCTGAATGATGGGAAGATCAACCACGAGAGTCCAGGGAGAAGGACTCAGGAGAGAAAAGACAATGGTGGTAGAGACATGAAAGGAATAAGGAAAAAGGAACATAGAGATACATTTACATTTCATCATAGAAACGATGGAAGTAGACATGATCATGGTCAAAATCATAGGAGACCTGCCAGGTCTGATCATTCAGATGTAGGCTCACAAAAAGATGATTCTCAAGAAAAACATGACAGTATGGATCAAAAGTTTCGAAATAATGAGAGAAGAGGAGGGCCAGGTGGACAGCAAATAGGCAAGGGAGGTTCTAGGGAAGGGACAGGGAGGGGCGGTTCTAGGGGAGGGACAGGGACGGGCGATTCTAGGGGAGGGATAGGGACGGGCGGTTCTAGAGGAGGGATGAGGAGGGGTGGTAGTAGAGGAGGGACGGGTAGAGGTGGTAGTAGAGGAGGGACGGGTAGAGGTGGGATTAGAGGTGATAGTAAACAGGAGAGAACGGGTGAAACCAGTTTTAAGGCAGGAAATTCAAACGAAAAGGCAGCGGTACGCAGTGTCAAGCCACCACCTGGATTTAACCAAAAGCCTGTGGTAAGTGACCAGAAGTGCAAACCCCCTCCTGGGTTAGATTTCAGATAATGATGGCTAGTAGTATATTGTTTTAAATATGTGCAGATTAAACACTTCTGTTGGAAGTAGATAGTTGGCTTGATTGCAGGATATCCCACCATGCATCACCAAAAAGCAGGGTCATGATAAGGCCCTAGGGTCAGTGTTAGGGTCAGGGGTACTTGTGTAGTTGGATATTCTGCTGTTGTTCTGGGAATTTGAACGCCTATCATGAATTCTTGTATGCAATGGAGTTGTTTTTGAAAATATTTCTGTCTTCCAGAAGACAAGTTTATGATTTAACATGAGATGGACATGTATGTAATTTTGTTTAAAATATTCTAAGAAATATCTATACTTGGTTTTCAACATCTTTTCATTCAAATGAAGCCATGTTCTCTGTTCTTTTCTTGATTAGTTAAAACTATATTTTTGAGGGAAGCTTAAGGTCATCTTGTCATGTCTTCATTTGTAAATAAAAGAAAAGCTATTTTTTTAATTATATTATGGACTGACATTATTATCAGTGATGTTGATATTTTCATCATATTTAAGTTACAATATAGTCAGATTTATAGACCTTTACTAAAGTACCAAGTAATCTGACCGGGAGACCTACAGGATATCCTACACTCCCGTATAGATGATGATGATGATGATGGACTTGGAAATCTACTTAACAAAATAAACAGTATTTGTCAAAGTGTACAATGTGGATGTCCAGTCCACCCACTGGATATTGAAACGTAATTATTTTAAGATGATGTGTTCATTTCATCATTCACAATGCTGATTCTGTACAAGTTTGTATACTCTGTGTAGAGTCAGGGCTGTTTGACCATTTCGATTGGTGGGGGAGGGCGAGGGAGGGGGGGGGGGGGGGGTTGGGAGATGGACCAATGTCAGGCCTGATAAAAACCTGATTAAAATCGGTTTCCCGCTTTTTTTTTTCTTCTTCCCGATTTAAAAAAAAAAAAAAAAAAAAAAAATCCAGATTTTTTTTTTGTTTTTTTTTTTAACCAGATTTTTTTTCTTCCCTATTTTATCCTGATTTTCCCGATTTCCCCCTTATTTTCTCTATTCTTCCCTATTTTGCCCTCTTTTTTTCCAATTTTTTTACTCGAAAGGGGGGAATGTTGTTAGATGCCATTTTTTACCCGCGAATCCTCTTCTTTCTTTTTTTTCATCAAGGGGGGCATGGTTGAGGGGAAAACAAAAAACCTTTTTTTTTTTTAGTGCTCACTATCACCCCTGCAATGTGCCGACGAGTTGACTGACAGATGTTCACACAATTTTACCTTAAAAGCAGGGGGGGGGGGGGGGGGGCTAAAGATGGAATTTAGCCGCTACACCCTCCCCCAACCCTGAAAGTGACTGATTGCCTCAAAATTGTCATTCAAAAGGAGTGCTAATACTACAATAAGGATGCTGGATACACAAGATGTTTGAAATGTAACAAATTTATATGAAAAGTATATTAAAAACAAGATGAATTATACCCAAATATTTGTGTGTGCTTTAAGTACAGGCTGTATATCTTTTAGGTTCAACGTTTTATTACAATAAGAGGGAGAGGAAGTAAGAGAAAGATTGTGAAATTAAGATAGGATAGAGAAATTAAGAGAGAGCCAGAAAATTGAAAGGGAAAGAGAATGGATAAGCAATTAAGCGTAAGAGCTAGAGTGGGAGGGAAGGAGTAAGAAAAAAGTGAGATCAGAGAGTATAAGGAGAAATATAGGAGCTGATGAGGGGAAAGAAGGGAAGAGAGAAAGAGAGAGATAGAGGATTAGAAGAAGAGGGAGAGAATATAAGAGAGAGAGAGAGAGAGAGAGTGAGATAATGAGAGAGAGATCTCATATAGTGAAAAAACCTGTATCATTCATATGAGTTGCATGCAGTCATACACAATCACTCCAGCAAGAACAAAATAAATAAAAGAAATAACAAGAATAGTTTGATTTGAAGCACATAATGACATAATGTATTGAATAGTGTAAACAGTGTAACAAAAATTAAGTTGATATAACTATAATAATACCAATGTCTAACCACGTAAGTTTATTACTGTAAAAGATGTAAAGTTTTCGATCAAAAAAGAAGAAGGTTCGACTGAACAAAACTCCCGGAAAAAAAACTTTCTGAGCTGAGCTGCTTACCTGCGCAACCCAAAACGTCAAACCTTGAAACAAGGCTAGCATAAACAGGGAATCGCGTGCGGATGCAGAGTTTACAAGCAAAAACTTCTCTCTGTCAACAATACCAGCAGACCTCAATCCTTCAACAATCGGAGGTCAGGTGGGTCAGGTGGCGTACCGAGATCAATGTGGATGTTGAATAACAGATTTTAATCAGGAGACGTAACATAAATCATTCAAAATTCAGTCCCAACCGCAGCAAGACGCCGGTTACTCGGATTGGGTATATCAATCCTACGTGAAGGAGATGTCGAACCAGCACTCCGCCCAGGCGCTCAACTGGCGCAAACTCTACCTGAGTAGAGCCAAGCTGAAGGCCTCCAGCAGAACGTCTGCTCTGCTGGCAGGATTTGCCATGGTAATCATTATCCCTCCTCACCTTAGACTAGAGTTTAGTTAGATTAAAATCGAAAATACATTTTTTTTTAAATGAGTAAACTGACAGGCGATCAGCCATGTAAAAGTCATGGAGTTCCTGACTAACATAAAGGTTTATAATTATCATATCAGCATGAGCTAAATCCCGGATTTTGTTTCAGAATCTGAGACAAAGTTACCGGATCCCTTTAAAGATCAAGAAGCGGTTGACTCTACAGATGTTTGATTAACAATTTATCATGTTTATGACTTATGTAGACTACTGACTGTTTAGTCACTTTTGTGTTTACCTGAACTGATGAACGTGATGAATGATCGATGATCATTCATGTACTATGTAGACCGATAGGCGATGTAGCTATGTTGTAAGCAAATAACGATGCCAAATATGACAATGTCTACAGTACAAAGTAGTACAATTTTGAACATTTTGGAAGTGTTGAATGTTGGTTTGCTGTTGCTGATTTAATTTTTATGGGGCCTTTCAATTTGAATATATTTATTTGAACTGTTAAATGCAAATACACTTAATTGTTCCTTTCAAGGCTTCATTTATTTAATTATTCATTTTTCAGTCAATCTTCATGAACTACTGTAATACTAAAACAGTTAGATAGCATGATGCTACATGTATCTGCTCCCTACGCATTCAGTTTTAGTTGTATAATGTTGTGTCATTGCCATTGTGATTGTAAAATACCCTAAACAGCTCAAACAGTACTGTGTTTACCTTCTAAAATACATGTATTACTATTAAAATCAATATTTCCTAACAATGATAAAATTAAAGGATGCAACTTTTAATCATATTTAATAATTTTTCAGGTTGCCATGGTTGAAGTGCAGTTATCAGCGACCAAAGAAACCAATGCATATGACCCCCTCATGATAGCCTTCAGTATCAACACCACCATCCTGGTCGTTGTTCACATGGCCGCTCTTCTCATCAGTACCTGCATCCTTCCTAACATAGAAGCCGTCAGCAATGTCCACAACGTGAACGCAGTCCAGGAGTCCCCGCACAACAGCCTTGCTTTCTACATAGAGATGTCATGGATCTTTTCTACTGTCCTGGGCATCTTCCTCTTCCTCGTGGAGATCATCCTGCTGGCGTGGGTCAAGTTTGGTATGGCTCACTACAACAGCGCGGCGCTCGCGGCCACCATCATCACAGCTCCCGTTCTGGTCATTCTTATCGTCTTCGCATTCCATTTCTACCGGAGGTTGGTCTCTCACAAGACGGAGAGCCAGACCAAAGGGCTGGAGGAGCTGGAGAGTATGAACAACCAGCTAGACAATGGTCAGCTTCAGATTGTGTGAAATATGACCCCTCCCTGCTGTACATATAACCCAAGGAACACCTTGCAAGTTGCAATGATCAAATACATGTACTTGTACCTTTCAGAAGAGGCTAGAGTAACTCCTCCATTCACTTCTCACAACTCATCAACAGGGACAGTAGAAATTTCAAGTTCGATGTTAAGATGAAGTCCAGTTTGACATTAAGTTGGTTTTAAGCACAAAATGAGAGGAGCAGGATGTAGAAGTTTGATGAAGGTGCAAGAAACGATCTATACGAAAGTTATGAATGAATTTTTAATGTTGTGATTGATCAAACAAAATTGATAACTCTTTGGTTTTATACCTAAGCAGCTTTCCATTTGTTTTGTACAAAATATTTCTTAATTTCTTGAATTTTTATTTCTTCCCCAAAATGCCATCATTTTTTTCATCAAAAAACCAAAAAAAGGGGTTATTTTTTTTATTATATTTTTTAACTACAACATTTTACAAATATGCATGTATGGAAAGCTGCCCATAGTGTAAATCATAGAGTTGCCAGTTTGTGGTTGATTGATGACGAATTTGAACATTCATGACTTTTTAATTGTTTATTGGATTTTCCTCTAAACTTCTTGTTTTAAAATGAATGGAAGTGACTAAAGTTAACATGTGAGGTTTGGAGTTTTAATCATTGCCTGGTTGGTAATTCCTTGGACAAGGCATGTTAGTGCCAAGGATGTCACCTAGGGCTAGGGATTTCCCTGTTTATCTGTACATGTATTTGTCCTCCTGGAATCATTCTCTTCAATATGAACCTGGTGTCCTGGTTGGCTTTAATCCTTCTGCTGTTGGGTGATCAATATTCGTTGGTGCTAAGCCTGGTGAACAGTTTTTGAATTGTGAAGATATCAATGTTGTTTCATCTACAGATGAATGTAGTAAAATGTACACATTATGTGAAACACATTATTTATTATTGTCTTCTTTTAAACATTTCCTAGAAAAAATTGGATAAAACAAAGATATGTGTACTGCATTAGTGCTCAGAGATATTTATTTATACATGTAGAGTCAGTTACGTAACTGGGACTTTGTACTTTTAATGTACCATGTACATGAACATGTACCGGTAGTTGTGTAGGCTGAGTAAATGGTGATTTTTTATTTGGTAATTAACATGCCGTTAGATTCATGACAACATACTTTTATTTAAAACAAAAATATTTATGTGCAATGGTAGATGCCTAGGTTTAAATAATGCTTTCTTTGGGTTTCAACTTTCAAATCATGTTACATTATTGTGATTGTTTAATGTGAAGGTTAGACTAGAGTTGGCATGTTAAATTAGTATAGATTCACAATTTGGAACAGAGCTAGACATTACATTATATAGCAGGGTTCTTTTTGTCTCTCTCACTCTCTCTCTCATTTTCTATTTTAAAGGAGGTGAAGAGGGATACATCTAGCCATATAACCCTATTTAGAAGTATTCTAGTGTTCTTTAAAAGGTTTGAGATGATGATAAGTTATGACAACCAGTGACCCTTTCAAAAAATGCACAACTCAACAAAAGAGAAGACTTTATTTATTTTATGTAAATGAATGATGATATGGATTTTTTAATATTTTTATATTTGTTTAGGCCCTGAATGTTTTAGTCTCCTACTTCATGCAAATATTTGAATAATCTTGGAACATTTTTCAATATGTTTCGTAGAGTCATAATTCCAAATGTTTAGGTGATCTTATTGGTTGATGGAATAGACTTGGATATAAAGAGTAATGGCATCCGTCATTTTATTGTATGACGTTTTATTCTTTATTCTCCTGATTATGGTGGTGGATCTACAGTATGTGGCTGTTTATCAGTGCTCAATTATGAACCATATTTCTTTAGTTTTTAGAATTGAGTATTGTACTCTTGAGAATCTACACAAACTTTTAGAAATCTTATCTCTTGTGAATACAAAATAGTGAAAAAACTCTTAGGAGTAATTATAACTTGTACCGTAAATGCCATAACAGGAGAAGAAAATGAAGGGGGATGTGATAGACGAGAGAAAAGGAGATATATTTATTACAGAACTTAAAATAAAAATTACTTCTTCTTATTTATAGTTGAAAATGGCTCAATTATCAATTTCTACACCCTCACTAAAATAATAAACAAATCCCCTTAATCATGTCAAAGCCACCCCCTGAGCATTTAAAACATAGGATTTGAGGGATTTGAAAACTTATCATTACCAACAATTAGGTACTGTAAGGTATAAAGAAGCATTTTGCAAAAACAAGAAAAAATCACAATGAAAAATAAATCAATGACACCCCTTCCCCCCAACAACAAAATAGTCCTCGGACGTACAGTACATGGACTTTTATTTTAAATACAGATAATTAATTTACTTAAATGTATTCTATATTTCTATTGCCTTTACTGTCCCTATTAACAGTCATGTACATATTGTCCATTCCCCCCTATAACACACACACTTTCCCTCATCAACTACTGCCATGCTCTTCACTTGTTTTGTTGTTGGTGTATATTTGATTTTGGTGTACATGTATTTTATAACCGTTAATAACGCAATGTATGGATGCCCCAGTCACACTGGCGACATTTTAAAGGTAAAGACCAGTTATGGTCATGCGATTGCATTGTGAAAAAAACGTTGTGGAATCTATCTGAAAAGGTTGATCATCTAGCATCTAGCATCTGCAAGGATCTGGAATCATCAAAATGATAAGAAATTTGGCCCATTCTTCGTAAAGTTACAAGCACTATACACAGAAAGATGTATATGGGACTACCCTATATCTCTCACAGACCATGAGAGAAACAAATTTACCAAATATATGAATTATTAGGCGGTTTCCCGGCAAATTTTTTATCATCATGTATTAGTCAAAACATATTCTTTCACATGATTGGTAATGAAAGCTTCCATTTCATTTTTTGAAATTGGGGCATTTCCAATACTGGTCTTTACCTTTAAAAGCGTTTGATCTACAAATGCACTGTTTTGTCATATTTCCTTCTCTCGATCCCTTCCGTCTGAAATTGAACCAGAGCTAAGTGACTTACCAGAACCACAAGTGTCATATGGAACATCTAGATTTGTCACGCTGCCAGAAATATTGAAAACATGTATGTTGTGCAAGAAATTGAAGGGAAGAAATGAAATAAGAGAATCGAAAATGAAACAGAATGTTCAAAGAGATTTTTCTCTCCACAAAACCAAACTTATGGTTCTTTTGGTTTAATTACTCTTCTGCAAACTCAAAAGGAGACTTGTCAAAACAATGGCCTGACTTGTGGTTTGGAGGAAAAAAAAGATCACTGTAGAGTATTTTTTATGAATGGACAGTTTATATAACTGTTCTAAAAATAATGTCACCTTTATAGTACCGGTATGTTAAATATCAAGAGTGTTAGCTAAATATAGTTTTCTCTGCACGACACACTAAACCACTTAAGCGTTATACTTCCTATTGAGCTATATGCTTATCCATAGATGCTGTCATTGTGTACTGCCTTTTTTTTGTGCCTTGAATGTTATTCAAGAAAATTAACAAACTGTAACCATTGCTTGTATGTTTTCCAATTTCCATGTGGTAAGTTACACTCATTTATTTGTATCAATCTTGTATTTTCATCCACTCAATGAGAAAAGACTTATTGAGTGTTAGTTCCGTAGACATATTATAATTACACAAGTATAAACTAAAAGGTAGAATAGTAAGATGGGTTGGACAAATCTACAATGTTTCATCTGTTTAGAGCCAGAAGGGCGTTAACTTGTGTATTAACATACAGTTAATGCCCTTCTGGCTCTGAACAGACATTTTTATCTTTCCACCTCTTCACCCCTTGCCAATATTGTGTTGCATTGCCATATATTCCCCTGCTCTGCCTGGATAGCAGGAAAAAAAATCTGTTTCGTTTTTGAATGTAATTTAGTGTTTTCTTCATTTGTGTAGTAAGAATCTTTTGATAGTAGATGCATTTAATACTTCCACTTTCTTTTATTTTGGCTTGAGGCATGCAAGGATGTATTTGGGCACATGACAGGGAATAATTCTGAAGATTTGTTGACTATTAATATGCAGTGGTTGAATAACTGGTAATTAATCTTCTGAGTCCTGAGACAACACTCTTTTTCACGAAAGAATACTGTAGTTCAGAAACTCTTTTCAGAAATACTTGACAGAGGAATACCAACAGTACTCTTTTTTTTTTGTTCACTCTTCAACATTTGTGATCTGCTCACAATCTTCCCAATCTCGATCACTCTTGTTGTTCCCTTTTTTTCCTTGTTCCATTTCACCTCTTATTTTGCTGTACACAACACTGAAAACAAAAAGCCAGAAATAGTCTTGTGTAACTGTTTGATAAAACTTCTATCCATTATCATCTCTTTCTTTCCCTTTCCCTCATACTTCTTCCTCAATTCCTCTACATGCCCCATGCTAGCAGGGTCTTTTTACGAAAGAATATATCAACATCCTTTTCAAATTTCAGTAAGGCTACTACATGGTTTCACTGAAAGCCTCAATTTGCAAATACATGTCACCACAGAAATCTATAGAGAACATCTAACTGATAATTTATTGGTAATGTTTTTTTATATGCAATTTTAAAGTGTATAAAAATGGAAGGAAACATCACAAGTAATGAAATCTATATTATGTTCCTGTGGTCATTAATATTTGTATCTTTTATTATCTTTTGAATATGGCTTTCATTATACAGTGTGTCTCTAAAAAAAGTAAACCCAACTTCAACGGCAAATTTTCAGAAAACTATAAAATATTTACACATTATTTTTTATGGTTAGATAGTCCAATAAGTCCTCTGTCCAATGATACCACGTAGGTTATGTAACTCTCATGCATGACTGAGCATGATTCAACTTAGTGAATGGGTGTGAAATCATCACTGTGGCAAGTTAGAATTGCACTGGAAGTTCATCAATCAAATGACATAGGAAATGTCTGATTTCTTACAAGCATAGCTTAGGGATGTGTACCCTCGACATGACCGCCATTCCTTTCCATGCAAAGCTCGCAACGCCTCCTCATGTCCCTGACAGCACGCCTGATCATTCCCTGATCTTGTCGTAATCGGTTCACTTCACCTGTTATCTGTTGCCTCAGCTCCTGAATTGTGGCCGGTGGGGTTTGGAACACTTTTCCTTTAAGATACCCCCAAAGAAAGAAATCGCATGGTGTTAGATCTGGTGAACGTGCAGGCCACTCAACTGGGAAATGAAGAGCAATGATGCGATTGCCAAAGAGTTCAGTCAAACGATTCCTCACAGCAATAAGTCTGTGGGCTGGGGCCCCATCCTGAGCCCACCAGGCCCTGCGGAATGCTCCACGTCGTTGTCGGGGGAAGATCTGTTCCATCTCAGGCACAATAAAATTGTTCAGCATGTCAAGGTACGCCCTGCCATTGATGTTGCCTTCAAAAAAGTAAGGTCCCACCAATGAACCATTGCCACAAAGACCAATCCAGACACTCACTTTCTCCCTGCTCATGTTCTCATTAAAAGCATATCCCGGTGGATGATGGAGTTCAGCAAACTCGTGCTCATTGTGGGTGTTTACCATTCCATCCATGGAAAACGTTGCTTCATCCCCGATGGTAAAAAACTGGAGGAACTGTCGATCTCGGTTGCACCGGTTCACAAACCATTGTGAAAATTGAAGTCGTCTGGGAAAATCAGCTGGTAGAAGTTGGTGCTGAACATGAACATGATATGGATGGAGATGCAAATCCAGTCTTGCTATTCTGTTAAAAGTTGCGCGTGGTATTCCAGTATCATTTCTCCTGGTGCTTATGCGTGGGTTGGCTTGGATGGCCTCTCTTACCACTTGGATGTTTTCAGCAGACCTCCCAGTTCGTCTGTGGCCAGAGTGTCCTTTATTCCTGTTCAAACTGGTTCCGTGATCAGCATACTTTCTCACATTGTACCAGATGGCTCTTTTTGTTGGAGGCTGCCTCTCGGGGAACTGCACCCGAAAAGCATCTTGAACTTCCACGAAACTTCTTGTTTCCTGGTATCGAGTTACCAGGAATACTCTCTGCTCAATTTTCAACTGTACCATGTTTGGAAAGCATGTGAAGTGTGCCTGTGTTAGGAACAACCTTTGCTGAAGTTGTTATGTAATCATAGGCCTAACATGTGACAAAAATTTAACTTCAAATAGGCCCTGAATGCATGACAATAGCAAGAAATAACTTGCCACAGTGATGATTTGACACCAGTTCACTAAGTTGAATCATGCTCAGTCATGCATGAGCGTCAGATAACCTAAGTGATATAATTGGACAGAGGACTTATTGGACTATCTAACCATGAAAAAATAATGTGTAAATATTTTATAGTTTTCTGAAAATTTGCCGTTGAAGTTGGGTTTACTTTTTTTAGAGACACACTGTATAGCCCTTGAGAGTACTGAATTATTTTCACATGAAATATGTTTTATTGTAAAACTTATTATTTTACTTGTCAATATAATGCAAAGAAATGGAATAACAGACAACAGTATGTTGCAAAGTTTACATTTGTTTGTGTCTTATTATTTGTGTGAATAGAGTATCTAAAAAATTGATATAAACATATTCAGTGTCTTCCAACATAACAACACAACTTTATGGTATTGAAGCTACCAAACATAAATACATGTACTAATCAGGCATGTAAACTTTGTATATATACCAAAGCAATTTGACGTATTCATGCAGTAATATTTGTTGGGAATATGATAAACAGTCAAACCTGTCTATAGCGACCGCCTAAGGGAAACACAAAAAGTTGCCTTTATAGACGGGTTCCTTTAGTACACGATTTAATGAGAAACCATTTTTAAGGGAGAAAAAAAAATGTGGCCTTTGTAGACAGGTGGTCACTAAAGCAGGTTTGACTGTGATCTTGATTTGGTAAGGTTTGGTAACAAATATAGAGTTAATGTAAATTATAATACTATATCTACCCGTTCAATTAGGGGGTTTATAAATATTTTTTTTTAAATCTATGGAAAATGATAATTTCACAATCCAGCTTTAAAATTGAAGTATGCATTTATACGATAGATAAGTACACATGCAGGGCATCCAACTCCAGCTGGTGAAACTCTCTCCCCCTCATAGAGGGAACAAAAGAAAACAAGGGGGGGGGGGGGATAAAGTTATTTGATTCCTCATTGTAATCTATATTCTATTTTTATTTTTCCTTTGTTCTTGTCACTCGAGTCGAATTCGCAACGGAGTGCATATCAAGGGAAAGAGGTTTTTGAAATCTATCTCGAGGTGATGAAGAACATCTTTATCAAATAACTCTAGATCTGATCTGTGTACAAACTATACACTCCCATTTTCAACACAAGAACAGAATTATATATATTTGGGCAGGAAAAAGCATGCCCAAATTGTTTATGGCTTCATGTTAGAGATGGAAAGCGAAACAAGAAGAAAATATTGAAACATTATTGTCAATTTAGTCAGACAAAATGGTTGTTTGCATCAGGAAAATATATTGATTGTCCAATAATTCACATAGACGACTGGTTGTAAAGACTAGGACTCGTATATGCAAATCTATGTTAATGAAGCGTACGTGACGAAACAGGGCCGCCATGAAGATTCGGTTTTGACCAATGTGAAAAACACACATAAAAACACTATGTTGGTTTAGGATTCTTAAGATATTTTTAGCCCGTTGTCGAATGTGAGAAATCAATATGACATCGCAAGCGGAAACTGGTCGCTCGTTGGTAAGTAAAGCACGGAATTTTATCTTTATCGTCAAAAATGTCCCCGCTTTGTCGAAGGCACATGAGATCTCTGTGTCGTTTATTCTGTGCAGAACGAAGGATTGCGATTTTGACAACTGAAAATTTTAAGAAAATTCTTTCAAACAGCTGTCTTTCGTCTTGTATTTATCATTATTAGCAAGGTTTTATCTATCCCTTACAATGTAGATGTCTAAAATGCAAGTAATTGATTCGCAAACCACTCTTTGCTGAGATTTTAAGTTGCACAAATTTGCAATGTCGACTCGCACAGACTAGGGGCCAGCGAGGATTCGCGGGAACTGGCCCGCGAAGGTGCGCGTTGAACATGACGTAAGCACGGCGTTTGTGTGGAAGATGTCGGTGAACTCCGGTACACTTCGCCACATTTTCCCACTTTTTACCATATTTTGATGATCATTTTGTACCTCAGAATTTAAATAATGTGTTTGAGATGATGTTGCTGGGTGTTTCAAATCCTTGCATTGATTAATCGTGGTGAAGATTTGGCCAAAGATGATGGATTTTGGGGTTGATGGTGATATTCATGAGGAGGTGTTGCCTCTTTCTATCCTCGATTGTCATTGGTCAAACTCACGTGTCACTACTAATGTTTACAAATAAGAACATGTGCTAAACTGGCGTTCTACGATCTTTCTTTGTTTGACTTGAGAAGTAGTTTGTCCCACATTAACATACACCTCCATAAAGCTTCCTTTTAAAGAGTTAAATCATATTTCTAAGATTTGAATAAATTGTCTAATTCTCTCAAATATTTCTCTTTACACTTGACTTGTCATCAGATTATCGGTGAAATATCAAAAGCCTGTTCGAGCTTATTAATAAACCTAGCACAAGTCGCATAGATTCACCTTTCCCCCTATAATTGACTTTTCATTTTATGAACTTGACTACGAGACTGTTCAGCTGCAAGGTTAGGCAAATGAGATATATTAAAGAAATTATCTGTCTCGAGTGGACAATTTAATTTTTTTTTCAGATTCCCTACAGTCTACACAGTGGGAGTTTGACTGATAAAAAATAGAAGTGATACAAAATAAACGAAATCCCAAACCTTATCAAGTTTATCAGAGCATCCAGTATGCCATGGTATGTGTCTAAAAATCTAAAAATTAATGGGGAGGGGCCTCCCCGTTCAGTTGTGTTTAAAGAGAAGTAAAAAATGTGATTTGTTGATTTAAATTGTTTGATTTATTTTGCATGTGGGGTTGTAGGGTTGTGGGGGAATTGAGGTAATTCACAGGTGTACATAAAGCCCCTTCCACTTCCCCCTCCTCCTCCTCCTCCTCCTCCTCCTCCTCCTCCTCCTCCTCCCCTTTGTAGTAAATGTACAAGTAGAAGAGGGATACGTCCCTGGAAAGGAAGATAAATCTGACAAGAAATTTAAAAGACCCCCCCCCCCCCCCACCGCATGAAATTTGAATTCCTGTAATACTTATTGTTATACAGTGCAATTCTGAACATTTGACCAAAGTATTGTACTACTACAAATTTTATGTATGAATATTCGCATGTACAATATGAGGTTTAAAGTAAGAGTTGAGCATGTATCTAAAACTTGTATGAGAGACAAAGAATCAATATCTCTTTCATGTCACTGTTATATAATTAATCTGCATTAAAAGTTACAATTCATTAGGCAGAACTGGCTAGAAGTATGCTTTTTCTGAATTGCAATGTTTAGAGGACCCCGATAATACTGTGTACTATTGTAGCGTGATTGACATCCCAATTTTGTTGCAAAAATATCTGTACTTCGATGTAAGCGTAGTATGAGACAGAGTGAAATAGAAGTAATTGACACATTCCAAATTGAAATTAACTTTCATTGTTTAATGAGATGTCTGCAAACTTTGCATCATCCTAGACATCATGGAAAAATAGGAGGTCATTTAGAAGAAAAAATACACATTTTCAAGTAATGAAACCAGACATAGTGCACATACAGTACATGTACATGTACAGGTAGCTTGATATCTGTACTTAATTACTATTAACAAGGTGATCAAAGAATCATACATCATACATGTCGCTAAATTATCCTAAATAAGTACGGTAACTGTATAACCAGCAGACTTTGCAGGAAGAAGGTAAACGCAAGTCAAAGTCATTATTATAAAATATAGGCCTATACTATAGCCATTTTTGCGGCAAGAACCTTACGCAAATTTACAAATATTCATGTTGTGATTCTTACATTTTTTGGCATAAAACTTCATGAATATAGTTCACTTGCAAATTCTCCTGGTGTGACAGTATAAGACCATAAATGAATGAAAAAATTAATAGTGGAAAATACCTGTGATATTTTTTTTTTACCATGCACTTAAAAATGATTTTATCTTATTTATGATGATTTTTCTTTTTCATGTAAAAATTGTAAAAATACATGTAAAAATTGTAGAAGTCAACTTACGGGAGGCCTATACAATACTCCATATGCATTCATGTATGAGTAGCATTGCAAAGGGAATTATTGCCGGGCCAATTTTGATTAACTAGTGATCTTAAAAACTTCAGGATTTTAGTTGATAATGCAACTTTCTCCCCAGTATATCTCAAGTGGCAACATGGGGGGGGGGGGGGGGCTCTCTCCTTTGTAAGAGCCTACAAGTTATAAGAAAATAATTTTTAAGAATTTCTTTTAATTCACCTAACCAATTAACATGGACAAAGTAAGTCACCTGTATTATTTGCAGGAAGAACAGAATTTATGAGATATCCATGTCATACACATTATTTCAGGGTACATTACTGAATACATAAAAGTACAAGTAAATAACAAACATTGAGGATGCAAAATGTTTGTGAAAAAGTGTAAATTCACTGTATACCCCACCAATTTTGTAAAGGTTTAAATGTTGAAAATAGTTGTTGTTTACAATATGGCTAAAAAAACTGAAAAAGTAAATATTTGATCAAGAAGCATGTTTGGACTTTGGAGCTTACAAAACTCTTTTGTTGTTGTAGAACATTGAAAATCATATACATGTATCTACACATCAAATATGCATTAGCCTTCGTTGGCACCCTGCAGCAATGTTCGCTTGGTTGCTCTGTGGACAATTACCTACATGTACATGTATAAAGATGCTAACTGAATTCTAAAACTTCAACCCCGAACCAAACACCAGTCTTACCCTAAACAAAATCCCAAATGTAACCCTAACTCTAACCGTAATTCTTTATGTTTGACAAAATAAAACATGGAACAATAAAAGAATTGTGGCTGTAGCAAATGTTAAATAACCTAACGATAAACCTAAGGCATTTCAAAGACTTCATGATTTAAAGAGTTCCAATTGATCCAGATTGATCACAAGTCCTCCAATCAATTGCAAACTTACAGGCCCTAATTAATTCACAAAGAAGGTTTAAATTTATCCCATGGTTTATAAAATCCTCATTTACATAATCCAAGGTCAAGAATTAGCGCAAAATAAGCGCGACACAGTCAGAGGTCTAATATTAGACGCGTGTAAGGCAAGGTACGCTTAATTTGTGCTAATACTAAACCATGGGATTATTTAGATGAGGATTTTAACCATGGGTTAAATTTAACCCTCTTCGTGAATTTGGGTCATAATGAATAAACCCCTACTGTACATGTATTTAGTACAGAGTTGTGATCAATTAGAATCAACTGCAAGTCTGCAACTGTTTATATTTTATAAGTGAGGTTTTGGACTTCTGGTACTAGTGTAAGGCAACATATTTGAGGGGGAGCAACTGCTTCCGTGACCTCTTTCTACTACTTTGATCGACAGCATCCCAAGAGTTTGGTGAGCAAGCATTGGCCTTCTTTAGGTGATCTGAAGGACTTATGAGAGTTCTCTTGAAGTCTCTGTCTACAACCTTAGTCAGCCTGGGTACAGTCTTCTTCAAGCAAAGAGGTTGATCTTGTTCCGGGAACTTTTGGGCATGAGGTCCAGGATGTGGTGTGAATGATGGCAGGTTGTTGTTTTGTGGCATGAACATATCACCTAAGAACTTGGTGTCCATGACAAGAGGGCTCTTCTGTAAGACATCACTCACTTTGGCTTCCATTCTGCCAAGTGGTGGGTTAACGTGTCCATTCACATTGTTCCAGATGTGCAGTTCTTTAGGTGGAGTGGATCTATCTGGAAAGCGATTTCCTCTCCTTGCAGAAATGAGTCCTGTGACGCTAATCTTCATCGGAGGTCGACTTGACTTGGAATTTGAATGTGCTTTGTTACTGTTCACCTGCGGGACCACCCTTGGTTTACTGCATGCACCAACTGCAGGAACGGTCCCTGTAGCAGCTTCCATCTCTTTGGCAGCTCTGAGCCTCGCCCTTCGTCTACGCTGTCTCTCTCTATCTGCTGCCCTCTTGGCCTCTAGTTGGGTGTTGGAAGCTTTCTCCTTGAAGTGGGCCCTCTCCTTTCTCTTTTGTTCCCGCTGTCTTTGCTTGATGCTCTCATGCTGGTTGGAGTCAGATACCACACGCAACCTCCATTCATGCCAACGTTGATAAGCAGACTTAGCGGACATTTCCTTTTTAGGGATGTGATCTGGAAGACAAAAGAAAAATGACATTTAGAGGGGAATTTCATCTGTTTTAAGAGGAAGTCCATCCTGGCTTCAAGTTGGTGTCAATTTTGTAATTAAGCTGAAAATGAGAGAAACATATTTATCAGTAATAGTTTAAAGGGCAATCCAACCTTGGTAATAATTGCAGTGGAAACAGAATGACAAAACTTTGAAATAAATAACTCTCCTGTTTGTTGTGTACAAAAATATCAATAATAATTGTTCTTGTTTAGAAGTGTACCATGTTCCTCTCAGGAAAATCTGATGAAGGAAATAAGAATGTTATGATTTAGTTATGATCGATGAACTATCCCCTTCTAAGCATCTTGTTTATTTAATTTTGTGTACAAGAGTGGTTGTTAAATTTGCTTATTTGTGTGTGAACTGCAAAAAATAACAAAATTCTTTATTCCCTTTTATCATAGGATATGTTCCTCAAGCGTACATGTAAAGAAAAATTCTCAAATTTTCTCTCTATTATTCAGGGTGCACTTTCCTTCTTAGGAACAAGTAAGAACAGATACTGTTTTATTCCTGCTTTAGAATACTATTTTTCTAAGTTCCAAATAAGCGATGGATACTTTTTCTGTTTTCAACAACAGCAAAAAGGTTTATAGGAAGGATAATGAGGATTAGGTGGAAGGAACCTATTAAGTATTGTGTTTGTTAGTGCTTGGAGCAAGAAGATACTTTAAAGTATGTGCATTTCATTCAGTTCCCTGTCCTGATCAAAGTACTCATTGTGGTAATTTGCTTTTTTTTTATTCATAATATTATTGCTAGTAACTTATATAGGGTGAATTTACATGAGAGAAAACTACATGTAGTAGAGGAAGATTAAGCTTAAAGGTAAAGACCAGTTCTGGAAACGCCACCCTCTCAAAAAATGATATGAAAGCTCTTATAACCAATCATGTGAAGGAATATGTTTTGACTAATACGTGATCATACCAATTTTGCCAAGAAACCGCCTACTAATTGATATATTTGGTACTTTATCATCTATTTGGACCTGATAGATATAACGCACGTGTCGCGTACTCCCATTTTCTGATCGATTCCACAACGTTTCTTTCACAATGCAAGCGCATGACCATAACTGGTCTTTATCTTTAAATACAAAAATAAGCAAAATTAGAATAGAAACATGAAAGAAGGAAGGTCAGGAAGATGATTCCTCTGCCCCCCCCCCCCCCCCCACCAAAAAAAAAATAATAAAGATAGGAACAAAAGGAGGAAAACAGGAGAAAAGTCCAGGTAAATTGAAAAAGATACAAAATGAAGAACAAAATAAAAATGTGATTGATATAGAGATTAGAATAAATGTACGTTTGTCACTTCTGATTTAAATAAAAATGCAGAATACCAAATTTCCAGTAAGAACGTGCACACATGTATGTATGCTGACAAATTTAGCATTCACACAAGGTGATTTGTAACAACTTTTTTTTCTCTTGATTATTTAGGATCTAGATGAGTAAAGTTTGAAAGGAACAATATCTAGATTCTTCCATATTCTGGAGAGAGAAATAACAGGGGGAGGAAGAAAGAGGTGGAGAGAGAGAGAGGGAGAGAGAGAGGGAGAGAGAGAGAGAGAGGGAGAGAGAGAGAGAGAGATAAAGGGGGAGCGAGAGAGAAACTGAGAGAGAGAGAGAGAGAGAGAGAGAGAGGGGTGGGTGGGAGAAAGGATACAAGATAAAGAAATATATACAGCTTGCATTTAATATAGATATACCGTAATGTAAATTGAAATTCTATTTTGATTTTACAAATACTAAAAGGAAGAGAAGACTTACATCAAAGGATACAATTATTTATATAGAGTGTATAAAAGCCTATCAAAATAGCATATCATCCAGATTTGAGTATTCCTGAAATTGACACCAATATTCATAATTCTATTAATAGCTACCTGTAGTTTCCTGGTAGATGATCTGTTATCCTGAGCATGCAGCACAATCAATTAGTGATGAAATCGGCAAAATATATAGAAAGTTTTCAAAAAGCACAAATTTCAGCAATGCCAAGTCTGTAATGTGTGTGATGCTGTATATACTGTATATATCGTCTGTAGTGAGAGCTGTTGAAAGCTGTACTAGTAGTAGTACTTACAGTGATTATGAGGGTGAGTTTTCTTTGTGTTGGAGATGCGACATGCACTTGTGTTGTTTGTCTGGTGGACAAAGGTCTACTCTAGGATGGGGGGTTTGCATGGCCATGTTGCTGGTCTTTGATTGGCTGTGTGGGGAGGCTTTACAATGGCACAGCTGCAGGCTTGCACAGTGAGAGAAAGAGAGAGAGAGAGAGAGAGAGAGAGATAGAGGGAGAGATGGGGTGGGGTTGGGAGTCGAGGAGTGGTTCCCTTTGTACTGTAAGCACGGGATTGACCTCTTTTATGCGCAGGGCATTGAACTGTTACAGCAAGCAATATGAAAGAGGATCCTTTCTTTGTAGGGTTGCCCAGTGAAAAGAGCAACTACTTAAATGTCTCTAGCTTTGGCCTGGTCACAGGTATAATGCCATCACTGGCATCAGAATAGGCACTGCATGTGTATAATAAAGCCAACATTGCATCAGACCTACAGTTAACAACTACATTATTCAATACCCTCGATAGCAAGTTTTGTAATTTTTAAGTATATGTGTGAAAAATTGATTTGTCCCCATTTACCTGTCTGGAGATTTAATGTGATTTATTATTAGGACTATTATTAGAGTTTACTTCTAAAAGTATTAACAAATTAAGGCCTTATATTTCCACCACTCCGCTCCACTATAATAGGAAAAACATGTAAAGCTTCAAATTAATTTACAAGAAGTATTAATTAAGTTGTTAACGGTATACCTTGTAATGTACACTTTCATGCTGCTGTGCTTATCAGCCAGATAAGCTGTTTTTAATTTAAAAGGGAAACTCATGATTTCAATGAACTTATTGAAAAACAAAAATGTAGCAATATGATTTGGCCAACCATTGTGCAGATTTCAATACTGGTACATGCACTTGATGTCTTTTTGGAAGTCAGAGGTTTCATACCCAATTATCATGAATCGGAACGTCCTATGATATGTGATTCCCATGATCAAGTCAGCTAGGGTTAGATTCAATCTCTTGAAAAAATTGAAATGCAACTTCCTATAAAAGTTGGCTGCTTCATGCAATTTAAAGATTCTTCCAGTTCCAGTGCTATTCCACTTCATGAACAAACCCAACATCAACAGAATGGTGTACGTAGGTCAATTGCAAAGACATGGACTATAGAGCTCTATGAGCAAGAATTTGATATCTCTGAACAACGGGCCTGTACATCCACTTTCAATATTTACACGGAAGATGATAGATGAGAAACTGATTGCAGAAGAATTTTAAGTTGTGCAACCCTTGCACAAGTGACAGTTTCTAATTCGCCTTGATGTACTCTTTTACCATCCATGCATATTCTAAAATTCAACCCTAGACCCTAGAGGGAGGGAGGGAGGGAGAGGAGGGGAGGGAATGAGAGGGAGCGAGCGAGGGGAGGGAGAAAAAGTACCTATACTTATCTCAAAATACTGAAAAAATGTCTCTCACTTCATTTGGTTATAGCGCCACAAGGTCCGTCGTCATTATGACGAAGGAGAGCATCAGGACGATGAGATTGAAGGGAGGAGAACATTCACTCTGGACGATAAGCTGACCACTGACCGTTACAACTTCCCTATGGTCAAGACTATGAGCAGCCAAGGTAAGTTAACTACTAATGAGAGACAGATTTTACTCTTATAAGGCTTGCTCATGCAGGTATCAAGTCCCCACTTTTCTACTTCTCTTTTATCTTCTGATGATCTCTCTGGGAGTTTCCCTTCTCCATTCCCATCTCCATTTCTAATCTCCTTCCCCTCTCCCTTTCGCTCACCCTCCCAGGAGTCCCTGTCTCCCCTCCTACTCTATTTCTTTCTACCGGTATACCAGCAAAACATTAACCGTTTGTTTTTGTTAAAATTTATTTTGATACCTGTGAAAAATATTTCAAAGATGTCTTTCTTTTTATCTGCAGACTTCACACTTAAGTGGCTTCAAGAAAATGGCTTTGACACTCCACTACTTTTCAAAGAATCTACTCACCTAGACATCAGGTACGTACATACATATACATCACTAATCTAAATTCAGTATCCAAGATATTCAATACTTTCATTGAGCAATGCAAAGTTGATCCAAATGCACACTATTTAACCAAACAAATAACCAGTGTCATATACAATATTTCTCCAGGCAATTATTAATGCATGTCCTTTCCAATATCTAAGATAATCATAGAAAAAAAGATTTGTTCTTTAATTTTTTGTTCTTTTGTTTCTTCATATTGGCATGAACATCATTGTTACCACCATAGTACATGTATAACAAAAACTAGGATGGACTTACATCAAAAGAAGTCTTCTTTATCTAATCATTTTCATCATTGCCATCATCATCTTTGTTGTGATCATCACAATTTTATCATATTACGTAATCATTCTTACTGTGAATATTACCACATGTTCAACGTTTACTCTACTGTATGCAAATGATTTCAGTAGAGATTAATTCTATCCTTTTTTTCTTTCTTTGTTTTAGGACACCAGACAGTAGCTTCACTGTTAGTGATGTCAAACAATATGTGGGTGAGTTAATGAGGATAGAGAATGATTCCCAGATCAGAAAAGGAAAATTGAATGCTTGCTGGTATAATGTGTATCTCCCCATCTAAAATGTATTACTTTTTAAATTCTTTTCTTGAATATGATATATTTTATGTATTTAATCAAAATTGATGTTTTGATTCAAATCATGTATAGCATCTTGAAATATGTACCATGTTTCATTCATTTTCTGAAGCTCTTATTGGCAAGGTCTTAAAAAACACTTAATTTTATTTACAAGCAATACACTTTACAAACACTGGTATATTTTCCTTTACCAAGACCAGTATTACAGCATTATTAGTTGACACCATGTAAAGTGATATAAAGTGATGTGTAAATCATGATTTTATCAGGCATTTTAATATTGTTCTTCAGTTGAAAAGAATAATTTTGAAATTGTTGTCAAGGAAACAAACCTAGAAGGTTATGATTTAGAAGTGAAACAAAAACTCAAATACAACACTTAACCTTCAATACATTGATGTCTTTCAGGGAGTCGGCGAGTCGTGGACGTAATGGATGTGAATACACAGAAAGGCATTGAGATGTCCATGGCTCAGTTTGCCAGGTATTACGAAAGCCCAGATCGCAAGGAGCTCTACAACGTGATCAGTCTTGAGTTCAGTCATACACGATTAGCTGATCTTGTCCAGCAACCTAAAGTTGTAAGTGTCTATTTTTCTCATTAATTGCCTTTCTTGTCGTTATCATTCCCTTTAAAATACTCATGAAATTCCAAACATCAACCTGGACCCAACACTATACCTAAACCTAACCCTAAACCAAACCTAAATCTTATCGTAACCCATACCCTAATCATATATCTTTGGTAAAATACAGCCCGGAACCATTGTTGGATCAACATTTGGATACTTGTCTAATGATACACTGCCTGTATTTAATAGAAAATAGAAAATATTATTTGTTGATTTTTGTTTGTTATATTTTTCAGTAATGATTACCATTTTTGTTTGCGCTTTGATCTCTTTAAAATCATGGCAGTTCAGATTTGTTGCAATGATGTTTTTTTTTTTTTTTTTTTTTTGGGGGGGGGGGGGGGGGTTATCAATAACCATATATCTATCTATCTATTTGTCTATTCTACTAGCAAGCTTAAAGCAATTGTTGTGGAGCTATTGGAGAAGTTGGCAGATTCCTTTTACAGATCTGTCTTCAGATTTTGGTATACATAACATGGAAGAATTTCTCTTCTCCTGTCAGCTATATACCTATTTACTGGTCAGAAACTGGCAAAAGTAGGATAATTTGATATCTTTTCAAAGGACTTTAGTGCCATAACAGGGCTCGAATACACAGCGCTTGCATATCCAGCAATCAGTCGTACCATTTTATCAAATTAGTTTTTTTTTTCCTCCCTCTCTAATGAAACATTGGAATTGGCTTCTCATATTAAAATGCAATACTTTGTATATTTCAGGTTCGTCAGATTGACTGGGTGAACAATGTTTGGCCTCGTCATTTGATAGATACCCAGAGGGACAGTACCAACGTCCTGGCAGAGATGAAATATCCCAAGGTCCAGAAGTAAGCTAGATTATTTTGTGTTCAAGGTTTAAACTTTAGTTTATTTGATTCTCATGAAAAATACGTCTACAAAGATTTTGTTAAGGTTGATATGTATGATTCTTTAATGGCTAATCATTGTTGTAATATGGTTATTATTTTTTGTTGAAACATATATTCATTGGGCCTACATGGGACTGGAAAGCAATATAGCTTTGGAAAGCACCTCTAAAAGGGTTCTAGTCATCTCAGACAAAAGGAGTTTCTGTAGAAAATTTAAAGAAGAACTGATGTGAACAAAGAGATGCATAGTTTCAGCATTTGTAACCAAAAAACTGTAGCCAGAGCATTTATTTTTGTTGTTTTCATTTAAACATTGTGTTTATTTGGAACATATATTATCCTACTCTGAATACTTGCCATAAGACAGCATGATAAGTAGTGGTTTGAGAGCTGCATCCTCACTTCATATTCTTTTAAGAAATTGTCAAATCTCAGTATCCATCTCATCTCAATTCATACGATTTAATCTCAATTGAATTTTTATTTACAGATATTGTCTGATGAGTGTGAAAGGGTGCTACACAGATTTCCATGTTGACTTTGGAGGTACGTCCGTCTGGTATCACATACTCCGAGGATCAAAGGTAAGTTATTTATTTATCGTTTATCAGTGTTGAAGGGTTTGTACAGACTGGTTACTTTGGGGACTTTCTTTTATTAAACACTGTAGGAGCCATTATGTATGATAACAAGGAAATTTCATATTTATCTACAAATTGTCCATTTTTGTGTGATACTTATAACTTTTTTTATCTTGTCTTTGAATAAGGGTTGATGACTTTCTGTCTTTCCTTTTTCATATGTTTGTCTGTCTTTCTGTCCTTACCTTCATTCTCCTCTCTTTTCCCTTTGTATCCCCCCTCTCCCTCGCCCCCTCCTCTCTCTGTCTGTCTCTATCGGGTCATGTTCTCTCTCTCCCTTCCACAATTCGTCTACATCCAACTCTCCCTCTCTCTCTCTCTCTCTCTTTCTCTTTCTCTCCCTCCCCCTCTCTCTTTCTCTTTCTCTCCCTCCCCCTCTCTCTCTCTCTCTCTCTCTCCCTCTCTCCCTCTCTATCTCTATTTTTCTCTCTCTCTCTCTCCTGCTCCCTCTCTTTCTCCCTCCCCCTCCCTCTCTCTTTCTCTCTCCCCTCTCTTTCACCCCCTCTCTCTCCCTCTCTCACTCTCTCTCACCCTCCCTTCCTCTCTATCTACCACCCAGGTGTTTTGGTTGATCCCCCCGACCGAGGAGAACCTGGATACGTACGAGACCTGGGTGCTGTCTGGGAAACAAGGGGATATCTTCCTAGGAGACCGGGTGATGGAGTGCGGCAGGATCCGCCTGGAGGCTGGAGACACCTTCATGATCCCTACAGGTATCCGCACCTTCCATTATCTGAATTTTAATATTTGATTTGATTTGATTTCTGCATTTTTCCAAATAAAATAACTGAATAACAAAGAACATAAATCTAAGGTACAATACAACATATTCAAACAATAATTACTTCATGTTAAAATTCTTCTTTTTTTTTTTTTTTTTTTTACATATGTACATATAATAATGAAACTTAATTAATAAATTTCTATAACATATTATAAATTTTAAGTATTATCTGAACTATCTGTTGAAAAAGTGCAGGAGACCGCAATCATAAGCGATGCTTGACTAGGATGGCGGCCTAAAAAAAAAACTTTAACAAATATGTTCAGATGTGCATTGAAAAAGTCAAGTAATTACCTCTAAATAGTTTTTTTTTTTTACTAGATGAGATTTATCTAGAGAAGGTCTTTTTTATGTGAGCCAACTTGTATTTAAGGCCTACCATCAAATTTCAATCCTAAACTGTAGTTATTAATATGAAATATGTAAGTGCCTATTAAAATTAAGTGAAATAAGAGCATTAATATCTTACTTTCTTTACAATAGGCTGGATCCAAATTGTGTCCACTTGAAAATCCAGTGTTAATATTAGGATTTGTTTATAATAGGCTGGATCCAAATGGGGTATACACCCAAAGTTTAGTGTTAATATCTCGATTTGTGTTTAATAAGCTGGATCTGTGTAGTGTGTACACCCAAAGTTTCAGTGTTAATATCTTGATTTGTTTGTGAAAGGTTGGATCCGTGCGGTGTATACACCCAAAGTTCAGTGTTAATATATCAATTTATATATAAGCTGGATCTGTGTGGTGTGTACACCCAAAGTTTCAGTGTTAATATTCTTGATTTGTTTGTGGCAGGTTGGATCCATGCGGTGTATACACCTGAAGATTCACTGGTGTTTGGTGGTAACATCCTGCATACATTCAACGTACGTAAACAGCTGGGAGTATGGCAGCTTGAAGACAGAACAAGGGTTAGTCCAGATATTTATCTTAATGTAAAAACCAGAAACTTTTGTGACAATTATGATACTTCATGTATTGTAGACATTGGTAATTTCTTAAACAAGAACATTTTGCAAATGCCTTAAAGGTCACTGTTGTTAATAATATATTTGATTAGTAAGGCACCAAATCCACTTGAAGTTGAATGTTCAAAGCTCAATATTAAAAAAAGAGGAAACTACATAAAAGCATCTGCATTATTCACAAAAGAAGAACTGGAGTATAAGAGTGATGGAACATAACAAAATGAAAGAGAACAATTGATTGTATGCCACATCAAACACATACGTTTTAGACTATTTTTAAACACTTTTTGCAACTGGTCTGCTATTACAAATGTCTTGAGGAAGAGCATTCCACAATAAAGGCCCTGTATGTTGTGATTCATTTAATTTGTAGCATGAACCTTTTGTAAACATTTACCATGAGCAATTTAGGTTTCTGGTTTAGAATTTTTCACGGGGGGGGGGGGGGCAGTGTAATGGTTTTTTTTTTAAAATATGGGCATTTAGCTATTCCAGGAGTGCCTGCTGAGGTAAAATAGTTTGGTGAGAGTATATATTTCATACAAATTTAGTAGTTTTAAATGTCAGTGAATATGCCACACACCCATAGGTTTCAAGTAAAGAGATGAAATATGATATTACACTTTGTATTATTGATAAGATGCTTTATGGCTAAGACTGTTTGATTATAATTTCTACCTTTTGAAGATGAGGCAGCATAATTTCACTCCTTTCTCTCCTTTACTTGCTATCAGGTGCCCAACAAATTCCGCTATCCTTTCTACTTCGAGATCCACTGGTTCGCCCTCGCAAGGTACGTCGAGGTCCTCCTCGGTCGCCAGCACGTCAGAAACACCGGTAAATCCCAGTCAAACGAGACGATAATAGAACATGCAAACAATGGACATAGCCTGCTCAAGCAAGAAAATGGAATAGATCAGGAAGTGAAGGTGGATGAGGAGGAGGAGGATGATGTTGATATTGGCCCTCACCATAGAAACGTGAAGGTGGAGGACGAAGATGAGATGTCGGATGCGATCCTGAAATCCCTGGCGATGGGACAGACGATGGACATGGATGAGTCGGACGACAAGGATCTCTCGTTCGGAGAGTCCAAAGAGACGTTTGAGAAGAAACCTGAGCCAGCCGGAGGAGGAGGAGGGGACTTTGCGTCGACGTCATCGATGGGCGGAGTTAAGAAGCCCATCCACCTGTCTTGGGCTGAGATGGAAGGTCTGATCAACCTGGTGGAGTTCCTGGAGAGTCTACCAAGGAGTAAACGCAGTGTGCCTGAACTCATCGACAATCCAGATAAACTCTTAGAAGATGCAAGGGTGAGCTCTATTACACAATTTAATGATGTGTCAGTGTATTAAATAAAGCATTATTTTTCTTTTGTCTCTGGAATAACATACTTTATCAAGATAATATTCCATATTTTATATATAAGGACAAACAAACAAACAAACAAACAAAAAATGCTGAAGGGAAATATTGAAGGAAAAAAAAAAAAAAAAAGCTGATGCACCGGTAGAGACGATACAGCAGTGTAGGCTGGCAGACCTTCAGTTAATTCTTGTTTACAAGTTGTCCAGTATTTTTTTGACATCATGATATGGCTATGTGTGGATCCGAAGGTCGAAAGCTTTTGCTGTCACTACACTGATCTTCTTTTTTCTAACAGCTAAGTGAAGTTTTCCATACTGATATTATTTTCCCAGTCATTTTACAATGTCCGGAAATGGTGTGGTACCGGGCTGTACGCTAAATTATTATTATTTTGTTTGATTGTTTAGGAGATGCTTGAGCTGCATCAGGAAGATGACCCAGCCGTAGGAGTAACAGGAGTACCAATCGTTAAATGGCCAGATCCTCCTCCTAAGGTATAGTACAGAAACAAAATCATGCCATGAAGAGCATTTGGACAAGTCCAAGCTATTTTTGTCCCATATATGTTTAATACTAGCCACATCTAACAATGAAGTCAGTATATCTGACAACTGTAACAAGCTGATATAGCCATACTAGAGCTTGAATCAGACAAGACATAAAAATAAAATGATATATTTCAATGTCAATCTATGTTCACGATTCCACCCTTCAATTTAAGAATACTTGGTAACATCTTGGACTTGCCCAACTGGGAATATAACACTAGTCCATGCCCTTGCCAAAGTATAGCTTTAAAAGTTAAACAAATATAAAAAAAAAAGGTTTTTTTTTAATGTTCATATATTCCTACCCATGTTGAACTCGATGAAAACAACATCTATTCGAGGGAATTATATGTTGAAATGTGGTCTTAGTGACAGATGGTGTTCTGAAAAGATGGCCTTCAAAGCAGATTGATGTAAACATCAAGTTGTAATATGGTCAAGTGATTATATCTTGAAACAAACCATCTGGAAGCAATCGGAAAAGGTTGAGTATGTAGTACATTAGAATGTATGGGGTTTGGGAATCATGAAAGCGAAAAGAAATTGACTTATTCTTGGTGGAAGCCATGTGCATTGCTCATAGAACTGTGTACCGGTATATGGGACTACACAGACATATTGCAGGGAAGTTTCGTCTAAACTTTTCAGCTGTATCTCATTATAATTTGAATATCAAGGCATCTGAAGAGCAATCCTTTTCAGGTGAAATTTCCGCTTTGATAATCTCTCTGACTAACATTAAAAAAAAGAGATAGGTCACAAATGATTGTTCACTTTTACCAGAACTAACCTTCTCTCTTACAACTGTAATTGCTTTAATATTGTCTGTTTGTCAAGAAGGGTGTACGGACTATGGGGGACAAAGTGAGCTACTTTTAATCTGATACATTCTTCTTCTTTCATTTAGCCTCCTGTCATACTCAGGCCAGCTCCCTCCAAGAAACGGGTGAAGAAGCAAAAGAAGAACAAGGCGCTGACGATGAATCGCAAGCGACGCACGCGCTGCAAGCAGTGTGCCAACTGCACCAGGGCAGATTGTGGGGAGTGTAACTTCTGCATCGACATGAAGAAATATGGAGGCCCGGGCAAAATGAAACAATCATGCATCATGAGACAATGCTTAACAGTAAATATAATTCATTTCTTTCACGGAGCAATCTTGTTATTTAGAGCTTCATTATTCTGAAAGTCCTTAATTCCAAATAAACAATTTACTTATACCAGGGCGATCACTACTCCAGAAATAGAATAACATTTGTTTAAAATCGTATCATTTGTTGTCAGACCAGAAAGTTCAGTGTTCCAATATTTCTACTCTCGTCTTTCTGCCTCTTTTTTCATATTTTTCTTCTTATGTTTCTTATTCTCAACTTTGCTTCTTCTCATCATCTAATTCTAAGTAATTAAAGGTGGACATTAAAATATATCGTAATCAAACCCGGAATGTTTCTTTTGGTTTAAACCCTAGCTAGTTGATTGGTCATTCATTTTATGGAACTTCAAATAGTTACTTCCCTTTGTGATTGCAACTATTAAGATCCCCATGATTTAACCAATGACCACGTCACTGATTCAGCCAAGGACGCAGGTTCGAAACTGAGTCACTTCTTTCGGATGGTGACGTTAAAGGTTGGTCCCCAGACGTAAATAATCATATCTGATTGATACACGTCTGTAAAAACCCAATTAAAAACACACAGATATTTACATTTTGTGAGTGTCACAAGTCACATCTATCATTATGCCATGGTTGTATGCTAATCCCCTTATTTCAGATGCTACATGAATGTTTCATGTTTGTCAAATTCTCTTACCCTGAATGTTACCCTTTCTCACAATTAGCCCATCCTACCAGGCAAATCTAGCTGCTCAGTGTGCAAGCTAGAAGACACTGATTCAGAAGGGAACACCACTCTCTTTGAGTGTCATGTCTGCCATGACATCACCCATCCTGCGTGTCTCAAGGAGCAGGGCTTTCAAGCTGAGGGGATCATGAATGAGGACCTGACGAACAGCTGGGAGTGCCCCAAGTGTATGGAGGTCGATGATGAGGACGATGAGGAGGAAGATGAAGAGGAGGAGGATGACGATGGCGATGAGGTAGGGTATAACCTGAAAAATAACAAAATAATAATATTCCGCTTTTATATAGCGCCCAATACATCGATACAACGATGTGTCTAAGCGCTTTACAGATATATTATTACCCTGGTCATCTGATTCAGGCTTACCCGCACACAATGTGTGCACATTCTCCACTCCCTGGGGAGCATTCTGCTAATGCTTGAAATGTTATCATATTCTGAGGTCAGGTTAAGGGCAATACCTTATTTTCATACTTTTTTTTAAGAAGAGCAAGGAAGGTAATCAGAATGTAAGTATTGTTTAAGGGAGATTATTGATTTGAACGTTTTAAAGATCATCAAGATGAGATGTGAAACAAGATTATATGGGATGTGATGATTTCATTGAATTTCTTTGAATTGTTTCCATTGGTTATGAAGATATCTGTGACTCAAGGGTTATACAGACCTCCCATCCTTTCGGCTTTTGGCGGAAAATTTCCGCTTTATTTTTCTTTTTCTTTTTCTGATTTTCCACTTTTGTCATTTATTTTCGGCCAAAACCAAATTCTATTCATACTGCAGTAAGAATATAACTTATATTCTTACTGCAGTATGAATAGAAATCTTGATAATCTGATTGAACATGAACTTTCATTTTTGTTTTCTTTTTCTTAATCCTGAAGGTGAAGGGTACAACCTATTAATACGTCAAGATAGAGCACGAGAGGGCCCTTCTCAGGGCCAACTAATCCTGTTGAAATGAATACATGGTGTTCCCTCAAACCTCGCTCAATTCTTTTTTATTCATTATTTTATTTCAAAACCCAAAATGATAAAATGTTAAAATGTTACATAGTCACATATTAAAATATTCTTTATATGTGTGTTTATCATTTCTTTTAGTCTGATAGTAGTTCAGAGAAAGCAGTATCTTCAAGAGGCAGAAAGAGAAAAGCTGTGAGTATTATCAAAAACATGAAATTATATTATCAGCCATCACCCCAAAATGTTTTACCCTTTATTTAACCTTTATTAGTGTCCAATATTCAAAATAACATCTTTTAATTATATAGCCTCTGTAAAGAATGATACGTTTTTCAAGATTTTTGCACCTTGAAATAAAGGCAGAGTAGCTAATGTAATTGCATACAAATTCAGCACCCAAAGAACTTTACTGGGAGACCATGTGGACCTTACTACAAATTTTCATGTTACTCTCTAATTGTTAACCAAATACCTTTTGATTGTTATTGTTGTTTTTTGGAAGGGGGGGGGGGGGAAGCAGTATGTTTATGATCAATATTTAAGCAAAAAGTCTATATTTAGCAATTGGTTCATTTTAGATATATGATTTTGATGCCAAATAGTATGTATATTCTTGTGCATGGCCAGTAAATCATGAAATAAAATGAAACAAATAGGAATAGGATTTTGAATTGGAAGTGGGATTTCAAATTGGTATTGCAATCGGTTTCAAGTTTGAAGTGGAATTGGGATTGTAATGGGAATCGGGGTTGGAATTGGAATTTAGTTTTGGAATTGGAATTAGTTTTGGAATAAGTTTTGGAATTGGAAGTGGAATGGGAAATAGGATTGGTAATGGTATTGGAATTGGTTTAGGAGTTGGAAGTGGAATTGGAATCGGGATTGAAATTGGAATTGGAATGTAGTTTTGGAATTGGAAGTGGAATTGGAATCGGAACTAAATTGAATAGAATTTTTAATTTTAACATTTTTTCTTTTCTTGTGTTGTCTACAGGAAAGTGATGTGAGGACGCATGAGGCTGGCACAGTTGGAAAGAGAGGGAGCCATGCAGGAAAGGTACTTGATATGCAGTATCTGAGATAAAACTTTAAAACAAATTATGTTTTGTGTGTGTGTGTGTGACTTTGTGTAATATTTTGTATGCTGATGAACTTCATATAAAGCATAATTCTGAACTCACTTTCGTTCTTTGTGGGAAGAAATATCACTGGACAGACCAAAACAAAAAACAAAAATGAATATTACTGTTTTTTAAATCAGATAATTTTGATGCAGATGAAATTCTGTTCCAATAGAAACTCAAAAATGCATGCATCACTTCTTCTAATGTTGTGTGTGGTCCAAATACCCAGAATTTGTATGCTGTGCAAAGTAAATGAAACACAACATTGAGTTTGTGAAGTGTATTGCTGCAAAATGGCCAATTTTTACAATGAGCAAAAGAACCATGTTGCAAAACTTTCTGGTTGAAATTGATACACCATTTCATCTTAATATTCATTTCTGCTGAGAATCTACTCTACCAAACTTGAATTTCACCATTTGCTCTACTCCTTCCATGGTCTTTAGACGACGAGGAATTTGTCTTGCTTACTCTTTGTGATAGATTCTACAGGAGGAATTTCATGGAAAACTTAGGATCTACAGTTCATAATTTCATAAAAAGATTTTGGCATTTTGTTCTTGGTTTTGAGCCGATGGGTCGCTTATCATTGATGAGTGACATTCGCTTGTATTGTTGTACAGTTACTTAAGTAATTGAGTAAAATATCTTTGATGTTTGGCTTACGAATTGAACTGCAAATGCTTTGTACAATCAAAGTTTGTGAATACACACCTTCAGGCTTAGTACATATGGAGAACAGAAAAGCGTTTTCATCAATTTAATGGAAGCCGAGATAAATTGTAAATAGGAATTATTTTCATCTTGAGGTATTGAAGGCCTCAGTGTTTGGCCTAGAAACCACCCTGTCCTATTGCACCTACATGTACATATGTACAAGCAGCTTGCAAAACCAGGCAACTTTGTTTACTTAAAGCCCCACTGCACTAGTTTGGCCAGGAGGGATTAGACCTCCCTGCAAGGTCACTGACAGGGGGTTATCTCATCTAATCAGCTCTCAATTAACATACAAAAAAGGGGATCATGGGGGATAAATGGTCACCGATTAGGCATTGTTTGCTATTTAGAGGGGGCAAGTAGCTAAAAGTAGTGCAGTGGGGTTTTAATTTGTAAGAAGTTCTGTTTTCAATGCAGTATTCAGATTGCAGCACCTTTCTTCCACTATTTGTCATCATTCAGTATATTGTACAAAGCTACTGTCAGATATATATAGAATGCACATGATAAGATGGGTTATGTTTATAATGTGAAGTATTTGTTTTGAAACAGAGTATTGTTTCCCTTTCAGATACAGCAATTTTCTGGTACTAACAGCATTAAATATTTGCTGTGATTATAAAGGGCAAAGGATACGAATCAACCAAAATGGGCATTGTTTTGCTAATATATGTACAGTTATAATCCAAAAGTGATTTTAATAGAAAGCCAGTTGGTAAAATTTCTTTCATATCTTGAATCAATTTATCACAGTTTTGATCAAAAGAGGCATTTAAATAAGTAGGAGATGACAATATTTATTTATTTTCATTTTATGAAAAGGCAAGACAGAAATTCTTTCATGTGGTGCCCAATGAAGATTCATGTAAAATGATATTGGGTACAATATTTGTTTGTTTGAGCTCCAGGGAGCTAGATCTTTTAAAACAATTTTGTAAAATTTTTAGTTTTCTACTTCAGAATGTTTTTCTGATATTTTTGCTGATTAAACAGCATTTTTTCTGCTTGAATATTAGCAGAACACATTGTGATGCCCCCCTCAATGCCAGTTGATATTACATCTATGCTAAGACATGCTATTTCTTATTTTGACTTAAGGAAAATCTATTTTCCATCCATTCTACAACCTGGCAGTGCAGCTGACCTATTGAATGCAAATGTCAGGTGTTGCCAGTGTTCCTCTTTCTACTTAATTAATGTTTACAGAATAAGTGTTATCTGTCCAGCTATAACTGCCAAACATACAATGTTAAAAATATATATAATTGGTTTGAGTTGTTTTCCAACATGTAATAATGTTAAAGATAAATAATGATATAAGATATATGAATTAGATTTACACGTAAATATAAAGAAAGAGGGAGACTTAATTATCGAACATGGGTATCGGTATAGTTTTAATTTTATATTGCTCAGGTTTACAAAGTTCAGAGGAGTATGCAAATAGCACGCTGCATTCATTCTAATGCATGAATTGAGAAATTGTGTTATTTGCGAAATGTAGTTGTGTTATCTATTTGGTTTGATGACATTTTTAGTATCAACAGGGAAGAAAATTTTAAGTTAAATTTTTTTGCTCAAAGAGTTTTTATGAGCATCTAAACATGTGAAAACGTTTTCCCCAATAGATGACCTTTTAATTGTGTCTTTGAGACAAGAAAACCTAAGGGCAATGCTTCCTTTTGATTTGTTACTAAATTTGACATTCAGCAATTATAGTGGTAAATACATGTGCTATGATTTGCTGCTTATTTTTGTTAGTAAAAATGCTCAATGAAATTGATCATATGAATAATTTGTAATATATGACAGGCTTTAGGCTAGTCATTTGATTTTGAATCATACAGCTATTCATGAAAAGATTGTTAAGATATAAAAGAGAGCATTTTTTTTAAATATTTATTTTTCCTGATACAAAATTACCAGGTATCTAAAAGATTCATGATGAAAATATAGGCCTTGGTGATCTGAACTATTAGTTTGAACCTTGATCAGTGCAGTATGGAATGGGAAGCCACCTAGATTTGAGCCACTAAATGATTCTTTCACATCACTTTTTTATAATCATTGCATATTTCAAAATTTATCATTATTTTTAAATTTCTTGAAGTTTTGTTTTACATTTTTGTTAATAGTTTTATTCAATAATTGTGCCACAGTATCACCATTAATTGCAGAAGGACACTTTTTTCTTCAATTTTTCACAATCACATTCCTCTGTTTTGCAGTACTTGGCTTTCACACAAGTTTCAGGTCAAAGAGCACCAATTTTGCCCTTTGACCTATGGGTTGTTAGAGAGCATTAGCATTGTGGATATCTAATGCTGAAGCCATGGTGCTATACATGTATATGCTCGCATGTAGAAATTATCAGATATGTTCTTGTATCCCACGTAGTGTGGTGAGCATGAGATATAATCTCAGTTTTTAATGTTCAGTTACATCCATGACTTTTGGTAACTTATGCACATGGCAGGAGGTATACATTTACACCAATTGTTCTGTGTGTTCTCTATGTTTATAATTGTTTTTTATTTCTTTTTCTCCATTTTACAACTAGGGTATAAACGAGCTGAGAAAGAATCAATTTTATTTAGCTGAGGATGAATTATTGAGCGTTGTCAATGGATTTGTTAAAATGCTTTTCACTTTGTCAAAGCAAAGGTGATTACTGGTATATAAAGATGTATCACATTTTGTACCGAAGTACTGTATAGGTTGCTCATCAACAGAATGCGGCATGTTGAACAGCACCTTTTGAACAAAAGATCAAATCTGGTCGATTAAGAGTCGTTTTTCACCTCTTCGGGAGCTAGCTAAATGGGGCATGTAGTGCTGTGACTACATGTACCTGGGGGGGGGGGGGGGTGTGTTCCTTTCGTCTAATCAAACGACAGAATAAAGAGGAGAACAAATACACCTGTTCCACATCTTACCCTACTCGATGGCCTTGTTAATTAAAATTTTATCCATCTTTTAAGACCGGTGCCCCCCCCCCCTCTCAAGTCTTCCTCAATGTCTGGAGCCAAGCATGCACCAGAAGTTTTTGTTATACACTGGTGTTTATCTTCCCTGATTAAGGAGAGCCCAGATATGTGGAAATAATTTCTTTTGATTTTCTAGATGTGTTCCTTTGTTTAAAAGCCACCGTTCTTCATTCCCCTTCATTTTGCTAAGCTCCCTTATTACCAGTTGGAAGATTGGCTTTGGAAATTCAGTTTATGTACATAAGATTCTATGCAAAGCATTAAATAATGGAAACATGTTGTAAAGAAGCACCAGTTCTGTTATGCCAATTTGAAACACACAAGCCTCCGATTCATTTAAATGGTCAACATATTTGTGAGAAAAAGCGCTATATGTCGATGAAATCAAATTAGTGATGAAAGGGTTTCTTGTATTATTGCATCTTATGCTCATGTTGAATTTGAAATGTTTTCCTTTCCTGACTTTTTGGAATTAAAATTTTCTGTACATTGCACCGAAATTGATTTGGTATGTGTATTTTTTTTGGAGGAAATGTACTAATATTTGCTTCCTATTAATCCAAAGATATATTTTTTGCTGAAAGCCAGAGAAATTTTTAACTCATATTAGTTAACGCCAGTCGGACTTTCAGCATATGAGATTGGATTTAACCCATAAGCACCTCCAATTACTGGTACCATTCTCGAAATTGTTCAGATTCATAGAAGTTTCATGCTGCAAAAGCAATGAATCATGCACAACTGACAAACACAACATTTTCGCAATTTGGGAGAGTTTCTTCCAGTGAAATTCGCTCTCGGATACATATCACATTAGTTTCTTATTTTACAGTAAGGTGCTAAAGGATTGACACTCTGCAAGATAGATGAATTTACTTAACATGGGACAGAGAAGCTTGTTATCAAGCACTGAATATATTCATCAAATAGATTCATCTGTACAATCTGTGATATAAGCCTTAGCCTTAGTAAGCTTGGTCATCTCCTGTAGTCAAGCTAGCTGTCAGAAGTGTTTCTGTGCTTTCTCATCGTAGTTGGGAACTTTTTGCAAAATATTCCTGCAAAAGATTAAATGAGAGAAGAAACAGCATTTTCGGCAAAATAAGCTTTTCACCTAGAGTACTTAGAAGGGAGATACAACAAGATGAAGCTATTCAGAAAGACGGAACACGAAGAGTGATTAGAGGAGACCTTGGTGACTGTTATCATCAGAGACATTGAGGACTTTTGTCAATTTAAAAAAAATTAACTAGTGGTGGTGGTGGTGGTAGAGAACTTCAACTGTAACGAAGCAAAAGAAAGAAGATGTTTGTTGATGTTTTGTTATGCCTGCTTGTGCTGTCAAGTGAAGTTAAATGTGCAAACTGTTGAAAGAACTGACATTGGCCTTCCCTGTGGTTCCATCTTCCTCAGGGACCTACCATGGCTTCAACATCCACCTACCAAGGAACACTCCGGACACGACTGAGGCAACGGAAAGGCAACAACCAGAAGCTGGCCAAGCAGAAGGTACGTCAGGCTAAGTATCACATGCAGTCATCGCTCAAGAAGGGGAGAGCAATGCTGAAGAGGCACCCTTTGCAGCAGAAGAAGAGACGCCTTGGACGGCCACCAAAGCTTCAAGCCCAGGTGGAACCGAAGCCAATCATCATGGAGAAGATCCCGGCCTGTGCTGCTCCAAAATTTGTCGTCCGACCCGCTCCTGCCAATCCACCGCCTGCATTTGTTCTGATGGCGGATGACACCAAGCATCCCATCCATCGAGATGACTGGATGATGATCTTCCAGTTCCTTGACAAGCGTGCTCTCAACGAGTGTATGGCTGTCTGTAAGACCTGGAACAGATGGTGCATCCATCCTTCACTCTGGAAACGCATCAGCTATAAGACTCCCATCTCCAAGTTGGCACTCTGCGGGATCGTCCGGCGTCAGCCGCTTTCGCTCAACCTCTCCTGGACAAACATCAGCGCCAAGCAACTCTCCTGGCTCCTCCCACGTCTGCCGAACCTCAAGGACCTCGGCCTCGGCGGTTCAACTTGGCCTGTTGTGTACAGCCTGGCCTCTGTAGTCTGTCCCTTCTTTACATCTCTTGATCTGCAGTGGGTGAGCGGCCTCAACGACTCCTCCCTCCTGTCTCTACTCTCATCTCCCATGGACCACAGACCAGGCTATTTTGATGAACGGTCTCGTCTCTCAAACCTGGAAAGGCTGTGCTTGTTAGGAGCGGACATTACGGATGCGACCATGTCTTCGATCGTTCAGTTTGCTCCACTCCTTGCTCACCTGGACATAAGTTTCTGTGGTAACCTGACTGATGCTAGCATCAGGATTCTCCTTGATGAGAAGTCTCCAGTCAGAATGACTCTCAAAGGTACAAATGGCTTTTTATCTTAAAGTATTTGAAATATTACATAATTAGTAACTTTATATTTGTAACTGCTAAATATGTTGACATCTAAACTGAACATTATTTGTGGAAATTGAATTCATGAAAATAAGGACCTTTGGTAGACATAGATAAGCATCTTTACAATTTCATAACTCATAGATCTATTAGTATTTGCCAGATTGAATGACAACTTCAAAATAATTTACATGTAGTAGTTTACTTCTGAGACTAAATTTACAGTTCATTTGATCATCATTTATCTTTCCCTTTTTCAGGGTAGAATTCTGATGAAATATTTTCTGTGGAGAAAAATTAAGATTGTTTTAGTGCAAAAGAAATTGGAAGCTATTAGCAAGGAAAAACAAATAGTTGCTATAAATAAGTGTTTGATAGATTACAACTAGTAATTAAAACTTTTTGTTCTTATCCTTTCTCAGACTTGTGTCAAATTTGCTCCAATCCTTTTCTATCATTTTCTGCTTTATGAGAACCATTATAGCGGACTTCTCCCAAGGATCCATTGCAAAGTATAACATGATTGAACGAAATAAAATCCATGATTTTCATGTCTTTTTTTATTTAATTACAGAGCTGAACATTGCCGGTTGCAGGAAGATGACACTCTCTGTCTTCAGTCAGCTGGAGTCCTGTCCCACTCTCACAAAACTCATCATCCATTCTTGCCCAAACCTGGCTCAAGAAGCTTGCCTGAAATTCACCGAACAGAAAGGCGTTGAGATGGTGACAAGCAAGCCGAGCAGAGTGTGTAGACCAAGAAGGCCCTGATTTGATCAGATTAACTCTTAACCTGTTTCTGTTGAGTGAAGGAAGAAACAATGGACTGACACAGTAGACCTTTCTCACACATACAATGTACATGTATATACATATTCTCCTAACAGTATTGCAGTCTTGGGTGTCAATCTAAAGCAACTGTACAGTAAAGAAGCTACACGTAACTCAAACTGATCACTAATTGTACATTGGGGGGGGGGGGGGGGGGGGTAGAAAATATTTCCCTGCCCTTCTTCCCCCCCCCCCCCCCCATCAAACTTTGTGTTTTATATTAATACATTTCCAGTGTTCATTTTGGCGATGTAAAACTTGTGAAACGTTTCTTATTTTAACGAAATTTGTTGATCAATATGATCTGTTACTTTGAATTATAAGATATATACAAGTTACACATTTTGTTAATTGTTTTAGCTTCCAATGCACAAGCAGATTGTACGATTTTGATTAAAGGTCCAGACAAGTTGTACTGGACTTTAACAATCCATGTGTATTTGTTAAGACAATATTTGAATGATCAAAAGTGAATCAAGTTTAATTAGCAATCTCTACATCTAACTTCACTGTTACTTTACTTTCTGAGAATATGTGTTTTATTTCATTTTAGACCCCCAGAAAAGAAATCATGCAACTATGTGAATGATGCTTTGGAAAATATGCAGACTCGTTTTATGCAAGTGCATACGGCTGCATCGGCTAGTCTACTTTAAATACAAGTCACTTTTATACTAATTTAGAGTGTATTTAAATGTGCAACATCTTCTTATAGAAATATGTAGGGCTCATGTCTTGAATATAGGACACCAAGGTGGTACACCTTAACTATAGAGCAATATATTTTGTGAGGATTGGTAGATTTTGATTCATACTTTTACAAATTACCTCTGAAGTCTGAAGATACAACTATAAGCTGTTTTTAAGTGACAAAAAATCTCTTCTGTAAGTAATTTATATAGTTTTAAAGTCGGTATTGCAAGACATTTCAAACATTGTCTGAAAAAAGTCAAATGAAAAGGTAAACAAAATTGAAATGAGGACTTGAAAGTCAACAAGTGTCACGTAACAATGCTACATGTATGTGTAAATACTGACCTCATTGAACAAGCCCATGTCACAAGATTTTGTCAAAAGAAATGAATATTATTTCTGTTGTGTGAAATGCACTTATGAAAAAAAAGAATTTGGATCTATCAGAAATACAGGCATTTGAGAGCAGAAGTTTTTGTTTGTGTTGTGCCCTAGATATGTGTATTTAAAAATGTTAGATTTCAGGAAATCTGTTTTTTTTAAATCCTTTTCCATTTTACTTATTATTACTAAGCATTACCTTTAGAAAATTTACATTATACAGTTTGATAGCATTTGTAGAAACTCCCATTTACAAGAAGATTTGTTTTCTGGTATCCATATCATCTTATAGGGGTAGAAGAAATAAATCTTTTATCCCTTTCTGTGTCACTCAGTTTTCAAACAGTATCATTTCCGAAGATTAACTTTTTGGATATTCTCCTTTTCCGTTGGGATGCATTAAGATATGAGCAAGCTTGATTAGTTCAGCTAGTGTACATTTTAAGAGTATGGCAATCGATCGGTTCTGCTTTTATGTTGAGTTTTCTTGAGGTTTGTATATTTGTTTTTTATACTTAAGCAATGCAAGTGTGTGTATGGTACATTGTATGTCCATTGATTGTAAATAAAGTGATATCAAGCCAGTCTAAGCTAAGATCAAATATGTGTGTAACTTGTAGTATGCGTACATTATGTTAATTGTTCTTGAGAATGATGGTCTGTATTGAATACTTTTACATGTTATATTTAATTTGTCATATTTTCAAGAAACAGAATTTGGACAAACCAATTTTTCACATACTGCAAACTATTACAAAACTTGGTAAGGGTGTGAATAATTTAGTTGAGAACTGTACCTGATGGTCCTATTGCCCTATTGCCCTATTATAGTTTGGATCAGAGAGTTTTTTTCTTCAAGTTTTGATTGATTTTCCAGTCCATGATAGTATACCTGTACTTGGTGATGTATTGGACATCTAATGACCACATAATTTGGACTTGCCAACAAACATTGGCATCATGATCCTTAAAGTCGTCCATCGGCCACTCGATCACAACAGTCACATAGTTTTCCATCAGCCACTCACAACTCACTCACACTTTCGGATGGTGACGTTAAAGGTCGTTCTCCAGACGTAAATAATCATATTTGATTGATACACATGTGTATAAAAACCAAATTACACACACAAACACACACACGCACACACGCACACTCACTCACAACCACATGGAGTATTACACAAAATGAGAAAATATGAATACACTTTATCAGCATTTTATGTACAAGCCTTTTATATTTGATCTTACATGTATAAGAAATTAAAATATTACTTGCAGGCTTGCAGCGTTTCATTTGTATTGATCAAACAAGACAAAACAAACAAGTATTGTAGATTTAATTATGCACACTTCTCATTCAAGAGGGAACATACCGTAAGGAAAGAAAAACAAGCGAGTCTTCATGTGACTTATATGTAGGCTAATATGAACGAGATACAAGAATATTGGTATACTGGGATATTCATATACATGCGTCACATTTACATCAGGGCTTTAGTCATAAGAACCTGCATGAGCTGAGCATCGTTTCACAGAACCGTCATAAATACAAGTTCACCAACATCCCATTAAAACGTGCATTAAATGTAATACATGCATTCCTATGGATTTTCAGAGAACTTGTTCTTAAGACGATTTTGTGAAAACGATGCCCTGCATTTCAAAGCTCTACTACCTCTCCTTCCAGCTATACCTGGAGGGGGGAGGGGTGCCACATCGGGCACTGTACATCATCCACGTAAATCACTTTCTGAAAAGCACACTAACAGTGGTTTACAAACATTCATGTTATACATTATATCAGTACAGTACACTCAGAAAAATCCTTGAATGCATTGATTAGTTACCTACATGTAATGTATGTTACGGTATACACAAAATTAAGCCTGGTTCCGGCACGATGTGATAAACTGCTTCCATAAAACCAGCATAGCAAAACAAGTAATTGTTGTGCTAATATGCCATCCATAGTTTTATTGCTATCATAATTGACATCATAATATTATATGAATTCTCACATAATTCAATGTAGCACAATGAACAGCACATACTACACTAACATTATGTTCACACTTCATGCAATACTGAACTATGCAAGATTTTACACAAAGGATGTGATTACAGTGTACTTTCATTGGGTTCTTAACATGGAGTATACATAAACACTAATAGACAATTCCAGTTTTTGACAAGTGTTTTTTTCTAGGTTGGATTGCTGGCCACTAAAATATTTTGGGGAATACTGAATCTTATTCCATACTTTTAAAAATTACAAGTAGTACATCAAAGAAAAAAGGCTTATCTATTTGTAAAACAAAACATATATTTGTTTTGGATGTACTATTTGGTTTTTGTTTCATTAAATAGCAGCAAAGATGGAAGTAAAGAAAGAAAGAAAAGGCTGTACACAAGAATGTTTCATTCTTATCAAATACCAGTATAGGGAGACACATTAATTCAGACCATATACTTAATGTTATCTTTTGCTTTACGCTGCAAGTACTTGTATTACTAATGCCCAAGCTCTTATCTTTAATATATAATATTTACAATATTTGGCATCAGTCTTTGCTTGTCACATATACCGGTACACACATTTTACTTAAAAGCTATTAAAGACTTTAAAATCACCATGACGAGAATGTTTAAAGAAGACTAGCTATTGAACTACATGAGGGAAAGTACATTTGCCACCCTAATCAGAGTCCAGAATGTCACCAGTTTTATTTTATTTGCGATCTCTCCCCTACCTGCTGCAAGCCGAAGATGGCGGAATCCACATATTCATATGCCAAGCTCATTCTTCCGCTGGGCCTACAAATTTGGGAATTGAGCCATCTTTGGCTTGTGTCAAGATTGCGTTAGTAGATTGGTAAAAGGAAATCGGCCAGATTGTGGACTACTCTGTTCAGTGATGAAGATGAATAAAGTGGTTGCCAGTTTCTGCTTGAATCACTGACCTTTAATTATATAAGAATACCTATTTGCTATTACTTGATCCATCCTACATATCTTCTGATGCAGCACACTAAACGGAGAGAGCAAGGTCTTTTATTTCCCCACAGTAAACTAGCTATTAGTCCCAGATTAATTAGCACATTTTTTAATTATATAGGAATACCTATATGCTATTTCCAAATGCAGCAAACTGAACAGAGAAAGCAAGGTCTTGTTTTTTCCAGAGTAAACTATTAGTCCCAGATTGATTACCGGTAGTACATTATTTATGTTTACTGCAACATATGAATACATGACATGTAAATAATGAAATCAACAGCTATTTTTATAAGCCTTAAAAAGTGCATACAAGTCTACATTAGGTTCCAACACTCAAAAATTTGAGTTTCATTTTTTTTTCTACCACAAAGTATAACTGTATACATGTAATCATACAATAAAATAATCATATTAATCATGATCATGACAAACATAATAAAATGAACATAAATGTCCCTTTCTGAAGAGTCATCAGTTTTCTGGGTACATGGTTATATTTAGAAAAGGGAAGCCTCTTTAAAGAAATAAATATACTGACTTACGGCAACAAGGTGGCATAAGAAATGAAAACTCTGATGCAAAGGAATACAAACCCTATAAAACGTACAAACTCAATTTTCGTACGGTATACATTTACTACTCTAACTAGGTCATGAATAGATTTACCTTAGTTTATGAATTATTCATGAATCGCAAGGTCATTTACTTGCCATGTGCCTGACAGATGGGCGATAGGGAAATAGTAAAACTAACGCCCTTCGGACTGGGCATGCAAAGTTGCTTCCAATTAAAGATAAAACAAACATCTATGACTAAAACATGTATATTTCAAATATGTCACACAATTGCATCTTGTAATGTACCATATGCACACGCATATATGTAAATGTTACGGCTGAAGAAAACAAAAGAAATGTCAAGTTTGAATTGTTAATCCAATGACAATAATTGTTAACTGGGTCTTCTAATAGAGTGAGAAAAAGAATGTTGAAGTTTAAGATCTGTCACTACAAATCCTAGTTATACGGCAACATGCAGAGTAAAAGGCAAGCCAAACCTTATTATACTTAAAACACCACGCTTGGTGTATGCCAGCAAAGCAAGGTATTGAGGAAAGTAGGGCACGCACACTTATAGTTATATCAAAGCCATGAATGAATAAAAGCACACAGTATGTCACACAAAAGTTACCCTGTAAAAAAAAAAAAAAAAAAGATAATTATACTGAACCCTTCCTTACTATAAGATGCGAATCCCACCCAAGAATTGGAAAGGCTGAATGATGAGTTTGGACATAGAATGTCTGGGTTTTTTTCTTCCAGAATCAGACACAGGTGACTTCATTCTGGAATTTATACCCATGGATGATACATTTTTCCCAATTACCAATGAAACAAAGTAATACAAGTCACAGTTCACAGTTCATCTATGCTTATCAGAGAAACACTTGGATAGAAGGCCAGGGCCGGGTTACAAAGGATGGAGAAATAATAAGTGAGTCAAAAAATTAAAACAAATACAGCACATTCTTTTTTTCAAAATAAAAATAATTCCTTCTTCAGCACTATGCAGCTGCATTGAGACCATGCCTATCCTCTCTGTAAGTGTTAGACAGTTGAAATAAAGGCAAGATCTATTATCTACATGAAGTTGTGCAACAGACACAATTCCCTACATGCTGAATTTAAAACAAAATCATATATACTAGTAATAACAGTTAAATAGGGAAAATAATTCCCCCCCCCCCAAAAAAAAAATCATTTTACCACAAAGTACAGTGCAACCATATTATAATGAGCTCTGATATAAGAGAGCCGTTTAGCAAGGTAATAATGCAGGTCCCACTTCTTTATATTCTTTATATCGCTTTTTACATGTACCTTATATATACCGAGGTAATTTTCATGGTCCAAGTCTCCTGTTATCAGGAGGTTCTGTTCTATTATAATCCTATTATAATGATGTTACACTGTCTTTGAGTTTATACAGTATTTCAGAATAGAATTCTTTGCAATGATCATTATCAATGGTACAAGCACAACAATAACAACTTTCAGTACAACAAAAAACAACATTTCTATACAACACACATTCAGCCAATATTTACTGGGCTAGGGGCAATAAAGAATAACTAAAACAGCCTCTTTTGTGACTTCAGCCTGATCTATCAAATGAGTTAAGATTTATCCACACTACTGGCTATGAAGCTTACATCCTCTAGCACCGCATCATCCTGAGCTCAAATAACTTTACCTACTTTATTATTTGCTCAGAGCCAGAGGGACATTATCTTGAATGCTTTTACACAGAAGTTTAAATTAACAAGCTTAAAGGTAAAGACCAGTTATGGTCATGCGATTGCATTGTGAAAGAAACGTTGTGGAATCGATCAGAAAAGGTTGATCATCTAGCATCTAGCATCTGCAAGGTTCTGGAATCATCAAAATGATAAGAAATTTGGCCCATTCTTCGTAAAGTTACAAGCACTATACACAGAAAGATGTATATGGGACTACCCTATATCTCTCACAGACCATGAGAGAAACAAATTTACCAAATATATGAATTAGTAGACGGTTTCCCGGCAAATTTTTTATCATCATGTATTAGTCAAAACATATTCTTTCACATGATTGGTAATGAGAGCTTCCATTTCATTTTTTGAAATTGGGGCGTTTCCAATACTGGTCTTTACCTTTAACATATCTTTTGCTTGATAAATAGGATTTTTACTATTCTTTCTCTAGCCCATATCTTGGGCAAAACTGTCACATGGTCACATATCAAATCATGATAAATTTTTCAGCTGGCATAATAAATTTTTTTTTAAAGAATTAAAGCAGCATATTTAGTCACCAGCTATATTCTATGGTTACTGAGTTGTTTTGGGGTTTTAAAAAAAGGTCAGAACGACCACATAAAATATCTCAATTATCTGAAACCAAGGTGCTGGTAACTCCTTGCTAAAACTAGAGAGAGACCTAGGCTGGTATTCTTGCAAGCAAAATCAATTTAAAAGAGGTCTAGACCTCAACTTAAATGGTCTACCGGTAGTAGATCCACTGATTTGTCCTGTACCAACAACAGTAATTAGTTTTGGGTGACTGAAATGCACAATAATAATAAAAACTATGTTATGAAATTAATTTCTTGATTTCATTTCACGACTAAAGCTATGGTCACAAATCAGAACAGCGACCGACCGATCAGTAGCCTGCTCGGTCGCTGCTGGACTTAGGCATCGCCCAGCGATTAGGTCGGTGCCCGGGCGGCGACCGCCCAGGCACCGAGCGTATTTTGGGCGGTGAGTGAAAAGTGAGCAGGCGCCGCCCAAATTTTAACTCTGCGCTAAAACTTCAGCGGCGACCGAGCGATGCTCTAAAAACGAGCGGTGCCTGGGCGGCCGCCGCTCGGTGGCCGGGCAGCCGCCGGGCAGAATTGGTTAAAAACTCGCCGCTCGGCCGCCGAGCAGGCTACTTTAGGGGTTTGTGACCATAGCATAAATTATTGCATTGATTCGATTTGTATCACAATTACCGGTACTGTTATCGATATGAATATCTACGTTGGTACTTCATTAACGAGTGGACTCGCTTTCAACCAGGTTTAAAGACATGCTTTCAAGAATATGGGCCAAAGGGAGCCTGAACATCAATTAGGTTTCACATTAATGCTCTCTAAAAAGCTACCACTTGTGATCACAAGCAACATTTCTTATGGTCTATAGCCTTTTCTTTGGGAAATGGATGTTATAAATAATACCTACATACAATTCAGCCTCTATATAGATTACCATGACAACCGTTTGACTTTCTCACAAACACTCCTCTTTAAAATCTGTTATTTCAATCTCTTTGGTAGCAGCCTGGTCAATTACGACAAGAAAAAACGCTAGCTCTGCAACTGCCTTTGACATGATATCAAATTATTTGAATTCCCGGATCCTAAAGCTCTCCGCTATAACTCTTTTTCTCAAAGCTGTCCTAATTAGATCCTAAAGCTCTCCTGTTTGCCATCAATGTGCCTCAGTCTAAGGTAGACATCTGTTCCGATACCTTGCATGGTCTCCAGTGATATAGACCCTCCTAGGTACTCTGCATATGCCTTGGATACTGGCAGTCCAAAGCCAAATCTAAACAAGAAAGAAAATAGGACCAAATACTTCTCTGATCAATATGCTTTGGGTTATAGACAGGGCTCAAATTAATTTTTTGTCCACGGGGGCTCTTCCCCCGAAAAAAGAGCCCCCGTGAGCCTTCTCACGGGGGCTCTTTTATTACTGACGGGGGCTCTTTTTTATACAAATATCCATTGAATTGGTACCTATGATACTCCTCAATTATTTGCTATTTCATCATTATCATTTCAATCAGCATTTTCCCTCTTACAAATTTACAAGCTACATAGCTGTTACTGGCCTGTGTATATAATATATACGCATAAAACACTGATCTTTATGATGTCTTTAACGTGACATATCTTCTTCTCCCCTTGCAAACGAAAAATAAAACATGGTCATTAAAAGGGATTAACCCTTACTGTACTGAGCTATTTTGAGCACCCACTGACCGGGGGGGGGGGGGGGGGGGGGGGGGGGGGGCCTCCCAGGCGGGTCAATGTCGCTATTCATAAGGACCGCTGTTCATAAGGTCCGCTATTCATAAGGTCCATTATTCATAAGGACCGCTATTCATAAGGTCCGCTTTTCATAATTGGAGAAAAGGGTCATTATTCATAAGGGTCATTATTTATAAGGAACGCTATTCATAATCAAAGAAGAGGGTCGGTATTCATAATATTAGAAGAGGGTCGCTATTCATAATACGAAATCGGGGTCGTTATTCATAAGGGTCCCTATTCATAATATTACAAAAGGGTCGGTATTCATAACACAGAAAGAGGGTCGCTATTCATAATACGAAATGAGGGTCGCTATTCATAATACGAAATGAGGGTCGCTATTCATAATACGAAATGAGGGTCGCTATTCATAATGCAAAATGAGGGTCGTTATTCATAAGGGTTATTATTCATAAGGGTCATTATTCATAATAAGAAATGAGGGTCGCTATTCATAAAAGGAGAAGAGGGTCGCTATTCATAATAGAAGAAGAGGGTCGCTATTCATAATAGGAGTAGAGGGTCGCTATTCATAATAAGAAATGAGAGTCGCTATTCATAATAGAAGAAGAGGGTCGCTATTCATAATAGAAGAAGAGGGTCGCTATTCATAATAGGAAATGAGGTTCGCTATTCATAATAAGAAATGAGGGTCGCTATTCATAATAGAAGAAGAGGGTCGCTATTCATAATAGAAGAAGAGGGTCGCTATTCATAATAGGAGTAGAGGGTCGCTATTCATAATAAGAAATGAGGGTCGCTATTCATAATAGAAGAAGAGGGTCGCTATTCATAATAGGAGAAGAGGGTCGCTATTCATAATAGGAGTAGAGGGTCGCTATTCATAATACGAAATGAGGGTCGCTATTCATAATGGGAAATGAGGGTCGCTATTCATAACACGAAATTAGGGTCGCTATTCATAAAAAAGAAATGAGGGTCGCTATTCATAATAGGAGTAGACGTTCGCTATTCATGATACGAAATGAGGTTCGCTATTCATAATACGTCCCCCCCCCCCCCTCGGCTACGTTCCTGGTCCAGTAGGGGGGGGGGCGATATATAGCCCTTAATAGTTGTCTCTTTTTAAAGTAATTCTATTTTATCTGTTATCTTTGATAATTATATAGAGCCAACCCCCGCTCATGTGGTGACGAAAAAAAAGTAAAACATAACACACATGTAATCCTATCGTAAATTTTCCTCCTTGTTGGAAATCTTGCCCCACCACCCTGCCCCCGACTGATCTTATCCAGGCTACGCCACTGAGATATTAAGTACGCCAAGCAGGCCCATTATCCATTTTAGCTTGCTATTTAAGAAACTAGTAATTGTTTATACGACAATAATGTTTTTGTAGAAAGTAATTTTTATTAGGACTTATGGACCTACAAATTACTGAGCGGAATTGAACCTGACAATTTTCCAATTGGGTGGGGGGGGGGGGGGGGGGGGGGGGACGGAAATTTGAAAAATGCGCAGACCGTTTTTTCAACTCAACATACCAATACTGACAAGGTCATATTATGAATAGCGACCCCTTACTCCTATTATGCATAGCGACCCTCATTTCATATTATGAATAGCGACCCTCTTCTCCTTTTATGAATAGCGACCCTCTTCTCCTATTATGAATAGCGACCCTCTTCTCCTATTATGAATAGCGAACCTCATTTCCTATTATGAATAGCGACCCTCTTCTCCTATTATGAATAGCGACCCTCTTCTCCTATTATGAATAGCGACCCTCTTCTCCTATTATATATAGCGACCCTCTTCTCCTATTATGAATAGCGAAACTCATTTCGTATTATGAATAGCGACCCTCTTCTCCTATTATGAATAGCGACCCTCTTCTCCTTTTATGAATAGCGACCCTCTTCTCCTATTATGAATAGCGACCCTCTTCTCCTATTATGAATAGCGACCCTCTTCTCCTATTATGAATAGCGACCCTCTTCTCCTATTATGAATAGCGACCCTCTTCTCCTATTATGAATAGCGACCCTCATTTCCTATTATGAATAGCGACCCTCTTCTCCTATTATGAATAGCGACCCTCTTCTCCTATTATGAATAGCGACCCTCTTCTCCTATTATGAATAGCGACCCTCTTCTCCTATTATGAATAGCGACCCTCTTCTCCTATTATGAATAGCGACCCTCATTTCCTATTATGAATAGCGACCCTCTTCTCCTATTATGAATAGCGACCCTCTTCTCCTATTATGAATAGCGAACCTCATTTCCTATTATGAATAGCGACCCTCTTCTCATATTATGAATAGCGACCCTCTTCTCATATTATGAATAGCGAACCTCATTTCCTATTATGAATAGCGACCCTCTTCTCCTATTATGAATAGTGACCCTCTTCTCCTATTATGAATAGCGACCCTCATTTCGTATTATGAATAGCGACCCTCTTCCCGTGTTATGAATAGCGACCCTTATAAGTAATGAACCTTATTTCGTATTATGAATAGCGACCCTCTCGTCGTATTATGAATAACGACCCTGATTTCATATTATGAATAGCGGTCCTTATGATTAATGACCCTTAATATGAATTATGAATAGCGACCCTCATTTCACGTTATGAATAGCGGTCCTTATGATTAACGAACCTTATTTCTTTATGAATAGTGACCCTCTTTTGCCATTATGAATAGCGGACCCGGAAGTACGGGAATTACACGTTATGAATAGCGGTCCTTATGAATAGCGGACCTTATGAATAGCGGTCCTTATGAATAGCGAATAGACCCCTCCCAGGCCCCCCCCCCCCCCTATGATCTCGGCCGTCGATTGTCCGATGAACACGAAAATTTGCATGTTTGTAGATATTTACGTAAGGAACAAGATGGTATAATTAGTTTTTTCCGAATGTGCAAATTTTTGTCGTTAGCCTAATTAATTATGCAACATGCGCTAATTTTATGCATTTTACAGAAAACGTGTCAAACTCCACTTTTTGAATGTTGAAACTCATTATTCATATGAAACTTCTAACACAAAAAAGTTATTTAAATGTAATTAATAATGATAATTTATGCAAATTTTGATGGATTTTAATTTTTTTTTTTTTTTTTTTTGATGACATGCGCATACTAATTGTTATGTAACGCCTTACAGGTATATCCGATTTTGACGAAAATGGTATCAAAATGTGCGTAAGACTTGAGGGAAAAAAGTCATGAAACGACAATTCAAAATTCCAAGCGGTTGCGGCGCAATCTCCGAAAATGTCGAGGGGGAGGGGGCTCCCAGGCCCCCCCCCCCCCCCAGTACAGTAAGGGTTAAGCGACAAATAATGATTGTGATTCAAATTGATGCGAATATTTGTTTGAATAAGCACTGCTATTCACCCGAATCTTTTTGTAAAAACAACTTTTACAAATCTCAGCCATGCTTACTGAGTTGAGACGTTCCATTCAATTTAAAATACCCATTACATAATACACTTTTCCTAATCTCATAGTGATATTACAGCACAGTGGCAGAATTGCATGGCCGAGATTTGTAAAAGTCGTTTTTACAAAGAAGATTCTGGTGAAAAGCATTGCTTATTCAAAAAAAATCCTTGCATCAATTTGAATCACAATGATATTTTTCGCATGGTCCTTTATTAAACAACCTTGTTTTCTGTTTTGTTTGCAGAGGGAGAAGAAGCTATGTCACGTTAAGAAATCATAAAGATCAGTTGTATTATGCGTATATACATATGATACCAGAACAAATGTTGATTATCAGAATGTCATTTTGGAATACCTCTATACAAATACAATGTCTTTAGCCCGTATCAGTATTAGTATGATCCAATATAAAGCTTTTATTCTTTATTTAATTCAGTATAATGCTTTTCCTCAAAAATAGTTTTGCTATTTTTTTAGGGTTGAGACGCTAAGAAATGGTTTCAAATGTACATTACACGAACCCTGAACCATTGCAAAATGATGGTGGTTCTCTCTCTCTCTCTCTCTCTTTATTTTAATCATGCATTATCAACTACATATAAAGCAGCAACCAAAAACTTCGGGTTATCTGAGATAGGTGACAGTAAGAGTTAAAAAAAAAAGTCATTCTAAAACGGCGCTTCACTTCCCCCCGCCTTTTGAAAAAAAAAAAAAAATAGATTAGAAGTCCTCTCCAGAATCCCCCTCCCCCCGCTTTAATATCACATTTTCACTTGGCAGCCCAAGGGGGCCGGGGGGGGGGGGGGGGGTGGGAGGAGGGGGTTAAACCCCCCCCCCCCCCCCCCCCCCCCCCCCCCCCCGCCGTAGATCTGCCCATGTTACCATATCATTCCACGCAGGGGCGGCGATCCGGGGGGGACACGTCCCCCCCCCCCCTCAATTTTTTTAGGGGGGGATCGTCCCCCTGGAAATTTGAAACAGTGCAAAACAAATTGTATAGCATATACTGAATAATGACTGCAACACACTTTTAGGCTCTGGAAGGCCCAAGAGTGCAGCGTTTAGACTAATAAAATTGCAAAAAAAATCTCGCTCGGTCGCTACGCTCCCTCGCATAACATCCTCGTAAAAAAATTCGCAGCTCGTCCCCCCCGGTCATTAACAGAAATCGCCGCCCCTGATTTCACGGCATTTTGGTCTTCCTCTTCTCCTCAAAAGCGACTTTTAGATTTGCGTGGACGTGGACGTGGACGAGTTACGTCCTTTTAAGGCACTAGCTGGCAATCACATGTGACGTCCTTTTAAGCACTGGCAGTGCCTTAAAAGGAGGTCACACGTTGCAGTCCACGTTCTCATCGTGCAAATCTAAAAGTCCCTAATATTGATTTACTGGTCGAGGTTCATTATTTGCTGAGAACGAAAAACTTCTCCAGGCCATGACCATGTTTCTGCCCTTGCCCGATCGCCTCCAGCTCCAACAGACATGGCGCGGCAGCGTGCACACGCACCGCTACTAACGGCGCAGTAGGCCTATAACCACTGCTGACGGCGGCACTGCACTGCGAGCTGAATCGGTAATACTAATAATAGGCCTACTCATAAAACGAGAAATCTTGCACGCTAATCTTAGTTCCATTTCATTGGTTTAAGGTTTGAAAATTGAAACTCAATATTGTGTTAAAGTTATAACAGAAAAGATTATCTTTATTTTATAATTCCACCGGGGCGATTTTTAATTTTGCAATCGCCCCCGTGAGCAACCTGACGGGGGCGATTTTGTAGCTCACGGGGGCGAATCGCCCACCGCCCCCGTGTATTTTGAGCGCTGGTTATAGAAATAAAATTACTTACAAGTGACAAGTGCCAAAGGTTTTTGATTTGATGTGATCTGCTGATGTTAAAAAGTGACTTTTCAGAGATGCACCTGGGGTCAACATCAAATGATTTCAGCCAGTAGGCCCAAAATAAAAATATTGATATATAAAGAGGTGTACATTCATGGTGTCACTGACCCAAATTAAAAGTTCAGGAATCAAACTTATCCTTGGGATTGAGCATATCAGCCATAAGACAATATATATTCGTCAATGACAAAGATGAATCCTAAGAAAGTGTTCCACAGCAAAATCTCTACAGCTCATATTCTTATGTCACAGGTGTATACAAAATCAAAATCTTAAGAAAACCAGTTTTTGAACCTACAATCCTTCAACTTTATCCACAAATTATTCAAAAGGATTCAAAAAGCGAGGATCGTAAATTTAGAAAGAACTCAACCTTAGAATCAAGCCAGTCGTCTGTCAAACGGGATATTTGCTGGTGATGGGAAATCCTGAAAGTACATGAACTACTACTCACCCACAGAGAGGTCCGGCTGTAGGCTGATTGACGGCTTCAATCATGGTACCCAAAGCTCCACCATTATCACTCACACTCTCATCATCATTGGCCGTCGTGAAGTGATACTGGAACACCTTCTTCAACAAGGAATGGGGGATACCTCCTCCTCGATCCGATATCCTAAGATGGGAGAAAGGAAATTGTTTTGGTTTTAGTAATTTGATTTTTACCTATTAAGAACATCATTATCATATTCAATGAGCTGGTTTTGCCAGCCAAAGCTGAAAAATAAAGATTTTAAAAAGGTCATCAATGTCCGCAATATACCAAAAAAGCTAGAACTGTGCAAACAGGGATTTTAACTGGCCCATGGGGTAGGGTAGGTGAGGTGGGGTGGGGTGGTGGGGGTGGGGAGGGTCAAGTACGTTGTCATTAATGCCCTTTAAAGTGGCACCTCTGTCTGGTTCTATAATGTAATCACTCTTCACCCACCGACCAACCTAAACTAGGTAAAGAGAGCAAAAATACTTTGTAAAAAAAAGAATTTCAAACAAATCTGAATAAAATAAAGTCAAACTTAACTCTTAGTTGGTATTAAAAATACTAGAAAGCTGTTAGCATCTTTGAAACTTTTTTGTAAAAATAATTTCAAAAGGCATAAAATGTTAATATAAATCATTCATATTTTCTATTATCAACAAGATTCATGTTCTTGATGTGGAATTTATGAAAAGTCTAAAATATCGATACTTGAATTTTGGCTTTTGGATATATTTCATTTTAAGGCTACAAATGGCTCTCCATAATATTCAAGTCCAACTTAGAATTGAGTTCGACTTAATTAGGACCTTTGTGAAACACCCCAGGACCCACAGCTTGATGCAAACTCAACCCTTAAAATAAAGAAGAAGAAAAAAAAAAAACCTGACAGCAGATAAAAAATGAAATGTTTTTGCTTCAGGAATATTTACTTTAAACAAATAATAACATCGGCATAGACTTTGAGGCTTCAAAATAAATAAATGAAAACATTGATGAATAAGTAAATATATGAACAAACAATGAATGAACAAATGAATAAATAATAAGGTAGAAGAGACAAAAAATTACAGAGAGGTTCCCTCAAGCGAAACAAACGGGACATCCTAAATATATTAAATTCGTCCTCGATCCTCTTTTAACACCAAATGATTATAAAGACATGCAGCGGCAGAACCCCCTCCCCAAAAACATAACCGCTGGTTTTTTGTGAATGGCAATTTTGAGGAGGTGTAAAAAAAAAAAAAAAAAAAAGCCGCCGCAGCATTTTGTGCCGATCGACTGGCGGCAAAACTTTTCCAACCAATCATATTCTTACATAGTAAGCATAATCGTGACGTCATGACCACAGATCTATCTTCTTCCTTCTTTTTTTTTGCAGAGGTTTGCCGCTTTATATCTGAACGATGCTAATTTATACAACATGGATGTATATCTGTAGACATACGCCGAAACTTTTTCCCATCGATAGTGATCTGTTTTTTCTCTAAACAGAATAAAAGTACCGGTAGTAGATCGCGATGCCTAAATATGTGTGTGCGTTTTTTTAATTTTTATATCGAGAGGTTTCGAAATATAATTACTTAGGCTCTAAAACTATCTTTTATCATAACATTTTGCCGTTTTTCAATATCAAAACTCCAGCGAACGCGAGAGTCGTAAGTCATACAGAAGATCATTCTTCTTCCTTTTTTTTTGCAGAGGTTTGCCGCTTTCTATCTGAACGATGCTGATTTATACAACATGGATGTATTTCTGTAGACATACGCCGAAACTTTTCCCATCGATAGTGATTTGTTTTTTCTCACAACGGAATAAAAGTAGGTGATCGCGATGCCTAAATATTTGTGTGCGTTCTTTTTATTTTTTATATCGAGAGGTTTCGAAATATAATTACTTAGGCTCTAAAACTTTCTTGTATCATAACATTTTGCCGTTTTTCAATATCAAACCTCCAGCGAACGCGAGAGTCGTATTCTATACAGTTGTGTCTGACAGATAAATGTGCCAATGCAACGTGAACGGTCGACAAGATTCCCGATATTAATACATTTAAGTATTTTCCTGGCAAAAACACTATCGGAGACAACCCCCTAGATCCTCTCCCCTCGGAAAATATACTCCCTGCTTTAACCTTTCCTTGTAAACAAAAATGAAGAAAGAAAAAATAAAAATAAAGAAAAGAAAAGCCAAGTTGATTGACTCTTTCGATTGTTATAGTTATCGAAATCCATGATGCCCGTGCAGGGCTCCAAATTGTTTTAATCACCGTGATAAGACTATAGGCTATTATTCAAAACTTACATTCATCATCGTACAAAACGTTTCTCTATATCGCCCCAATGACGATACTATACAGTGCGTCCGAGAAAAAACGAAACCGAGAATTATCATAACTTAATCACAATTATAATTCATAAATGACACAATTTGTAAAGCTTAGATCATCCTCTTTCATTTTGATGCAACTCAAAATGATGCATATTTCACGCATGAGTGATTAAAAAGAATTTGAGGAAAGGGTACCAAAGAGTCGATTTCGAAGCGAAAATCATATACCTTGAAAGTATATTTCTGCCCTTTCATATCAGGAATATGAGCCAGGTGTAACAAAGTTTTGTTTGTTTAAAGTAATGCTTGCATTTCCACATTTTTATTAAACGAATCTGTTCCACTGTCTGTCTGCACTAACAACAAAGTAGACGAAAGACTTCCTGCATGGCTGATCGACGAAACGAAGTTCATTGTTGCTTTACAAATATGTGTCATTTTTAGTTATAATTGTGATTAAGTTAATATCGATAATTCTAGGTTTCGTTTTTTCTTGGACGCAATTTAGCGCACGCAAACGATGCAAAGGCAGAAAACGTAAGTCCCAAGCAACAAAATACTAACAAAGACAAACGTAGGGGTCTATAACAAAAGTATAAAAACACTCGGACTTTATTTGTAAAGCAATGCACTGATAAGTCACCCGTCGGGTCACCCGACTGCAGATCACAAGGTACGGGGTTCAAGTCCTTTGACATTTTTAAGCCGATTCTACATTTGCCTCTTTAATTTCCACGAAGGTGTGATGGAGTTTGATCAGCATTATGAGCGTCTATAAAATGGCGCCTTTGAGCAACATGAAAATCATTGTCATATTCTAGGAAAATCTCGACCGCCACTAGAATTTGATGTAAAATACGGTGTTCCGTTAGGTCCATCGAATTTCGTGTCTATGTCTCGTGACGCCCTATTTAAACAATGAATTTGAATGATAAAAAAATATACTCCACACCCCTCCCCCCCCCCCCCTAATAAAACATTGTCAAACAAGCATAATTATCGGAGTTTATAATATGGAGTTATAAGTATTCTAAAAAAAGATTGAAACACCACGATAATACCAAAAAAAAAAGAACATAGGTTGGCGAGATGAGAATAAAAGCAATCACGAAAGCCACAAAAGGCCAAGTGCTGCTCCCCTTCCCGAACTTATGACCCGAAACATCGAGGTCAGTATACCCGGTACCCGGCGGCGCCGCACCGTGCATGATAAACATAGGGCTCGCTCGGAGTCGACACACAACACATTTGTGTATGTTTTGTACATGGGTTTTGTGTAGAATTCGTGAGCTAGTGAGTGACTGTGTTATACTTGGTCAGCGGAAACTGGATTTACATGTCACAAATTACAGCTTGTTACCCCTCGCATATCCTTCAGGTAAGAAATATATAGATATAATATGAGTGTATCTGAATATCTGCTGGCATTGGTCCCTATAGATCATCAAAAATACAGAGTAGGAAAGAGAAAGTGCGATTTCTGTAGAGATTAACCCTCACGATTCGGTGCATGAAAAGATGCACGATTAGCATGGTGTAGTCCCATGTATGAGATTAAGATGAGGGCTAGGGTCCTTCCACGCACATAACCTCTTTTGTAAGAATTCAGCGTTGCCTTTGCGCTGCGCTTGCGTAACCGAGGTCCGACTTCTAGTTCTACCACTTAAAAAAAACAAAAAAAAAGGTTCAATTCCTTGTAGACTATATATTATAAATTTCTATTGGTAGAGCTCCAGAACGGCACCGATGTGCTGCCTCCCGTGGATTGCTGCCATCCCCTGCTGCCTTATTTTGATGGGGATATGCCCCCCCCCCTCCCCCAGAGGATTGGGGGGTGGGGGGGGGGGGGGGGCTTTAAGATTTGGTTTGGAGGGGGTGTTCAGCTGAAGCCTTGAAACTCCTAACCATTTTGTAAGGGTTGTTTTGGGGTTTAAATTTTTCTCAAAGTAAAGGCAGCCCATTTTTATTGCTAAAACTAAACTTTAAAAAGTTGCTTTTAGTCAATGACAATCTGTCACAATGGCATAAAATTAATGACCATCAAAATTTGCCCAAAACTAAAAATGTTTTTAGAATGCGGTGATTCTGGGTTAATGTGGATGCAGACTTCGGAGTAAAACATGAACTGAACTTCTTTCTGTTCATAAAGAGGTATTGACTAAATAATTTAGCCAATTTTCACATACATGTAACTGTCAAAAGTTTGAAAACAAGAGAAAAAACTAATTTTTGTTTATTTTTTTTTGGATTCATTCCAAAAAGTTATTTGAGTAGGCCTACTTCATATAATAAAATGGGGATGGGGGGGGGGGGGGCGGGGCATATTCCACAGCTATAAGTTACACTATTGTTTAGTTTAATGTCCAGAAAAATAAGTGTTATTTTCTATCTTCACACAGGATGGCGAATATTCAGCAGATGGCTGGTGGTGTGTATGATACAAGCAGGGTTGGCCAAGGGGGCATGAGTGGTGGTATGCCCAACGTACCTCCCAACATGCCCCACAACATGGGTCCGGACATGGGCGGCAACATGGGTGGGACTCCTGGCTCCATGATGCATGCTCCTGTTCCTTTCGATTGCTCAGACATAGACTCTGATGATATCAGTGTGGATGAACAGTCTGAAGGTGGTGGCTCGGATATCGAGAAGACATACACAAACTTGGACGGGAGCAGGAGGGAGATGTTCAATTCCACGATGATCCAGCAAGCGTTTGCGCAGAGCATTGGACTAGGATTGGTTCAGCAGGCTGCCCAACAAGCCGCAAGGCAGGCTGCTGACATGGGTTCACATTCACAAGGTGCTTCTCACAGTCACATGCCCTTTCATGGTCTTCAGATGCCTCCACGTGCCCCGCCTCCGCACATTGCATCCACAGCAGGAGCAGTAGCAGTATCTGCTGCAGCTTCCTCAACACCCAAGGGCAGGAGTGAGCAAGCCAATCAGCCATCGGGATGGACTCATCAAGTCAGAGCTACACCATCTCCACCATTCAATGCTGTCCAACCAGGACCTGGTGTGTTGTTTCCACCTGGTACGCCAGAGCTGAATTACTTTCACTCACTCTTCCCTGAGTCACTCATGGAGCGATTGATGATAGAGACTAACCGATTTGCTGAACAAAGCCATGCTGATAAAGCCAATGCTCATTGGCAACCACTTGATCTGACTGAAATGAAAGCTTATCTAGGTATTCGCATCTATATGAGTATTCTAAGCCTCCCTCATCAAGATATGTACTGGTCAACGGATTGGCTTTTTGGTAACCTGGCTTGTTCACAGATCATGCCTAAGAATCGCTTTCAGAACATTGCAAGGAACTTTAGTGCGAATGACATGACCACTAACCCACCTGTGACTGCACCGGATCACGATAAGCTTCATGCTATTCGCACCGTTCTGGACACAGTCTTACACACCATTAAGGATACATACCATCCACATCAGAATCTGTGCATTGATGAAACAATCATCACTTACAAAGGCAAGTTAGGTTGGAGGCAGAGATCGGCTGATGGTTCGACGGTAGGAATCAAAGTGTGGATGAGAGCAGATTCAACAAACGGCTATGTGAATGACTTTCAGTTTTACACTGGTAAATCACAGACAGGTAAAGTTGAGGGTGGTTTACCAACAAGAGTGGTGCTAGATCTCACCAAGGATCTCCATAATACTAATGCCATCATCAATATGAAAGGGTTCTTCTGTAGTCCTTATCTTCTGGAGAGGCTCTTTGACTTGGGGATCAGAGGTCGAGGTACTGTCAAAGCTGACCGTAAGGACTTTCCAGAGGCTCAGCTTGGGTCCAAGTCCTTTACTCAGCATGGTCAATCTGCAGTTGTTCAGAAAGGCAATACTTGCGCATATGCTTGGAAGGACAAGCGTGTTGTTCATGTGCTGTCAACGGCAGATGATGCCACAGTGACTGACAATGTGACTAGGAAGCAGCGAGATGGCTGGGTGAAGCCGGTCCCATGTCCCCAAGCAATGTCTTACTGTAACAAATACCTACATGGTGTCTCGCATGCCAACCAGCTCCGTCTTGAGTATCCTTCCTCTCGAACCTCCAACAAATGGTGGCACTATCTGTTCTGGTTCATCTTTGACACATGCATGGCCAATGCATACATCATTATGAAGGAGACCTACATGAACGCAAACCACGGCTCCCTGGCTGGAACACGCAAGATGTGCACCTTGGAGTTCAAGAAGAATCTTGCCAAGCAGCTGGTAGCACCGCAGATGATGACCGGCAAGAAGAGGAAGAGTCCTGATCGCAGCAACAACTCCCCTCTCAAGGTGAAATTTAAGAAGGTGAAGTCAAAGTCACCGAAGAGTGACAAGAAAGGTGATAAGAAGAGCGATAAGAAGGACTCCAAGTCCAAATCAAGGCGCAAGCGTACACCTAAGAAAGCCAAGCTTGCCGATACCTCTGCAGCAATGTTCTATCCCATGCAGGACGGTAGCTTAGGAGCACCTATTCATGAACATGAAGCAACAGAAGGTATAGATGCACTGCATGATGAAGTAGCTCAAGAAGGATTGTCTGGTACATCCACAGAATAAAAAGCATCTTGGATTTTGTGTGTTTTCCATTTTCCTGAAGGGATATGAAACTTACAATTTAACATCTTCATGAAAGTTTCAAATCCTGTAGGCTGATAACAAAGTAGATGACGTACATGTACATGTATCACACTTTTTTTACTTTCAATACTGCTTTGTAGACATTTAATATATTGGCAAGAGTTGGTAGTCCTAGTATGTCTGTGTTAACACATATTCATGAATTTGTACATCAATACATGTATTTGATTTTATGTACATATACATTGATAAAGTGTAAACACTAGAGAAATAGAAAAACTGGGGTCTACAAATCTACATGTAACTTTATTCTTGATATCACAAATTACACTTAAATTATCCTGACATAAAAGAAGGTTGACTGTGTACAACACTTGCCTGATTTAAGTTCTTTGAAATGTCACATTTTTACAAAACATTGCTAAGAATCATGCCTTGAATATTTTGCAATGTACTTTGTGTCAATTCAAAAGCACATATGTACCACAGTTCATAATAATGAGCACCTTGAAACTGAAGTAGTGAGTGATCATGCAAGTTAAACAAAAAAAAATAAACATTTTATGGTACAATAGAGGGAAATAAATGCAATTATTAAACATGGATATTGGACAATTAAACCTGATTTTATCAAAGGAGAACGTCGCATTTATGCTACTGTCTTTAAATAATATTTTCTTCCCATGTGGACGAGTCCTAACAGCATTGCTGACTTGGACTTTGAAAGAGTAACTTTGGGAATACATTTAAGAACTGTTACTGAAGCATTGTGTATGACACACACATGTATTTATTATCTTTTTATCTGTTATCTGCAAAGTGTACTAATTGGTGCTAACACTGGAGCTCTTCATAGTGGACACAAAAAAAGTTTACAGAGTAAGCAAGTACAAAATAATTGCCAAGTTGTGTTGGTGCTAACTATATATGAAAATGTAAAATAACGGAGATCTTCAAGAATGTCCTTGAACATGTACATAGATTTAGATACTTAAAGCCCTACTGCACTACTTATGGCTACTTGCGCCCTCTCCATAGCAAACAAAAGCCTAATTGGTGACTGTTGGTCCCTCATGGTCCCCTCTTTCTTATATTAATTGAGACCTTATTTGATGAGATAACCACCTGTCAGTGACCATGCAGGGAGGTCTAATCCCACCTGGCCAAACTAGTGCAGATGGGCTTTAATATATGTACTGTTGTTCTATACCAGCACTTTAAGTCAGGGTTGGCTGCTAATCTTTCTACTTTTTTTTTTTTTTTGAGAGAGAGAGGTGTCTTTGTGTTGGATCTAAGAAAATTTGGTCCTCAAAAGGTGGTGTTTTAAAAATGTTAATAACTGTAAAGAAATTGATTTACTGGAATGTATTATGTTTCTTTGCAAAACTGTCAAAGCAGTATATTCATAAAGCTCTAAGCCTAGGATTGGACTGCTCTCTTTCTTTGACAATGTTGCTCATTCTTTGGACACCTTTCAGACAATGCTTCTCTTAACTCATAAACGTTGGTAGGATTTTGTTGTACTGTAATAAACTAAAATATGTTCATTAGTGAATAATAAAACCAAAGTTCAACAAGTAGAAGCATAATGGCAGTTTCTGCAAAAATAAAAATCACATCTGATTTCCTGTTCACACTGTGATCACATGAATGTATGTGTGAAAAATGAAGTTTATCAAAACTTGGAATTAAGCATTGCTGGTGGATGATTTTTCCAGAATTAATATTCGCTGATTGAAATGTTTCATTATTTTTTTCCATCCTCGTAGCCCATACATAATCCAAGCTATGCTTGACTTGGGGTCTCTGGGAAATCATGTACCTCTAATCCCTTGTATATTTCAACAGCTAGAGTGACCTTTTGAACCTAAGGGAATGTGTAATGGCATGGAATTCATGTAGCACAGGCAGTATTAATAGTCAAACCCCTCCTCTGACAGCATGTTTTAAGGTACACATGTGGAGGCTCGTACTGCATGTGAGCTGGTAAAATGAGCAGTTTAGTAATGAGAAGGAAACGGGCTGATGTTGATTTTCAATGTCCTTATATATACTGCTCATTGTAAAAAGTTGAGTTGTCACATGATAACCTTTGATGCTGTAAGCCTTAATTAAAACATTGAGTACAAAAGTAAGCAAAGATTGCATGTGATTTTGATACAATGCACACACATTTAATGACCCCCTCTTACGATCTCCATCACTCAAGGAGAGACTGAGAGAGTGCAGAAAATGTTCTTTTTGTGGGACTATTTTGGAGCCATCCACAGATTTATGATTCCATATTTACATACTGTAAGAGGGGGTTATTCAATCTGCGCGCACTGTATCAAAATCAAATGCAATCTTTTTATCAAGACCTCGTAATTATGCAGGTAATCACGTGATAAACTCAAATTTTACAACGAGCAGTTTATAAGGACATAGAAAATCAACATCTGCCTGTTCCTTTATAAATTTTGCAATCATTAAATATTGTCTGTATCACTAAAAAATCATTTATGGATCACTTAAAATAAGAAGTAATTATTGGGATCCACAAAACAATGGGGAAAATGCCATCATGCAATTTACAGAAGTAGAAAAGCAAGCTCTTTGTATTCATTTCTAGAAAATTCCTTTTTCAGTATTAACATAGATTTACAATTAAAAAGCAATATTTAAATGTGGAACTGCTGATGTTAATTCACTTTGTTAATAGTGCAGTTAATAGTGTTATGATCATTGAAATATCAAATTCACTGGTAATTTTGTTGTTGAAAACTGCTTGAAGTAAGATTTGATTAAGCAGTGAGAGTGAGAATGAGAGGGAGAGAGAAAAAGAAACAAAGAGATTAAAACACAATTTCATAGTTGCTAAATTCTCAATATATACTCCCCATGAATTTGCGTAAAAAATATTCAAAAAAAGTATGTTATGTACATATGCATGCACATGTACAGTGTTAATACTCAAGTGGAGGCTGGTGACAATTGATACATACATGTATACATATTTTGTAAACGTAAATAAACATAACTTGTGATTACTTTTCTTTGTATAATGCTTTTTACATGATACATTTGTTATGGAATGTTAAAAGCGTTGAATTTCATATGCACATATCTATAACCATGTGAATGAGTCTCTAAATGTACTAAGTAATGCATCTGTAATAAAAGCTAGTAGTACAGTAGATAATAATCCCCATATTTCTGCATTCTGTGTACTTTTTTGTACTACCATATCGAGGGGTCAGTGACACAAAGTCGTAACTCCATTTTGGCCATTTTGAGAAAAAGTGGTTTATGTGTCACTGAGCACTTGGGCCTCAAGGAGTTAAGTCTATGTTTCACTAGCCATTGCCTTCAATGGGGTGTTGGGTGGAGTTAAGTCTGTGTTTCCTGGAAAGCCCACATTTTTCTGAACATTTTGATATCCAATACTCACTTTGACAAAATATGGAGTTACATCATTGAGTCACTGAATCCTTGATATGATACATCCATCTCCCATAACGCCACATGGCGGGGTAAAATAAACTGTCTGGCAATCTGTGTGAGCCCATCCTAGTCAAGGTGCAGTGAACTGTTCCAGGGAGCTTGGTATAGCCAGTGGTGATCTGATATTCGGTCTGGTGACATTTGATCATTGACTTGATCTATTTTAATGGGATCTTGCCCTTGGTTGAGTGTCAGACGCGTTCAGGTTAGAAAATGTTTAGATACGCGCTCGTGCTACAACGACCCTGTTGAATAAAACTTACTATTGATGGTAACTTTGCCATCAATGGTATCTACCATAGAAACCTTAATTGTGAATGAGCCCTGTTACCATGGTAGTTGAATTACATGAACATGTAAATATTTTACACAGAAACATAAACAATAACATTGTGATAACAAAACTACTGGTAAACAAATTGTGTTTATGACAGATGAAAATAAAATTGTGATCAAAACATTCTGTGTTCCACGGAGACACACACAAAATTTCACTGTGATAAATACAATCACTCCCGTTTTTTCTTCTCAGTTCACTAAGCTACAGGAATAAATAAAAACAACTCTGTTTTCTTCATTTCTTCTTTATTGTCTATTGCTTCACAACCTAATGCTAAGGGCAACTGGCAAGACTTGCCATTGAAATTCAATAATATTCATAGTGATCATTCAGTGTGCTCAATTGTGAAGAAAAAACCCCAGAAAATGTGCTTCTTTAATTACATGTGTTATCAAAGTAGGCAAAGTGGTCTAAAAACAAACAAACAAACAAACAAACAAACAGAGAATTAAATATAAGAGGGGTGGGGAGGTGAGAAGGACATGACCCAAAATTGTAATATAGGGTAATGGTATCATGCAGAGTGCTGTTCAAGGTTGAGGACAGTATGAACCAATATTTTTTCTTGGTGCATCTATCGGTACCTGGGCTAGAAAAATGATAATTCCCTTCAACAGCCTAGGTTATCTGTCTGTATGGTTAAATCTGTTTCCTCTTTGGAGATACATGTATTTCTTTTGTGGAATTTCGAATTTCTATATATTTTGAAATAGGGTTAGGTACATTGTTAGGTCAAAAGTTGAAGTTATATATTCCATTATTATTGGAAAGAATGGTTGCCAGGCAAAAAGAATTTCCGTTTCGGTTTAATAAAATTTGGAGTGGACTATTAGGCTATTATTATTATTATTATTATTATTATTATTATTATGTCTTGTACAAATATGAAATAATTTTCATTATCATTATGAGCATTAGTAAGTTTCTGCCGTCACCTGTACCTGGCAGGGGAAAGTGAACTGAATCACTGTGACCCTCGAAACTACCCTAGTGGAATAACTGATTGGGGATTTGTAGGTGGACCAATATACCGAATTTCCCATACTCTTACATGAATAATGCAGTGAGTTCTTAACGTGCAATGGTAGTGACTCTCCTCTACACAGAGCCTTTAATAAACATCCTATCTGAGGGACAGAGTGTTTTCCACTGCAACCTAGCACATGTCTATGAAATGGGGGTCACATTTACACAGAATGCAGGCTTCAATTATTTGCCTGGGTTGGATTTGAACCCATGATCCTTGGTTTAACAGGCAGTTGCTTTATCAAATGAGCCAACTCTCCTCCTCAGAAGAGAAAGTAATACTTGTCTAATGATGAGATCAATGTACTTGCTTGAGATGGGAATCACATGCCTACAACACAGGACTCATGCATACAGACTGTAAGAAGTACAATCCAGACCGCTTTCAAAGAAGTTAGTTTGGAGCCATGTTGTAGATTCACAGGGGTATCAAAGGAACTCTAAAAACAATGTAAATAGGAACAGTCGCAAGACTATAGATAAATGTTAAATCTATTACAAATGAAATTTGTGGAATCTTGGAATTCGTTTTGTACGTCAATGAAAACTGACCACGGTCACAAGAAGACGTCTAATGGCATCATAACCCTTGCTGCATGAGAAAGACAATGAAGCACAAAAACAAAAATCTTCCTATTCACCCTGTATCAAGGTACATGTATTGCTACAGAACAGATTAAATCAAAAGTCCAAGTAATACTCACCTAATGATGAAATCAACTTCATTACTTGCGATGGTAATGACTACATCTGGTAGATTCATAGGGGTATCCAAATGACTCTCAATCGTGGCTCTGTGGTATATCAAAAGAAACATGCAAGAATTATTTATGCATCGCTAATTTTCGAAGAAACGTTGACCCAAAATAAAATCAAAATTGAGATTCATAGGGGTATCCAAATGACTCTCAATCGTTGCTCTGTGGTTCATCGAAAGAAACATTCAAGAATTATTTATGCATTGCCAATTTTCAAAGAAACGTTGACCCAAAATAAAATCAACATTTCAAAGAATTAATGTTTAATGTTGTATAACTGAAGTTGTACTTCTCATGAAGAAATTACAGGGCCTATATTTCGTTATGATAATTCAAAGCAATGTTTAAAATGTCAGACAACGTCAGACACTTTCTTCACGTTGTTGGCTGTTGTTGGCTGTTGTTGGCTGTTTTTGCCTGTACATGTATTAAGGAAGGTGTCTGCATCACATACATTGAAACTGTCACAGGTTATTTCTATTGTGAGAAATAACTAAGTTTCTTTACCTCTTTCTGCAGTTTGAATATTATATTTCGTTGTTGTTGTTGAGTTTTTGTTTTTGTATTCTACTTACTACCACAGCTCTTTTTCAGTTTTTTTTTAAAGCTATATATTTGGACCTTCCACAAGCTAATTGTTCACCAGTTTCTGCCAACCTTCTAATGTGACCATCTCAAGGCAAAATTAGAAAAACAGTTTATTTTATATCATTATTCCCATAAGTTCTCAGAAAAAGAAGAAAATAAGGTTCATGACACTAGTCTAAAACCTGAAAATAGGAATCATGCCTTCAAACTAGAAATGGTTGGCATCTGTGCACAAGTTTGGACGTGTCAGAGAACTAACTTGTAAACATTTTCATGAAATGGCTAGTCTGTAAGCACAGCATCTAATTTGACACCTTACTATGGTTGTTTACCTCATGGCATTCTTAAGGAGTTCTGGAAGCATGTAATCTAAAGGCTGGATGATGTACGGGAAAGTGGCTCCAGTGTGGCCATTGATCTTTACGCTGGGTGCATAGCCAAACCGCAACTCACATTGTTCTCTGAAAAGAAAAGATAATATAATATGATACTGTCAAGCAGGATTCTTCACATTAGGGCCCTGTCTAACAAAGAGTTGCGATTGATCCAAATCAATCGCGAGTCCTCTAATCAATCACAAGTTTGCAGTCTCCTATCTCTTCTGTACATAGTTGCGATTGATATCAATCGCAAATAAGTTGCTAAGTTGGGATTAATATCAACTCTTTGTAAGACAGGGTCCATGGGGGTGTTTCACAAAGATCCTAAGTAGAACTTAACACTAAGTTGGACTTAAAAATTATGGACAGCCATTGGAGCCTTAAAATGAAATATATTCAAAAGCAGAAATTCAAGTATTTTAGACTTTTTTATAAATTCCACATCAAGAACATGAAATCTCCTTGATGATAGAAAATATGAATGATTTGAATCAACATTTTATGCCTTTCAAAATAACTTTTACAAAATATTTTCAAAGATGCTAACGGCTTTCCATAATTTTTAAGTCCAACTTAGAGATAAGTTCAACTTAGAATCTTTGTGAAACACCCCCCAGGAGTACAACCATACCACAATTCAAATTATAACATTCAATCCTTTCTTGATAGGAATTGTAGGAGGCCTTCATAATCTTGTTCTTATTCCTTTTCAAATTGGCAACACTGCTTTTTTTCTTCTATTGCTACGATTCGAGCCAATCGAGGTATAACAATTAGTGTTTGTCCACAAACAAAATTGGGTCCTTAAAGTTTATAAGAAGAGTTGATGACATGGAGGTGAACCAACATTTGCGATGGTAATATTTGCTCCTGGTATTACGCTCATACCGTATATAGGTTTAGAACTTCATTAGTGAATCAATTTTTGGTTAAGTTGAAAACCTACTGTTCAGTGTTGGAAATTGACGGCAGATGAATTGTCTCCAGAGCATTTCATACGAAACTGACATATTTGTGTACATATTCCTTGATCAATCCTTAATTTCTCCTATGTTAACTAAGCATTACCTTGCAAATGACACCCACTTCTCGATCACTTTCTTGAGTGACATCTTGGTTGCGATGATACCAATAGAGTCATTCTGTGGAATATGATAATAAAACAATACAAATCACCTGCTTAATAGAGCCAGAAGGGCATTAACTCAGTGTCAAAGCATATGAGTTAATGACCTCCTGGCGGTAATAATGAAATAATAATAATATTATAAAGGTACATAAATAGTAGAAGAGCACAGGTACATGCATTGCACTGGGCATGCATAATGTGAGCGAAACCATACTCAAATTGCCCAATTCAGAGAGAGAAAGACAGAGAGAGAGAGAGAGAGAGAGAGAGTGAGAGAGGGGATAAAGGTCACACACACATAAATAAAGACTTCATGTATAGGAAAGTTAGACATACAATTTGGGCGAAAGAAAAAAATATAGAAGAGAGTATTAAAGCTGAGTAGATAGCGAGTATATGCCAGATATTTACCAGACTTAAGTGGGATATGGGCATGGTACACATTTTTACCTTATCTTGATGAAGAAATAGATGATGTTCTGCCAACATCCGGATACCTAGCCGTGAGGTCAGGATGCGATCCAAGAAATTGTGGATTAGACTCTCGTCCTGAAAGTGGAATACAAGCTCATATTATAATTCTCTCTTCTTTGTCATTTCTGAAAGTCATTCAAATTTCTGTTTTAACAAAAACTAGCAAGTGGAGTGATGTTTAATGTGCATGAGCCCAATATGCCACTCATGCAGTAAAAAGTAATTTTTTTAAATAGACAAATTCAAGAAGGGATGGGGATGGGGTGAGCAATGGGCAATGGGCCCATGTTAGTCATTTATAGAAAGATGACCACTATGACAAGTTAGAGTCTCCAGGAGCAAAGAAACCTGTACATATAAAGACTGCTCATGAGAGACGAGACAAATGGTCTACATGTATGTTTGTAGACGGTTGCTCTTTTTGTAAATAAAAACTTTGTCTTTAGTAAAGAAACCAATTACCCCTCCCCCCAACAACAATGACAACTTAAACAAATAATGCATACAAATTTCTTGTTGCTATTTAGGTGGTTGCTAATCATGTTTGACAAGATACTAGTTCGATGACAACTTAAATAATACACAGTCTGTAGTCTGACTTACCGTGATGTGTTTTCTGCATTCCCTAAAGCCTTCAGCTAGATGAGTTACAACATCTTTGTGGTCATCTAATAACGTCTTCACCATCTTACAGTACTGTCTCTCTGTATCCATGTCTCGGATCTGTGATCAATGGACATTAAAAATCAATTATTTTCAAATACATTTGTAGAGACTTATAGATGTGTGTACATGTACATCTAGTATACCGGTAAAGCATGACAGGTGGAAATGTTGTCCTGCATCAATTCTACTTCTAATACATGTTCTACTTTGCACTAGACTCAAATACATGTATGTACAGTACACTGTGTACATTGTATGTACATGTAACATGAATATAAGGATGACAGCCCTCCGCCCCATCTACCACCCCCCCCCCCCCAGGACAACCACCCCAAGAACAGTTATCTATTGACCAACGATCCCCCCCCCCCCCCCAAAAAAAAAAAAAAAAAAAAAAAAAAAAAAATGAAATCATTTGTCAACTTTTATTTTTGAAAGGTATAATCAATTATTGATTTACAGTATGATATGATATGTATTTTAACTTTTGTAAGTAATATACATACATGTACTGTATGTACTCTTTCATGACTTTTTATTGTGTTGAAAAATGCAGAATTAAATCAAATAAACAAACAAACAACAATTCCCTTAAATATACAATTGTTGGGGGTAGTTGCCAAGGTGGTACAGGCAGGTGTCCTAGGAGCATGGCAAGAGAAGTTATCGAAGAATAAAAATTTACAATTGTTACGCTATACTGTATTTTCTACAGTAACAGCTGATTTTCTTTCTTTAAAAGGGATTACATTAGGTATCTTTGCTTCAGATTCTAAACAAAATCCTTGATTTAGCTCATGTTGCAATCATAATTATAAACCTTTACAATGTAGGTCAATCAGGAATCCCATGACTTTCACAAGCGGCTTGTCGGATTATCAAGATATTTATGAGTGGAATTAGAAATCTCAAGATACGTTTTCCCAACAACATACATGTATATAATATTTCTATTGGGAAAAATGAGTATGGTAAAAACCAGTCACTCAAAGACTTTTACTTTTTTGAAGCACTTCATGATCAATTTGAAACACACTTTTTTTTTAGGGCTTCATTATTACATCCGAAAACAAATAGCAGGAAAAAGTTTTAAGAAAAATTCAAATCAATTATGTTCAGTTTATGCAATTCAGAAAAGCCTCAGAATGTACCATAAAGCATCTTAAAGTTCAACATTTTCTGGGACCCTTAAGCTGGCCTCAGACCCCATGAAATAAAGGCCTCAGGCTCCCAATTTCGTAAATTTCATGCCCCCCCCCCCATACCCCGGTACACAGCAGTGTGTGGCTAGAACAAGTACTTATAGTTAAAGTTAATAAATCCATGGCTAGATCATGATGTAATATGATGTAGTGCATGTACCTGTTTATTTGAGAGGGTACACTTGTACATGTCGAGGTCAGCACTGGCAGGATTTTATTACACTTGGAACTCAATACAAAGTAATGTACAATGTAAACAATACCGGTACTCCATTAGGCAGTAAGGCGCAGGTAACCTGCCAGCTTAAATGTGGGCTAGTACATGTACGTACAAGTAGAAGAACTGTAAACTAGTGTAAATTGTCAACTATCTATTGTGCTAATGATTTTCTACTTCATTTATTCATACATGTACCTCTTATAAATTTGATGATGTTTAAAGTGACTCGGTAACATTGTGGAAGGTTGATGAAAAAAATTGCTTAATTTTTGTATAAAATGTTACTTACTATATTCCTTTTACTATACTAACCCTCTGACATGCAAAAAATCCTGAACAAATTCTCAAACCACAAAGATATCTATGGTTTTCTTTGAAGGTGTCGATGTGAGGCACCCTCTAACAGTGATTAACAGTAAATTCTCCCAACCATTTTTGAATTTTCCCAACCGTTTTTCCATGAGAAAAATACCTGGTACATAAAACAGGCTATAAAAATCTGTCAACACTTAACTGTCTAGAATGGAATGTAGAGCCATTTTATTGCTTTGTGATGATTTACATTCTCCTAAAATGTAATTAAATTGTCCTTGTCTTGATGCTGAACAGGCTTTGACAAGTAGCAGAATAGAAGTAGAATAATATAGTTGGGAGAATTAAAGGTATTACAAAGTTTTGGGAAATTTTGAAAAATGGATGGATAGTGATTCTTTCCAGTTTTAATATATTTGGATGCCCCTGTGGATGTATTAAAAACACCAGAAATTTTAGCCCCTAAAACACTTCTACTTTCGAGAAAAATTGAATATAAAGATTTACCGGTGCTCCCGGTAAATTTTGATATTTTCAAATAGCTCCTACGGCCGTTCAATGGTAGCTGCGACCATGAAAATCTCAGAGTATGTAGTTAGGGTATATAATTTCCGAACGAGAATAGCTAATCAGTCAATTTTTAGTCAATATACATTGTTTTATAGCTTAATTAATATCTTGACCTTGAGAGGGAGCTATTCAACATAAAGAGTTTATTATTTACAATTTCATAACTTTAGAGTCGATTTCGACCGCGACAACGATCACTGAATATTGTAGGATCGTATATGCTTCCAATATGTTCATTTGAACCAAATTCACGACCCCATACCAAAACTTTGTATTACCTTTAAGGAATCGATCAGATCAGTTTTTCCCAATTTATACCATGAATAATGATCCGTTTTCACTCGAATTTTCAGATTATCTTTAATTGTACATCTAGCATTGTAGTCACTACCTTAGCACCACTATCTCTCATCTGAACAATGTTACAAAGTAGTGCTGTAGTCAAACGTTTAACCGTCCGGTATCCGACCGCCCATGGCGGATTCCGTTTTCAATTGGACGGTTTCGTTTTCCCGATTTTTTTTTTTTTTTTTAATTTTTTTTTTTTAATTTTTTTTTTTTAATATTTTTTTTTTTTTTTTTTTTTTTTTTTTTTTAAAGTTTTGATTTATGCCCCTCCACCTGGCACTATGCCTGGCAATGTCTCCCAGCTCAGTAATTTGTGTGTTGACTCACCACTCCAAAACTAGAACAACACTCCAATTTGTCTGTCATCTTGGTTTGAAAGTAATCTATGTAATAGATCTCATCTCAATATGTAGTTTATAATAATAATTCATCCAACTTTTACACAAGGTTCTGTCCTAGGTCCTCTACTGTTTTTAATTTACATTAATGATCTTACACATTCTTCTAAAAATAACATTGTTACTATTATTTGTGACAAGTTCACAAGCACAAATCGGCCCCTTTAAATGCACCTCGCAGTTAAATGAAAGTTGCCGACAGAGTCGGTAAAAAAAAAAAAAAAAAAAAAAAAAAAAAAAAAAACGATTTTTTTTTTTTTTTTTTTTTTTTTTTTTTTTTTTTTTTTTTTTTTTTTTTTTTTTTTTTTTTTTTTTAAATCGTTTAACCGAAAACCGTCCGGTTTTGACTGGCGGTTAAACGGAATTGGAGATATCCGTGATGTTACAGCACTATTACAAAGTCCCTTTAATGTTTTTCCTAACTCAAGAATGAAAGGTGGACTGGTTGAATAAAGGCCTATGTTGAATATTGTTAGATGTTTGCAAGCTTTAAAGGGACTTTGTAACATTGTTCAGATGAGAGATAGTGGTGCTAAGGTAGTGACTTCAATGCTAGATGTACAATTAAAGATAATCTGAAAATTTGAGTGAAAACGGATCATTATTCATGGTACAAATTGGGAAAAACTGATCTGATCAATTCCTTAATTCTCTCTAAATTGGTAAAATTCAAAAATGGTTGGGAGAATTTACTGTTAATCACTGTTAGAGGGTGCCTCACATCGACGCCTTCAAAGAAAACCATAGATATCTTTGTGGTTTGAGAATTTGCTCAGGATTTTTTGCATTTCAGAGGGTTAGTATAGTAGAAGGAATATAGTAAGTAACATTTTATACAAAAATTAAGCATTTCTTTTCATCAACCTTCAACTATGTTACCAAGTCACTTTAATGTGTCACATTCTCAAGAAAAATAAATCAAGACAAATCTATTTTAACACACTTATACATGTAAATATACAAAGTTTGGTTTAAGGGTATGACCACATCGGTTGGTGACTATATAGTATTTATGACATGAATGTTTCCAACCACATCCCTGCGAACATTAAGCTAAATGTACATCCACTGTGGCATGTCTGTGTACATTTGTACACATTTTTTGTGCAGCTGTCGTTTAAAAATTCTACACAGCAGATCAGCACCAAGTACACAGCACACAATCAATCCAAGGATATCCAATAAAGCATAACAATATATATATATATATATATATAAACCTTTAAAAAAACTTCTCATCAAGGGCAAATATGTACTGATACATAGAGAAAATACAAACATTTTCCCCATTTTTTTTTTTATCTACAGTTCATGTATATTTTCAAAATAAATACCTGTAAATTACAAAAAACATGTTTTCATTCAATGCACTTTTCACAATCAATTTAGAAATTTTATAATGAGGTGGTTTCATAGCTCTGTAGATACAATACCTCACTATGAATAAAGGAAAGTTAATAAGCAGACCAAACACACACTGTGAATCGCAGATATTTACTTGTGTATTAGGGTGTGGGCTTTCACTCTGTACAAAGCTTGAATACACACCTGGGTTAAAATGTGTACCCAGCCAAGCAAATTTGTTTTTCTTTACTGTCTCTATTTTTCTGTTGGGACGAATTTATGCCACAGAAAAATGTGTGTGTGTGTGTGTGTGTGTGTGTGTGTGTGTGAAAGAGACTGATTCTCCCTTCCTCCCCCCCCCCCCCCCCCTACCTAAATGTTCCACACTTATACACAAGGTGATTGAACATTGAATCTTTTGAAATGATTATTAATATTAGATTTGTAAGGTTTACAAGCATTCAAAATTGTAGTGCTGGAAAATTGTAATCTTTGGTTTGGTGACAATATACACCTGTACACTCATACAAAAAGAGATAAAAGCATGAAGAACTCACCGAAGGAAACTCTGAGAGAAGGTGGAATGCTCGGATGTAGAGTTCGTGAACATGGAGGATTGTGGGATTGCAGCCAACAATGAAGGGTAGACCACGGAATTCCGCAATACGATGGGCTACCCTCACAGGGAGCTCCTTGTGTAGATACTGGGCACTCCTCTGTGATATAAAACACATACATTTGTTAAAACTACACTTGTGTCAAAGATGCAAACTACTTTTTAGAAAGCTAAAGTAGCTTTTTCTTTAAAAAAAGAAGTTCCCACATCCTGATGTGAAAAATGTCAGAATTCTTATCTTCTTGCAACTGATGTGGCCTTTTATATCCCTGGTGAAAACAAGTACATGTACATGTATGCCTTTTTCTTTCTCCCACATTATACATGCATTATTTATGCTCTTTTAATAAAGCTCCTCTAAATAAAATAAAAAGTGATATACATGTACCTAAACTGTCCCATCAGGCAATTATTCCTGTTATGAAAGTGCCCCCCCCCCCCTCATCCAACAACACCCAATCACTGATAATAACAAATACCATCCTATATCATTAAAAGGTCATTTCCATTGAACACTCATCACAAAACAGCCACACAAAAAGATTTCTAGACAGGCTCAGTGAGGCATCAAGGCATATTTGAAACTCATCTCTACGTAACACGTGTGACAAATTTGATAAAAGGTGGTGCACTGTACTTTTTCTGTTTTTTAGGGATGCACAGTACATGTTCCGAGCATGTTTCTGTGAACAATATTTACATAAAGAATTTGTATTTTCAAATGGATTTTGTAAACAACAACAAATTTTGCTTGCTGATTTCTATACCACTCCCTCATCGACTTCCATGTACATAATCATGTGACTTACCAATAGATGGTTGCCATCAGGTGACTTCCCAGTGTAGAGGAGTGTGGCTGGTGTCAAACGTACAGAGGGCTGTCAAAAGAACAGAACAAATTATTACATGATCATGTCTGGAAAAGTTGTCAGTCATAACAGGTGGAATTTGGGGGCAATGTACAGGAATTCATATTGAAAGGTCACAGAGAGCATTATTAGTGGTTTTCTATCTTGTTATCCAAATATCGGAGAAAGACAGCAAGCATACATGTATATTCATAAAAACATTTTGTTTCATTTTTTAAATTTCAAACACTTGAACCGTGTAACAAATAATGCCCAACTTGGTGCTAGCACACACAACCACAGAAGAGTAAACCTGATTACAGTTTGTGTTTAGAAGTGGATCAAAGATTACTGAGTTCAATTGAAAACGTTGCCTTTTATGATCATATAAACAAGGACCTTCAGAGATATTATTTCAAATTACATGTATTTGTTTATGACTGTGAGAGGTGGTTACCATAATAATTGTTCTGGTTATTTTCATATCTTTGAGCTTCAATTATGTTGGAGCCAACCTCAAAGACATTGTTAATATTATAACAACACCTCAATAATGTTTTGAAATTATTTTGTGAAGAGGTCTTATGTGGTAACTTGTATTGTAGTGTATTAAAATATCCAAACATTCATGTACCTTTTTTGCTGCGACGTCGATTGCACTTTGGTTGTAAAAGGACACAACTGGCCTCGACTTTTCCTTTGCTGGGCTGTAATCATGGACAGCTGAGTAATTACTTTGTGGACGGTAAGAAGTAATAGCAATACTCCTGCTGTATGAAGCGCTCTTAAAATTTAAAGCCTGCTTGAAGACTAGTTGATTCGCTTTCATCGTTGATAATGCCATCTCTGCTGCTTTGTGGATGTAAAACTCAATCAGAATTCCATACAGAAATGAAAACAGTTATCACTATTCCAGAAGGGTACCTTGTCTAGATCATCCACAGAATAAACGTGCTTCATGGGCTAGTAGAGATTAGCATCAATTCTAAATGATACCCTGCTCCATGAATTGGCTTTAATCCAACATCAAGATCAAAGGCTTTCCAGGAACATTTGACTATCCCTTCCTGTCATTAATTGAAGCTGAGCGGCTGGATACCTGGTAACAAAACAGAGAGAAACAGATAGAAGAATATAGCAACAGTGAATAAAGTAGGAGATATTTAAAAAATCTAAAAACTGAAAATGTAACTTAAACTTAAAGCCTGACTGCCGAGAACTAGGCATTCTTATAGAATCTTGGATAAAGGTAATATTTTGTGTAAAAATTCTATTGGAAGTAAAACATATCCTTAAAAGAAAAAGTTGATGAAAAGAAACCGATTGATTTGTGAAACATGAGATCAGAATTTACTTTTCTATAATAGACTCTAGAGATTATAGACTCACTAGACTCTACATTGTCGATACCATGGAACCCATGTCAAAATTATTTACACTGTATAGCCGTCTCTTCAACTTTTCATGGTAACTTGAGAAAATGGCTCGTCATTTGATGTCATATTTTCTGATTTTCAAAATCAGAATTTCACTCAGGGATCTAGTATTATCTGCAGAGATTTTTCATATAGGGTCTAGAGTCTAGACTAGATTTAGATGGAATGTCTTCAAAGTTAACTTTGATTTGAGGCTTGAGGAATGCGTCCCAAAGCTCTCCTAGCTAGCAGACAGATTCTTATATTTAGTAGAGTCTAAGACTATTATTAAGAGTAGATCTAGACCCTAAATCTAAGACAGTTAAGTTTAAAGTCGTTTCGATCTAAGTCAGATACTGGGTGAGAAATACCCTTGGGATTGTCTCAAGGAAGTTGAGGCTCGAGTTGAGGTTTGACTTGTTCTTCCTTCCAACAACAAAATGAAAATTTTCGCACACTTACAGGAAAATCTAACATTTATCATCAAGATCATTAGGAGCTAAAGCAATATAAAGAAGAATCCTCGCTAATTTTCAAGTCAAGCTTTAGCTAGAAAGACATGGGGCTTTCCAGCGCCAGCTATTTCTTCGTGCCAAGCGCCGCGCCAACATGCAACAGCGCAGCATGTTTGCAACGCGATGCCCATGCTCCCGCACGGAATGGACCGAGCGATGACGGGCTAGTCTGTCTGTAGCGACTGCACGTACCGAGAGTCGTGACTACGGTACGGGTTCCCATGTTTGGATAATTAACTTACCCTAAACTCTTTATAATCAACATTTTATACCCTCAACAATCCCATTGAGCCATAAATAATTGAAAGACACTTACCTAACACTATATCTGTTTGATCAAACTGATGAAATTAGGGCTATTTCATGGAATTCCCACGAAAAGATTTTCTGTATAACCAAAGTGTTGTTGTTAGGGCTCCCTCTACAGTTTTAATTTCCGCCACTCGAATTTATAAAAACAAGGTCGGGTCAGACAAAGTACACATGATTAACCAGGAACCGGGGGGGGGGGGGGGGGGGGGGGGGGGGGGGGGGGGGGGGGGGGGGGGGGGGGGGGGGGGTCATCAACGTTCTCTAGAATCGATTTCGATCTTGAATGCTATTCAAATAATCTTTATAAATATGATTTTTATTACTAGTCTGATTAAATTAAGTTAAACCAACAAACATCTAATTAAAAAAACCAGGGGCCGATCCAGCGGCGAGGCCAAGCCAAAATAGGGGGCCGCACGGTCATGGTGAATCAGCCAGCCAGCCAGCGAATAAACGGGGGGGGGGGGGGGAGGGAGGGGTAAGGAGCAATTCGTGAGAAAAGGCGATTCAGCCAGCCGGCCGGCAAATCAGGGGCGGGGACCATCTGTTTTTTAATTATTAAAAAAAAAATTAATTTTGCTGTTTTGGGGGCCAGGGGAGGGGACCCAGATCCCCCATTGTCAAAAACATCACTGCAATTAAAATATAGGAAAAGAGCACCATACAGCACAATTGTTTGAATATATATCACATATGACCTCCGGCCTAGCTAGCATATAGCAAATTATCATTTATTTTGTTATTGTCATCTTTCATCCTGTTGATTATGTATTCTATTAATTTTTCTGTTAGCTTTCCTTCCTCAATGGTTTGGCTCATATGCTACACAGCTAAACCACCAGGTATATGTATAGCGGCATGACATATATAACTTAAATGAAGCAGGCACCACACAGAGTAACTCTTTCAATATCACATTGCAACATTTAATTTATTTATTGTTAAATTCTGTTTCAAATGTCACATATCTTACCAGTACTCTTACATAATACTACAATTGCACTACTAAGAGATATTACATTGAATGTATACACATACATCTACATATTCAGCCACTATAGTATACTGCAAATAATCATGTTTAACATAATTTAAAAAGCCTAATATTTATATCATTGAAAAAAGAACAGAAATATCAAAGGCAATTTTATTCACGACACAAGAATAGCAATAATGATGATGCCTGCATGTGTGCACGTACACCTAATTGTATTTTAAGTAAATACAGTTTACTCGATCTGCATAACTTGAAGTCGCAAAAGTCAAATTTTCGCCAAGTATAAAGTTCAATTCGGACCCTTTCCAAAAAGGTTAGTGTTGGGCCCTTCATGTACCACTTATTATATCAATATACACACAGCTCGTTATCAAAGAAAGGCAATTAAGAGTCACTTCATTCAAATCTTAACTTAACAACTACCAGTTTCCAGTCCTAATGATTTGTGGTAAGGGAAGGTAGAAAAATAACGTTTCATGGATCAGCAAATATATCTGCATCTATACTCCAAAACTTAAAAATCCCCCCAAAAAATTATTGGTATTTTTGTGCTTCCTTCTGATAACAGACAATCCCCAACTGAATAAAAGAAAATTTAAAAAATTGTTGATCTGGTAAATTTGTCTTTTTCTATTTTACAAAATATTGCAAAGTGTTGATCTTTCACACAAAAAGCACACAACCGATTTGAACAAAAACACCGCACAAGGAAGGACGAGATACATTATTTGACACTACAATGTTTTTCAAACTCCTTTGAGTTCTACTCATATTTATAAAACATATACATTTTCTAAAAATGCTTTAAAATATTAACTGAAATCTAGACTTAGTCCAGTAAGATGGCACACAGTTGAAATCCTTAAATAAACGTTTAAACTGTAAACATTTATTATATTTCGCTTTCTCTTACTACTTATTAATAACTTGAAGGTATTAAAGGTGAAATATATATGATGAGTGGTTAAAAACATGCATCTAATTAACACATACAAACTTATCAGTCGAATATCAACTGAATATTCAGGTATTAAGGCAGTGAACGAAACAATTATGCTAATCTTTTGTTTTTAAGTAATTTTGATTTGTGTACATGTACAGCGCTTTGAAAATTTTGTCACAAGCGCTATATAAATTTGTCATATTATTATTATTATTATAATAAAAGGAATTCCCTTATTTCCCTTTTTTCTTCAGGCAACTTACTTGAAAGTTTTAGCGGAAACAGCAACAATAGAAAATACCTCTTATAACTTCATTTACGGCCATTTTAACTTCAAAGATAATTTTTCGCATAATAAAGCAGTACTGCATGACTCCCCAATGCATTGAAGAGTAAAAACAAAACTTTATTCCAATATATGTATTTTTTCTTCACTTTATCGAATCTATATGTGATTCTCATGTTTAGTTTTAATAAAATATCTATTTGAAAAATGTATAAAAACTTAATCCTAGCATAATATTAAATACTTAATTAATCTTATCTCTAGAATACTGCTGGGAAAGTACAAGGCATTTTAACTCATAACAAGCCATCAAAAAATGGTTTGTTTTAAGGGGTTTAAAAAAAAAAAAAAATTACCCTGACTGCTAAGAAAGCACAAATAGGAAGTTTGATCGAGTTAAAGAATAACAATTAAAAAAACATACATATCAATTATAATTCTCTTTAGATGTTAAGTACAATCTACATACCACTGTCAAAACGATCTTTACAACAAATATTTTCTACATTCTGTCCACGATTTTTGTATTTGTATCAGTGTAAATATTACCAAGAAAGTAAAGTCTCTTGGTGCCTCAACCTGATTGCAAGAAAACAATGGATTTTGGCTTTCCAAAAAGAATATCAAGCATTATGATCTATATAAGGCTTCCAAGTGGTATCAGTGTATTTAATATCTTTAGCACAGTACCCGGATGACTGATAAATATTGTTTTCGTATTGCTCAGTCATCCAGGAACTTTCAAGGTACTATGTCCCATTTACAGGCCAAAAAAATGAAAAAGTTAAATTCCAACTTCATTTGAAAGATAATACTAATTTAGAACTTCTCTAAAAAATGTGGGGCTTGAAAATGTCTTCAAGTGGGAAAATAACGACTATTAGTTGTCAAATCGACTTTAGAGCTATAGAGTCCAAAAGTAATAGTCTTGATTTTCAGACAATTGTACCGAATGGTCATACGTTTTATGCTGCGCAAAGATTCAATCAGTTTAATCTTGGCCATCACAAGAAGTGGGTTACTGATGTAGAAAAATGCTCATGTACCCTTTACAACTCTTTTCATGTATGTTATTACCAAAGAAGAAAAAAAGCCAGTCAGTCACTCAGTAGTGTCTGACAGTGAAGTCTAGCACGTAAACGGGTTTCCTTGCATAATTTGAATATGAGGACACTGCTAATGTTTAAATTTCACAGATAGGACATACCTGTACATGACATATTCATAATTCCTGCAAAGTTCTACACCATTTGAGGTTGGCTGCAAAAGGGACATAGTACCTTTAACTATCGATATCACACAAACACAAAGCCATATTTACAGAGGTAAGTCAAAATTTGTTATTTTGCTAGTCAGCCTGATATAGATAATAATAATATATTGTATGGCTTTGATTTTGTGTGATATATGAGTATATTGTCATAGCTCGAGCAAAACATTCTTGTATCACACTCAAAGCCATCCAATATTATATAAATAACTTTATCTTATTTGGTCATATTTTATATCTCACATGGGGTTCGTAAATCGTAAGCTTACCCTTTCTTCCTCATTCAAAATACATCCTTATCCTATAGGATCGGGATTGTTTTCTGAGTTACTGAAATACAGAAAATGACAAAAATTGCACAATAGCAATATGCATGAGTTTACATAACATGATTTTATACTGCATTCTACAAAAATAAATTTCATATTCAAGAGCAAGATATGATTATATGTCTTCCTCTTAGGAATCAGTACATAAAATTAATCTTTAATGATGGATTTTTGACATTGCATCCTCTATTTATTCCACATCAGTGTAAAAAATACACGGGGGCTTGGGGCGAATTTGCCCCCGAAATGCCTAAAACAGCCCCCGAAAATCAGAAAAGAGCCCCAGTAAATTTGCATAGAGTTCAATGCAAAACAAATTTTAGAGTGTTATTTTTATGCAGGCAAGCTTGAAAAGTAGCCCCCGAAAAATAAATATTAATTTTTTCCCTGTTCCACATGAAATGATTTTAAACTGCATTCTACAAAAAATAAACGTTATATTCAAGAGCAAGATATGATTATTTACTGGGTGTAAGCCACAAATATGTTTAAATAAAAGATATGATTATATGTCTACCTCTTTGGAATTAGTACATAAAATTAATCTTTAATGATGGATTTTAGACACTGCATTTTCTATTTATTCTAGGTAATAATGAGACAGGCATTTCTTGGCTGTCATAGCTTTGGGTTCCTGTTCGACTGCGCTGGGCCCAAGGGCGGAACGACCGGTATGCCTACGGGTGAGGTGAGCCCAAGCTCACGTTGTATATCCCGTAGGTTCTCACTGGTGAGGTTACGAACGTCCTGCTCGATGGCGCACATGTCTTCTGAGTTTAAATTGCGGACATCCAGCCAATCAGAGAGCAGTGAGGCGGAGAGAGGGGCAGAGTCACACCTGGTGCTGTTCAACAAATTCAAAAAATGAGAAAGGGAATGAAATGAAAATTGAAATGAATCATTCGGTACAAAATTTTGTAATTAACGTCTAGATTTTACAGATTATTCATCATTTACTATTCAACAAAACAATATTGCAAAATTTAATTTTTTTTGTGAACACAAAAAATTAGAATTTGGGTTTTGGGTCCAAAACTTTAGTTTCCCGAAGTATCTCACACTCTTTGTTTTTCATCATAGAGTAAAACTATGAAATGATGACAACAATTTTCTCTAATTTTCCCTTATGTTTATCCTCTAAGGGTCCTTCAACAAAACAAAATTGCTCAGATAATAGCAAACTTGATTCTCATTTTGATGCTTCGCCAGTCCAACTTCAAGCCTTTACGTCCAATTATAAAAAGATTTCAATAATATTTCCTAGGTTCTAAGGAGTTGATTTTAACAAGAATCCGCTTCTTTTATCCTAAGCAGTTGAAGAAAAAAACACTTACCTATCATTTATTTGGACATTAGGGTCAAGAGATTCTCCCATCAGCTCCTCAATATCAAGGCTGAGTCCATAGCCACCTCCATCTCCCTTAGGCGTGACTGGTAGAGGCACGGAGAGAAGCGATGGTAACGTGTCTTCCACCACGGATCGAGAAAGCTGTCTAATGATGTTTGTGATGTCCGACGATGTTGAATCATGACGTCTCACCAGAGCTGGGTTTTGCGATCGATTTGCCGTGGTGGAGGTGTGGTTGTTCAGTGAACCTGCAGGATTGGCTTGGGACGTTGTAGATCTGTAATCAGGCGGTGATTGTTGCAAGCAGGATGGTGGGGAGGGGATGTGGCTGGGGGGAGAGGGTGTCTGCCGATCAGAGGGAGTGCGGTAGAGCAACTGCTGCTTTGGAGACCGCTTTGGGCTGAGGAACACATCACTGCCGGAGCGATTCCTTGATGTCGACACAAACATGGGCATGTAGGGCATGGGTTGTTGGTTTGTCACTTGCATGGTTGGATCAAATGTCAGTTCTTCTCGGGCATCACTTCTTGCACCAAAAGGTATTCTGCTTTGGACAGAGTTGCCTGTATCACCCGTGCTCTCGACATTTAGTGAAAAGGGCGAACCTGAGGCAAAGAGACTATTCCCTGAAGGCAGGTCTAGCTGAGAGAGGTAATCAGGGGATTGCAGGTAGCTTGCTGGGTTCAGTGATGATATCTCCTCAAAGAGAGTAGGACTTGCTGTTGCACCAAACTTGGGCGATTCCATTAATGTCGCTGATACTCTCAAACCTTTCAATACATTCCCACTTGAAGTGTCTGCTGGGTCAAATTTGGTTGAATATTGCACAACGTCAACGTCAGATCTTTTGGGATCGTTAGGCAGCTGGGTTTTAGCTGCTGGTTCATATGGCGCATCGGATTCCGACTTGACTCGCCTGGAACTTTCATCCTGAGACTTTGCAGCAGCAGCATTTTTTTGCTGCATGCGATTCCACCTCTCTAACATGTTCTTGTCCTCCTCTGTCAGCAGTGCAGGAGGCTGCTTCTTCTCTTCCTTGTCGTGACGATTCTTCTTCTTCTTCTTCATGGATCGCCTAATCTTCTGCTTGCGTTTCTCCTCGCGTTCCCTCTGACGAGACAAGGCCGTCACAGGCATCTTACCTCCACCTTTGCCTGGCTCACTGGAAGTGGATTCTAAAATAAAAGAAGAAAATAAAACATTACATCAAACATAAATTTGTACAAATATGATCATCTGAATGCATGCAAAACAGAATTCCATATTCCTTAATTGTATGGTGGTTCATCTCTAGTATATATAGAATAAGACGAGTGTGTTTTCCTCCATTACAATTCAGTTCTCACTTCCGTCATTAAAGAACATGTAAATTGGATAATAAATAAGGGTTTGAATAGAGGGAATGTAGTACAAAATAATGAATATCGTTTTACGTTTTGGTCAAAATGTGTTGATGAGGTTTAAAAAGACAGCATTTTACCTTCATGTCATTTTTTTACACCTACATTTCATTTCACTTTCATTTCATTTCTTTATTGTGTCCATATAGGATAATTGTTTATATGCACATGAACAATCTTGCTTCAACATATGAACATAGGAACAACATATAATTGACATTCATAGGGCCCTGTTTTAGTATACATTTGATATAATATACATGGTCATGATGAATATACAAACATATACATTTAAATACTCTTTCTTCTTCTTCTTCTTCTTCTTCTTCTTCTTCTTCTTCTTCTTCTTCTTCTTCTTCTTCTTCTTCTTCTTCTCTTTTTCTCTTACATACCCTCCATTTTTTAAAAATTCTTATATGCTCTAATCTGAAGTAGGTATTTTGTGTTAATAATTATTTCTTGATATGGTATAACAGTAGGGGTACAACAGTAAAGTAAGTATACTAAAACAATATATATATATATATTTGTGTAAAATGTCAATGAGGGTATTTTGTATGTACATGAACATCAATGTGACAAATGGAAACAGATGCTGTTTGGTTACGAAAGTCGCTGTGTAATTTTTCTACATACAAAATCCCCTTCCTCTTGAGCCTCCTTCATATGCAAAACTGCTACATTAAAGGGCAGGTCCAAGCTATTGTCCCCTCTGGGGGTCAAATTTCATCTTTATATATATTTAACAAACTATACCTCATTTTAAAGGTGAAACTATGAATTTTATGAATCTGATAAAAAATTAAAAAAATTATCAAAATACGAAGAGCGCCAAGGTCACGAACTTCGATTTGTATTAATTAGCGTGACGTACGGGACATTACATTTTTATTTTTGTATCTCATTTGAATTATTTGTTTAAAATTAAATATCTCAGGACATGAAGACCATCATGCTAGAAAATAGTAAAAAAAAATATAAAAACTTTCAAAATTAATTAATTATGCAAATGAGGTAGGTTCCAAAGTGTGATGTCCCGTACGTCAAAATTTGATCATAATTTGTTTAATTTTAATTATGAAAATATTTTTTTTTTTTAAAGATATTCTAGGAAGTTCTAATTTAGATGAATACCTAACAAAAAATAGGTTTAACAAAAATTTCGAAAATTCTGTGTTGATTACATAATCAAATTAAGAAATGTGACGTACGGGACAAGTGTGTGACGTACGGGACAACCCCATATAAAACCAATGCGAGATGTGAAAAAGGAAATGACCAAAAGGAGAATATATACTGTGTTAGGAAACTTGTTGTATGTAAAATGATGCTAAGAGTACAGGTGTACATACGCTACACATTTCTGTATCTTATACTACAGAGCAAAGTGAATATATGCGAATGACGTTTGTTGGGACAAGTTGCCATTTATTTACAATTAAAAAAGAAAATGAGGAGGGTGCAGTTTTTAGGCGATTACCATATCATATCTGAACACGCCTTTAAATCAGGGGGAAAATACATGGGGGCTCGGGGCAAATTAGCCCCCAAAATGCCCAAAAGAGCCCCTGAAAGTCATATAAGAGCCCCCAAAAATGTGCATAGAGTTCAATGCAAAACAAATTAAAGAGTGTTATTTTCGTGCAAGCAAGCTCGAAAAGTAGTCCCCCAAATTCTTCGAATAATTTTTTCCCTCAGTTTACACACACATCAAGGTTGGTAAATTATGCTTGAAATATCACACTTTTCCCAATATTGACTGTGACTCACCTAATCTGTCCTTTTTATGATTCTTGAGAGCAGAGTTCATGAGAGCTGCTTTGATGAGAGCCTTTGTGTCTTCTGAGATTGTCTTCTGACTGGAGCTATTGGAACGATCACGTTGACCATCACCTTCTCTACTGCTTAAAAAAAAACATTGGTTCAAAAGTAAAGTCATATTACAGGGATGGATCTCTATAGGTTATGTGCCTAAATCCAGTTTAGATCTTTACATAAAAAGTTGGTACAAGTACCCGTCATACTTGTGTACAAGGATTATTACGTAAAAAATGCAACAGTATAGATCAGAGTAAATTACTGAAAACTAATATCGCATGCTTCAAGACTATTACTCTGACTCTCTCTGAGGTACATTCCTTAAAAATTGAAACATATACATTATTCCCAAGTAATTATTAACCTTTTTTTTGAAAAACAGTGAATACCATAATTTATGAAACCAAATTTGATCAATTGATAGAGAGTAAGACTCAAGGATGGTTTAACTTAAGTCTAGAGTGACCAATTTCCAGCAGATCCTACAGTATCTGTACGAATGACAGATTGAAAGTTGAAAACTATATCTGTTACATACCTTGCATGAGGTACACCTGAGGTGCTCCCTTGGACAGTATCGTTTCTATCTTCCTCAGAGGTAATGTCAGCTTTACTAGATATTTGTTCTTCAATGAGGGGTGTTGCTTCTCCTTTGGCACTTTGCATTTCAATATCGCTGGAAACAAGTAGGGACGTTGTTCCTTGGCTGTAAATCTTTCCTTGGGCAGGCATTTTGTCCGATGACATAAAGAATGACGTCAGGGGGTCCCCACTAGTGGACTTGGCACTGAGCATTTCAACGTCGCTTACAGAACCAGGCACTGAGCCCATGTCAGGTAATCCAAGAAACACATTAGATACTGGAGTTGGATCAGGTTTTGAATCTGTCTCAAACTGAATGCTGCTAGGCTCCATGGGAGGTTTGAATATTTCCGGGCTGAGACTACAGTCGGCTGCTACAAACTTCGGCGACAGGTCGGTGAGTCCTCCGAACAGGGGTGAAGTTTGTGAAAGGCCACTCAGCAAGCTTTCTCTGATGAGAGGTGAGCTAGAAGATGGTGGCACGCTATCACCGTCACTGTCATTCCTCGCCTCACCCACTGCTCCTTGGGGGTCCTTATTGAAAGATGGACCTACTGTCTCAAGAGTTGTCCTCCTTGATGACGGTCCTATGGTTTGGAGAGTGTCTCTTTTACTCGATGGACCTACAGTCTGAAGAGAATGCCTGCTGCCAGTAGGACCAATAGTTTGAAGACTACTAGATGAAGGGCCAATAGTTTGTAGGCTTCCACGATTACTAGATGAAGGACCAATTGTTTGAAGGCCACCACCACTATTTGATGAAGGTCCGATTGTTTTGAGGCTACCAAGACTGTTAGAGGAAGGGCCTACAGTTTGGAGAGTGCCATGATTGGTAGCTGGCTGTGTAGCTGCACCAGATGTGTCAGTCTTTGGAACAACACTCAACAGTCCTTTACTGACCCATCCTGTGGGTTTATTGTACTTGAGGATCATTTTGCCAATTTGCTGTTTGATTTGTTCCCTGCTCATGACGTGGCTTTCAAAGGAAAAGTCAAACTTTGGAAAACAGTCTGGCTCATCATCGGGACTGTAGTAGGTAGCCAGAAACGGATGCTGGAGTGCCTTGTTGACCGTTATGCGCTCTGATGGCTCAAATATAAGCATCTTCGCTAGCAGATCCAAACCTTGAGGATCAGCTTTAGGGTACAGTTTAGACAGGTCTTTGGGAGTCTTGTTGGCAAAGTTCTTCTGGAAGAAGTTGTACAGATGATCACTGCTTGTGGATTTCAGCATGTGGGTTGGAGGCATGCCAAGGACATCCACTATGAGAGAGAGTTGATCAATAGGATTCTTTCCCGGAAACATCTGTTTCCTACCAATCATCTCACCAAGAATACAACCCACAGACCAGACATCCACCGCTAGGGTGTAGTCATCTGAAGAAAACAGAAGCTCTGGTGCGCGGTACCACCTCGTAGCTACATAAGAGGTCATGAACATTTTCTTCTTATCCGTGCTAAATGTGGACAATCCTCTTGCCATTCCAAAGTCTCCAACCTTCAGTTCGCAATTCTCATTGACTAACAAATTGCTTGGTTTCAAATCCCTATGGATCACATCAGCAGAGTGGATGTACTTGAGCCCTCTCAGGATCTGATAGAGAAAGAACCTGATGTGCTCCAGACTGAACGGTTGATTGGAGTGGATGATTTGATGCAAATCACTTTCCATGAGGTCAAAGACCACATAGACATCTTTCATCTCCGACAAAGGTTCCTTGGGCATGAGGATCTCCCGGATGGCGATCACGTTCTCATGCCTGAAATGACGCAAAATCTTCAACTCTCTGAAGGTCCTTTTGGCAGTGGTGAGCTCATCAAAGGAATTTGGAATCTTTTTGATGGCCACCTTCTCGCCATTCTTCTTATTGATTGCTGAACAAACAACTCCATAGGCGCCTGGGTGGGAAAAGAATATTGTGTTATTGACATGTTCATAGTCAATATAAACATTATGCTACTATACCTATGACTAAGGATAGTTCCGAAGGTAGGCTATTTATATCATCTTCTCTCTCCCAACAATTTCTCCTTAGAACATACCTAAACAGATTTAAACTTTTTTAAATATTGAAAGTTTGAAACAAGTATGTACCACATTGTTTAAAAAAGATGTGTTACACTTCATAAGAGTTTGTCAAAACTTTTTTTCAAGGTGAAATATCGATATGCCTACATAAACATTGGAATTGGAAACCTCTTTGGCAAACTTAAAATACAATAATGTTGAATAACTTATTAACTTTATATTCTAAGTTTTGACATTTTGAATAGATTTCCCTAAAGGACTAGAACTTAAGAGATAAATGCTAATGTATAGTATTTGCTAAGACCAATGTCTTCCAATACCCCCAGACAATACAAAATATTTGTGAAATAATGAGTTAAGTAGAATTCAAAACTATTTCTCGTTAACAATTTTTTTCATCCTGAGAAAGTAGGAGAAAAACAAATCATATGAATTCCTAATAATTTTGTCTGTACCTGTTCCAATCTTTTCTAGAGGTTTGTAATTTGAGTTGGCAATGTCAAACTTGACATCCATGCATCTGCCCTTGAAAGCAAGGAGACTCCTTGATGCAGCTTGCTGCATTATGTTGGTTTAGTTAGACTTCATCAAATTTCAAGTAGAAATTATAGCATCACGCAGACCTAGAATTTGTAGAAAAGTAGAAGGGAAAAAGCAGATAATTTACAAATGATACAATTACAAGATATATTTGTTTTTCATTTCATTTATTGACCATTAAAACAAACTAAATATTCAAAGACATCAATACAATAGAAGAATAATATCAAAGAACAACAACATAAGAAAGTAATATATTAGATTTAGAGTAGACCCAGTATGATGATGATGTACGTATTAGACCAATGCCTGGCAACCCAATGCCTAGACCGAAAGCTTCAGTCTCTATATCGTCGGTTGTTCCACTGAGACTACGTCTGGCTCCACTAGACCTCCGGATATAGAGACTGAACTATGCCTATGCCATCGTACGTTGAAGATACACTCTCTACGGGTATACGATAAGACGATACTGCCCTGACGCTAAGTTAAATCCTTTTTTTGTTATAATCGCATGCACTTACATATAAAATTGACGTTTAGAATTAAACCACACATGATAAACATTAAGAAAATATGTACCTTGGACCTCTGCATATGAAATCTTCTTCAAAAAAGTGTTATTATCTCTTCCACTTGACTGTCTTCAGAGGTCAGCCATCTTGAATCAAAGTAATGAATATTCATGACAAATTTTTTTAGTCTCCACCCCATTGACCTCATTCATAGACGTGCGCGTACGTGCACGTACATGTACATCTCGCATCGTTTGAGTTCTCGTGTTGTCTGCTTCACTTGCGCGCGCTATCCTCGATGTGCCGCGCGGAGGAGCTAGCCGAGGCAAGGTCAACCATCCCCATTATCGTATTTGAAATTTTGCATATTCATTAGCCGCCATTTTGATTTCCGTCGGTCAGAATGCTTGACGTGGGTCATCGAGAAGCAGCCAAAAGCTCGGTAAGTCCTTTTATTTCTTTTATATTTCTATTTCGTAGGGAAGGGGGGTAAAAAGGGAACTTTTAGGGACTGACAATTGCCTAGAAAATTACTGCAATTGAAGATAAATGATGTATTTCTCCTCAAGTTTGTCATGTTTGTGGGAGGGGCCTAACGGCTAAAATCTAGCCGTGATATCTTCAAACAACATACGATGGCATAGGCGATCGTTCAGTCTCTATATCCGGAGGTCTAGTGGAGCCAGACGTAGTCTCAGTGGAACAACCGACGATATAGAGACTGAAGCTTTCGGTCTACCCAATGGCAATGCCAATGCCATGGTTTGCTCAGGTTTGCTGGAGTGAATAAATGGTGCGTTATAATTATGGCGGTAATGCAAATCTTATTCGTGATAGACCCTATTGATAATACCAGTTTTGCTTCATCAGCTAAACTGTCTTATATCCTAGTTAAAGAAAAAACTGTATTTGTTACCTAAATTAACTTGCTGCCCATTTACAATTTACACAGTAAAAAAAATGAGCTGATTGAATACACTATAGACTATTACATCGAATGATACATGTGGGACCGAGGTAGGTAAAAACTAAAATTGCAGATAAAACAAGTGCTTTAAACTAAAGGTTGACAATGAAAAAGACGCATACTACTTGTTTGAAATGATTTACAATGACCACAATTTTACAAAAATTATAAATTCTCACCTTATTCACAGTAAAATAACCTCAATCGGGTACATTCTAGGCCGAAGGCAGTGTGCGTATTAACGGATGCACTCCTGTATAAATACAACACTGTTTCTAAAAATAGAACTGCCATAACTCACAACCAATGAACGAAGAGCTGCTTTGACAAAAGGGAATTGCGAAACTAAATTAAAAACGACTCCACCCTTTCCTATAGGGCTAGGCCCTGTACTTGAAAAAGAAAAAAACAAAGAGTCACAGGGATCTAGCAAGGCCCGATAATTTTGCTTTTAATAAGATAGATTTATTTTCCAATCGCTTTAGATCTGGTGCCTATATGCTAGCCAGCGTCACGGTAAAAATCATAACTGTAGCTAGCTGTTAAACTAATGAGTGCAAGTTATACAATCACCCCCCCCCCCCTCTTTTATATATGTTGCCTCGGTTCATCCTACTCAAATTGTACTTCATGTGAATTATTTCCCCTATTTCTCTTGCCTCGTGCATTTAATTTCAAGTGAATTTTTCACCTATATATATATTATTATCATTATTAGTAGTAGAAGATAAATTAAATAAAAATTTTGAATTGTACATTCACCCCCACCCCTCTTTTAACCGTTGCATCCTACCAATGAGATACTCAAATTCATGTAGTAAGACCTGCATTCTACCTGCATATATCTTTTTCCCCATCTTTTGCCTTGAGCATTTAATTTCAAGTGGATTTTTCACCTTACAAATCTTTTCTATTATTATTATTAGTAGTAGTAGTAATAGACTATTACTACTAAGTAGGAGTGGTAGTAGCAGTAGAAGTATTTGTCATCATCACCATCATCATAATTATCATTTTTATCATAATTTTTATATTGTAATCATCAACATCATTATCATCATCATATAGTTGTTCCACATGACCCGAGAACTATATAGAAACCCGTTTTATAGACCTAAATTTGACTATGATTATACTAAAACAAGAAAATTAAACGCCTTGTACTATGTCCGCCTGAATTATTAATGTGAGCTCCAGTCTTGTCAACTATACAATTATTCCGTCTGATTAAAACTTTCACATTTTTTCTCATCTGCCATGCATTTATATTGAACCTAGCTCAAACCTAATATTGAATTGCTGCAGTTCAGAGTGGGTATGCATCCTAGTAATAGTAGGTCCACGATTGCCTACCCCCCCCCCCCTCCAGCAGATGAATTGATCATACGCCAATTGCTATTTATTAATTCATTAGATTCATTTCATTTAATTTTGTCAGAAAACAAAGGCGACATATTTCTTTGATTTTATTTCCGGTACATTTTTACGATTATGTGTATGTAAATTGTAAATTAATTTTGGTGCTATGTAGTAGTGATGCTATCTGCTCCAGGTAGCGTTATTTTTTTCTGTGGCACAGATTGGGGTTAGGTGCGTGTTGAGCCTATGGGAAAGTTTAGGGTTAGGGTTATGGTTAGGATTAGGGTTAGGGTTAAATCAAGACCTCTTAAAAAAAAAAGCCCCAATCTGTGCCGCAGAAAAAATGACGCCTCCCGGTAACATTGAGTGGGGGGGGGGGGGGGGGGGGGGGGGGGGGTATCTACTATGATTTTTTTTTTTCTCTCTCTCTCTCTCTGGCAGTTTTTTTTTCTTCTTTTTTTTTTTTTTTTCATTTTGTTTTGTTTACCGTCTTATTGTCTAGCTAGAGAAGAAGTCACTACAGGATCTCAACGAAAAACATAGATCAACGTGGAGTGTACTAAAACGAGACCGTAGAGGACGCTCTTTGAAAAATATTTATTTACAGAGCCTATGTATACGCACGTGTACTGCATGTACTGACTTGAAACAGACTGTCTATTTTCCTGTAATATTTTTTGTTTTGACGTGGACATCTGCCACCATGCCTATGGGAACCAGGAGAAGTTCTAGACGGATTGCTGGAGGAACAGAGTCAGAAGGAGACCAATCAGACAGTTCTAGTAAGTTCTTTTATTCTGAGATTCGCAAAAACGTACACGTTCCACTCAGTCGTGACAACGGAACGGAGCTCTGCCGCGCCGCTGCGCCGCACCGCCCCGCCTGTTGCAGAGCCTGGACAGTCTAGAGAGATACTCTGTTGGAGCTCAGCTCTGGAGTTTGGAGCACGATCACGTCACCATTATTACCATACAACTGCGCCAGTTTGCCATATTATATTATTGGAAAGTTTGCCATATGCTCTTGACAAAATTGAAATTGTTTGAAAGTGTTTACATCTTTAGATTTGCTACCTTTCACTTTCCCTCTCCTCTCTCATTTTCATTCAAAATCTGCTTCCTTCACTTTAGTAATTCCTGTTTGTCAAGGCTCAAGTTTATGTTGCCCATTTCATGGAATTTGAAATATTGTTGGTATTATCAGTGTAAGTTTGTGCATATTATATTTCTCAAGTATAATTATATTCTAGACTGTTTAGTACTGTCTACTGACTTTTATTACACCTAGTAATGTTATTTTTAATAAACTCAACAGATTATGTTTTTTCTAACCCTCTTGGCCGGTGTTTGTTTATCTTTCCTATCCAAACATGCCTCTTTCTTTTAATGAATAAAGCATTTGTCAAGGGTTCAGTACTTCTTACTTCATTGTTACTTTTGTTACTCACATTTTACAGACTTTCTGCAGAAATCTATGTAGACCTAGATATAATATTAATTTGATCCAACATACATGTAAGAGAACTAATATTCAAAAAAGAAAAAAATAAAGATATTTCATTTTCATATCTGGAATCTCCCTGCACAGTGTATCCTAATAAATTGCATTTACTGGAGCTCTTTGTCAAGAGTAGATTTTCGTTATCATTGCCATTGGTAATAAGTAAGTGATTATTTCCCATAAGAATGCATCTAGCTGTCTTATTCTTTCTGAAATATAAATATACATTTTCATTGATTTACTACTTTTTAACAAATTTATACACTCCTTTTATACTCACTCCTTCCAGTAGGTCAATCGAGCCCAAGAAAGAGGGTTTCAAGATCTGCTAAGAAGACTACTAAGAGCAAGATATCTGAGGAAAAGATCAAGTCCATTCCAGAAGAATCATTGAACTTTGACATAACAGATGCATCAACACCTGTAAAGAACAAACACAATGTGTCATTGGACAAAGATAAGCAGGGGTCAAACACCCCTCAACCATTGGACATACCTTCTGTTGCAAGTGAATCGGTGAAATCTGTAGACTGTAGTTCAGACTCCAAGGAGAAGTCTGCGGAAAAGACTACTACCACAGACATGGCACATTCAAAGAAAAGGTCTGCAAAGGAGACTACTACCACAGAGGTGGCACATTCAAAGAAAGGTCTGCAGCAGAGACTACTACCACAGAGGCGATACACTCAAAGAAAAGGTCTGCAGAAGAGATAATAGCCCCTTGTGATGTCATCAAGAATGTGATGGAAGCTTATAAGCAGGAATCTACGACAAAGAAGAAGTCCAAGGGCATGGCGAAGTCAGGAAGGCCTTGGAAAACTGAACAGACTGCAAGGTGGGTACATGTACATACAGGAACAGTTCTAGAAGGTTTTTTTTTTTTTAGTGGAAAGGGGGGGGGGGGGGGAAGGAGGCTTTATAGAGTTGGGGGGGGGGGGCGGGGCTTGAAGAAATTTCAGGAAAAATGGAACCCTTACCCCGTCACTACTGGGTATAGGTAGACTAGAAGATAACATTGAGTTTCTAGGCCTTTGCAAACCAGAGGAAAAATGTGTATATAGAAGTAAAGAAACATGTGATGGCCATTGTCCATAGTGAAAGGGGCATGTACACAAGATTCATATTTAACATCCAAAAAGAAACTGAGTTGGATAAAAGTGTGCAGTTTCTTGCAATCCTCATACCGGTACTTGAAATAAGTCCAGATTCATTATTAAGTTCTCATTTTGAAATTATATATTAATCTCTGTTTAGCTGTAGAGTGTTTTTGTTTTCTTGCACAAGATCAATAAAGCTTAGTTTTATAAACTCCAAGTATAATTCTCATTGTTGATTTTCTGTCTATTTTTATTTCAGGTTTTCTGGCATGAAAAAAGACAAGCCCCTCAGGTCATCATGGCAACTCAAAATGGCCCAGAAAGCGGAAAAGATGTCCGTCAGAAAATATCAGCAGGGTCTAGAAGATGCCAAGAGGGAGGCCAAACTAGTAAGTCTGTCAACAGCATTTCTCTGTACATTTTTTATGTGACATCTAATTGGAACATCTCACAATACTGACAGATTCGGTCTTGTGAACACTCAGATAACTTTAAGAAGACAGACTTTGTCAGTCTTGTAGGCTCCAGGTAAAATTGGCCGTCTGTCTCTTGTGCCATTGGTCTCTCGAGGGGTTCGATCTTATTGGCTGTAACCCTAGAATCGGGTACATATTAAGAGCACTTCTTTTTGTTTTTATGTAGATTTGTAGAATTAAAGAAATTGACTTTGCCAGCAACCTATTAATTGGGAGAAGTATTCAGAAAACTATGCAACCTTGTATAAATTAGGACTGATGGAAGTCAAACGTTTTCATTGAAAAATTAAATTGAGCAGACTAAATTCATTCATGTTTTATATATGTTCACCCAAAATTCTCTTTTAAGTAAGAATACATGGCCAGTTCGACACAGAAATTTATCAACGACTTGTCCTTATTTCGGTTTGCTATGATGGGGGAACATGCTTTCACTAACATGATAAATACAATTTTCAGAATGCCCTGGGCCCCGTCTTACAAAGAGTTGATATCAATTGCAACTATGTACAAAAGAGATAGGAGACTGCAAACTTGCAATTGATTAGCTATGTACATAAGAGATAGCCAGATAGGAGACTGCAAACTTGCGATTGGTATGAGGACTCGCAATTGATTTGGATCAATCGCAACACAAGACGGGCCCTTACTTGAGATATATTAATTTGAAGTATATTGTCAATTTGTTTTTGCAGTTGAAGAAGCAGCGCAGAGAAGAACATGAGAAGAAGAAGGCAGAGAATCAGAGGAAATCAGAAGTGGTTCAAGTCGTAAGTCTGCTCACATTCTTGGCATTTTATTCATTACAAGATAAGCCATGGAGACACTGACCATTTGTATCACTGTGAATAATTATAGGACATTGTAGCCGGTGCATGAAGAATGGGGCCAATTATATTTTACAATGGGTACATATTAGGCCTGAGTCGTTAGGTTTTTTTGCTAAGCGTTTAACCATTAACTTTATACACGTTCAGAGAGCTGTGTGGGGCGGTATTTTACTGTTTTGAAATAATAATCTTTACTTTAAATATTTCCAAGCGGGGAATTTTGTTAAACTTGTTTGATTTAACATTCTATTTTTAAATGCAGTTACACAGATTATGAAATTAAATCAATATTTAAGGTCAATGAACCTCTACTTTAGTGCTAAAAAGAAATAATCTCATATTCATATTGTCTTCATGTATGTACTGTTAATAAATGCAGTCTTATTTAAAAGTTTTTAGTTATAATGTTCAATGTCAATTAATAGTTCCATATCTACAGTTTTGTGATTCTCAATTGTTGTGCCTTGCTATTCTAAATAAATCCTGTAATTATGTGAGGATTCCCATTTGGTGGACAATCAATCTAAAAAACAAAACTGAATTTGAAATGTTCTGTGAATTCAACCTGGTATTGAACATTGCTTGCAAGTTGTACACCACTATTTCTTTGAACTCTATAGGATAACTCTCATGTATTATTATTATTATCTATTTACTTTTTACAGATAAAGAATCCAGCCAAGTTGAAGAGAATGAAAAAGAAGCAACTTCGTATGATTCAGAAGCGACCCACTTGAGAAATGAGCAGGAAACGGAAACAGACTTTCTGATAAAATGCGCTATATCATCAGTCAGAATAGAAACAGAGCCAAGCCACAGATCAGGTCGGCAATTCCACTTTGGGGGGGGGGGGGGGGGGGGGAACAATTCCAATTTTGTTTTCTTCATGAAGTTGTTTTTTTTCATGAATCTTCATTTTATTGTGCTACAAATATCTTCATTACACAGATATGTTGTCTTCAAATATAGTTTTGAAATACATCTGCCTAAAGAGTGCAGATGGATATTTTGATCATGATACTAGTTTTGCTACATATCCAGGCTTCTTATTTCTGTAATTTCAACTGCTGTTTTAACTAAATCATTAGTGATGCCCATTGCCCTAAAATGGATTGCTAAACTCTGTACCCAAGGCCTGATAGCAAACAGCTACAGTAGATGATGTTTGTAATAGTTGTCTAGTAATAACTTTCGATACATCCAGCACTGAGATGTAGTAAAATTGTAAGAATTGTGAAGTTTTATAAATTTTGTAAAGTATAATAAATCACACACACAAATAACAAATATTTGCAGTAATGTTATGTGTTATTTTCTTTGGAACTGTTATTATTGCTCTTTGGCTGGTGTGTGTATATGTGGGTGGGTACTGAGGACATTCATAAGAGCTGTACCTTCACTTTGACCTTGGTTCAAGACACCCCCCCCCCCCCCCCCCCCCCCCCCCCGTAATTTTTTTAATTTTGAGGCCCTTTCATATAGGGGTACGTTCATTTAGTTGCTGTATTGGCAGCGAAAAAATAGGTCCTTGGTTATTCATTAAATTTTAAATCGTCCTTGGGATGTTAAATTCCTAGTATTTCCTACAAACATGTATGTCCTCGCACATGTAATAGCATCATGATGTGTAAAGGTGAGTCCTTGATTTACACCAGAAATGTTTGTGTGGGTGTGTCTGTGTGTGTGTATGCTGTGGTCTTACTACCCAAATACCAAATATATCATTCACTGAGAGTCCAAAGGGCATTTTCAATATCACGAAGGGAACTCAAATCACCCAAATGTAATTTTTTTGTTTACTGGTAGTCTGTTTTGAGCTACATGTTGGTATCCTAATATGAAATATTATATATCAGTTGTGATGGTAAAAATTACCGCTGTAAAGATATGTTGCAATTACCAAATACTTAAAAAATAGCCTTCAATTAAAAGTGACTTGTGGTTAGATTAGTGACAAATTTTCATACAGGACTTAAACTTAAAGATGAAGTTGAGTTCTGGTCATGCGATTGCATTGTGAAAGAAACGGTGTGGAGCCGACCAGAAAAGGTTGATCATCTAGCATATAAGAATTTGTGTGTATTGCAAGGTTCTGGAATCATCAAAATGATAAGAAATGTGGCCAAGTCTTGGTAAAGTTACAAACACTTGCACAGAAAGATGTATATGGGACTACACGAACACGTGGCGTAAAAAGCCGGCCCCCGATTTTTACGATGTTACATGCATATTAAGAATATGAAGGCATTTGAAGAGCCAAGCTTTACAGGGAGCATGTCTTAACTGATGTTCTTCCACACTTGCATACTAAGAATGAGTAATGCTCACAAATTATTTTCCACCTCTTCCCAGAACTCGACCTTCTCTTTAAAGATTTGAAGCCGCCTTTTCACTATATCTCCTCTTTTCAATCTTGTATAATGTGAATATCTTGTGTGGTTTTAGGAAATGATTTCTCTCTTCGATTGAGAAGTATTTTTTTAATTTGGTTAACTGCTCCCCTGTGATGCTTCTCTCACCCTCGGCAGATGATATAATGTACACTATTATATATTCTATCAAACCGTCCTCCCGTCATCTTCATGTACATCGGTCAGATTTTCAGATGCTGTATTATTGGTTACAAGATCACACATTGCAAGTATAATAAATCCAACGAGAAGAGTCATGCATAATGTAGAAATCAGAAATTTATTTACTAGAATTGGATCACAATCGTGTTTAGGCCATTTTTGTAAGTAATGTAATCAAAGTTAATGGACAAATCTTTGTTAAGTTAATAGTTACGAATTATTTCATTCACCTTAATTTCAATAGTCATAATGGAAATTACATACATTCTGTGTTGTTAGGTAGGACAAGCCATTATGTTTGCCCTACCTAGCACCAGCTCATGTATGCAATTCACATTCTGACTACAGTGGAACTTCGGTATAAAGCGCTCTGATATAATGAGGTATCTGTTATTTTATATAACAAGGTAATTTCTTTAACGAGTTTCGACTGTATTGAAATACAATAACATGTATTTGTAACAGGTGAATGAAATAATTTTGTTTAACATGGCACTCAGTTATGTATTAAATTTGATTACATTACGATAATGGTCTATTCTAATGCAGCTGCACTCAATAATATACATGTGTACATCATATATTAACACGGTTGCCCATTAAGTTGGAATAAATTTTCTAACCTCTTTTAATTAAATGATTGTCACAATATGATTTTCTTTAGATATGGACCGTTTTAGATGTATATTGATCAATCTTTATTATTCAATCTTTATTGATACATAACATACATAACATTTAATAATTTCTGTAATAAAAAAAGGGTACACATATTACTGATTGAATACAAATATATTCTTGAGACTTGATGATAAGTGTCAAAGACCTGACAATAGGCTGAACAGGTATTTTACATTGCCTCGAATGGCCAAGGTTCTGTCAGTTCGGTTGTGTGACCGCCTGACCGGGTATCACTTTTCAAAACAAGTTAGACTTTGACGATGGCCTTTCCTGTGTTAGCGCCAGTGAAGAGGTCAGTGAAGGCCTTGAACATGTTTTCGAACCCGTCGGTCCTGTGCTCTCGAACCTTCAGCTTTCCCTGTAATAATTATAGAAAGTTTGAACCTTAGGTACATTTGGACCAAAATATTGAGCCAGAGACAACAGAATAATTTGTTAATACAAATCTTGACTTTTGAATCAGGACTCGGGTGGGAAAATGTGGATTTAAAGGTAAAGACCAGTAATGGTCATGCGATTGCATTGTGAAAGAAACGTTTTGGAATCGATCAGAAAAGGTTGATCATCTAGCATCTAGCATCTGCAAGGTTCTGGAATCATCAAATTGATAAGAAATTTGGCCCATTCTTCGTAAAGTTACAAGCACTATACACAGAAAGATGTATATGGGACTACCCTATCTCTCTCACACGACCATGAGAGAAATAAATTTACCAAATATATGAATTAGTAGGCGGTTTCCCGGCAAATTTTTTATCATCATGTATTAGTCAAAACATATTCTTTCACATGATTGGTAATGAGAGCTTCCATTTCATTTTTTGAAATTGGGGCGTTACCAATACTGGTCTTTACCTTTAAGATCATCACATTACAAGGAGCATTATGGCAAAATGTAGAAGAAAAAGATATGGTCACATTGCTCTTCTATTCTTGATTAGAGTAGGTCTATTACTGTCTTCCTTTCCTTTTTCTCCTAATAGGCGAGCATTGTTATAGCACAACTACAAAAATAGAAAGTATGCGTCCTGATATAACAAAAAGTGTCCACTCGGTGGATCTAAGTGCAAAAACGCCCGGGCCCACATTGAGAAAAGGTTTGTTTGGAACTTTAGTGGGGATGGGGAGAAGGAGGGGGTGGGGAGGGGCTGACGGGATTCCCAAATCCATATTCATATTGGGAGAACCCCTCTGCTCCTTACGGGAGGGCTGACGAGATTCCCAAAATCATAATTTTATCCCCGTGAGAAATTAATGTCTGGCAAATGTTGCCCTTCCTTCTCATGACAATCCAGGCCTGATAAAAACCCGATTTAAATCGGTTTCCCGATTTTTTTAATTTTTTTTTCCCGATTTTTTCCCGATTTTTTTTTCTTCCCGATTTAAAAAAAAACAAAATAAATCCTGATTTTTTTAATTATTTTTTTCCTTCTTCCCTATTTGATCCTGATTTTCCAGATTTCCCTCTTATTTCCTCTATTCTTCCCTATTTTCCCAGTTTTTTACTCGAAAGGGGGGAATGTTTGTTAGATGCCATTTTTTTCCCCGCGAATCCTCTTCTCTTTTTTTTTTACTCTACGGGGGCGTGGTTGAGGGGAAAACAAAACAAATTTTTTTTTTTTTTAGTGCTCACTATCACCCCTGCAATCCTAGAACCACCAAAGCTCAATTTGATTGTATTGACAATATTATAATACATTTTACTGATTTTAGACATACACTGCTGATGAACTGCTAAAGTGTAAAAGGAAGATTTTATTTGACTCTATCAACCCCCTTCAGGGGTGATCACAAGATATTTACAATACAATACAGAATGATATAGAAAACAAAGTAAGATATATATATATATATATATATATATATATGACGCTATATTCTTTACCTCATTGATCCATTTGCTTAGTTGAGTAACTGCTTCTGCCCATCTTGTCATGTATTGCATAACATTAAAACCCTGCATCTTGAGATGATTTGTGACCATCACACCAAAAAGAGACGGCACTGTGGTGAAGAAATAAAACATGTGAACACTCATTAGCGGGCCCCGTACTGTGAAGATGATTTAATTAATAATTAATCTATTCATTCATTCATTCATTAATTCATTTGTTTGGTTAACAAGACACTCATTTATTGCCTTAATGTGATTTATTGCATTTATTTCAATTACAACTGAATTCAGATCTGAATCCTTAGTCGTGTCCTGCCGAGACACTTTGGAGACAATTTGCCCTAACTATTGGTACTGTTGAATGAAATAGGGCACTAGGGCGATGGCGAGTGACTTGTCTCTCCTGGCTCATAGATGCCACTGGCATAAAGCCTCTGGATATCCTCTATTGCTAGCAGAAAGGAGAGCAATTTCTAATACGTTAAGGATGGAGTAAGACACCTGCATCTAACTGTAAGGCATAAACAAAAAAGATGTTGTATTGTCCTTGGCGACCGACCCCTTTTTTAGAGAAAAAATATTAAAGCATTAACAACTGAGAAATATCAGCCCAAAGAGGGAGGAAAAAAAGGGAAAAAAGGGAAAAAAGGAAAAAAAAAGAAGATTTCTGACCGACCGACCCATGTTTTGGCACCTAAAGGGCAATACAGCATTTTTTAAAGGCCTAAATCTCATGATCTCAAGGTTCCACTCCATATACTCACACAGCTGCTTTTCTTTGAGATTATAACCCGAGATGGATCCACAACAGGAGATGCGTCCTCCGATCTTCATGTTTAGAATGGCTGTTGCAGCAAACTCCCCACCAACCTGTTTACGAAAAAAAAGAATATGTTCATGGGAGATGCATTCGAGGTGCATTCGGGACATTCTTACATTCTGGTCTGGACGTTCCGAACTTCCAACTGCGTTCGAGCCGCATTCGAGCGGCAATCTAAAGATTCTGACGGTATTCGAAGTGCATTCCAGTTTGGAATCTTTTAGTACCGAAAACATCGAAAGAGATTCCGGCGGCAATCGAGATGCATTCGAGGTGCATTCGGGACATTCTTGCATCCTGGTCGGAACGTTCTAACTGCAAATTCGACTCGCATTCGAGCGGCAATCTAAAGATTCCGACGGCATTCGAAGTGCATTCCAGTTGGATTCTTTTAGTACCGAATTGATTGGTTATCAGCAGATTTGTCACTGATGTTTGTCATTTGTCATTGAAAAAAGGCTTTGTTCACAAAAAATAATGTAGATTGGAAGTCTCTTTTAAAACTACTCTACAGTTATCTCGGGACATAGGCTACACCCCTTCAACTTTTGTGATATGCTCACAACCTTCTCAATCACTCCTTTCTTTGTTTACCTCCTATTTCACCTCGTTTTTTGTTTACAAACACTGAAAGCAAAAACTAAATGAAAAACTTTCCTTTTCTCTTTCCTATACATTTTCTTAATTTATTTGAACCCCACCCCCCCCCCCCCCCCCCCCCCACCAAAGCAAGTTTTATTGATGACAGAATATATCAACGGCCTTATCATTAAAGATAAACTTGAGTTCTGGTAAAAAATGAAAATGAATTCTCACAGAATCTAACGAAACTTACACTGAATGTTCAAGATTACAAATAAATGTCATGTGCAAAATAATTGGGAAGAAAATGTATACTGGCTGAGTAATAAGCATAGAAAGATAAGGAAATCAGGGTAGTACTAGCCCCGACACCATGTGTGTTGTCCCATATACATCTTTCTGTGTAAGTGATTGTTACTTTACCAAGACTCTGCCAAATTTATAATGATTTTGATGACTCCAGAACCTTGCATTACACACCATTACTTACATGCTATATGATCAACTTTTCTGATCCATTCCACACCTTTTCTTTCACAATGCAATCGCATTACCAGAATGTGGTGTAACATGGTGTTACCCAAAGCCTGCAATATTAGAGCCTTACGTTGTCAAAGTAGACATCGATACCGTCTGGAGCGAGTTCTTTGAGCTTGGCATCAAGGTTCGGTGTTGTCTTGTAGTTGAAGACTTCATCAAAACCAAGTTCCTTCAGGTACTCACACTTCTCTTCGCTTCCTGCAGATCCGATCACTCGACATCCCTGCCAAATAGGAAATGATCGATTACATGAAATCATGACAAAAGTTGCTTCAAGCAGAGAATAATCTTTCATTATACTCTCCGAGATACTTTGATTCTGAGATGTAACTGGAATGGAATCATTGTCTATTTTAATACGAGATAGGTCATACCCAACGTTGATTTGCAATGGATTCCGAATTGATCATCATGATCAATAGTGATACGTCCATGGATCTTCTCAAACTTCTCTGAAAGTGTCTTTGGTCTTCTGATTCCTTTCCTTGTTACCGTTTAACCAAAAGTGTGATATGAAGAAGCAGAATGTCTGGTACTAACCTTGATCTTAGCAATCTGTCCTACAACGTTCCCGACGGCACCGGCAGCTCCACTCACCAGGACAGTCTCCCCTGGCTTAGGGTCACTGACATCCAGAAGACCGAAGTAGGCTGTAACACTGACATGAGGAAATTATTGTTAAAATGGAAGGACCCTAATTTTTTTTGTTTACAATTATTTTTCAGGTCATTATCTTTAAGCTTCTTCAGTTAATGATCGCTGCAGGTCGTAATTAATTCAAAATCACTGATTATGTTGGTCGATCGTCCATGCTACAAAATACAACACAATTTGGATATTCCTGCAATTCTTGTAGTAAATTGTAAGAGATCATACGATATAGGCAATGGGTTATTTCCGATTCTTGCCGCTGTCGATATAATGGATATTGTTAATGAAAAGCGAGGTACAGGTGATCTTGTCATTTCAAGGCCTAAATATAGGTTTTCCCGCCCAATTTCATCAGAGTTGCATCCGATTTAACGATGCGATCATTCAATTTCGAGCGAATTTAAATGATCACCGAGATCAACATTCAAAAAGCTAATTAGTTCATTCAATTTAATTGTATAAGCATGCCATTTCATGATTTTCTCACATAAACGTGTAAAATGCGCGTTCAAATTAAAAATACAAGTAAATGCATTCAATTTCGCACCTGCACCGCCCTGATGAACGTTAGGGTATTCAAGTTGACGAATAGGCAAGCATTTACAGCATTTGGGCAGTCTTTTTCTGTTACTGTTTATATTCTTTGCAATCTGCATCTCTTTGAATAAATTATGCAAACTTGATGTACCTTGAAATGGGACCTTTACCTTATAGTGAAATATCTCATTCATCTGACAAACCGTCATGTAAATAAATTATGATTTATAACCATTCTGTAAGTGTTATGTCCATACTGCTAGGGAATACAGTGAAACCGGAATACAATATTAGAAAGAAAAGAAATATATAGAATATGATTAAAATAAACATTATGAAACTTTAAGAATGAAAATTAAGTTATATAATTAAAAACAGTGAGAGAAAAAAATATGACGTGAAAAGATTGCGGTAAAAATTAAATAGAACTACAGAACTTGTTTATGTTGATTTAATTTGAACGTTCAAAGTGCGAAGGTGTGTGCCTATAAATGAAATTGAAATTGGTATTAAGCACGAAATTGAACGTCTATCCAGCTTGCGCGAAATTGAATGACAACTTAGCGGCACTAAATTGAATGTATTTCTCTCTAAATTGAATGAAATAAAATTTAAAAGGAATGATATAAAATGAAATTAAATGCTCAAAGAATGAAAATGAACCATGAGAGCAGAGAGTTGATGAAAACCGTTCGAACTTGAACGCCTATTCATGAAGTCGAATGCAACTGTGATGAAATTGGGCGGGAAAACCTATATTTACTTTTCAGCAGCAGAGAGTATTATTGGAGAGTCTGAGACATGAGAAACAGAGAAAGAGAGAGACATAGATAGTGTGAGAGGAAGAGAGAGTGAGGGAGAGAGAGACAGATGGTGTGTGAGAGAGGGAGAGAGACGAGGGAGAGAGGACAGGTGAGAGATGGGAGAAGGGAAAAGGATGGCAGGAGAGAGGGGAAAACAGAGGAAGAGAGTGAGAAGGGTGGCAGGGGGAAGAGAAAGATCGAAATCTTCGCTGGGGGGGGGGGGGGGGTCCTTACCCAGTCATACCCAGGGACCCAATAGTATAAGACCTTGGTATCTCTTCAGGGAGCGGTGGTGCCTTCATGAGATTCTTGCCATCACTGACAGAATGTGTTGTCCATCCAGTAAGTGGAAGAGCCCATGTCCCCACTGGGAAGTCCGCATTACGACTCTCGATGACCCTACAAATAGGAATACGATGATACAAGTTTATTGATTAGTGAGTATATGCCTATATGCTTCATAAAGTTAGATAAAGCAGGGAGGTTTTTCCACCTCCCTGGGTTAATCAATTCTCAATTTTCGATATTGTCGTCATTCGTCAATGATAAAGCTTACAGAATATGTTGTCCACCCTTTAAACAGTAGAGTCCTAGGTCGTACTAGGAAGTATGCACTACGACTCTCCAGGAACCTTTGATGTTAATCTACCGAAAGCCAAACTGAGTATGAATGATCCTTCTATCGTTTGAAAAGTCATATAGCCCTAAATCACATATTTTCGTTGAAAACATTTACAATTTTATGTTTGCCTATACATTCCCTGTACACCTAACTGTAAAGAAAAACATACTGCATTAATTAAGCTTGATAACTAGCAGGGAAGCTAACGTGATATAGCTCAAGAAAATCAAATATTGAGTCTGTCAGTTTTGGCACAAACCGAATGGAAATGGTTTATAACCATATACCGGGTAGTAACTTTAACTAAGCCATCTAGTTTTTACTCTATTCATCCCCATAACACCTAAACAGAACTGTTTGAATACTAATTCTTCTAAATCTGTTGTGTAAATATTACAGCTAATTAGACTTTGATCTTTAAAGAATTGGTTAACAAGGACAGCTAGTATACAGACAAGTTATGGCCAAGGCTTGTATTTATTTGCTATTAATGTATACCCTCCGCAACATGACTTGCAAGAAAGAACAGAGCCGTTATGTCGAAGGCTCTGAATACAGCAATCCACTCGTGTTCTTTTTAAATAATTGTTTGCATATACGTTAATATAATACTATGAAGATATCGTCCTTGTTTTCACGAAGTGACGGTAGTGAGGAAAATCGTCACGCAAAGTGAATGCAATTTTTTTTTTCTCACTACCGTCACTTCGTGAAAACAGCGACGATATGTTTTCATTCAGAAAATAAAAACAACCAACCCCGGACCCAACACTACTACCCTAACCCCACTCATAATCCTAACCTGAAACTGAATAACCCTCATCCTATAGAGTGGTGAAGTGTGACGTCATCAGAAATATATTTTAAGAATTTCTTTCATAACATCACAACCAGAGCAAAATAACACTGAGCACCTAAAGGAAATCTATTTATTCAGATGGTCATATCTCAGCCAATACTTAACATATTCAATTGGTTTTCGATATTTGGACATTATTTTGATGCTCTTTCGGAAAATGAAGAAAATGATTGAGAAATTCTAAAAATAGATTTTTATGATGTCACAGCTTCGGTACTCTATATCCTGGATGAAAGAACTACCTGCAGGAAATGTCACCGAAGCAAAAATAGAATGACCCGCATTTGACTTACTTTGCGACTTGTTGCCCAATCATTAAAGTATTCAGTGGTGCTTTGGCGCTATACGGTCTACAATGGAAGAAATAAAGAACATCGATAAAGAACATCAAACAAAACAATATCAACATAATTATCAAAACATTTTTTTCACCCCCCCCCCCCCCAAGAATTCTCCCTCGCAAGGAAAAAGAAAATCATTTTGCATTGTAACTTTCAAGTGCTCTAAAATGCCAATTTTCAGCATTCTAAAATCAAAGTTTTCTCGCTCGGTCGCTTTAGGCACCAAAAGCAAGGGGCATCTCCCAAGCAAGACGCTATCAATAATCATTAATTAGTCATCAGTATAACCATTCAAAAGATGGTCAAAAATACAAAGTTTCAACATCCCAAAATCTAAATAATATCTCTGGGTTGCTATACTCTCCCTCAAATATTCATAGAAGCACCCTTTCTTCCAGCTGGAAGCGAGGGGGTAGATGGTTCTCTTATCGAGGGGTTGGTAAAATCCATTTTGAAGGCCCTTTGGGTCTGTACTCCCCCCACCCCCCCCATCCCCTCCCCCACCCCCACCCCATCCCCACACCTGGAGCAGTTCCAGTTAGCCAACTTTGCCTGAGTCAGTGAGTGGAGACATCCTGTTGCACCAGACAGAACAACAGTTTGAGGCTGAAGTTGAACCATTAAATGTGAATATTTATGTTATAGTTGGTTAAACATAGACATAGATATGATTAGACCTTTAAATATTAAAGCACGTCTGATAAATGCATCAGAAAGATTACCCTTCGAAGAGCATTGGTGATATATAGTACCGGTACATGGTGTGATAATTCATTTCAAGGAATAAAGGGAGGCTTACCTCATGTATGGATCCACAGAAATATATTCGGCTTCCATTAAGATTTCTATAATAGCATGGTGGGGTGAGAAGAAGAGTGAGAGATGGGGGGATATAGAATGAAAGAGAGAGGGAGAGGGAGAGGGATATAGAGAGTATGAGCGAGAATGAGAGAGAGAGAGAGAGAGAGAGAGAGAGAGAGAGAGAGAGAGAGAGAGAAAACAATAAAGGAGAGAGATGGGAAGAGAGAGAGAGATAAAATATACCACAAAACATAATGGGTGGAGTTATATATAAATTAGGTACATGTACATTATGAGATTAAATAAAACAAAACGTTCAATAATTATTGCTTAATAATGTGATGATGTCGACATATAGGGGGTTTAGCATTTTTTCCGGGTTGACTGGCATGTATATAATTATGCTCTATACGGTAGACAAACTTTGTGTACATGATTGTGGTTCGAGTTGTAACTATAATGGGTGGTATATAAGCTTACCTCCTTCTTTCAGCTCTGGTATATCAAACTCTTCTAGCCTCATGTCACTTTCCTTCGGGAAACCATCGAAGTGTTTGGCCAGCATCCATCTCTTTCCTTTGCCAGGCATCTTGGAGGATATATTCAATCTATGGGAGCAACGATCCTTGGCCTTGTAATATCGCAGAGACAAAATATATACGCTATAGTATACTTGCAGTGGTGTACTGCACAGCAAAGACTCTCTGGCTACAAAGTGAATTCCACACAGTGCACAAAGATGCTAGTCATGCAGCATGGTCGATAATTATTGTACCTCGCATTCACGGTTTAACAAACCATGGACCTAGTACTATAGTACCATGAACAAACACAGCTTAACTACACTGAACCAGATCGGTCGTGCAGCTATGTGTCATACCAAAAGACGTTAAAGCTTATCTGCCGTAGTTTACAGTAGGGATTAGACTGCCCTGCAAGGTCACTGGACAGGTGGTTATCTCATCAACTCAGCTCTCAGTTAACATAAGAAAAAGAGGATCATGGGGGACCAATGGTCACCGATTAGGCATTGTTTGTTATATAGAGGGCGCAAGTAGCTACAAGTAGTGCAAAAGACGTTAAAAGATGGGAGTTGTTGCTATTGTCTGGAGTTCAACAATAAGGGAAAGAGCAACGTCGATCTGGCGCTGCTCAGTGGCTGCCGGGCTCACGATCAATTGGGCAAAAAGAATTTCCGTTTCGGTTTAATAAAATTTGGAGTGGACTATTAGGCTATTATTATTATTATTATTATTATTATGATTGTGCTTTTTTTTTTTTTATTAATAATTATATTTGCTTATATAGCGCCTAACACTTAAGTCTCTAAGCGCTCTACAGTAATGCAGCATAATTACCCTGGCTTTAGCAGTGCAGCTGTTACGCGCGCTGCGTTTCAAGTAATAAATTCCTACCAGGTACCCATTTACTTCACCTGGGTGGAGTGGGGCAAATGTAGCGCCTTAGCTGCACCCCCAAATAAATTTTAGATCAATAATTGCTCTGAGCCATTTGACGCGTTTCAATATTCATATGTCGAGTTCTCTATTTTACCATGGTTACCCTAAACGGTGGAATAATTTTCTCTAACATGTTTTTCCAAAAACCGGACAGTGAGGTGCCCGAATCTATACATATTTATATCTTATACCATTGAAAATATCATGTTTATTTCTTGCTCGGCCGAGTCGCTTGATCGCAAATTTCAGAAATTTAAAAGTTGATGTTTGAAAAGGTGTAGCCCTCGATCCTTCGAGAAAATGTGCAGTTACGCTGAGAAATGATCACTGAAAGGTCAGAGCAAATAGCGGCTAGACAGGGGAGACACAAAGAATATATTTCTCTCTCGATCTCTCTCCCCTTTTTTTGTTGTTGAAAAGGGTATAATTATGATCAGGAGCGCAAAGGGCGGGGGAGGTTGGAATTTGATGATCGAAAGTGTTCAAATTTGAAATTTGAATGGTTTTATAACATAATTATTTTATGAAACGCCAAAATCGAGGGTCTTCTTCAATTTAAACATTTCGAAACAGATTTTATTGATTCATAAATGCAATCCAACCGGATATCATGCAAGTAACTATAAGAATAAAGCTAGAAAGGAATTCGTTTACTTTCAAGAAACTCATATGCGTATTTTCTAATCTATTTCACCTTATCCACCCCCTTATCTCTCTATCTCTCTCTCTCTCTCTCTCTCTCTCTCCTTGTCCTCTACCTCGTTTCCCTTTTTTCTCACCTCTTTCTCTCTCTCTTGTTCTTCCATTTTCGATAGAATGTACCCTTCCATATAACAATTTTTCACAGTAAATGTATTGCTCATAACCAATAAATAATTAAATGAATAACAAATATAAAAAATTATACTAATAAAGAAATTAAGAAAACAAATTCAAGAATTGTTGGTTTTACGCCAGTTTTACGCAAAATTCTCATTTTATTTTTGAACAATACAAAGAATACAACTTCTTGAATATGAAAGCATATATAAATATGACTCCAGATAAATTGTTTGTTTCACAGCATCATCTTAATTCAAATAAAGTATCTCCCGGTCAATTATGATAAACTTTATAGTATAAGCACATACAATACTAATATCGTCTTGTAAATTTCATGTCTGCGCTTCGTAGGTTTAAGCAAAATGCAATGAATTATTGATAATTTATTGCATTTGCTTTGTTTTTTGTATTTATGGGGGCGGCGACGTACCCTAGCCCCCGCTGCGTACAATCATGATTCAGTGGCTAAGTAATGGCCTCGTTACTGTGAGCCCCCATGATCAAAACCGTGTCGATGTGCTATATTAGTGCCCTTTTATGAGGCATTAATCCGCATTACTATCACGCAAAACAAACACTCACAAATTATTATTCAATAAAATGTGAGAATGTATACTGTTATTTAGATCTATTAGGAATAAATCATTGTCAAAATTATTCCATAAATTGGGGTAAAAATAATTATTCCACCATTATGACCAACAGTGCATATTTATATATAAACATCGTGTATTATGTTAATTCCCGGCGGAGACATTTGCCAAGCTCTACAAATATAGAGAAAAGTGATTGGTCTATAAATTTCGTCTTGACGCACCCATCGATGTGGCGTCAGTGTTGATTCCCATGAGCTAACTTGCTGTGTGATTACCCAAACCGAATAGTGAAAATCGAATCATTCCAAGAAGGAAAATGAAAAGTGTTGACTTCTACATACATATCAGTTGGAAACTATGAGAAGAGAAAACATCATGGACACACAAGTAGTTAGTTGGAAAACCAAACTACTTTTAACAAATCGGATACTGTTTTCGAGAAGATTGCGTCAAGAGAGAAATGATAATAATCCAACCATCGGTGTTGTGATTTGTTGAGAAAAAAAGTTTACCCTTTCTATATTAAATGCCCTACCCACTCTCAAGGGGGGGGGGGGGAGATAAGTTAGACTTTGACGACAGCCTTTCCTGTGTTAGCGCCAGTAAAGAGTTCAGTGAAGGCTTTGAACATGTTCTCGAACCCGTCCGTCTTGTGCTCTCGAACCTTGATCTTACCCTGTCGCAATTAAGAATGAAAAGTAAAAAAAAAAAAATTATTTTCCACTCTCGCCAAAAGTAGCGCTTTAATCACTGAGGACAAGGCGCATTATGTGTAATTGTGGAACTAGAGAAAGTTACAGTCCACTGATCAAACACGTATGAATTCTTCATCCGAAAAGTTCAATTTTTCCTGATTTCTCATCATTTTTGGTTTGGACCATTATTTTTTTTTAAATATTACTATCCCTATCATGACTACAACAATAATCACTTTATACTTGTTCGCGCTATTTTCATAATCATTATGATGAATTATCATTGACCATGGGAATGGTAAACAAATAAAATCATTGTGATGTCAATTGTTGACACAGTGATGTCCACTGTCAGTTATAGTGGTACATTGGTAATCTCGAGAGTTGCTTGACCAAGATAATCGTTTCCTTTCTCACCTCTTTGACCCACTCTGTCAGGGCACCGATGGCTTCGGCCCAGCGTGGTTGGTATCTGTAAATAATGAAACCTTCCATCTTCAGCTGTTTGAGCACCATCTGGACATAGATAGATGATACTATGGAACAATATCAAATAAGGATTGTGTAGTTAGGATACTCGGGTAGGGTAGAGTTTACGAATTGCGTAATTAGAACTCACCCAAAATAAATGCCCTAATAAGGAATGACCCATGGACGAATACCCCTTGGTCACGTACTGCAGCATCGGACTTCGGACAACTACTCATAATAAGGCCAACTACCCTCGAAAAACTACCCCTGGAATATCATCCTTTGGAGAATTAATTACTCATGGACATATACCCTCTGATGAATTTACTCCATTACCATCAGATAACCATCTCGGGGTAAATTTTAGGGGTGTTTTTAGGGATGGAGACTTGGAGTTGTCAAGGGAAAGAAACTTCAAGGGGTCAGTGTAGTTGAAAAAGATTTAGTAAAAAGATAACACGTTTAGACTGGGTTAGGATTAACACTGTGCTTATAAAGGTCACTTTGGCCGCAATCTGGCAATGAACGAGCTTGGTAAGATACTTGCCATGATTTGATCAGTTTTAGCTGGTTTTAAACAGTAAAATAGATAATTACGTATATAGGGTCTACTATATACACATTTAGACTATAATTAAATAACCTGATCCATCTCTACAGGCACAGTGAAGGTTTCTAGCTGGTTTAGAAATTACTTAGTCAGGGTAGCATTGTTTAACTCACGTTTCTCAGGTTCTTTCAGGTTGTACCCTGAAATGGCTCCACAGCATGCGATGCGACCAAATAATTTCATGTTGAGAACAGCAGTCGTGGCAAACTCACCACCAACCTGAATGAATATTAAAGGTGTTGTAATAATAATGATAATAATAGCCTAATAGTCCACTCCAAATTTTATTAAACCGAAACGGAAATTATTTGTGCCCAATTGATCGTGAGCCCGGCAGCCACTGAGCAGCGCCAGATCGACGTTGCTCTATCTCTTCTTGTTGACCGCCAAACAAGGTAGCAACAACTCCCATCTTTTAACGTCTTTTGGTACGACACAGAAGAAATTTTAAATACGTTTTCGACTCCAGATTTTTTTTTAAATTTTCATCGCAAATATCCGTTTCTCTTCCTCCCCCTCTCTCTTTCTCTTGTTCTAATTCGTGTGGTCAGCGGGTCGATCTTTATTTGGGATAGACAGCTCAGGCGAATATGCCGAAAAGTTGAAAACATAATTTAAAAAAACAATCACTTTTTTTAAACAGAAGATTCTGACCCGATATCACATAATTATCTAGGACGGCAATTATCGCACCTTTCCCTGTTTGAGTATTCCAATTTTTCAATCAAACTGATAAACGGTCTATTCTTGGCCATCTTTGACTGATGTGTGTTGGTCCTGGTGGTGTAATTGAGGGATACATTTTCATTCTGTGGCTCAAATAGAATGGTCTTTGTTTTCTCTCTGCCCCTTTACTTATTTACTTCAGCGGATTCTAATTGTTGCCTGTCGGAAAAGAAATCAATTGGTTGCCTTACGTTGTCAAAGTAGACGTCTATACCGTCTGGAGCGAGTTCTTTGAGCTTGGCATCAAGGTTCTGTGTTGTCTTGTAGTTAAAGACTTCATCAAAGCCTAGTTCCTTCAGGTGCTCTAACTTCTCTTCGCTTCCTGCAGATCCGATCACTCGACATCCCTAATGAATACAAAATGACTAAGACACTGCTGTATGCTAAACATAAACAGACATTTGATCATCCTTTATAGTTAAAATTAAGCCTTTATTATGTATGCTCAGTGATTTTCACTATGTACTTTTCTACATTTTAAGAAAAAAATAATCTTCGACCTGACTTCTTATCATAATCATGTCACACATAGATGGTGTATTCGAACAGACTGCATTTAACAGCGATCTTATAGCTATTTTTAAAGTGGTATTTAATAATAATAATAATAATAGTATTTAATTTTTATATAGCGTTTAATACAAATGTCTCTATTTCTGACCTTACTAGTAGCCGTTGCTCCCCTTGTCTCTTTTAGCTTTGGGCACATAAGTATGTATAACATAGTGGACTTACCTTGATATTAGCAATCTAGCCTACAACGTTCTCGAGTAAAAGAGTGGGCTTATATCAATCTATGTAATCTAATATACTACGACGAGTAGTTTCTCTCTGAAAAGGCATTATGGTATCCAAGTGGAAAAACGTAGATCTAATCTGTCCTCCAGCGTTCCCAGCATCAAAGGCATACACCATTTCGAACCGAATGCAGTCTCTTTGGGCTTTAAATATTTCAGATACGAAGAAGCACTTTGTAATCACCCTGATTATCTCCACTACTTTAATAAGGAGGGATTAGACCACACAGCGAGGTCACTGACAGGTGGCTATCTCATCAACTCAGCTCTCAAATAACATAAGAAATAGAGGATCATGGGGGACCAACGGGCACCGATTGGGGAAGTTTTCTATATAGAGGGAGCAAGTAGCTACAAGTAGGACAGTGGGGCTTTAACAATCTGTTATATAAAACCTTCCCGACGTCTTCTCTGACTTGGGATCACACAGATCGCATTGGCCTATACATCAAGCAACAAAGTGGATTTATCTTGTTCTATCTGTCCTACGACGTTTCCAAGGGTAAAGGCATACAGCCTCTCTCAATGGAAGCTTCTCTTGGCCCGGAATATTTCAGATATGAAAAATTAGCAGAGTGTACTAACCTTCATCTTAGCAATCTGTCCTACAACGTTGCCGACGGCACCGGCAGCTGCACTCACCAGGACAGTCTCTCCCGCCTTGGGAGTACAGATATCCAGAAGACCGAAGTAAGCTGTCACGCTACATGGAGGGAAAGTCCATACATAAGAAGATCCGAGGAAATTGGTATTTGTCTTTTTCTCATCTTTATAATTTATCTTATACCTGTATACTCTCTTCAAGAGAAGAAATAATGCACAAAAACTTGCTACATGGACCTCTAGGAAGAACAAAGCCGTTATATCAATGGTTCTGAATAGAGCAATCCAGGCGATTGTTAACCTGAACATTTGTTGATGTTCATAAATTATGAATGTATATATCTTTATGCGGAAATTAAAACTAACCAACAAATCAGGTCCTGTCTCGTAAAGAGTTGCGATTGATCTGAAGCGATCCCAAATATATAGATGAAGCATTCTACTTTAATTTAGAGTAGAACTGTAGCAAAACAATTGTGACACAGTACGTGTCCTGAATGAAGACGCAAAAAGAATGACGCAATATAATATTTTAACCGCTCCAACCCTTGCACTTACCCAGGCATCCCGATAGACCCGATGGCGTAAGATCTAGGCACTCCCTCAGGGAGTGGCATCTTAATGAGTCCTTTTCCATCACTGACAGTATGCGTCGTCCATCCTGAACTGGGAAGCGTCCAGGTCCCGACCGGGAAATTGTCATTACGACTTTCAATGACTCTGGAAAAAAATAGGAGTATTATTACGTTATAGTTTAAAAACGAGGATCACCACTTTACTTGGCCATTTTTTTTTTCTTCTTCAATATTTTGCCGTCATAACGGTGTTCAAGTTCAAGTTCAAGTTCAAGTTCAAATAAGGTTTTATTCATTACTTGTCAACAAGTCCGAAGACTAAAAATGCAAGTTTACATCAATATAAAAAACATTCAAAAACATAAAGATAACATAGTAAATGAGGACAAATATATAACAATGAATACATTTTTAAGTTAAAAACATTAAAGTAGTAACAAAAAAACAAAACAACAAAAAAAGATTTTTTTTAAAAATACAAGATATGAAATATTGCTGGCAAAAATGAATAAATGTTGACATATAACCAAATAAAATGTATACAGATACTTGAATTCAATTAACTGTAACATTGGAAAAATTGTAATTAAGTATTGAGTATTGAATATTGAATATTGAGTATTAAAAAGTATTAAAAAGTATTAAATAGTATTACAATCGGAGTCTTGGCAGTGTGCTAATCACAAGCGTGATATGAGTACAGTATAATGTATAAACATATTGCACATGAGAAGGGAGAGAGAGAGAATACCAACAACAACTAAATAGAGAGAGAGGGAAAGGTAAAGGAAAGAGAGAAAGGAGAGAGAAGTAGGGAGAGAGAGAGAGAGAGAGAGAGGGGGGGGGGGGGGGGAGAGAGGGGGTAAGTGCTGGAATAAGTCACACTGGGGTCAAATGATTGAAATGTTGAGGGATAACATCAAACATTTTCAGGCAGTGTGCTTATCATTCCCCAAATTTACACACATTAGTACCTCTGCTTATTTGGATCTCTATACAAAGCCTGCATGATGTGCTTGTGTTTTAATTTAGTTTTATAGTAAAATCACATCATATATTGATAATCGTCGCATGTCACCTTTTACACATTTAAAAAAAAATATTTTCCATTTGGTCTTTGAACAATTCTTATCATCGACTTACTTTGCGACTTGTTGTCCAATCATCACAGTTTCCGTTTGTAGACTGACGCTGTAAGGTCTGTTTAATACGAGAAAATGACGTTACAATAAGCGTATATACATCACAATAGTAGTATCCTTAAACATTAAAAAACACAAAACAAAAACAAAGACTACATCATTATAAACAACAAAAAACAAATACTTGACAGCATTTCATCTTAATTATTAAACTGTTCATTACTACAATTATGATTATAATTGGAACAACTGTCATACTACAGATTTCTTAAGTTAACTGAAAATTTTTACAAAGTTAAAGCTTGAAGCCTTTTTAAAGAAATTTTTCTTTATATTTCAATTTGTTACAATATCTAAAAGGAAGGCAATTGGTCGACAATACCTCATGTACGGATCCACAGAGAGATATTCAGCTTCCAATAAAACCTCTGTGTCGGGGGAAAGAAAGGGAAGGGTAAAGGGGGAGAGATTGGGATAGGGAGAGAGAGAGAGAGGGAGAGGGAGAGGGGGAGAGGGAGAGAGATGAAAGTGAGGGAGAGGGAGAGAGAGAAAAAGAAATAGAGAGAGAGAGAGAGAGAGTGAGTGAGATTAAAATAAAATGTGAACAAAAGCTAGTTATTTTGCTACCATTCGAGATTGCGTATTTAGGACTTGTTTTCAAAAGATTTTTTTGTAAAATACGTTTCAAGGCAAACTCATGAAAATCTGAAGCATTAATTGTTCAACTTACTATACGTTCCAAAAAAGTTGGGTAAAAAAAAATCGGAACATTCATGACTGTGTTGGGTAAAGTTATACCAACATTGGGTAAATTGTATCTTTTTTGGGTGCATTTTACTCTTCATTTTGGTTATGCTACACCCACTTTAAATAAGCGTTTTCTACGTGGACCGGACGCAGGTGATGTGATCACTCCCAGGTAGATTTTGTCCAGGTAGAAAAAAAATGGCCACGTATGAAAATTTACTGCCCTAGCTACGCATGCGCGTATACGCCTTCGTGAGGTTAGATGAGACCGTGCCTAATTATTTAAGCTTACCTTCTTCTTTCAGCTCTGGTATATCAAACTCTTCTAGCCTCATGTCACTTTCCTTCGGGAAACCATCGAAGTGTTTGACCAGTATCCATCTCTTTCCTTTGCCAGGCATCTTGGAGGATAAATTCAATCAAGGGGGCAACAATCCTTGGCCTCGCAATATCGCAGAGACAAAATATATACGCTACGTGCAGTATGCTTTCAGGTTTGATGGTGCATTGTACAGCAAAGAACTAAGTATTATACTCTTTGGCTACAAAGTCTATTCCACACAGTGCACAAGAGTGTTATTCATTTTAGATAGTATAGTACCTCGCATTCATGGCTGCACCCCCACATATAGATCAACAATTGCCCTGAGCCTATTGACCCGTGTCAAGTATGTCAAGTTCTCTATTTTACAATGATTGGAATAATTTTCTCTAACATATTTTCAAAATTTCCGGACAGTGAGGTGCCCTAATCTACATCTTTATATTTTATATAATTAAAAATAACGTGTACATTTTTTGCTCGCTCGAGTCGCTTGATCGAAAATTGGCAGGAACTTGTAAGTTAAAGTTTGAAAAGAGAAAATTAATGTCTGCAAAACAGGTCTGAGCAAATAGCGGCTACACAGGGAAGACAAAAGGAATCTCTCTCTCTCTCTTTTGTCTCTCTCTCGCTGTGTGAGTGTGTGTGTGTCTCCCTCTTTCTCACTCTCTCGTTCATCTTGTTCTCTACCTCGTTTTTTTTTCCCTCTCACCTCTCTATCTCTCCCTATTGTTCTTCCATTTCAATACGTACAATATACCATTCCTAACAACCACCATTCACATTAAATATTATGTGTTGCTAATAAGCAATAAATAATCAAATGAATAACAAAAAAAAAAATAATAATACTAATCAAGAAAAAAAATCAAGAATTTTTGCTTATACGCAAAATTTTTATTTTATTTTTGAACACTTTAAAACAAAAAATATAACTTCTTGAATGTAATAGCATCATCATGACTCCAGATAAGTTGTTTTTTCATAACAATTTTCTGCTTAGTAAAAAGACTGCCTGGAGGCCTATAATCAAATAAAGTATTTCTCGATCAATTATGATAAACTGTATTAAGCACACGAAATACTACTATATCGTATTGTGAATTCATTTGTCCGCTTCGTGGGTTTCTGATTTCTTCTATATTTCAAAGGTGTAAAAAGTAAAAGAGACAAGTGAATTTCGTTTGGCATACAATGTACAAGAAAGATATATATATATATGTATAGTTGTTCTGCGACGGAGGAGATTTGAAAATAAACTCGACACACAATTTTTTTTAAATCCGTTGACAATGTAATGGGGTATTGTATTTTGGAGGTGGTGTGTGTAAAGTCTCTAAATCTCTATGTTTAATCCAAGCTGAGACATTTGCAAAATTTTACAAAAATCGAGGAAAACGATTAGTCTAAGGCCATGTAAAAAAATATACATGTTTAGCGTCCCCGCCCGCTTCCTTTTTGGGGGCCGCCTCCTATTTTTTATTATTTTTTTTAGTTGAATTTTGTTGAATTTTGTTGATTTTTTTTTTGTTGAAATTTTTTATTGATTTTTTTTTTTTAAAGAAAAAAAACATCAAAAACACTGCTAAAATGAATCTTTTTCTGATTAAAAAAAATTAAAACTAATTGTTGGCCGCCATCTTGAAAAATAGCCCGAATGCCAGGGAAAATGTACCGAGCGGCCATTTTGAAAGAAAAAAAAAAGAAGAAAAGGGCCTCCTCCTTCCTATTTTTCGAAAAAACAGGACGCTAAACATGTTTTTTTTTTTCATTTGGCCTAAAGTGATCTTCCTGACGCACCTAGTGGTGTAGCGTCGGTGTTGATTACCCTAAGCTAACTTGATATGTGATTACTGAAAACGATTAGTGAAATCATATCATCCCATGAAGGATAAAGTAGAAATTTGCTGGCTTCTACATACATATCAGTTGGAAACTATGAGAAGAGAAACACCATTGACACACTCACAAGTATGCAATGACTTGCAAGGTTCGAAAACCAATCGATGCTTCTACTTTCAACAAATCGGATATTTGTTTTCGAGATTGCGTCAAGAAAGAAACGATAATAGTCAAATCATCGGTGTTGTGATTTCTTGAGAAAGAAAAGTAACCTTTTTTATATACCTCACTTAAGAAATCCAGCCATCTGATTGGTCGAAATTGCATTCATAAACTTTAACTATTTCTGTAAAATTCCCAGTAACCATGGTTAAAACAGTTCTAAAATCCCAGTAACCATGGTTACCGGGAAAATAGTTCAGTCTCCATGGTTACCCCATAGGTTTACAAGTTAAAAAATGGTTTGAGTGATCGAGGATACCGTACGTGTGCGAAGAATTGGTCGGTATTTTCATACAAGACAAGACAATTCCAAACAAGCAAAAATGGCTAAAGAAACTGTCCCAAGATTTCAACTTATCAAATGCAAGACTCGCTGACAGCAAGAACAACAAAAAAGGTACGTGAAATTATCCATAAACATGTTCGCTTTAGTTGCTAAAAATGGAGTACCAGCATAGACGTTCCTGTCCTAACTTATTAAAAATTGCTAAGGTTATACCGATTCATAAAAAAGATGACCCATCTAAACTTCAAAATTATCGTCCCATATCATTATTATCAAGTATTTCAAAGGTTTTTGAGAAATTGGTATATAAAAGATTGATTTCTTTTTTGAATGAGCACGATATTTTGATTCCTAACCAGTTTGGATTTAGGAAAAATCATTCAACTGATTTTGCTTTAATTAAACTTTGTGATAAAATAATTGAATCTCTCGCAAATAAGAAGCATGTTATAGGTGTTTTTATGGATCTGAGTAAGGCCTTTGATACCATTGATCATACAATCTTACTTCATAAACTAGAACACTATGGTATCAGAGGCCTTGCTCTATCCTGGTTTGAGGACTATCTTAAAAATAGAACACAGTATGTTTATTATCATTCTAATAGTTCCTCAAAATTGAACCTCACATGTGGAGTTCCTCAAGGCTCCATCTTAGGCCCGCTCTTATTTTTGATTTATGTAAATGATATAATAAAATCATCAAATATTCTAACTTACATTCTTTTTGCCGACGATACAAATATACTTTACTCACACAAAAATATTGATACACTCGTTGATACTGTAAATCATGATTTGTGTAATATTTCAATATGGTTTAAATGTAATAAATTATCCTTAAATATAAGTAAAACTAATTTTATCCGTTTTAGAACTATTAACTCCCAAGACCAACCACAATGTAATTTGTTTATAGATGGTTTATCCCTGGTAGAAAAACAATCAACGAAATTTTTAGGAGTTATTATTGACTCAAATTTGTCTTGGAACGAACACATTCATAACATAAATATTTTGATATCCCGGAATATTGGTATTTTGTATAAAATGAAATGTTTGATAAATGATAGATCTTTGTTTATGCTTTATAATACTTTAATTTTACCATATATAACATATTGTAATATTATATGGGCAAACTGTAGTAAAACTAAAATAAACTCAATATTTCTTTTGCAGAAGAGAGCAATTCGTATTTGTACACACTCTAACTATCTTGCAAATTCGAACCCGTTATTTAGTCAATTAAAAACATTAAAGGTTTATGATATACATACGCTCCAAACTGCCATTTTTATGTATAAGTACACTTCCAAAACTCTTCCAGCATCTTTCTTAAACTTTTATTTATTAAATGTAAACGTACACTCATATTTAACTCGACATGCTCATGATTACCATCTTAATAATCCCAAACTTAGTTTAGCCCTACGATCAATTAGACACCATGGACCAGATATTTGGAATAACTTACCGAACCATATTAAAACTAGGACCTCCCTTTATTCTTTTAAAGCTTATATGAAAGCATATTTGTTAACTCAGTATAGTTTACTAGATCTTACATAGAAATTTAAAAATTATCTAATTTGTTATGTCTTGAATTGTTCTGTCTTTGTCAACAGAAATGGACCTGCATACATTTTAATATTATCACCCGAAACTGAAACCAACACACAATTAAATATCACGGTATTAGTCTCTTTTTGTTCCACCAAGCTAAATTTTTTGCACCTTGCACAAATGCACTTCTCAACACGAAATATTTCACTAAATTTGTTTTGTTATTTTCACTCAAAATTAAATCAGCCATGCTCACTTTTTTATCACTTCACTTATATCTTATTTAACATTGAATACAATGCAGTTGCATGGGTTGTTCTTTTATTTTGTTAACTCGGCAGAGGCCACGGTCATGTTCAAGCATTTACGCTTACGACATGTGGTCTCCTGCTTTTTCCTTTTGTAACAGTATGAAACTTTTATTTAAACTAGAAACAAACTTTGTCAAACTTACATGTTATTCATTATATTCATTTGTATGTTTCTTTGTATTGATATGAAAAAGTGGAAATAAAACAAACAAGAACAAAGGACGTAGACGAAAATAGATCTAGTTGTCAGGGTGTCTGATCGCGCACCCGATGTTGTGTGCTGTATTCTTCCCATAGAGATTACACGCAATGCAGTCTCTATGCAGTCTACGTGCATTGCGCGACCATGCAAAAAAAGTCAAGTTTTTTTTTTCAATTCAATTATCTGTTGTGATCCTGAAGGTGATACTCAATAAGTGAGGTGTCATATGAAAGTGCAGGTTCTTCTCTCTATTCCCCACAGGGCCGGCCCACCCCTAAAATTGTAAAAATATCTTGCTTAGACTAGAATCTAGATCTAGTCTACTCTCAAAGATACACTCATAAGAAACAACCGTGCAGATAAACTAGAGAAAGGCCAAGGTGGTGTCATTAGTTGACTCTTTTGTTTTCGGCATATAAAAGTATTAATGACTGCTTTAATATTCGAGAAATAGTTGTTTTATACGCTCTCGGGAAGGTTACAATTGGGCTATTGCCCTCGGCACGCCTCGGGGCAATAGCACAATTTTAACCTTCCCTTGAGCGTATAAAAACAACTATTTCTCTCAAAGCAATCATTAATACTATACTATATGGTATAGGCCTACCACTCTCAAGGGGGAGGGGGATGGGGAATAAGTTAGACTTTGACGACAGCCTTTCCTGTGTTAGCGCCAGTAAAGAGTTCAGTGAAGGCTTTGAACATGTTCTCGAACCCGTCCGTCTTGTGCTCTCGAACCTTGATCTTACCCTGTCGCAATTAAGAATGAAAAGTAAGAAGAAATTGTTATTTTCCACTATCGCCGAAAGTAGCACTTTGTCAATGAGGACAAGGGGCAAAGTATATATGTAATTGTGGAAATAGAGAAAGTTACAGTCCACTGATCAAGCATGTGGGCAATTAATGTTCAAGTTAGATAACATCAATATTTCGCACATTAAAAGAGCACTGGATTCAAACTAACGATGTGTCATATATCACATCCAGCTTGAACATTGCCCTCAAAAGTGGAATGTATTCGCTCCCTGTCAACAGTTTTTATCCAGAAGCGGCGACAAACCACTATACTTTGTGCGATATTGCGAAATCAATATAATTTTATGTATTGGCTGATGAATTTGAAAACATATTGTGTTTACATAAAGATAATGTAGAACCATCGGCTGCCGATTTAATCATAGACATCGAGTGTATTTGCCCTAAATTGTCGAATAGACTATTAGTACTTGATTTCTACAATGGATACTATTTATGAAGGATATCCTTCATATCGACGGTTTTCTCTGGTTCAAGGCAATCTACATCTCCGAAAAAGGCAATCATTACGGCTTATATCTTCTCATCCTCTTTAGTTTTTACCAAAACATTTCTTGATATCAGTATCCCCATCATGACTACAATGATCACTATATTTGTTCGCATTATTACACAATCATTGACCATAGTAATAGTAAACACATGCAATCATTGTGATTTAAGTTGTTGACACAGTGGAGTACATTACCAGTCAGCGGTATACATTGGTGATCTTAAGTGTTACTTGTCTTGGATTATTACGTTGACAAAGTTAATGAATTAAACAAAATGTTGTTTTATTTCTCACCTCTTTGACCCACCCTGCCAGGGCAGTAATGGCTTCGGCCCAGCGTGGTTGGTATCTGGTAACAATGAATCCTTCCATCTTCAGTTGACTGAACACCATCTTGCCATAGATGGCTGATACTATGGAACAAGATCAAATAGGGATTGTGTAGAATAATCGGATAGGGCTGGAGACTTATCGAGACGACTACCCACCCAAAATAAATTCCCCCGACTAAAAGGCGATGATCCATGGACGACTACCCCTTGGCCACAACCGCATCGGACAACTACCTTCAGGGGAATAACCTCGGACAACTACTCACAAGGCCAATTGACCCGAAAACTACCCTGGATATACTACACCTTGAACAGTGACCCTCTGATGAATCTACTCCAATCCCCATCTGATAAGTCGGGGCTAAAATTGTATAGGTGCTTTTCCGAGGATTGTAGTTGTCCAAAGGTGCAGTAAGTTCTGAAGGGAATGAAACTCCACGGGGTGTACTTGTCTTAATAGTTACAACAAATCATACAAAGACACAAAGTTTAGCCTGGGTGAGGATCAATACTGTGCATCTAAAGGTCAGTTTGCCTGAAATCTGGTAATGAGCACGCTAGTTAAGATACTTGCCATGATTCGATCAATTTTAACTGGCTCTAGACAGCGAATTAGATAACGTAGGGTCTACTAAATACATATTTAGACAATAATTAAATAAATTGACCCATCTTTATAGGCGCAGTGAAGGTCTAGAGCTTGTATATGGCTTGCTAAGTCAGGGTAGCATTGTTTGTTTAACTCACGTTTCTCAGGTTCTTTCAAGTTGTACCCTGAAATGGCTCCACAGCATGAGATGCGACCAAATAATTTCATGTTGAGAACAGCAGTCGTGGCAAACTCACCACCAACCTGAATGAACATTAGACACAGCATACATCATTTTGAATAAGTTTTAGACTCCTGTTTTTTCCTTATTTCCCAAAGATCCGTTTCTATCCCTCCCTCTCCCCTATTGTGATTCGTGTCGTCGTCGTCGGCTCGTTACTTGGGATGCCGAAAATTTGAACAGGATACTAAAAACTCACATTTTCTGACAAAGTATGCCGACCTAAAAATACTAGAGGGCGGTAATTAATCGAACCCTTCCCCTATTCTTGTATTCTAATACATCAGTCATACTACCAAACTGACCTTAAGTTGGTAACATAAGTTCTTGATCGACATTATTTTTGGAGGTGTGAATGAGGTATAAAGTTTCAGTTTGTATCTCTAACGGTATTTGTTTTCTCTCTGCCGCTTTACTTATTTAAGTCAGAGGATTCTTAATTTTGTCTGTAGGAAAATAAGTCAATTGGTTGCCTTACGTTGTCAAAGTAGACATCGATACCTTCTGGAGCGAGTTCTTTGAGCTTGGCATCAAGGTTCTTTGTTGTCTTGTAGTTGAAGACTTCATCAAAGCCTAGTTCCTTCAGGTACTCACACTTCTCTTCGGTTCCTGCAGATCCGATCACTCGACATCCCTAATGAATACAAAATGATTGAGACACTGCTGAATACAAAACATAAACAAAAATTTGTTCATCCTTTTTGGTTAATTTAATCCTTTACAATAATGTATGTATGTTTGTGGATAATACGTAGATCTGAACTCTCCTTCAGCGTTTCAGCATCAAAGGCCTTTCGAACTAAAGGCAGTCCCTTTTGGCTTTTAATGTGTCAGATATAAAGATCAAAGCACTTTGTACTGACCCTGATCCTAGTAATCTGTGCTAATCAACGTTCCCGACAACATCAGCAGATCCGCCTCTCACGGCAGTCTTTATTGGCTGTGGATAACACAGATGACATAGGCCTACACCAAGCAACAGTGTGGATTTGTCTTGATCTACTCTCTGTCCTACGACGTTCCCAAGAGCAAAGGCACACAGGTTCTCTTAACGGAAGCATCTCTTGGCCCGGACTATTTCAGGTACGAAGAAGCAGTTTGTACTAACCTTGATCTTTGCAATCTGTCCTACAACGTTCCCGACGGCACCGGCAGCTCCACTCACCAGGACAGTCTCTCCCGCCTTGGGAGTACAGATATCCAGAAGACCGAAGTAAGCTGTCACACTACATGGAGGGAAGGTCCATAAATAGGAAGAACCAAAGAAATGTGGTATTGGTCCTTTTCACATCATCATAATTTATCTTACATCTGTATTGGAAACTCTAGTAAAGCACAACAAAGTTGCTACATGGACCTCTAGGAAGAATAAATCCATTATAATAGATCAATGGTTTTGAAAGAGCAATCCAGGCGATCATTAATCAACATTTTTGTTGATGTTCATATGAATGTATATATCTTTATGTGGAAATTAAAACAAACCACGTCCTGTCTCGTTAAGAGTTGCGATCGATCCCAAGTATAGACTTAACATTCTATTTTAGAGTAGAAATGTGGCACAGCACTAATGTTGTGACACGGGCTCTGTATCATAAAGAGTTCCAATTTGATCCGAAGTGATCGCAATTAGTACAATCAATAGTCGAAACTGAATAATCTCCCATGTCGTAAGGCCTATGATGTCATGAGTTCTGATAAATATCAATCACACGATAGTTTGCAGTCGAAATTATTGACTCAATCAAACGAGACTCTTTAGAAGACAGACAAAATGAAAATTACTTACGTGGGTAATCATGCAGATTGTTATTAATTTATGAATATGAAAATACAGCACAGCAGAGGGCTCTAAAATTAAATATACATCTAGTTTTCTGTCTGATATTTGAGGTAATCAAAAGCCTGAATCCGTTGTATAATATGTTTTTGTTAATTTATCGTGGTTTATGTCAACTTGTTAATATCATCAGAATAAATGACGCAATATAATATTATAACCACTTCAACCCTCGCACTTACCCAGGCATCCCGATAGACCCGATGGCGTAAGATCTAGGCACGCCCTCAGGGAGTGGCATCTTGATGAGTCCTTTTCCATCACTGACAGTATGCGTCGTCCATCCTGAACTGACAAGCGTCCAGGTCCCGACCGGGAAATTTTCGTTACGACTTTCAATGACTCTTTGGTAAAAAAGAAAAAAAAGAAAAGAAAGGAGTAATGTATACGTCAGCAAAACGAGGAGTAAATGGATAAATCAACACTTTACTGGGCCTGTTCGAGAGACGAAAAGACATACAGAGTGTTGAATGCTATTATTATTAGCTGATCATCGTCTTCAAAAACATATTTTTGCTTTCTATTCCAGATCAAGAAAGCAATTCAATAAAACATGTTCATTGTTAATCCCACCTTAATAAATATCAAGAAAAGAGACTTCTAGAATTCAGATTTCTAGTATACGTCACTACCACGTGCATTTCCTGATCATGCAAACAACTATAGCATGACGAAGCATATTTGCGAATGGAAACGCGGAAAATGTCGTGGTAAAGGTTATCAATCGAGAGCAAAGTACACTACAGGCATGTTCAAAGGTAGGTTATACCATGACGAGGCATATCAACCAAGCCACACATCTGAAAGCCGTGGACGATATTTTTCTTCTTTAGATCAATATAGCGTTTTAAGTACAGTATATCTAATATTAGCCAAGGTAAATTTCGTGGTTCGCCTTAGTGATATACAACATGACGAGCGGGAGCGGGAGAGAATGAAATGTAAATACAGAAAGTAATAGAGAGGAGAGGGAGGGAGATAGAAAGAAAGAGAGTAGGTGCAGGGCAGCAGGGGTATTATAGGTGAACACTGGGGTCAAAGGATTGAGATATTAAGGGAAATTTTAAAACAACATGACTGTGAGGCTTATCATTTCAAAATGTACACATACGTTACCTCTGCATTTTTGGATCTCTTTACAAAGCCCCATGCTTTGCTCGTGTATTCATTTAGTTTTATAGTAGAAACACATCAGATATTGATAAACCTCGCATGTCACCCCTACATGAATTGCCCATTTAGTCTTTGAATAATTCTTATCATCGACTTACTTTGCGACCTGTTGTCCAATCATCACAGTTTCCGTTTGTAGACGGGCGCTGTAAGGTCTGTTTGATTCGAGAAAATGACGTAAGAATAAAGGTATATAATAAACATCACAATAGGTACCACTCCGGTAAACACGAAAACAAAAATAAAGACTACATCATTAACATCAACAAGAAGCAAATACTTGACACTATTTCATCTTAATTATTGTTACTAAAACTCATGATAATAATTGGAACTATCATAATACAAATTTCTTTAGTTCACTAAAACATCTTTAAAAGTAAAAAAAAAGAAAAAAGCTTGAAGCATTTTAAAATAATTTTGTCTTTGAATTTAAATGTGTTACAATATCTAAGAGGAAGGCAATTGGTCGGGAATATATACCTCATGTACGGATCCACAGAGAGATATTCAGCTTCCAATAAAACCTCTGTGTCGGGGGGAGTAAAAGGGTAAAGGGAGAGAGGAGAGAGGGAGAGAGAGGGAGAGAGACGGGGATGGAGGGAGGGAGAGAGAGATAGAGAGAGAAAGAGAGAGAGATAGAGAGAGAGAGAGAGAGAGAGAGAGTAAGAGAGAGAGAGAGTAAGAGAGAGACAGAGAGAGAGAGTGAGTGAGATAAAAAGCTAGTTATTTTTCTACAAATCAAGATTGCTTATTCTTATTCAGGGCATTCAGGCTTTTGGGGGTATTATTAACATTGTTAAATATTTGGCGTCACCCGTGCCCAAAAGGCGAAAAGAGAACTGAATCAATGTAGTCATTGAGTCTCTCCTTCCGGTATAACTGATCTGGATATAATGCAGTTAGACAACTACACCGGGCATGTTATTATAACTTAAGGCCTTTGATATGAAGATGCAAATATGGTCTCAAGTATCGAACACCATTAAAACTCTACCACATAAACAAGCTCACATGGGCCCCGTTTCACAAAGCCCCTTTTCAATGACAAATGACAAAAATCAGTGACAAATCTGTTGATAACCAATCAGAAGTAGGTCAGGATTTTACTAGCTTATAACAACAACTGTCATTCACCGATGACAAGTTTTGTGAAACGCCCCTCTGTTGTGGTTAATTTGTATGGTAGCCCTTGTCGACAAACATTGTGAAACAATCAAGTATTGAGTATCATTCCAAATATATAACATTTTGTGTTGCAATATCATTTCTGTAAAATGCTTCATGAGCTTTTACTGGCAAAAAAAGAAGAAGAAGCTGGCATTGTCTGTCTTACCTCCGTCTTTGAGTGTCGGAATATCAAACTCCTCCAGTCTCATATCGCTTATCTTGGGAAAACCATCGAAGTGCTTGGCGAAGATCCATCTCTTTCCTTTGCGAGGCATCTTGAAGCTGATTATGATTTAATGAAAGGAGGAATATGTAGCACTGGTCACCAGATGGTCATTGGTTGGTTACTGGACAGTGTGTGAGATCAGCTCCGAATACCAGTGTATTATGTGTTCCTTTTTGAGCGAGTGATCCAGTGACTGGATATAGTAGAGCGCAGCTCATAACTCAACAATTCGGGGTCCTAAAGTCTACTTGATATGTAAACAGAGATATCGCCTCATTCGCACAAGAGAAACACACACACACATACACATTCTAACGCGATGTTCTTCCAAACAGACATAAAATCACGGAGAAAGCAAACAAATTATTCGCAACCTTTACCAGCTAGACCTTGACCTTCTCCTGATCATGAGTCGCATGCAAGATGTAAAACTAGACATTGAATTCGTCAAGGCGACGAATTAGGTGTTCTGCCGCTTTGATCGAGAAGGTTTGATCTTTAAAGGTATAGATCAGTTTTGGAAACGCCCCCCTCTCAAAAAATGAAATGGAAGCTTCTTACCAGTCATGTGAAGTAATATGTTTTGACTAGTACGTGATGATACAAACTTTGCCGGGAAACCGCCTACTAATTGATATACACTGTCGCTCATAAAGGTGGAATATTTTAGTTTTACCCCAATTTATGGAATTATTTTGAAAATTATTTAAAAACAATAGATCTAGATAATAGTATACATTCTCAGATTTTATTGAATAATAATTTGCCAATGTGTGTTTTGCGGGACTGATAAAGCATGTGTATGCTACTATGCTTATTAACTAGGGGTCCTACGCCCTCAAGTCATAAATGACAGTAATGAGGATTAATGCCCCACAAAAGGGCACTAATATAGCACATCGAGACGGTTTTGATCCTGGGGCCTTACAGTTACGAGGACATTGCCTTGTCAGTGAACCATGACTGTACGCAGCGGGGGCTAGGGTAGGGGCTAGTTTTCATAAATAAATTAAAAAAAAAAAATGCAATAAATTTTCAATAATTTATTGCATTTTACCCAGGTCACCAGCATAAAAAATCTTTTGTGTACCCATGCATTGAGCCATAATGCATGGCCGTCCAGAGGATTTTTTTTTATGTTGGGGACCGGGGTAAAATGCAATAAATATTGAAAATTTATTGCATTTTCTGTTTTTTATTTTATTTATGGAAACTGCCCCCTACCCTAGCCCCCGCTGCGTACAGTCATGGTTCACTGACAAAGCAATGGCCCCGTAACTGTAAAGCCCCAGGATCAAAACCGTCTCGATGTGCTATATTAGTGCCCTTTTGTGGGGCATTAATCCTCATTATTGTCATTTATGACTAAAGGGCATAGGTCCCCTAGTTGATAAGCATAGTAGCATACACATGCTTTAGCAGTCACGCAAAACACACATTGGTAAATTATTATTCAATAAAATCTGAGAATGTATACGATTATCTAGATCTATTATTTTTAAATTATTTTTAAAATAATTCCATAAATTGGGATTAAAAAAAAAAAATATTCCACCTTTATGAGCGACAGTGTATTTGGTAAATTAGCATATTTACCCGGCCTGGATAGATATCGTGTAGTCCCATGTACATCTTTCTGTGTACAGAGATTGTTACTTTACCAAGACTGGGCTAAATTTTTATCATTTTGATGATTCCAGAACCTTACAGTTAACACCAATATGCTAGATGATCAACCTTTTCTGATCGATTTCACAACGTTTCTTTCACAATGCAATCGCATGACCACAACTGGCCTTTACCTTAAAAAAAAATCAACCCTCCACTCATATAGCACGCATATGTAAAAGCTCATTTGGTAATCAAGGATGTAGAAACAGTAGAAATGGTTGTGCTGACAATTGTTTGGTATATAAACTTGTATACATTAAATTAATAACAAGAGTAGGCGAACAATCAGCAAAATAACACGTCATTCATAAAGTACAAGTTAAGATTATTTATTATACGAATATGTCGGATCGCACAGAGCAGCAAGAAAAGTGATGTTGACGGCCGAGAATCTTGAGGAAAAAATTTGCAAAAGAGTGATAGAGTATCAATGGAGAAAAGTAAAAACCAAAAGGCATTCACTAAATCTAACCATGAGACCAGGAGCGACGATCTCTTTTTATGGGGGGGGGGGGGGGGGGCGTGATGCGAGGGACAAGGGAGCATAATGAACGAGAGGAGCGGAGGTGATGGAAGTGCACTATGACCAGGCAGGAAGGGACTCCTCAAAAGAGCAAACGAAATAATTATACGGTTTTGTAGCACTGACCTATTTCTATTGACTTTGTATATTTTGATTGTTATATTGCGAAATAAAATTGAATTGAATTGAATTGAATTTCTATAACTATACATCTTGAAAACATGCAGTGTAAACTGTGCTTGCGTGATATCAACGGAATATAGAGTTTCTACAATATTTACTAGTACATTTTAAAGGAAATTATGCGAGGAGCGTAGCGACCGAGCGAGAAGCTTTTTTTGCATAAACAATGCACTCTTGGACCCTCAGGAGGGATGGGGGAGGGTTGTGTGTGTTCCTCCCCCCGATCGCCGCCCCTGCATATAAGACCAAAAGGCTGGGTTTGGATGTTTAGATTTACGACCCAGCCAAGTATTACGATTTTACGGTTGCTTGGGTGGGTCGGTGGATTTTATAATTTTTTACACTGAAATTTTGCCGGTAATTTAATATTTAATATGAGAAACTTGTGCCTGGCCTCCGAAATTCCCCGCAGTGGAAGAGCGGCTCGGAGCATGGAACTTCAAAGCCAAGTGGAATGTTAAACATCCCATTGTTACTTCAATGTAGTATACAGTAACATTACATGTTGAATTTGGAGGTATACGTGTCCATGCAAAGACATTACGGGCGTGTGATCATGAAAGAAGGCACAATAGTTTGCCCAGGTAACCTTTTAGAGAGCAGGTGAGGTAGGTCATCATTGGCGTAGCTGGATATCAGCTTCGGGGAGGGAAGGGGGGGGGGGGGGGTATGGGGGACATCCAACGCAGTAGCGAAGATACTTTCAACGGATGTACATGTAACTTCCATTGGCGGAAGGGGGTTGTGGGGTAAAGTGCGTTTCTTTCTTTTTTTCTTCTCAATTTCCTTCAAATCAAGTAATATTATTGTGCGATTATAGCATTCACTATGTATAAGCAAGATCCTTTACCTACATTCACTCTCTCCATCTAGGTGTAGTGGGTATTTTGTAAGATGCGAAAGCTACAGTAAGTTCTCTCATCATCATTATGAGAGTCTGAAATGGATCCTGGCTGGACAGCTCCCCAGGGAGTGGAGATTGTGCATATATATTTGTTTTGCGAGCAAGTTTACATCCGATGGCATTTATACTTATTGCACTAATTGCGAACAGTTTAGAGACATCGTCCATGACCAAATATATTACTATACCCTCCTTTAGAGCGGAAAATAGGGCCATATTTCCTTTGGGATAAGGCTACATCTGTAATACTTTAATTAGCAGATGAATTATCAATGGATCTTTTTGTTCCAGGATAGTTTACATTGATTTCAATTCATAACAAAATAGATACCTATTCGGAGACATGTGGAGATTTTCCTATTCTTTTAGGCACATTCTCTTATTCACCGTCTTTACGGCCTAGAAAACATCTTTGAGTAAATGTCCATGATATATTTATTTATTTATCTAAAACGGTTTATCGGCCGAATCGCATATTCTTTTACATTCAGAATCGATACAATGGATAGATACATTAATAATAATACACATATAACAATTAAAATGCAATATGTTGAATATATATAACTTAATCCAAGGCATCAATAAAGCCAACTTATCATAAAAATGCAAGTCATAATAGGCGTAGCAACAGCTAGGTTGTGACAAACTCCACAGTGATGCATGAACAGTTTGTTTCCTATTTCGTTATAACTATACATCTCGTAATATGCGACTCAGGAGAAGGTCGAGTTCTGGTAAAGGTTATGAATAATTTGTATGCTTTTTCCATATTTTTATGTCTGTTTGGAAGAACATCGCCTTAGCCCTGAAAAGGATATTGCTCTTGTGTGTGTGTTCGTGTGTGTGTGTGTGTGTGTGTTTCTCTTGTGTGGATGAGGCGATATCTTCGTTTAAGTAGACTTTGGATTCCGAACTCTCTAGATCTGATTGGGAGTTTGTTGAGTCACGATTTCTGTTCACTCGCTCTTTAAACAAAAAGGAAGATATAAAACACCGGTAGTCGGAGCTGACCTCACACGCTGTCCAGTAACCAACCACTGACCATCGGGTGACCAGTGCTACATATTCCTTCCTTCATCAAATCATAATCAACTTCAAGATGCCACGCAAAGGAAAGAGATGGATCTTCGCCAAGCAGTTCAATGGTTTTCCAAAGATAACCGATATGCGACTGGAGGAGTTTGATATTCCGACACTCAAAGACGGAGGTAAGATATTGCCAGCTTCTTCTTTTCTTGGCCAGCAAGAGCTCGTGAAGAATTTTACAGATTGTCATGTGTTAAAAATGAATGTCAATATTTTAGTGTTTCACGCTGTTTGTCGACAATTGTTACCTTACAAATTTATCTTAACAGCAGAGCTTGTTTATTTGGTAGAGTTTTCTTTTCATGTCCTAAATACGCAATCTTGAATGGTAGAAAAATAACTAGCTTTTGTCTACATTTTACTTTAATTTCTCACTCCCTCTCTCCGTCTCTCTCTCTCTCTCTCACTCACTTACCTCTATCTCTCTCTCTCGCTCTCTCTCTCTCCCTATATCCCCCTCTCTCTCTCTCCCTCTTCCCCTCTCTCTCCCTATTCCCATCTCTCCCCCTTTACCCTTTCCCTTTCTCTCCCCCGACACAGAGGTTTTATTGGAAGCTGAATATCTCTCTGTGGATCCGTACATGAGGTATTGTTGACCAATTGCCTTCCTCTTAGATATTGTAACAAATTGTAATATAAAGAAAAGAATCTTAAAAAATGCTTCAAGCTTTTCTTGAACTTTGTAAAATGTTTCAGTTAACAAAAGAAAATATCGTTATGATGACAATTGTTCTAAATATTATCATAACTAGTAAAACGGAACAGTTTAGTTATTAAGATGAAATTGTGTCAAGTATTTGCTCTTTGTTGTAAAGGTTAATGCTGTAGTCTTTGTTTTGGGTTATGTGTTTTTAAATTGTTAAGTTTACCGGAGTGGTACTTATTGTGATATATCTATACGTTTATGATTGTGACGTCATTTTCTCGTATCAAACAGACCTTACAGCGCCCGTCTAAAAACTGAAACAGTGATGATTGGACAACAGGTCGCAAAGTAAGTCGATGATAACAATTATTCAAAGTTTAAATGGACAATGAATCTAAACTGTGTTAAGGCGACATGCGACGATTATCAATATCTGATGTGTTTTTACGATAAAACTAACTTAATACGCGAGCACACCTTAGGGCTTTGTAAAGAGATCCAAATTATATAGCAAAGGTATTTATGTATGGACATTTAGAGAATGATAAGCGTCACATACTGCCTGAAAATGTTAAATGTTAAAGGCAGGTTTTACTACTTTAGCAAGAAGGGATTAGACCACCCAGCGAGCCAGCGAGGTCACTGTGACAGGTGGCTATCTCATTAACTCAGCTCTCATTTAACATAAGAAAAAGAGGATCATGGGGGACCAACAGGCACCGATTGGGGCAGTTTTCTATATAGAGGGAGCAAGTAGCTACAAGTAGGACAGTGTGCCTTTAAATGAACATCTCGAAATTTTGACCTCAATGTACACTTACCCCAGCACCTCCCCCCCCCCCTCTCTCTCTCTCTCTATTTCTCTATCTCCTCTCTCTCTCTCTCTCTCTCTCTCCATTTTACGTTGTTGGTACTCTCTCTGCTACCGTTTCTCTCCTATCTTACCCCTCTCTCTCTCTCTCTCTCTATCTTTCCTTGTTTCAATGTCTCCCCTCTGCCTTTTCTCCCTTTCTATAACTTTCTTTCTCCCCCTTTCAATCTATCTATCGTTCTCTCCCACGCTCCCACCCTTCCACCCTTTATTACCCTTTTTCTCTTTCTGTCTTCTTTTCTCTTTTCCCCACGTTAATAAAAACTTACGTTCTCTTTCTATGTCTATTAATCTCTTTATTTGTTTACATGTCAATCTCTCTCCCGATCATGTTGAACATCTCATCAAATTATGTAGGCCTATCAAGGCGGCGAATCACGAAATTGACCTGGGCTAATATTTGATATGCGTTACGTACTTAAAACGCTTTATTAATCTGAAGAAGAAAAAAATCATACGCGGCTTGTGGGCCGAATTGCAAATTTTCGAGATATGCCTTGTCATGGCGTAGAGCTAGGCTGACTTGTCATGCCAGTCTTTAAACTGACCTGTAGTGTAGGCTACTTCTATTCTCGAATGTTAACCTTTACTAGAGGCGATGTGGTCATTGTGTGCGGGTAAGCCTGAATCGGATAGCTAGGGTAATAATATATCTGTAAAGCGCTTAGACTCATCGTTGATGTATTTAAGCGCTATATAAAAGCCGAATATTATTATGACATTTTCAAAAAAAATCATCCGCGGCTTTTGGGTGGAATTGCAGATTTTTGGCTCGATTGAGATACATGTATATGCTTTGTCATGGTGTAAAACTTGGCTTAATTGTCATGCCGGTCTTTGAACTGGCCTGTAGTGTACCTTTGCTCTCGAATGATAACCTTTACTACGACATTCTCAAACTTATTCGCAAATATGCTTCGTCATGCTCTATGCTGTTTGGATGATCAAGGCATGCATGTGGTAGTCGTGCACCTATAGAAATCTGAATAAGGTCTCTTTTTCCAGATTTATCAAGGTGGGGTTAACAATGAACATGTTCTATTCAATTGCTTTCTGTATATGGAACAGAAAGCAAACATAATTTGTAATGGCTTTGAAGAGGATGATAAGCTAATAATCATAGCATTCAATACTCGGAATGTTTTTTCGTCTCTCTCTCTCTCTCTATCCCCCTCTCTGCAAAACAGACATTCCCTTCTGAAAGCTTTATGACGGCAACGTATTGAGTAAAATTGAATTGGCCCATAAAGTGGTGATTTATCAGACATTATGCCATTACTCCTCTTTTTTAAACTGACGTATACATTACTCCTTCCTTCTTTTTTTTGTTTAACCAAAGAGTCATTGAAAGTCGTAACGAAAATTTCCCGGTCGGGACCTGGACGATTCCCAGTTCTGGATGGACGACGCATACTGTCAGTGATGGAAAAGAACTCCTTAAGATGCCACTTCCTGAAGGTGTGCCTAGATCTTACGCCATCGGGTCTATCGGGATGCCTGGGTAAGTGCAAGGGTTGGAGCGGTTAACATATTATATTGCGTCATTTATTCTGATGATATTGACAAGTTGACACGAACAATGATGAATTAACAAAAATTAATCAGGCTTTCGATTACCTCAAAATCACACAGAAATATATATATATATATATATATTTAAAGCCCTCTGTATACTTGTTTTTAAAAAATAATATGAATAAAGTAATAAGTATCTGCATGATTATCCATGTAAATCGTTTTTATTTTGTTCATGGTCCGTCTTCCAACGACTGTACATTATCGTGTAATTGATATTAATCCAAACTCTTTACATTAAAGGCCTTAAGAGTTGGGATATTATTTAGTTTTGATTATTGATTGAAGGAATTGCGATCTCTTCGGATCAAATTGCAACTCTTCATCATGACACAGGGCCCGTGTCACAATTGTTTTTGCTACATGTCTATTCTAAAGAAGAATGCTACATCCGGGGACGGCGATCCCGGGGGACGAGAGGGGAGGGGGGGGGGGGGGTTCAAAAAATGTGCCAACATAAATGTATAGGCTCTGGAGGGCCCAAGAATGAAGAGTTTAGACTTCAAAAAATGCACAAATCTTTCGCTCGGTCGCTACGCTCCCTCGCATAATATCCTTCAAATTTTACAAGTAAATTTGTAGAAAATCCGTCAACAAAACTTCAAAAACCTGTGAGGGGGATAGTCACTTTTGTCAACTTCGCCCCTCTCGTTCTCTATGCTCCCTCGTTCCTCGCTTTTCGCCCCCTCCCGGCCATGAAAAGGAATCGCCGCCCCTGGCTACATCTTTGTACTTGGGATCTCCTCGAATCAATCGCAACTCTTAACAAGACAGGACCTGGTTTGTTGGTTAGTTTTAATTTCCGCATAAATATATATACATTCATATGAACAAATGTTCAAATTAACAATCGCCTGGATTGCTCTATTCAGAACCATTGATATATTATAATGACTTTGTTCTTCCTAGAGGTCCATGAAGCAAATTTATTGTGCTCCTCTTGACTACAGTTTCCAATACAGGTGTAAAATAAATTATGATGATGTGAAAAAGGCCAATACCAAATTTCCTTGGCTCTTCCTATTTATGGACTTTCTCTCCATGTAGTGTGACAGCTTACTTCGGTCTTCTGGATATCTGTACTCCCAAGGCGGGAGAGACTGTCCTGGTGAGTGGAGCTGCCGGTGCCGTCGGGAACGTTGTAGGACAGATTGCTAAGATCAAGGTTAGTACAAAATGCTTCTTCGTACCTGTAATAGTCCGGGCCAAGAGAAGCTTCCACTGAGAGAGGCTGTATGCCTTTAACCTTGGAAACGTTGTAGGACAGATAGAGCAAGATAAATCCACTTTCTTGCTGGTTGTAGCCCAATGCGATCTTTGTGATTCCAAGCCAGTAAAGACGTCGGGAACGTTGTATTATGACAGATTGGTAGGATCAGGGTGATTACAAAGTGCTTCTTCATATCTGAAATATTTAAAGCCCAAAGAGACTGCCTTTGGTTCGAAAGGCTGTATGCCTTTGGTGCTGGGAGCGCTGAAGGGAAGATTCGATCTACGTTTTTCAACTTGGATACCACCATGCCCTTTCCGAGAGCGACTTCTCGTTGAACCTCATGGCTAAAGATTCAGTCCCTGTCGGGAACGTCGTATATCAGATTGCATACCGTGTGAGTCAAAAAAAGTTTACACCTAGAAAATTGCTCATTATTTTTAAAATCATCTATGAACAGTAAATTATTATACATCTGGTGAAAGAGTGTTTTATCCAAAATTATTTGGTACCATTTTTGTGTGGTATGTGTTCACGCTTGGATGAACAGGTGATATTGTTTGCGAGAGTGCAAAAATCGACTTGCGCCAAAGTGATGCTTTCAGTATGTATTATGTTGGGATTAGTGGAGTGAGAGAATGGATTGAATGTATCAAATGAAATGCATTGCATATGTTTTTTGCAAAGGGCAAAGTCACACACACGCGCACAAATGTTCCATGATATTTGATATTCGATATTTGATATGTGTGGCATGATTAATTTTGTTAGGGGTGTTATTTGGATCTGCAAAGACCGAATTAATACCCAAATCCCAATTGTTTTATTAAAACATCACAAAGACAACTTAGGCGCAAGTCGATTTTTGCACACTCGCAACAATGCCTCCTGTTCACCCAAGCGTGAACACATACCACACAAAAATGATACTGAATGATTCGGGATAAAACACTCTTTCATAAGATGTATAATAATTTACTGTTCATAGACGATTTATAAAATAATTAGCAATTTTCTAGGTGTAAACTTTTTTTTGACTCACTCCGTATAGATCATAGTAAGCCTGCTCTTTTGCTCGAGAACGTTGTAGGCTAGATTGCTAATGTCAAGGTAAGTCCACTCTGTTATACATAATGACCCAAAACCAGGAGAGGCAAGGGGAGCAATGGCTACTAGTAAGGTCTAACATACCACTAAACAGATATCTATCAGATCATAATTAGGTGCACTCTGTTAGAATACACCATCTAGGAGAGCGGATGCTTCTGGTTCCGTCGGAAAATATTGTAGGATAGATAATTAACAAGAAATATTTCAATTGAATGTTCTTCACTCTAAAAAAATTGTGATTATGATTTGATCATTATTAAAAAGCACTTCAAATATTATTAAGGATTAAATGTAGAAAAGTATATTGTGGAAATCGCCAAGCATAGGCCTACATAAATTACTATAAGGATTAATTTCGAATCTAAAGGGTGAAAAATGTCTGTTTATGTTTTGCATTCAGCAGTGTCTCAATCATTTTGTATTCATTAGGGATGTCGAGTGATCGGATCTGCAGGAAGCGAAGAGAAGTGTGAGTACCTGAAGGAACTAGGCTTTGATGAAGTCTTCAACTACAAGACAACAAAGAACCTTGATGCCAAGCTCAAAGAACTCGCTCCAGAAGGTATCGATGTCTACTTTGACAACGTAAGGCAATGAATTGATTTCTTTTCCGACAGACAAAATTAAGAATTCGCTAAAGTGAATAAGTAAAGCGGCAGAGAGAAAATAAATACCAGAGACACAATAATGAAACTTTATATCTCATTCACAGCTCCAAGACCAATGTCAGACCTACAGCACATTGATCAAAAACTTACATTACAAAGGATGGCTAAGAATAGATCGGTTCGGCAGTATGACTAAGATATTAGAATACTTGAATATGGGAGGGGTGCGATTTACTCCCTTTGGTATTAATATGTGTAGATAATATTATCAGGTGAACATACTTTGTCAGAAAAGTGATTTTTTAGTATCCTGTTCAACTTTTCGGCATATTCGCCTTAAATGTTTTTCCCGAATAAAGAGCTGCTGACCACACGAATTACAACAGGAGAGAGAGGGGTGGATAGAAATGGATATTTGCGATGGAAATAAGGGGAAAAAACAGGAGTCGAAAACTTATTCAAAATTCCCCCCTGTGTCTAATTTTCATTCAGGTTGGTGGTGAGTTTGCCACAGCTGCTGTCCTAAACATGAACTTATTTGGTCGCATCGCATGCTGTGGAGCCATTTCAGGGTACAACTTGAAAGTACCTGAGAAACGTGAGTTGAACAAACAATGCTACCCGGACTAAGTAAACCATAAACAAGCTAGAAATCTTCACCGTGCCTGCTGAGATAGGTCCAGTTATTTAATTATTATCTAAATATGTATTTATAGACCCTACGTTATCTAATATTGACTGTCTGAAATCAGCTTAAATTGAATCATGTCAAGTATCTTCCTATAGCTTGTTCATTACCAGATGGCAGGCAAAGTGACCTTTAGAAGCACAGTATTGATCCCACCCAGTCTAAACTTGTTACTTTTTTCAAATTTTCCATAACTATTAAGACAACTAAACCCCTGAGTTTCATTCCCTTGACAACTGCATGCACCCTCGGAAAAGTATGGTGGCCCTGAAGGGAACATCGCGAATGGACGAAATCGGGAATTATTCACGACGAAATTGGCGACGTCGTGAATTTAATCGCCAATTATTCACGACGAAATTGACGATATCGTGAATTTCGTCTTAAATAATTGGCGATAAAATTCACGACGTCGCCAATTTCTTCGTGAATAATTCGCGATTTCGTCTATTCGCGATGTCCCTTCAGGGCTACCATAGAAAAGCACTTAATATCTGATGGAAATTTGAGTAGATTCATTAGAGGGTATATTGTTCAGAGGGTGATATTCCGCTGGTAGTTTTCGGGTTAACTGGTCCGAGGTTATTATATTACGGGTAGTCGCCCGATGCGGTAGTACGTGGACCGGGGTAGTGTTCCATGGACCATTGCCTTTTAATTAGGGCTTTTTTTGAGGGGGGCGGGGTCTTATCGATAAGTTCCTATAACGCAATATGTAAAATCCGGCCCTCCCCGATTACCCTACACAAACCCTTATTTGATCTTGTTCCATAGTATCAGCTATCTATGGTAAGATGGTGTTCAGTCAGCTGAAGATGGAAGGTTTCATTGTTAACAGATACCAACCACGCTGGGCCGAAGCCATCAGTGCCCTGGCAGGGTGGGTCAAAGAGGTGAGACAGGAAATAAAACTTTCTTAAGTTAATTATCTTAATTGGTCAAAATAAAAATCCAAGTATTACACTTGAGATCACCAATGTACCACTGACTGGTAATGGACTTCACTGTGTCATCACCTGAGATCAAAATGATTGCATTTGTTTACTATTCCCATGGTCAATGATAGTTAATTACAATGATTATGTAATAATACGAACAAGTAAAGTGATAACTGTCACAAATAATATCACAAAATGTATTGGTCAAATGCAAAAAGGATTAAAAAAAAAATGAAATATGAGCTTTTCGGATGAACAATTCAGCTTCCATTTAGAATGTCTTGACACAGAGAATACCGTCGATATTATGAAGGCCTTCCTTTATGAATATTTTCCATGGTAGATATCAGGTATAGTCTATTCTAAAATGTGGGGTAAATACACTCGATGTATATAAGCTAGGATAAACTGAATGATTAAGTCGGCAGCCAGTGATTCTAGATGTCTTTATGTAAACATAATATGTTTTCAAATTCACCAGTCAAGACAAATTTGATTATATCGATTTCGCAATATCGCATAAAGTAGTGCTTTGTCGCCGCTTCTGGATAAAAAACTGTTGACAGGGAGCGAATACATTCCACTTTTGAGGGCAATATTCAAGCTGGATGTGATATATGACACATCGCTAGTATGAATCCAGTGCTCTTTTGATGTGCGAAATATTGATGTTATCTAACTTGAACATGGCCTTGGCCATGGTGTTTGATCAGATGACTGTAACGTTCTCTACTGCCACAACACGTCACGGTGGCGCCCCATATGTTTACCCAATAGCGACAAAACTATATTTTCGGCGATAGTGGAAAATAACAATTTCTTCTTACTTTTCATTCTTAATTGCGACAGGGTAAGATCAAGGTTCGAGAGCACAAGACGGACGGGTTCGAAAACATGTTCAAAGCCTTCACTGAACTCTTTACTGGCGCTAACACAGGAAAGGCTGTCGTCAAAGTCTAACTTACCTTCCCCCCCCCCCTCCCCCTGGAGAGTGGTTAGGCCAATACCATACAGAAAAGGACTCTTTTTTTTCAAGAAATCACAACACCAATGATTAGTGTATTATCATTTCTTTCTTGACGTAATGTCCAAAACAAATATGCGATTTGTTGAAAGTAGAAGGTTAGCATCAAAAGGTTTTCCAACTAACTCATTTTATACTTAGTGTGTCGATGGTGTTTCTCTTCTCATAGTTTCCAACTGATAGAGTAAGTAGAAGTCACCACCTTTCAACTTTTTCCTTCAGTGGATGATTTGATTTTCACTAATCGGTTTCGGTACTCACACAGCTAGTTAGCTCAGAAGCAATACTGACGCTTCACCGATGGGGGCGTCAAGAAGAAAACTTTAGACTACTCGCTATCCTCCATTTTTGTAAAATTTTGGAAATGTCTCCGCCGGGAGTAAATATATATAGGTATGAAGACTCAACACTAAAAAAAACACTACCTCATTACCTTGCCAACGGATTTCATTTAATTTTGTGTCTAGTCTATTTTTAAATCTCCTCCGTCTCAGAAAAATTATAAATATATATATATATATATATTGTTATCGTACATTGTATGCCAAACGAAATTGACTTGTCTCTTTTAATCTTTACACCTTTGAAATATAAAAGCAATCGGAAACCCGCGAAGCGCACAAAAGAATTCACATTTTTGAATGTATTCATTTCTTATCGAAAATAACATCGCTAGTGACATTCGTTTGTCTCACAATGTATGATCAACAAGGGATCTAAACGATCACGACGTTTCGATACTATATCCGCAATGAGTAATATATTTAGCATTATTTATTTCCTATTTCAATGTCATGCTTTTGATGTCTTGTTACACATGATTTTAATGTAAAACGTAATATGTAAAATGCCACAATGAATTTCCACAATGTCATTATTGGACGAAATAAAACTGAATTGAATTGAATCAAAATTGATACGATTAAGTCGTATTTCATGTGTCTACTATATAAAGTTTATCATAATTGATCAAGAAATACTTTATTTGATTATAGGCCTCTAGGTAGTCATTCTACTTAGCAGAAAATTTGGTAAGAATATGTTGTGCAACAATTAAAAACAACTCATATCTGGAGTCATGATGATGATATAATCATATTCAAGAAATGGTAAATTGTGTAAAAACAAAAATACTTGTATTTTTTCCTTATACGTATTATTATTTCATATATGATATTTGTTTAATTATTTATTGCTTATGAGCAATACATTATGTTTAATGTGAATGGTGGTTGTATGGAAGGGTACATTAAATTTAAATTAAAATAACAAGAGGGAAAGAGAGAGAGAGAGAGGTGAGAGAAAAAGAAAACGAGGTAGAGAACAGGATGAATGAGAGAGAGAGAGAGAGAGAGAGAGAGGGAGAGAGAGGGGTGGAGAAGGAGAAATAGATTATACAATACGCATATGAGTTTCTTCAAAGTAAACAAATTTCTTTCTACCTTTATTTCTATAGTTATTCTAGGCCTTTCCTTCCCTTTTCCCTCTCTTCCTCCCTTACATAATTTATAATATTCTCTTTTTCTACCAGTCTGTAAATTATTCATTCACTGCCCCAAACAGCCTTGTTTTACTGTAGGCCCCCTCCACTATACTTTACACAATGAATGGTGAAACGTTTGAACCTATTCATGATAAGGTGACTCGTATGCTCTACCTGATTATACCATCTTAACAAAAATATTAGGGGGGGGGGGAAGGGAATTTTAACTTGAATTTGAAAATACATTAAAATACAGTCGATAGCATGAGGCATACGATAACGCAGGAGTGCAATGTTGCGCGCGCGCGCACACACACAAAGAAGAAGAAGAAGAAGAACGGAAAAGGAAGAGAACAATAAATTACTCCACATTAATTGTATTGGTTCCACGAGGCTTCTTTAATAGAATAAAGAAGAATAATCACAGGTAAATCGTTTGAACGCCATTAGTCTGCCGAAGCCCGGTTAGCTCAGTCGGTAGAGCATCTGACTTTTAATCAGAGGGTCGCGGGTTCAAGTCCCTCATCGGGCGAGAGTATACTTTTTAGTTTTAGGGACTTCGGTGGTAAGCGCTTTACAAGCAATGTTTTTATGATTATTGTTCATGTGTATGGAATTATAGGCGTTTTTCGACGGGGCGATGTAGTCTTCGGGTACAGACTCTCAGATAAAATGACACTCCACCACAACACCTAAAGCCTTGAAGAGAACCTAGCTCTGTCAGTTTCTGACACTCAGACAACAATTATATTCATTTATCTCTCTCTCCCACATATATTTTAAAGATTTGTTAAAAATATGGGGAAAAGAGATTCCTTGGATGTGTCATATTCGTTCCATCACCATTAAATAAAAGGCCATGTTTACTTTAGATTTTTCTACAAAACCATTATTTTTGGGTGGAAATAGAGGCGATCGACAAGCTTGCTCTATAGTAGAATCCGCCACTTTGGTTAGAGGGGCTTGTTAGTTTTGATTTGCTGTCCCTCTTTCTTATGTATTGAATACATTTCTATCCCTTTTTGGATTAGATGCTCAAAGTTGCATGAGCTATAATAAAGGTTTATGAGGATTATAATTATATACCAACTTTGTTTGTCTACTTAGAATTCGGGTGAATATTATGATAAGGAAAATTTTCCCAATCTTGATTGTCGCAAAAGAAAGGAATGAAATGAATAAATATCGATACCCGCTTGTAATATATTAGCGCCACCTTTCGGCAAACTCTAACGACATATCACTCACGCATTGTGCGACATAGGCGACAGTTGCCCCGTAGTCAATTTTAACGTTAGTATAAATAGAATTTCAGTTGACCCAACACCTAAACGCAAGTAACCATAACCTCAAATCTAATCTAAAGCCTCAATTGAAAATACTGGAGGCTTCGATATTTCTCTGTACATACTGGTCATACTAATATAACAACTACGATTGCACCATATCCGATTGATACGTGGGTTTGAAAACAAATTATATTCACAAAACATAATTCCCCGTCGGCCTACCACTTTTAAAAATAGTTTATATTATTCCATTATTCTTGCTATAAATATGATGAAATGATTGATTTTTCAGGATTTCAGAATACAATACTCAGCCGCCTGTGCAATCGAAGAAGTTACTTCCATTTTCCCTTTCTCCTCTTTTGTATCTTAGAGGGAGAGTTTGGTTCTGGTGAAAATGAAAGAGAGAAAAGTCCTTTGTGAACTTCCTCATTTTTGTATGAGTAAATGATTTTCCTTCAAATGCACTCATATTGGAAATATGAAGAGAAATAGCTGAAAAGTTCAAATCGAACGTTGATGCCACATTGTGTACGTAACCCACCAATTATTTCTTTGTGCTCATTGTATGCGCCTCCAGTACATTAAGATTGAGTCATTTTTAATGTACTCTAATGTACTATACTGCTGCCTGTTAAGTTAGACTACATTTTTGGGAAATGATTGTGATGTGATGATAATGGTTTATTCTTGATAGTTAAAGTCTATGCCTTCTCAGAACCTTATAGATCAATCTCTCTGACGGTTCATATTGATTAAGTTTTTGAGAAGTTGTATACTTTATCTATCAAAAATAAGTCATATTGTCACAATTATGTCACAATATAGATAGAGGTAAGAAAGTTGATTCTAACTTGATAACAGTATACATGATCAACCATTCCCATTTGATTGCAGACATGCAGTTTCCATCACAATGCTAGGCCATGACATGTATTTGTAGACACTGTATGATTGTCTTCAAAGTAAAAGAAAGAGAAAGGTTCATGAGGTGTGTGTAATTGGACTTTCTACAGAGTCGTGTATCAATGCGGTAAGATCATTTACGTCTGAGGACCCAACCTTTAAAGCCCCATTGCACTACTTATAGCTACCTGCGCCCTTTGTATAGCAAAAAATGCCTTATCGGTGACAATTGGTCCCCCATGATTCCCCTTTTCTTAAATTGAGAGCTGATTTGATGAGATAACCACCTGTCAGTGACCATGCAGAGAGGTCTAATCCCTCCTGGTCAAACTAGTGCAGTGGGTCTTAACGTTACCATCCGAAAGGCGTGACTCAGTTTCGAACCGGGCTCAGCCAGTTTGTAGACGAGGACAGAGAGCTGGCCAACTGAACGTGCCGCTAGACCGTGCCAACCAACATCATAAAGGATGCTTCAGTCCCCGTATACCCTCCTGCATTTTCAGTTTATTTGTGCTTTTGGGTTCCTTGCAGACGACTTAGTTTTTGACAAACCAACCCATGGTCATTATAGCACATTTCTTAGGGCACCTTGAGTTTTCTAGTCTTACGAGCTATTGAGTAGGAAATATGTATAGCTTCATTAAGAGGAAGTTAAGCCCCATTTCTTTTTTTTCTATCTCTTGTCAACATTCTTTCATTTCTTTGTATTCATTATTATGTGATAATGACAAATGAACTTTAAAAAATTTCCATGGTGTTGTAAATTATCAATGTGTCTTCCTTGTGCCTAAAAGGCGAACTGTAAGAAATCCATTTTTTTCAAGATTTTAAATTGCCCTTCAAAATAATATTAAGATCCAGTATTTAACCGATAACGATAGCTGTTCCTGCATTGACAGATCAAGGGATACGAAACGGCTTAGAGGTGACCCCCCCCGTCCCCCCCCCCGCATTTAGAGAAAGACGGGAGAATGGGAAGAGAAATTTGAAAATAAATGAATATAAGGGGAGGGGAATCATGTCTGGATTTTTTAATATTCTCCCACGTACCCCTTTACTACAGAGCGATTCAGAAAGAATCCTGAAAGCGTGTTCCAGGAAAAGAAGGACAAAAAGGAAGAAGAAGAAGACAAAGAACAAGAAGAACATTAAAAAGAATAAAGAGGAAAGGAAAAAGAATAAAGAGGAAAGGAAAAAGAATTTAAAAGAGTTAGAAGAAGAAAAAAAAAGAAAAAAAATAGGAACAGCGGGAGGAGGAGAAGAAAAAGAAGGAGGAGAAAAAGAAAGGAATAGGAAGAAATAGTAGAGGGAGAAGAAGAAGAAAATGTAAAAAGGAAATGGACAAGAAGACAAAGAAGAAAGAGGAAGACGAGGAGAAGAAAAACAAGAAGTAGAAGAAGAAGAGAAAGAAGAAACAGAAGAAGAAGATGAGGAAGAGTACGAAGAAAAATAGCAGGAATGAGAAACTATAAATGAAACATTAGAGAAATTCAGTCAAACAGATCATTGTGTTAAAGTGGTAAAATCTGTATGATGCTGCTTTGACAAAAAATAGAAAGATTGATTATGCTTTAAAAAAAAATCATTGTGTCTTAAAAATTACTTATATGAGAAATAAACGTAATCACGCAATGGAGAAAATAACTTTTCCACATCATTTCTTTGGAAAAATATGTCACTATTTGCAGTTGTTTGTACGTATATAATATACTTATATAATTTGGATAATTAAATGTTTGGAAGAATATTGTCCTCGGGTATCTTGTAGAACAGACACGTCCCGAGGCACGGCATTTACTTGTTGCTAAATGAGACAAGCCTTAGGCAAGATAATGACTGTCCAAAAATATCTTGTAATTAATCTAAAATCTGAAGATATTTTAGGGATAGCTGTGCGAGCAGAATGGGGAGCCACGCCAAATGAATACATGTAACAACAATAATAATATGTTTGGTGGTTTTCCAATCGATTGACCTTGTTAAGAAAAACAGCTCTATTCATATGCAAACCATACAGTGAGTCTACTTCGGCAATGAACAGTGGTAGGAGGGGTACCATTGCACTATGGCCTCACACAATAGAGGGCTAAAAAGAAACCGTTGTGTGAGCACAGGGACAATAAAAAGACAACATCTCCGTGAATAACCGAATAACTATGCATCAAGGACTTTTCGTCTCTTCAGACAATTCCATTCCTTCGAGATAGAATTGAATAGAGAGTGTTTGTTGAAGCGTGCGACCGGCCCGAATGAGTTGAATAGGTATTACACTGTGCGTGTGATGGGTGGGGATGCCAGTAGCGAATCATTGCACTTGTTGCGTATACGGATGCGTTACGAAGCGATCAATTATTACGTGAGGTATCGGCGACAGAGAGAGTTCGGCGTATATACAAACGCCCCACCAGTATACGATCGTGTATAATTTTTTTTTCTACTTCAAATTTTGATTCCGTTGGATCTCACAACATTAAACTCTCACTGCTCACAATTCACAACCAAAATCGACTTGCTGGGATTTTATATTTTTATACCGCCTTTGACTGTATTCTGTAAACAAGGGAACCTAAAAACAAGACAACATTAATGGTGAAGTCTTAAAGATCGCAAACACCACTTTCAGTTCCTAACGGAGGAAGAGATACGATTACAGAGTGCCTTGGCTTCCAGTGATAACTTCTCGCTAGCCACTTTCTTGGTTATCATTTTCATCATCATCACACCAGGATGGCATCATCACTACCAACCTCCTTTTTTATCAGGACGATACTGTTCTTCTCATACTTGGGTCTCTTATTCCAGGATTGTAATGGATTTCCTACTGGAGCAGGAGACTTGGCGTGTAATACCCTGAGACCAGGCCATCCGGGAGCGCCCCAGACGGGTACCCCTCCCTTCTCCGTGGTTCCTCTCTCATCTACCTACACCTCTGGAGGATCCGTGCAAGGTAAGATGCCATTCTTTTTCTATATTTGGTGATGATAGTTTCCATAGTTGGATGACCTGTTTATTGATATGATTAGATTTGATTTGGTTTCAAATATATTGGCATCAAATAGAAACGTACAAATTAAAAAAGTACCGAAATTATATTTTGTCACATTTCATTTCAAAGTTAAACAAATGGTTTACAAACTATTATTGCGACTTCAAGAAACAAACTAGTTACATAAATAAAGAATGAAACACTCATAACATTACATAGTGGATATTGTTATTTAATTCTTGCTCTTTTGATAACATAGATTATGTAGATGTTTTGTTTAATTAATATATCTTATTAGTAGGCCTAGGCTTGAATTCCAAATGATAGATTCAGCATCATGCTACCAGTTTATGCACTCAAGAAATTACAGTAGGGAAGAAGGGTCAGTAAGTAAGTAGGTAGGCCGGGATACTCTTCAAGTCATAGAAAAGCATCAGAGACTGTGCATGCTGTTCAAAATAAAAAAAATTGCCTCATAGAGAGATACCGTTGCCCAATAATACATGAGAGTTAACTCACGGAACACAAAAAGTAACAGCCTGAAATTCGTCCAAATTAGTCACAGGTCAGAAGTTTCCAGGATTTTTCTTTCAAAGACTGAAACTAGTTGTTCCCATCCGTGCTAGTCAATAGTACAACTCCCTTTAAGCTTCAAACAACGACTTGAAGCTCAAACCCAGCAGCAGTTATTTAGGTCTCTTCGCCGAACTTCGTACAATCGATCAAGTTATCGACGATGTGTCCACAAAGATACTTTACTTTACTTAATCACCAAGATGCAGATCCAGAACTATCTAATTGAAGAAAAAAATAGCAACTGGAGTACATTATTTCCTTACATCACTGCTGAAGCAGGAAAGGGAGAGAACATAAATGAGAGATAAATATACAGAAAATTATAGAGAAAGTGATAGAGAGAGAGAAAGAGAGAGAGAGAGAGAGAGAGAGAGAGAAGAAGAAGAAGAAGAAGAGAGAAAGAGAGAGAGAGAGAGAGAGAGGGGAGGTGGTTACCAAAGTAACAAGAGGAAGGAAATTTTGGGAGGGAGAAGGAAAGGACGCGTTTCAGGAACAACTTTCAGAGTCAAACATCAAGGTTGACATCCTTAAAAAAAACTCACGTCTGCACAAAACCAGCCCATAGGAGGTTATCTAACGAAGATAGCAAATAACTTTCTAAAGCTTTTCTACCAATATTATGTCCTACCGTAACTTCCCATGAGAATCGCTTCGTCAAGTCCAAACTGTATGATGGTGATATCAACACACATTGGTCAACTGTCTAAACATAACATATTCGCCCTTGCTCATCGAAGAGCACGCACTGACTCCCAGTGCAACAACCATCAATATTGAGACTATTTCGCACCCATTTCCAGCTTTATAAAAAACAAGGTGATTGACACTGCATAGAACTTCCTACTTTAAAGAAAATTATGATATACAAAGTAGACAAGAGAGAAACCAACAATTTCATTTATAATGTTGTATTTGTCAAATTATAAACAAGTATCACACCTTGTGTTTTAGTTGGAAAACGGCGGGTAGATATTTGTCATGTTTTGTTATTGGAGTTTGTGTGATACAACATCTTCTTCTTATTCCTACCAGAGTACTGCAATTTGTCATAGCAAGTAGGTCCATGGTCATAGCAAGCAGGAATGTCATGAGGCAACATTTACAGGAGATTGTGCAATAGTACCATTGAGTTCCTATATTTACAAGCGGCATTAATTAAGATGTGGAATATAAACATTTATCAGCAGTCGTGACGTTGGCTTTTGGGACAAATCAAACATCTTCGATAAAATAATACTTTACACCATTTTGTTAACGATGCAAAGATCAATATAACTCTTCCCAACACGGAAACTGACAGCTCGATTAAAGACCAGCAAATAATTTAATAATCCTTATATTCGGTCTTAAAGTCAGACGGTACACCTTTTGAGATTCGATGCGTCAATTTGAATCATTTGATATAAACAAGACATGATAACTGTTTGTTAACTTTGCTTGTATTACCTGTAATTGCAAAGTCATAACAGTTCTGAAAGCCCATCAGATTTATTATCTCCTTGACCCTGGAAAGGTAGACCCAAATAATTCATTTAAGAACAATTAAACATAAAGTTGTCCTGTTTAGATGTTACAAATTCAATAAATCTGAAGATTATTTTCTTTACATAAGCATTTTTCTTATAAGAATCGCACAGGCTTTGTTGAAGGAGTGATATTACTCAACATTCCGAAAACTTGACTCAGATTTGACATAAATATGTACCTTACCTTCAAGGTCAATAGTTGTCTTCCCAACCCTCCCTGTATAGCAGACAATGGTTTCTCGGTTGCTCTTCAAATTTGAACAGAAAACAATCATATTCTCACTTGTCAACATACGAGGATAGCGGTGTTGAAATTTCATATTTTGAACTGGATTGATATCGACCCAAGAGAAAGGAGTAAAAACATTTGGATTCACAGTCCTCTCTCCCTCATTTGTTCTCTTTCTTTCTCTTTCTTTCTCTCTCTTTCTCTCCCCTCTCCCCTTCTCCCTCTCTCTCTCTCTCTATTTCTCCCTCGCTCTCTTTTCCTCTCTACTTCTCTCTCGCTGTCTCCGTCTGTCTCTCTCTTTGCCTGTCTCGATGATAATATTCTGATCTTGTGTTATATGTTTTTCTCACGTTCCTCTACAATCTTAGAAGTTGTTTTTACACTACTCAATTATGGGCACGACATAGATGGTTAGATGATGTTGATAATTATAAAAGTAATTGGAATGAGGGGGAGGGGTCCCCATAGAAGAGCTCTGTATTCCATTTGTAGTCAATATTAATTATGTAGGACTTTGCAGGAATTGAAACGTTAGCAGAGTGTCCTATCATTCAAATTATGCAAGGAAACCCGTTTGCTTTCTAGACTTCACTGTCAGACACTATTGAGTGACTGACTGCCCTCCCCCCCCCCCCCACTAAAAGACATTTTCAAGCCCTTAATTTTTGAGGGAAGTTCTAATTTAGTGTTATTTTTCAAATGGAAATTAACCTTTTCCAAGTTCGAGATATTTGGTCATTTGATTCGTAGAGGTGTTCTGGTCATGTGGATAAGTCTCCGCACATTGAACCACAAGATACGGGGTTCGAATCCCTGCCACATCACTAATGTCTTTTCTCGACCCATGTGAGATAAATGGGAACATGGCAGTAATTAATTCCTTAAATGCTAGAGCACCATAACGGCAGCCATGATAAAGCCGGGGTCATGTAATCGTGGAGCACCAGAAGTGTCATGTCGTACAGACATGGGCGCTTTACGAGATCCCACTTTTATTTGGTGTCCCATTACGTTATCAATTATTTTGGAATTCAGGACATAATCTGATCACCAAATATGTCTTTTTACTTCATATTTGGCTCGAACTAATTTTGTAGTATGGCTGTTAACTAAATTAAAATAATAATAATTAGAAGAAGAACTATATACGAAGCATTGTTTCAAAACGTTTTCCTGATATTGCTATTACTCGGTTTTCGGATTCATCCATGCATAATGTATGTACCATCCTTACTCCCTGAGGAGTATTTCTACCATAATGATCCCTATGAAGGCATATATATATATATATATATATATATATATTGTAATAACTATCTGAGGCGTATGTAAATTACCTAATGTTATGCTCAGACATGTAAGATGTATCTAAATCTGATGTAATCATGGTCAATAACTAATGGGACAAAATAGCTTGGACTTGTCCAAGGAAAATTTGAATAATTGTTGTTGTCGTCGTTGTCACTGTTAGGATTTTTTGGGAAGTTTGTCAAAATAAACAACTTGTGACGCAGATAAAATATATTTTTTTATTCTGCTGTGCACATAACCTCGGCACAGGTATACAAATTGAGAAAAGCTGATCATTTCTTCGGTCATACCAGATTGTAACTGGATTACTGGATGTACCTGTAATATGGTCAATTTACAAAAAACCAGACCTCGCGCCGTACTGCCACCAACTATCTTTTTATTCTCTCTATATGATGCTACATGTAGCTTGCTAAACGAATTGATCTTGTCATTCATAACTCTGTGCACAGACTTCACAAAATTCATTTGGAATAAAATACGGAGACATTTTGATCTGTGGTCAAATCTTACACAATTGCGATGACCTTTCACCATTCTCAATGAACAAACGTCATAAAAACCTAAAACGACGCAATTACGAAGCAAAGCACGTACAACTGTAACAATGCATTTCCAGGTCTTCACTACACAAGGACCTGCTTCGTTTTATGATTGGGGTTCCTTTCAATATAATCAATCATGGACATCGCCTTTTCATAGATTTGTGAGGCTAGGCATATTTTAGGACCCCAGCGTGAAGTCTTTCATAAAAATTTTCCCATGGCTTGTGTAGTTTGTTCGTTCTGCATGCAACATGCGTATTGCATTTGCGACTTTTCCATTAATTAGACTGATGGTAACAGGTTGCACGCATAAAACACACGTTGAATTTAACAAAATTGAGATGATTTTCAATTCCATGTACAAGTTAATGTATGAAAGACAAGGTTTGTGTTGGAGAATCAATTTTTTTTTGTCGAAATGCAAATTAGTTACGAATGCCTTTGAGCTGATTTTGAAAGAAATAGATTACCATTATGACTTTTCTCACATATTATGTAATACTTGATCTAGAAAAAAAATGTTATTTTAGTGTTATCTGCAGGAAAGTTCAGGAAGGATATGAAATGCAAGTAAAAAAATCTCAACATTTATGCCTTGGTTTAAATAGAATGTTTGTTTAGAATAAAAAGACAAAAAAACAACTTCCATTTCATGTATTCAATATACAGAAATACGACTTGTCACTTTCAAAATTGTCTTGATTGAGGCGTGTTTACTGAATGCCTAATGTTAGACACGTCTTTTTAGATTCTATCAAAACAGAAACGAGTTTC